AATAATTTTAGAACGATATTTAAGCGGTTTTAGAGCGCAATAAGAGCGGTATTAAAGTGGTTTTAAAGCTGTCTTGAAGTAATGTGGTTTTGAAGCGTATTTAGAGCAATTTTGGGGCGAATATAGAGCGGTTTTGATTTATTTTCCTTTTAGAGCTTTATACTAAAAATGTAGGTAATTTTTTGAGTTATTTTTGCCATAAAAAATAAGACCCATTTAAATCATTTTTTACGAGCATACGCTTAAAGAATTGGAAAATGTTTTTGCAGGAATGCTACTAGCAAAGTCAAAGGTATTTAAACCAGTATTAAAAACTCTCATATACAGGGTGAGTATGAAAATTGTACAAAGTTAAACTTCATAAATATCAAATTTCTAATTTTTTTAACAGAACCTCTCCAGTTTTTGCCTTATCATTTATGTTACTAATACTAAATAGGCGAATTCAGGGACACCCTGTACAGCAAGAAACTTCCACCGGCCCTTCCGAATCTAACCGAATGATTTATTGCTGGGCGGGCAAGTTGCAGCATAACGCAACGTTTGCAAATTTTGTTTGTACATCCCGCTAAAACTCATCCCAACTTCCGTTCGATCGTTTCGAATTAATAATTTTTCCGCGCGCCGATTTGCATGTTCCCAAACAATCTCCTCTCCCGGCCCTGTTTAAATAATCAAATGTAAATTTCACCTTTTGCGTATATTCCATTCAGCGTTTCTCCGGAGTGAAGAAATATTCAAGGAACAACCCGACCTCTAAATTACCGGGGAAAATATATTTTCGCCACTCGATTCTCGCTGGACTTGACAGCTCCTTAGCGGGCGTAGAATGCATGCAAAACGCGCGGAATTTCCCGAGTATAAGGAGCTGTTTTTTCCGCATATCTGATGAGGGTGTATTCTCCGGTTCGCCCGGATTTATCCGGAATTTTCCGATTGGAGTGCTCTCTGGTAACTCGACGCAAAAAATCGAAATTCCCCAGACGCGGATTTCATAGGAAACGATTAAAATAAAAGTATGCATCGCTGTGATGGCGTATAAAAAGAAAATCCCTCTTTCGCACAGACGCCGAGCGCATAATGAAAATGTTTGATGGTTTACGGTAGGAAAAAAAAATAATCCGCATTGAGAAATTCCAACAGTAAACACTTCAAGTGCTTCGAATTGTGCCCCATTATGCTACCCATCGATTCCCGATCGGTTTTCCAATATCAAAGCGAGTTCCATATTTACTCAAAGAAACTTCCAGCGTAGGTATCTCCTATATCAGTCCGTCCAAGTGGTGCAATTCTTTCCTTCGAATAAAGCTGATTATGCAGCCTCCCTTCTGATCTTCATGTAATTAGGGGAATTCCCCGGAACGAGCGATGCTTTCCGGCCGTTTACAATGTAAAATCCGACGCAGGCCGGGGAGAATTTTCCGAACGAAGTTGAAACGTTTTAAACAGATGGCGTTATTGTTTTCGAAATTGCTCGAGATACCTGCAAGGATTCCCGCTTGTCGGGGGATTTGCGCAGGGAATACATTCAAAAACCGAATCGAGCAAGATGATTGCGTCACGTAGGTACGAGATGAGATATGTTTAAAGTTTACCTTTGGTATAGTCGAGATTTATTTTTCCTTTCTAAGTGCTTTTTTATTTTATAGTAGTTTGATGTGTGGTTTCTGATATACCACGCGATATCTATCCAATTTCGCTGGAAATTTGTACGAGTCGAACACGTTAGTTTATCTACGATATTATAAGGTAAATTTATGCAGAGAAAGAAGAAACCTTCTTTTATGTAGGTATATAATAAAACTTGAATGGTCAGTGATTTACTGATTGGAGTTTTATACGGTAGCAATTCGTCTTTTTTGATGAGGAAAAGTAGTGAATCCCATGTAAACGAACACGCCGAAGAAAACGAAAAAAGGGAGTTTTTTTTGCAATTTTGACCCTGATGATGAAACTTTCTAAAGTCGAAACGTCGATTTTTGAATTTTCTGTGTCAATTCACGCGAGAATCGACCTTCTCCACGTCTAGAGAGTCGAAAAAAGTAGAAAAAAAAAGAAAACAAATCGTGTATTTTGCAATTTTGACCCTGAAGATGAATCCTTATAGACTCGAAACGTCGGTTTTTGATTCGCATTCACCGATAAAAGCGTATAATTTTTTATTTCCCTTTTTTTATTGTGCATATTTTATCGGCTCGTATATCTCTCTTGGCGGCAATTAATTACTCCGCATAGTGCCTATAAATTTTTCATTCGAATATCGAGACGGCTAATTGGTATTTCCCGTTGATATGTAAAAGTGAATTTAATGAAAAAGCCCGGACGATTTTCCGTAATTAGAAATAATTGATTGGCTTTCATATTTGAATCGGTGCCGCCGCGTTTCCGGATTACAACCGTTTCACGCCGGCATTGTTTTTCGTTTCGTGCCCCGTGTATTTGCGATTTCGAATGCGGAAAAAAAGGGAAATCCCATTCGATTGAAATACAAATAAACTTGAGCCAATTACAGCCGTATAGAATTTTTCAAAGCTTCCTTGTCCCCGGTTTTTAATTTGTTATATACAGGGTGAGACACTTTCAACGTGACGGAGTTAATACACTATAGTCAAACGGTATAAGAGATTTTGTTAAAGTTGTCTCAATTTAGAGAAATAATATGAAGTTATTAAAATTTAAATAGTACACCCTGTATTTTAATACATTTTTGGAACCTACATAATATTTCAGAGCACCTTTATCTCATATACTTTATTCCAAAAATGTATACTTTTTGGATTATTCATTTTCTTATAAAAAATTTGACCCTTTTAAATTATTTTTTTACGAGGATACGCCTAAAAAATTGGAAAAGGTTTTTGTAGGGTGCTACCAGCAAGGTCAAAGGTATTTAAACCTGTGTTGAAAAAAATCTCAATTACATACAGGGTGTGTTTAAAAATCGTACAAAAATATCAAACTTTTCAAATGAACCGCAACTAACGTAATGCACTGGAATCAGAAACTCGAATCTGCAGAGGATAATTCGCCGAGTAATAACCATTAATTTCCCTCTAAAAATCCCCGAGTTGTGTGAATAATTCATTAGCCCAGCCTCTATTATGCAAGGCGCTTTTTTTCTCTCCTTTCTAACAAGTTAATCTTTCTTAATCTTCCTGTTATTTCAAAAAGGGCCTCGGTAGAATTTCACCTTCCATCCCCCGGAGCGCGGCGGCGGTTAATTTCGAATAGATAAGGCGAAGGATCCCGGCCTGTCAGGCGGCCGATTTTTCATGCATATTCTAATTTTTCTTCCGTCGAGCCGGCGAAAAGGTTGTTGTGTGGAAAAGCGGAAGCAACAAATAGGAAAAAAAACGGGGACGATGAGGGAAGGTCCGATTTCGACAGGAGGCAGGTAAATGAGGAAAAATATGGAAATTAGATTAGGAAATTTTATCCGGGCGAAATGAAACGTTCGCATTTAAGTAAGGCTTCTTTTCAAAACGCCATCAATCAATCCATTACCGCTTATACAACGTAGGAAATTTCGATAGGCGGTAGATGTTATGTGAAATTTTAATGGATTTTTTTTTACATATTTCGCGTGTATTCTTTCTAACGAACGAATACCGCTCACTTTTTATACAGGGTGTAACTAGAAAATATGGATTATAAACTATATTCTGGACAAATTGGACAAGAGTATAACCAAAATGGCACTATGAACATAATCCTCTTAATTTTGTGTTATATTTTTGTGACACCCTGTACAGGGTGTTAATTAATTGAGTGCCGATATTTTGAGATGTGAATATTTGGGTGATTTTAAGAAGAAAAGTTTATATCAATATATGTCCTAAATCTCATAGTTTTCGAGCTACAGGATGTTACAGTTTTAGAAAAAAAAAAAAACTTTTCTATCATAATTTATTTATTACTCCAGATATTTTTAGGAAATTTCGGACGTGGACGTCACTGGTAATAGTAGAAAATTAATTTTTGTCCCCAAAAAAAGTGTTTCCATGCATGGTGTGGGCGCCTACCAAATTTCAACAAAATATCAAAAAAATTGGTTTAGATTTTATTTTTTTACGCGAAAATGGTACATCCTACGAAATTAAGTCTTCGGATCGAATTTGCTCCAAAATAATTGAGGATTTAAAAAATAATTTTGATTTTTAGAAAAACCAGTGGCGTACCATTTTTTCTTCAAACATATTCAGTTCAAACCTCGTACAAACGTCACTGGTAAATATTTAAAAAAAATCTTTCGTCTCAAAAAATGTTCCAAATGTTCCAATTATTTAACACCCTGTATAATATAATAAACGCAACAAAACCCCTTCCTGTCCTGTAAATATGCGTCGCATATGTTCCACAGTTCTTGTAATCGGAATGCTCTTCTGTGTACTAAACACAACATCGTGAATTACATTCTATTTGCAACTGTGAACTCGACTCATTCAACCGCGAAAATCGTTTACAAATTGTAATTTTTTTCCATCGCTCGCAGGAGCGAATCATTACGACACGTTTGGAGTATTGTGTAATATTTATTTTTATGTACCTGAGTACCCACTATGAATGTTAGCTAGGTAATTACGTTCGAATTGATGTGAGAAAAAGAAACGTTTGTGTTCGAAACGTAGCAGGTAGGCAGGTAGGTAGGTAGACAAGTAGGTAGATGTAGGTATGTTATCTTTTATATGCAAGAAATTGGAAAGGATTCCTCCTCGAAATAACCTTCTTTCGTCGCTACAAAACATTATTTGTTAGACGAAAGAGCGGAGCACAATTAAGGGAAACCTTGTAGTTAATAAGTATACATTTTGTGATACAAAATTTGATTCAAAAAAACGAGCATACGTTATATAGAGCTTTGATATGATTCCTCCAGTAACTAACATGAGAAAAGAAGCTCATACTTAGCAAAGATAAAATGCGATGTGTATTCAGTGGTTTAATATGGTACAATTCACGTGTTTTCTTGTACAATAAACAGTAGAAAATTGAAAGCTCACCTTCCAATTCGACGACTTTTCCGGCCCGCTTGAGAGCCTTCACGGCCTCCTCGTGCGTCGCCTCCCTCAAATCCTCGCCGTTCACCGACAGGATGGCATCGCCGACGTAAAGCTGCTCGGTCTGATCGGCCGCCATCCCCTTAAAGATTTTACTAATCAGTATAGGCATCTTGTTCTCCCTGCCGCCTTTGATTGATATGCCCAGTCCGTTGTTCTCCGATTTGATAACGTGCACCAGCCGCTTCTGGTTGGCGACGGCCTCCGGTATGTCGGGCAGATCGCTCAGGCCGCTCGGCGTTTCGATGTTGTTGTTCAACGTACCGTTCAACGTGGTCGTATTTTCGTACGATTCGTCCAAGGTGATGCTGAGGTAGTCCTCCTCCAAGTTGACGAACACGCGATACCAGTTGCCGCGCACGAACGTCTCCAGGGCGCCCGATCGGCCGAAGAAGCCGGGCGAAGTCACCTCCTCGCACATGTTTCTTTTCTAATCACATTTGACTGTCGAACGGACGACCCGAAACAATCACCCGCCGGAGCGGCACGCCGTCGATAATCCGGTGTGGTCGTATATCAGCTGATCGGGGCGGTTCGAGGATTCACTGGCGGTAGACGGGGCGTCGCGGCGCGCCGCTCGCCGACCATCGCCTCATCTGCACTACACCGCGGATGGATGCCCGATGATACTCTTCTTCTTCTTCTCCTCCGAATGTTCGATTCTTCGTTTCGCGGGGGACGGAACTGGTGCGGTGTATATGCGTGCGTGTACTCGTGTGTGTGTGTGTTTGTGTGTGTGCGAGTGTGTCGAGATTACCGGAGTCGTATATTAGCGATGAGTCGGCGCGTCGATGCCCCCCGTTACCATGGCTACAGGCGTCCCCGAGAGAATCCTTCGCGTAGGTGGCTCGTCGCCGACTCTCGAAGCGCCAACTCCGTTCGAAATGTTTACGGAAACCTGCTGAAATTTTCTGGGAGGTGCGCCGATCGGTCGCCGGGCGGCGCTTTCGTCGCTTCTTGATGCTCTGGGGATCCACCCCCAGGAAACTGAGATGGACACCTCTGTTAGAGAAGAGAAGAGGTCTGGAGGTGTTTGAATGGAGATTAATCGACTTATCCGGTGTATTTTTTACTGCGTTTTGTTGTACAATCTGCAGACCAGGTTTCGTCTCAACGTGGCAGTCAAACAGACAAGCAAATGGAAGACGACGAGCACCAGGAAAAGCGCCACGATCAGGCCGGCGGTTTGCGAAGGTTTCGACCAATCCAGTATCACGTAAATCGGGTAGTAATTGTTGGAATTTACCAAATAATGCGCTAAACTAAACACCACGTAACTTCCGCAGAAAACCAACGGATAAATCCCGTGCGGAATGTTAATCGGATGGGCGACGATCCAAAGATCCAAGTACATCATTATGGAGTTGTTGCCGTGCACGATGAAATTCATAGCTGGTATCGCCTGTTGGTAATCGTGCAAAAAGGAGAAGTACACGGTGGTAACGAAAAAAGCCGAGGTTGTACCGACGATGTTCGTCAACCAGTACAAGCGATAGGCGGATTGGATCGAACGCCAGGACTCGTAATCGCTGAAAGCCGCTGCTAGCATCAGAAACACCAAGGTGGCTTGGAGGGTGCAGGCCGAGTAGCTCCAGTTGGTGAGGTACAAAGGCCAGTCGGCGCCGTCTGTGAAAATGGTATTGAGCCAAGTGAGGAAGAACAGCAGCATCACCGCACATCGATAGACCAAGTATTTGAAATTGGGCTCGTATTTGTTCTCTTGCCATTCGCTCGCCACGAACAATTCCGGCTCGTCGTGGTTGAGAGTGATCTCGAACATGTCGGTGGGGTCGTCGGAGGATGGTGTGCGGTCATGGTTTGGATGGGCTTGAATTTTCTAATACATTTTTACTGGTAATTAGGACATTTGTACGGCTAAACGTCATTTGGACGTATTCGTTTGATTTTCGCGCCAGGCGAATCGATGACTGCAGCGCTTCGAGCGGACTTTCGGCGAACTTCCGCGGAAAGAAAATCGATATAAGCGTCCGTTTGGAAATAAGGGTGCGTTCGACCTCCGATTTATCCTGCTCTCCCGCTGAAACTTTCCAACATCGTCCTGACAGGCCGAAGAGTGGAGAACTTCCACTATCCGGAAAATGTCCTTACTGAGCAACTCCCGAGGACATCGAGGTATATCCTGGAGTTAGACTGGGGGTGTTTCCAAAGGGAAGCGTTCCAACTTCCACGAACTCTGCCGACAGCGTTATCCATAAAGGGAGTTTTCCGGACGGGGCGCTATGATCACCGAGGAGGTTTCCCAAACCGCCCTTGCCGGTTTTCCGGAAGGAAAAACACTTGTTGGTTTGTATGAGGGTTGTAGAATGTACAGCAGAATAAAATTCACTTCAAACACAATGCAGTATTATTAAAGCAGTATAAAAATAGAAGAAAGGGGTGAATATTGGAGAGCATTAGCATATTTCCAAATTTCTCATGTTGTAGAAATCAATTTATTGTTTCTAGATACTCAATTAGGTACTGTTATTTTTCAATGAGGATCATTCTGGTAAGGGTTTTTAAAGGTAAAGTACGAGTACTACCCATAAAGAGACTATTATTTCGGTGCGGAATTCCGGTGCAGCTGAAACATGCTGATAAATTTCACCCCAATTCACGTAGGATAAAGTGAAGTGCGGGGCGTATGGATTTTTCAATTACTCTATCAACCCGCGCCGCATCGCACCCCCTTCATGTTCGCCTGGTCGCGCGCGTCGCGTAAAAGCGGCGAGAACCGCGCGCCGCGACGTGACGTCATCGAAACCCGCGGTCGCGTCCGCTCCCCGCACGTGCCGCCACCTGTTGACACCGACGCCGCCTCGGCTTTATTATTAGATGCCGAAAAATCGGCGCTACAGTGGCGGATTCGCCAGCGAAAAATTCACCGGAATTCATACCCTATAAGAAAGAAATACCGTCTGTTAGCAATGACGTCATCTATGTTTTGAGCGGTTTTTTTTATTCTATAAATCTGTTTTGTTTCTGTTAAGGCGTTACTGATAAGACTTATTTAGTACCATTGAACCTTAATGATATTGGTGAAGAAGCATCGTCTTACCATTGATCCTTAATAAATTTACTAAATGATAACTTATCATTGTACCTTAATTATTATACTATTGGAAGATTAGGCGCGAGAATGTTTCTGGACAAAAAAGGGGATTATTTGAGTGCAAGGAAAACTTTGAAGGAAATTGAAAGGTTTGGGTGTAAAAAAGCAGTGCAAATTTACACTGCGGGGTGGTCTAGAGTAAAGTAGAGTAGAATAGAATAGAGTACTTAATCAGAAGAACGATATTTGAAAAACAACAGTTATTTTGTAACAGTCGTTACTGCACCTCTACACCAAAAAATCGACTCCCACCTCTATTAAACTTCTGTCAAACGAAATGTCATTAATGTCAGTTATGTCAATTTTTGAAAATTTTTAAAAAGCACTTATGCCAATGAAAAGAACCTTTAAATCTCCGCAACCAATTTCCTTACACCATATAGACAAAATTCCCGTTAATACGCCGCTGGTGATATACATTTTAGAAACTATTGTATAGAGCGGATCGTTTCTCGCCAGCTGCCAGCATACGTGTGTATTTTTACCCCATATGTGCCCGGGTGACGATCGAAGGGGAACCCGCGCTGTACTTGGATATTATGCGTGTATTTATTTAGATTACCTAGTCGGGAACACGTGCGACTGGTATTTAATTCGGAATAGAAATCGTGTGTATTTATAGGAGGGAGCCGGGTGGGTGGTTTTCGAACGCCGCATTTATTTCTGCTAGCCTAATAGCCGGCGTCGAATTTTTACTGGATTCTGGATAGGTCGCTTAGGAATGGGGATAACGGGAGCACGAAAAAAATCGCCGATAATAAAAGTATCTATCCAATAATTGATACGCTCGCATTCCCGCACGAATTAGACGTTCCTAATCAATTTAATGGTGCTGGTAACGGCGCTATTCATCCACAATAGCAATCGAATAATATTAATAACAATCGTTCGATTCGAAATTTCCACGGCGGTTCGTCGGTCGTTTCGCCATCTATCATCCGCCCTTCCTTGTTTTACGTCGAAAATAAAAAAAAATTAAATCTCTCGCTCCTCACATAGGAAGCGAGACGAGGTGTGTACTTTTATGTATACCCGCAGGAACATGGAAGGTTGAGTGTCTCCTTCGGAGACCTCGCCTCGAAGTTTCCTTTCCCAGTTAAATATTTACCGACGTCTAGAGGGAAAATTAATATGTGTTCGATTCGATTCGATTCAGGAAATATATATAAAAACGCCGTTATTGCGTTCAATCGGTTTAGTAAAAAATACGCGTGCGAGTTTAGATGTAACCGGTGAAGTAAAGTAATTTTTGCGGAAGTGAACAACCCTCTATTTAATTCTTGTATATGGGGTTTCCAATGTTAGATATGTGTTGAAAAGATATTATTTTCTTGATATATTTTTAATATAAATACTTTATGCTAAATTGATTAACACATACTCTTTGAAACACTGAAATAAATTACTAGTTTTTTTTTAAAGTGAGCTATATTTGAATTCAAATTTTCTTCAAAATTAAGAGTAAATCGAGCCGGTTGAGTGTAAAATGTTTATTATATTTTATAACGTAGCTACTTATAATTTTTAACGACAACTCGTGTAAGTTTATAGTCCACATTACAATACGATAATACGAATCTAGGAAAATTGTTATTATTTTTTTCGATCCAGTTCGATTTTGTTGTTAATATCATTCACCTTTTGCAGCGAATTATCGAGCACTTTATATAAGGTACGAGTAATATAATTTACATTGAACCGCATCCTGCGAAGGTTTCGAATACCGAAATAATATAAATAATAACACATCGAAAAGGAAAAATAAAAACAAACCGAAAGAATGCGCGATTTGTTTTAAATTAACGGCATTGAATCGAGTCCGTGCGATCCGCTAATTCTCTTTCGCAATCCGATCCGAACCGTCCTGAATCGAGCCATGCACGCCGCGAAATTCTGCAAAGACGACCGCGAGTCCTGCGACTTCGACAGAGCCATCGACCTGACGGGTAAGTGCACCTCCTGCGCCAGGACATTCCCCGCATTTCGGCCGGCCGATCGACGAATACCGCCCGTTGGAAAATTTTCGACGCGCTAACACGACCGGAATCCGCCGCGGAAAATTATTCCCATCGCCGGTTTTTCGTTTTCGACATCGCTCGAATTTTCGACCGGAACGTGCCGCTTCTATTCGCTCGCATTGTAATACATTTCCCATTCGAACTGAATGCTAAGCAAAGCAAACTCCAGCAGATTCATCTTATACATACTTAAAATTGATATGTTTCAGGCAACGGGAAATTCCACTACGAACTGAAGCTGGTCTGCTGCCTGTCCTCCCTATCAGTGGGGTTTCAAAACGGGCTGTCCTCGTACATCTTCGGCCCGGCCCGGTGCGAATTGGGCATCACCTCCGGCGAGCTGGGCCTGCTGAACGTCGCCTTCCTCGTCGGAGGCATCGGCAGCTGCTTCGTGTGGGGCATACTCGCCGACAATCGCGGCAGGAAGAAAATACTCATCTTCACCCATCTACTAAACGCCGTCATCAACGTCCTGTGCTCGATCGTACCGTACAAGAACGTACTCACGCTGTGCCGGTTCTTCAGCGGCTTCTTAATCGGCGCACCCGGTGAGTAATAATTCAAATAGAGTATCATAAAGTCGGTCGTGGTGGAAGGAAATAATCCCCGCTGTGTATTTCCAGGTACCTTGACCTACACGTACATAGTGGAGTTCCACCAGCAGCGCAAGCAGTTCCGGAACGTGTGCCTGTGCGGCATCTTCTTCGTGCTGTCGTGGCTGCTGCTGCCGATCTTGGCGTACGCCATACTGCCGTTGGAGTTCAGCTACAACGCCAAGAACGTGGTGGCGCTGTCGCCGTGGCGGCTGTTCCTGCTGGTGCTGACGGCGCCCGACGTGCTGGTGGGGTTCTGGCTGATGCGGCTGCCCGAGAGCCCGAAATTCTGGCTGGCCAAGGGCCAGCAGAAGAAGGCGCTGGCGATACTGCAGAGGATGTACGCCGCGAACAAAGGAGTCCCTCGGGATGGGTTCCCCGTTAAGCACATCGTGGGCGAGGGTGGGGCGAATGTGAAGGGCAACGAAATTATGGTGACCGGTAAAACGTTGAGGGTGCTGAAGGAGTTGTTGCAGCAAATCCAGAAGTTGTTTCAGAAGCCTTTGGTGATTAAAACTGGATTAACTACAGGATTGATGTTTTCTAATATGTTCGGCTTATTCGGATTGGGTATTTGGCTTCCGGAATTGTTCATAAAATTCAACCAGTACCAATCCCTCCACCCGAACTCAACTGTAACGGTCAAAGAACTGTCGACGTTAAATTTAGAAAGGAACCAAACGTGCGAGCATTCCATAGACCAGAACGTTGTAATAAACACAGTGGCGACCGGTTCCTGCGCCCTGATATTCAACATAATCTGCTGCCTGCTGGCTTCGAAGGTGTCCTCCAAGCGCATCACTCTGGTGCTCTCTTTCGTCGGCGGATTAAGCGCAGGGTCGATTTATTGGCTGCAAACGGCCACGCAGAATTTGATCGTGGCCTGCATATTTCAGTCCACCACGCTGACAGCCAATCTGACCGCCACCAGCGTCGTGGTGGAGGCCTTCCCGGCCAGTGTGGGGGGAATCGCCATCTGTTTGGCGGTGTGCGTCGGCCGATTTGGCGCTGTATTCAGCAGCGCCGCTTTCGCTTACTTTATGGATAATCACTGCGAAATACCCATTTTCATGGTGGCCTTTTTCGGGGTGTTGGCCAGCTTGTTGTGTATGATGTTGCCTAATCAGGAGAAACGGGTCGAATGCGACAGGGGCGAGTTGGAGCAGAGGCATTTCGGGTTCTTCACGAGGAAGCAGAGCTACGAAATCGCCACTATATCGCATAAAATTGTAGATTCTAATTGTATTTATAGACAATAAACGTTTGTGTAGAGGGGCTTTAAGTTTTGGTAACCCAATTTCAGTTGGCAGCAATGAAAATAAGCATGATTTTGCGGAATACAAATCTCAATTTTTTCCCTAATTTTGAGAAATAATATGAAGCGCATCTGATAGAGTGAACCTTCCTCTAGGTAATGACGAATTTTTTTTGAAGATCTATGCTAATATAATGAAATTACATGCATAAAAAATAAAGAAAGTCTCTCCTAAATAACGAAAAAATAGATCTTCCAATTGAAATAGTGTTGGATTAACGCAATATTTAACTAATTTCCCAAAATTAATCAAATCTAGTGACTTTTGACACTTTAGTGACATTTATATTGAAAGTTTGGCAAGCTTGTTTGTTTACAATTTAAACCTGTGTGCGATAAGAATTCGAGAAACAAGATTAATTAAATTGAAGTTGAAGAAGTTTATCATAAATATTGACCCCCTGGTCACACAAACAAATTTAAATAGTGTTATTATTGTGAACGATTAGTTTGCTGGTGGTATTTTACATGATTAGTTGTTACTTTATCTAACGTTGTTAATTTAAGAGAAAATTAAGATGGCAACAGGTGGTGGAAAAATTGGTAAGAAAAACTGTTTATTCAGCAAAATATATATTTATTTTTATTAATATATCAAGTTACGACTGCATTTCTTTGATATAGTTCTTTGAGTGACATTATTTTAGTCTACTTTTTGTAAAATCATGCGGTATTTTATAGGTTATATAAGTATAAAAAACAGCTTATAACCTAATATAACGTCTACGATAAAAAATGAACGCATTAAATATATTTCTAATTAAAGTAGGCCAAAAAAGGGATTTAACGTCATCAAAGTACGTCATTGCATCGTTATATTTTTTACTACTGATTGCAAAACATAAACAATTTGTGTAAAATTAAAATTGTAACATGTTTGTTTAAATTATCTCCAACTTAAATGAAGCAACAATTATTTATTAACCAATATCGAAATTACCCAACAAATTACCTCATTCGAAAACTAAAAATAATCCAAAGTATTATTTCGAAATAAAAAAAAATAAATTAAGTTACCGTTGCATTTTTATATAACCAATTATTGTATAATTTATTTTACTATTTCTTTCATTGATATGTTACAGCTTTAATATCAGTATCGAACAAGCTGGGCTTGGTGGATCTAGGCAAGAACCTCCACAGCCTCGGGTTCACTTTAGTAGGAAGCGGTGGTACCGCAGCCATTCTAAGAGATGCTGGTTTACCCATCAAAGACGTCTCCGATATATCCGGAGCTCCTGAGATCCTAGGAGGAAGAGTGAAGACGCTACATCCAGTCGTACACGGAGGAATCCTATCTAGGTATTTCCAGAACCTTTCGAACCTTCGAAAACAACCGACTTCAATCTAATTTCCAGATTAATCCCGTCAGATCAAGATGATCTGAAGAAGCAGAAAATCGAAATGATCAGAATCGTCGTATGCAACTTGTACCCGTTCGTAGAAACCGTTTCCAATCCCAATGTAAACCTCGACGATGCCATCGAAAACATCGATATCGGCGGCGTTACTCTACTAAGAGCAGCCGCCAAGAATCACCAAAGAGTCACCGTCATAACGGACCCCTCTGATTACTCGAAAGTCATACAAGAACTCAAAACCAACCCCAACAAAGACACCCTATTGCAGACCAGGTGATGTTAACTACACTCTACCTAATATCGTTATTTTAATCGATTATTTATAGGCAAACGTTGGCTCTGAAAGCATTCACTCATACAGCAGAGTACGATGCCCATATATCCGATTACTTCCGCAAGCAGTTCTCGAACGGCGTGTCCCAGTTGCAACTGAGGTACGGGATGAATCCTCACCAGAAACCCGCGCAAATTTACACGACGTTAGAACAACTACCGCTGACCGTAGTTAACGGTTCTCCGGGTTTCATTAATTTGTGCGACGCTCTGAACGGCTGGCAATTAGTCAAGGAGCTCAAAGCCGCCCTGGGCCTACCGGCAGCTACGAGTTTCAAGCACGTTTCACCGGCTGGTGCAGCTGTAGGTTATCCTCTAGACGAAACTCAGGTATAAATATATTAGTAACATCTCGTTTATTTTGTGTGTTACATTCGAATCGTTTTCAGGCTAAAGTTTGCATGGTAGACGATCTTTTAGAGCAGTTGTCGCCGCTCGCTGTAGCTTACGCGAGAGCTAGAGGCGCCGATAGGATGTCGTCCTTCGGCGATTTCGTGGCTTTATCGGACGTTTGCGACAAACCTACGGCCCGATTGATATCCAGAGAAGTCTCCGACGGCGTCATCGCGCCCGGTTACACTCCCGAAGCCCTCGAGCTGTTGAAGAAGAAGAAAAACGGGAACTACTGCATCCTGCAAATCGATCCCGCCTACGTGCCGAATCCCATCGAAAGGAAAGTTCTGTTCGGGTTGACTTTGGAGCAGAAACGCAACGATGCCGTAATCGATAAGTCGCTGTTTACGAACGTTGTAACGGAGAACAAGAACCTCCCGGAGGGCGGCGTTAGAGATCTGATTGTGGCTACGATAGCCCTGAAGTACACGCAGAGCAACTCCGTGTGCTACGCCAGGGACGGGCAAGTGATCGGCATCGGCGCCGGGCAACAGTCTCGAATACATTGCACGCGTTTGGCGGGAGAGAAGGCCGACAATTGGTGGCTGAGACAGCACCCCAAAGTGTTGAGCATGAAGTTCAAGAAGAACGTGAAGCGCGCGGAAATATCCAACGCCATCGATAATTACGTTAACGGGACGGTGGGAAAGGATATGGACAGGGCGGCTTTCGAGAAGATGTTCGAAGAGGTGCCTATCGAATTGACGGCCGCCGAGAGGCAAACCTGGCTGAGTAACCTCAACGGAGTGGCGCTCGGATCTGACGCCTTTTTCCCATTCAGAGACAACGTCGATAGAGCTAGATTGGTAAATGAGTTTTTTATTGTTATTGTTCATTCGATTTATTTATTATTGTTTATTTTTAGAGCGGCGTTTCGTATATCGGTAGCCCGTCAGGATCCACGAACGACGAAGAAGTCATTAAAGCTTGCAACGAGCACAAAATCGTACTAGCCCAAACCAATTTACGTTTATTCCATCATTAATTACATGAAATCTTTATTGTTTATAATTAAATTTTCTATATTCTAAATATATTGTTATATTCATACATAAAATATACGATTTATATACTTTCCCTAATTTTTTCACTGAATAAGTTACCACATGTTTACTACATTAGAGGCCACTGTAACAAAAAAAAATCCCTAAAAAAGAAGATTTTAACCTACAAAAGTTGTTTACAATTTACGGTGTATTGTGATTAAATAAAATGGAAAAAGATTACAATTTCGAATCCCTTCGTACGGAATACAATGTAAGGTATTTACAACGAAAATTCAATCGGTATTGACCAATCTATTTCAGGATACGCTCGAGAAATCGTTCAAGACTAAAAATGTTGAGCTGATAGAGCAGAAGGTAAAATCATTGAACAGGTCGGATTTGGATTTGAAGACGCCTTTGGATCAGACTCTTCGGGATATCCTGTTGGGTTTGTTGGAGCAGCAGAGTAATGTAACTGTTTTGAAAGAGTTTGTGGACTTTTCGATAGTCCTATGCAGGAAGGGCTTGAGTTCGCCTACGATGCCCGTTGTGCTTCTCGGAGACATTTTCGAGACGCTTACGTTGGATGTTTGCGAGGATATGTTCACGTTTGTGGGTTAGTTCATTATTAATTTACTTGCAAGGTAATTATTTACACTATTATAACATTTTAGAACAAAACGTTAACGTTTGGAAAGAAGATTTGTTTTTCTCCGGATGCAAAAATAATTTATTGCGCTTGTGCAATGATCTTCTCAGGCGACTTTCTAGGACAACAGCCACGGTATTCTGTGGAAAAATTTTGTTGTTTTTGGCAAAGTTCTTCCCTTTTTCCGAACGTTCAGGCCTGAATATTGTTAGCGAGTTCAATTTAGAGAATATAACGGAATATGGCATGGATCAAATCGAAGACGATTCCTCTGAAATTAAATCCGGTGATAGTAAAAACAGCACTGTTGATTTTACATTCTACTGCAAATTTTGGCAACTGCAGGACTTCTTCAGGAATCCCAATCAATGTTACAATAAAGTTCAATGGAAGCTGTTCAGTTCTGTAAGAGTATTACTCGCGATTGTTTAATTGTTTTTTATGTTAATTATGTTTTTTTTCAGCACGCTATGAGCGTATTAAACACATTTCAAGGCATAAAGTTAGATTACGTGACTTCGACAGAAAACTCTTCGAATTTGGGCTACTTTGCAAAATATCTAACCAGCCAAAAACTCCTCGATTTGCAGTTGCATGATGTGAACTTCCGAAGATCAGTATTGCTACAATTCCTCGTAATATTCCAGTATTTCACATCTACCGTCAAATTTAAATCGTAAGTTACACATTTTCTTGAAAAACTCGATTATTTACTCACTATTTTAGAGAAATGCACGAGTTGAAAACCGATCAAAAAGAATGGATCACCAGCAACACCGAAAAAGTTTACAATCTCCTCAGAGAAACTCCTCCCGATGGCGAAGAATTCGCTCAAATCGTTAAACAGGTGTTGAGCCGCGAGGAATTGTGGAACGCTTGGAAAAACGACAGTTGTCCAGGTACAACTCGATTCAATCAGTAATATTAGTTCATACATACGAGGGTAAAGTGAAAAGTTCTCGACCTGAATCATTTAATACTGTCTAGAATGCTCCAGAGTTATTTAGAACTGTCTAGAACCATTTAGAACGCTTCAGAATCATTTACAACTGCCTAAAACCATTTAAAATGCTTCAGAACCATTTAGAACCCTCCATAGTCGTATAGAACTGTCTAGAACCATGTAGAACTATTTAGAACGCTCCAGAATCAATTAGAACTGTCTTGAACCAAAGATTTCAACTTAATAAGTAGAATACTTTTCACCTTACTCTTATATTGGTTGTTTTAGAAATAAAAAAGACTCTACCTCAACAAAGCGAACAACAGGAAAAAAGAACCAATCCCGAGCGACCTCTACTCGGAGACATCATTAAAGAAGCCAACGATCAAGGGAAATACTACATAGGCAGCGGCGAATTAACCAAATTGTGGAACCAGTGCCCCAACAATCTAGAAGCCTGCAAAGGAAGAAACTTCCTGCCGACTTTAGAGGAATACTTTGCGGACGCCATACACACCATCGAAACCAATCAAAAAGTAGAGGATAGCTCGCTGAAAGACAGCAACTTCGGCTGGAGGGCGCTGAGACTGTTGGCGAGGCGCAGCCCGCACTTTTTCAACTACAACAACACCATTATCAACCCGCTGTCGGCCTACTTGGAGATGATGGTGCGGAAGATAGCGCACGAGAAGCCGGGCAAAGAGACCCCGCAGGAGGCCCAAAACGACAACGAGCTGGACAACCTCATCACCGAGACCGATCAAACCACGGAAGATCTCAAACCCACCGACCAGGAAGAGTTTATGGACGATACGAACGTTCGACACGATCATAAAAATATCACGTACGAACAAGTACTGATGTTTAGTGAGAAAATCGCGCCGGAGTGGCGGAAACTGGCCGTTAAATTAGGTATGTAATGTTAATATTATAGTTTTTTGTTTTAATCCGACGTGGTTTGTAGGATTCAAACAAGACGAGATAGATTTTTTCACGAACGAGAATCCCACTCCGCCGGAACAGGCGCGAAATTTGCTACAAATTTGGATCGAGGACGACGAGGACGCGACGTTAGACAATTTGTTGTACATACTCGAAGGGTTAGAAATGAGCGAAGCCGCAGAAACCGTAAGAGCGGAACTTACAGCGACTCCCATGGAGGTTTCATAAAGTTTCCTTGTAAGATTCTTTAAATTAGGGTTTATTATTATTTTTTTAGTACATTTTGTACGTCTCGGAGTTTAGTTAAAAAAGAAACAGTTCTTATGTAAAAAAATTGTTTATTTAAAACATAGTTGACTAGAAAAATTTAAGTTGACACGTTTGATAATTACAAATTAACTAAAATGCGTGCTTCTATTTACAATTATTCACTGTAAATGGAATCGAAAAATGTAGGATTTATCCATAAATCCTATTAATTGTAAAATGGAAGCTTTAATTGGCTAAATACAACAGCTTTAAATATCAATACAACAATCACAATACATTCACACTACATAAATACAATAATAAACTCGGAAAATACTCCCGAATTTCGAATCAACATTCGACTAAATCATCTATAAATTACAAAATATATTTTTATAGAAAGATCAAATAAATACAACTTTACCGAACACATTGACGAATAAATAAATACGTTATTGCAACGCTTGTAGGGACGGTATTATTTTATCCAGTTCCTGTTTATAACTGATCAGTTGTTGTTGCCTTTCCGAGCACTGTTCGCAATTTCTGTTATCCACATTTTTCTGCGCCAAATTTTGAATCATCGCTCGCAAACGGCACTCTCGATCAATGTACTGCTTCTCCAAATAACCAATCTACAAGGTAAAATTAATGATTTTGAATACATTACAGTTAAAAACTTATTATTACCTTCTGTATTATCGATTTATTGCCTTCGGCGTCTGCGGAATTGTCCAATTTATTGCCCAATTGATCCCTTTCGATCCTAAGCAGAGCCAATTCTTCTTTGGTCGAAGCCAATTGGGACTGTAGAGTAGTAATGGACGTTTTGTGAATGTCCAATTGTTCCCGTAAGGGCGAAATGCCCGCAACGTAATTGGCCATTTCTTGTTCGTGTGCTTCTTGTAACGCTGTTAACTGATAAGCAAACATGTATTAGACCGCTTGTACTGAGCGTGAATAATTCTATAACTTACATCTTGTATTCTCCTTTCTTGCAAATTATGATAATCGTCTTGTAATTTATTCAATTGCAATTTTAGATTATCCCGGTCGCTTCGTAAATTGGCGAGTTTCTCTTCTTTCTGGAAATCCTTCTCGGAACTGCAGCTGTTTGATCGCACTTGCAGCGATAGTTTATCGGGAAAGCTTTTCCACTCTTTTTTATCTACTAGATTTTTGAGGCTGCCTTCTCTTTCTTTCTGTAACTTCCTGTTGGTCTTTTTCAAATCGTCTATTTCTTTGTGGAGCTTGTTGATGGTTTTTTCCTTGTTGGAGAGATCGGTTTGAAGGCCTCGAATGGTGGCTATCAAATGAATATCTTCCGGTTTCTCGTGCTTCTTCGGCGCCGCGATTTTGTGGGTTTTCGATGGAACCGGGGGATCAGTTTGTGTAAAAATGGTAAAAGTTTCCTTCTGCGGTATCGTCTTATCATCCGTGACGGTTTGCGTGTACACATCGAAAGTATCGACCCTTCTTTTCAGCTGCTGCTTCAGATCTTTCACGTGCAGTTCCAAGTCTTCGATGTGATTTTCGTACTTCGCCTTGACTTGGCCGAATTTCTCCTGTATGTCCATGAAGACTTTGGAAGATTGGGTTTCTCTCAGCTGCTGCTCCTGCTCGAGGGATTTGATTCTGTCCTCCAAGATTTTCCTGGCTGTTAGACTGGTGTCAGTAGTATTCTCTTTTGCGGCTACGATCAGAGCCGATACGGAATCCGGATGTTTCCTGGCTATAATCCTTTCCATCTCTTTGATTTGCCTGTTGAGGTCCTGTATGCATTTGGAGTCCTTCTCGTTTTGCACTTTCACGTTCTTGTTTTGCTGTTTTTCCATCTCGAGCAATTTGTGGAGGTTTGCTTCGTTTTCGATTAGTTTGTCTTTGAGCTGTTGCAGAGTGAGAATCTCGTTTTTGTATTTGTCCAAACTGGAATCCAGTTCTATGACGCGCCGCTCTAAATTCTTGTTCGATTGAAGTAGATCATCGTACGAGGATTTTAACAGCTGGTGGCTTTTGTTGACCGTGTCTAATTGGAGTTGCAAGGACGTGTTTTTTTCTCTCGAATCCTTCAAATCCTCCAGGACTCGTTCTAATTTTTGGTTTGTTTGTAAAGAAGTGGCTTTGGACGAGACAGCTTTCGTTTTTTCTAATGTAATTTGGGACTTTTGTAGTTCGAGCTGTAATTGTTACAATTTTTATTAGTGAGTAGAAATAGTGCAAATACTTACTTTAATTTGTTGCAGTTCTAGTTTTAAATCTTCGTTAGTTTTGACCAAATTTTCCACCAAAGTTTGTTTCATTTCGATTTCTTGATTTTCTTCTAGTTGTTCGTATTGTGGAGTAATTGGTTTACGTGCATTGTTTTCCAAACTGCATAATTCTGATTGGCTTTTCACCAGACCTTTAGAAGGACTCGTTACACTGTTTATAATATTAAGTGATTGTGATTTCGATAAATTTAAAACGCTTTGATTAGAAATATCGTTTCTGCTACTTTTTTTGGTATCGATATTCTCTTTATTGTCAAACTGGATTATATTATCTTCTTTATTATTAATTAAATCTACCGGTTTGAAAATTATATTACTAGGAGATTCGATTTTGCTTTCTTCGGAGAAATCCTCAGTGTAATCATCATCGGACATGCTTAAATCTTGTGGGATAGGATCCATTGGTAAAGGGCTTACGCTTTTGGGAGTGGGCGTGGAATCTCTGGATAGGTTTGATAACAATTCGGACAAATTCTGTGAGGTTTTGCTCCGTTGGCTCAACTGTTCGAAGCTCTTCGAGCTCTCGTAGTAAATCTTCTCCGCTTCTTTCATCAAATCATCGACACTCCTGTCGCCTAATGACTTTTCGTACGGTCCAAGAGGGCTTTGAGCCGCCACTCTGTTTATCTCCTCGATAATGCTACCTATGTCTACATTGGCATCTAAGTTACTATTATTATCTTCTATTTCCGATACTGATGAGGTAGAATTCAGATCTAGTTTGTGATTTGTGCTGTCTTCTTTGTTGAGGACATTCCCAGGCTTCAGCCACCAGAACGTTTTGTTATTTACTTCCATGCTAATATCGATTAAGGGTGTTGAAATTAATCACTGTGTATTATCGAATTAACACTTTTGACTATAAATAACAACAAACAAATCCGCCTTTTAAATGTTTGACATTACGTATAATTCTTCTTATTAAAAGGATAAAGGACGTCGTACATAGTGTTAAATAGCCACTATGAAATTTGTTACTAACTTCCGATCAAACATCCGATCCTCTTAGTTTACGTTTCGTGTTATTAATTTTTGTTCTGTAATATCTGTCAATTTCGTAGACATCTGTTGGAAGGATAGTAAATTACTTGTATTTTTACAGGTTCCTGTAAAAATTAATTCAATTTCAAAAATTTGTGTATTTTTTAAATAGCCAAAAGGAAACGAATTAATTTTTTTTTGATTTTCCTATATGGTGAATCATTCTGGTCACAAAACTAAAACTTACATGTATTCGGTTTAACCGGTTTATACAATTATTAAAATAAATGCAGATTTTCCAACGAACAAAAATTTTAGAACATTTATTCTGAAGAAAAAAAAAAGACATTATTTATATCTCCTTTTAATACAAAAGGGCATAAAATCAGTAATAAAACCGGAAAAAATGGCTCGTTTGGTCATTAAAAAAAACGAAAGTTGAAGAGAAATATTTCCAGATGATAACATATTATAATCATCGAAGGGTTAATAACATCACCATGCACATATTAGATGTTGTAACTTGTTTTTCGAAGAAACACTGTCGTGATGAAATTAATAATCAACAAAAGTAACCATTAATCTCTCCAATAATGTAACTACACCTCATTAATAAGATAAAGAGACCCCTCAAATGTACCTTATCGACGTTTATCGGCAAATGGAAATATTTTCAAAATAAACAAACTTTCGAAAAAAAGCGACGGACTCCAAAAAAGGCCTCCAAAAATCACTATTCCATCGCAAATTCCTACAATTTCTTCCCCAAATTTAATTCATACACAAAAATTGAACAAAACCACTAAAAAATCTCCACTAACAACAACAAAATAACACCATTTTAAATTTATTTTAACCACACCAAACTCCTGCTCTGGTTTCCCAACCGCTATAAATACCCCTCTCGCATCAGCCGTCGATACCATTCAACCAAGATGAAGTTCCAGCTAGTGCTCGTGCTATCTTTGGCCGCCCTCGCCTGCGCCGTCCCGACGACCCCCTCTCCGGTAAACGGGCCCGAGAAGCGCGTCACCATCGACGAGGACGGCACCATCACCGTCCTCAGCGGCTCCGGCAAGAAGATCGTCATCTCCAAAGCCATCGGCCACCCGGGCCCCAAGGACATCGAAATCTCCGTCGACGGGCCCTTCGGCCCCGTGAAGAGGATCCAGGTGGACGGGGCGACCTCCGAGAGAACCGTCGACTTGTTCGACGTGCCCGCCAAGCACACGGAGGAAGACAGGGAAAAAAGGAGCAGCAAGGAGTCCAAGGATAAGAAGAACAAGAAGCCCCAGACGGAGGTGCTGTCGCAGATCTTCAAGGAGTTCGAAGGGGTTGTGGATGAGGCTTCTTACGAGAATTTGCTGGGTAAAATTAACAGCGCTGTGCAAGCCGGAGAATTGAACCCCGCTGTATACGAGGTGTTGCAAAGTTTGAACCATTACAAGTACGCTGAAAGGTACGGAAACGTGGTACCCTTTATGGTAAGAGGCTACCCGTACGGTAACCAATACGCTACTCCCCAACAACAAGGGTAAGTTACTTTTAATACTTACGAGTCTTTAATAACCGATTATAATTTATTTAGACAATACCAAGGAGTAGGAGTACCTCGTCTTCCTTTCGTCCAGCAGTACTTCGGGGCACGAGAACAATTCCAACAGGGTAAAGAATCGCAATATCCTCAGCAATACTACCAGAAATCACAGCAATACTACCAGAAACCCCAGCAATACTACCAACAACCCGAGCAGTACTACCAGCAATCCCAGCAGTACTACCCGCAACCCCAGCAATACTACCAACAACCCCAGCAGTACTACCAACAGTCTCAGCAGTACTACCAACAACCAGAACAGACTGCTTTTAGCCCACGTTGGACACAGTGGAGATCTCTTGTAGAGCCGTCTGTTAACCCCATGCATTATTTTTAAATAAAGTTTGGTAATGGTTGTTCTATTGTTGAAATCTAATAAATTGTTTTTAATTAAACCATTCGCTTTGTACTCGTTCGGTTGTGCACACAATATTAACCCGAAATAATAAAGGTTTATATCAACAATAAAGACTAAGTAAAAAGTATTATTCAACTAATTCGAAACTACCATCATCGTGATCATCATCATCGCCAAAAGCAAGAGGTAAAGGCCCATTCGTCACGAGCAATCCTCTTTCCCACAAATCGGAAACTAACTGCGCTTTGGCAACGCCGTCTTCTATCGGTAAATCCTCCACTTCTATGTAATTGGGGTACATTCTTTGCAGCTTTTTTATGCAAGGCACCAAACCGAGATCGATACTTAGGAATTGCTCTTCTTCTCCGTGGTAATATTTAGCGTTCTCCGTGCTGTAGTATATTTTAGCGGAATCGCCATCGACTACTAAACGTAGGCAATAGAATCTCACTAGTCTTATTTGAGTGTCCATTCCGATTTCAATTCTACAATAAGCGATTATTATTTTAACAAAAGTAATTTAAAATTGTAGTAAATTGTACCTATTAACGATTTTCCCATCTTGCATGAAATCACCGTCGTATTTAGAAGTAAAATTGGCCTCTTCTGTAGATAGAAACGGAGGCATCGAGTCGTACATGAGCCTACGACCTAGCGCGTCGGCAGCCAAATCGACATTTACGTACTCTTTCAAAGTATCGATGAGCTTGTTAACATTTTCAATTAAACTCTTTCGCTTTTCAGATTTTAATCCCCTGTTTACGAATCCCGAATACTTCAGGTAGTTAAGTGGAAGACCTTTCCTGTAACAAATTTTATATCAAACTTTAATCGTACACCTGGTAATGAAATCTTACCTAAATTCTACGTTATTCAAAGACGCCTCTTGTAAAGCCTTCGGCAGGATATGTTCAAGTAAATCCGCGTAAGAATTTCGTTGATAAACCGACACCGTGATGTGTAACGAGTGAGCCTCCGAGTCAGTCCGAGCCTCGTGAATGGTGCCCCTGGGAAAATACAACAAATCACCCGCATTCAACGTAGCCTCCATAAACGGCTCCCCTATATCCTCGTGCTTCAAATTAGCGCTCGAATCCCTAGCTAAAACATCACTGCCCCTAAAAACACATTCGATTACTTTAAGTTAATGAATTATTATCACAAACATACTTAGGTTTGTACAATTTCCAATGCTTCCTGCCTTCCAGCTGCAACACGAAGGCTTCTATGTCATCGTAATGGGGAGCGAAGCCCTGGCTGCCGGCCGGCGTGAGGTACACATTCACTCCCACCATGCTGCCGAAGTATTCCTGCAGCGCCGTTATCAAATAATGCACCTTTTGCACATACGTCTGCGGATTGAGTATCCTGATGCTGCAGCCGTTCGAATAGTAATCGTACAGGGCCGAAGCCACGACCCTACCTTCCTCGTTGTGTACCTCCTTGACGCCGTTCTCGTAGGAGACTACGTCTACGTTGCGGGTGTAGTACAAGGGGTGCTCTCTGAACACGCTGTCCAGTCGTTCGGTGGTTAGAATGCATTTGTAGTAGTCGCCGGAGTTTCTTTGTTGGTGGAAGGCCTCGGTTTCCCAGTACTTTTCGAGGAACTCCTTCGGCTTTAATGGGGCTATTAGCCATTTGAATAGCTTTAGGACTTCAGGAGTGGGATCGATTTGGTTCGAGTTCGATGCTGGCTCGGATAAATCGCTGTTTGTTTCGATAGGGATTAGAGTAGGAGCGATTTCTTCATTGCTTATTTTCTTTTTAGTTTTTAAATCGTTCAAGTTGCTTTTTCCCTTCTGCTTTTTTGCAAGACTCTTCTTCGTTACAGGTTTATTAGTTTCGTGAGTTTTGTATGAGGTTTTTGTGGATTTCGATTTCTTTTTGATTAAAATACTTTCCGCATTATTACTAAGTTTCGTTTTGTGCTTCTTTTCTTTTTTTATTGGTAGTTCATTGGGGGAAAGTAAAGTTTCCTTATTCTTTCGTTTCTTGCTACCTGTTACTTTGTAAACTGAAAACGCTGATACTGGGGTATGACCATTACTTAACGCCATGTTGATACTAAAATATTTTACAAACTTTATAGCTAAATAACTTAAAAAACGATAATAATTACCTCTAAATGTAGCGAAACAGAGAAAATGTACTGTTGAAAAAACAAAAATCAAAACACACGGTTTTTCTATCATAACCTTATTCTTCTTTTTTATTTACTTTTAACAGGTGCCGGTGGGTCTTTGATTTACATGTAAAATGTAAAACTTGATTTTGTCGAATAAGTGTTACCAACAAAAAATTTATTAGTGACAATCGCTGATCTGTCAACCTTCTCACATCTCATTTATACGTCATATGTCACATTAAGATGGCAGAGGATGAGGTAAATTTTATTCACGTGGATAAATATCACAATATTTTTAATAAAAACTCTGCCTAATCGCCGAATAATCGATTTTGTTTTATTGCAGTTAGCCGTAGCTTTGAAAGATATCCACTACCGACTGCAAACTGCCAGCTTGAAGGAAAGAAAACGAGCCATTGAAAATGTGATACAGGTTTTAAATAAACCCGGTACGAAATTTCAGCGTGAATTTGAATGTGTACTCATGTCTTAAACTTCTGGCGAATTTCAGGTTTCAATGAGAGTATCGTGAAAGGTGTTTGTAGAGTTTTACCCTTGACCCTGCAAAGATACAGCGATAGTTTTTCACAACATCTCGTCAGGAATTTAATTGCACAATTGATCCAGGAACATCCCGAAGCGACCATAAAATGTTTAACGAACGTTTTGAAAGAGGTAGCTTTGCAATACAAAAATATCGTCATCACGTAAGTCCTTTAAATTCGATGAAATTCGAGTTTTTCATTCATGATTGCCCTTTTAGAAACAATACAAGCAAGAGTGCCCTGTTCGCTTTGGGTTGTTCGACCATATTATTCGTAAAAGGATGGAAACACGATTCGTCCACAACCAGCAATCAATTGAAAGATATCGTAGAACTGCAATCCTATTTGGTAACATCAGTTTTAGGAGCTAGTAATACAAAAAGAAGGGCAAAAGCCGCATCATTGGTAATTTATTGCCCGTAAAATTGGTAACACTTTTCACAAGAATTTATTTCCAGATGGATAAATCCCTGTCGGATGTTCCAGACAGTGAGAAAATGTACTTGGACATAATCAAGAATCTTGAACAAACGGAGCACACTATCGTTCTAGCTTCATTAATCGTAGAAAGGCTATCAAAGAATAAAATTGACTTGCTAAATTTGTATATTGTAAGCATATTATACATTCCAAATTTCTACTATTCACAATGAATTTTGATTTCAGGATCAATTGGTAGATACTTTTATTAAAAAATTCATCAGTTGCAAAGTTAGACCTTCCCCAAACATTGTACTGGCCTGCTATCCCCTTCTGAGGCAAATTAATCAGGACATTTTCGGTAAAACTGTCGTTCCAGCATTACAAAAAGCGATGCTTAGAAACCCCGAGGTGATCTTGGAATGCGTAGGATTGGTGATATCTGGCGTTAATTTGGACATCAGCTCTACGATTGGAGAAATAGGAAATATTCTAATAGGTACAAATTTTCTAAATCGAGTATCAACTTGGTAACATCGCCTATTAGTTCACCAAGAATTTCAGCTGGTAAAAGGGGCTGTTACTGTGAGCAGTGTTGCCAGATTTTTAAAAAATCCCACGAGTTACGGTATTCGTTTTTTTACAGCAAATTTACATTCCAAAGATGATAAAGCGCGCGCGGACGCGAGCGACGCCTGCAAACGTTTAGCCGAAAAAATTAGCAATCGCAAAGCGATAGAAGAACTGATCAAAAAAACCTTTGCCGTGTTACACGGTTCCTCAGGCAAATTGACTGTCGTCGAGCACAAGATAAGCGTTTTACTCGGAGCCGGTGAGTAAATTCTCTGCGATAACTCTCGAATATTATGCGTCATTTAATTTTATTCAGGGAATCTGAGCCATAACGCCGCGAGCGGTGAGGATTTACAAGCGCTGATCGTAGTGGCTGCGGAGCATTTCGGTAAAGTCTTAGAAACCGAAGTGCACGAGAAAACTCTCAGTCACACGCTCGATATGCTATCATTGTGGCTCTCGAAATTAACCCAAGAAGTACCCAAGAAAGTCGTAGACATGCTTAAAGTGAGTAACAACTAAATAGAAATATCCTACAATAATTAATCCCGTTTACAGAACGGTATTTGCTTGAAAACGTCCACTCCGGCCGTTAGAATATCGTACATCCAGTGCATGATATCCACGTTCAATTCGAAAACCATCTCGCAAGCGTCCCCCTTCGTTCCGATTCTATCGAAATCGATCGAAAAGGCCGTGGCCCAGCCGGCGGTGGCCCCATCGGTGACCGAAGGCCTGTGCGCCGCTTTGCTGCTGCTGAAATTCGCCAGCGCCCAACAGGACAAGGACAATCAATTCCAAAACGTTTGGAACGCCGTGCTCGACATGGACAAGCAAATTTTCTACTCCGATAAATATTTAACCGCGATCTCCGACAACGGTGAGCTTTTCGTGAAGTGAATTGGGCTCGTATTAACTGTTAAATTGCGCTTTTAGGTTGCGTGTACTTGATGCAGCTGTGCGAGCTGCTGGTCGTGCAATATCCGGAGAAATTGACGAGACCGGAGCCGGTGTACCGGGCCATATTGTACTGCTCGACGATCCATTTGAGCAACATGCGGCGCAAGTGCCTGGCGGTGCTCAAGCGGATAGTGGCGAGTTTGAGCGGCGTCGCCGTCGCGAGGGCTCTGTTCAAAGAGTTGAACAAATTCTTGGAGACGAACCGGATTCAATCGAGGGACGATAAGGATGATAGCAACAACAGCTTAACCTCTCATTCGGTGACGGAGTGCATAACGACGTTGTTTTCCGTATCCGGGGCTCCCGTCGAAGACATCCAATTGTTAGCCGTGGATTCGTTGTTGCCCGCTCATCATCCGGCCGTCGTGGCACTCGTACCGAATTTGTGGTTGAAAGTAATCAAGCACTTCAACATCAAACCGAAGGATTTGGTCGCTCGACAAGCGGCTAAATTTAACGAGTTGCTGATCGACAATTACACCGATAAGGAAACGTACGAAAACTCATTGGCGACGCTCGTTTCGATCAACGGAGACGTGGTGTTGCCCGAAGTAATCAAAACGGTACTGAAGCAATTGGAGGATCCGAAGATATGCCAAATTTCCAAAGACGATTACTTCACGTTTCTCACGCCCGAAGGCGAATTGTACGACAAAAGCGTCATTCCAGGCGACGATAGCAACGCCGAAATGAATTTAAAACGAGAGAGCAAAGCGTACAGCTACAAAGAACAAGTCGAAGAATTGCAACTTCGAAGGGAACTGGAAGAAAAGCGGATAAAAGAAGGGAAAATCAAACCGCCAAAACTCACCGTCAAACAACAAGAAGCGATCAAAAACCAAACCGTAAAGGAACAGGCCATCAGATCCCGACTAGCCGAATTAAACACGACCATTTTAAACTCCATATCAATGGTGAAAGCGACCGCCAAAGGTAACCCCCTCCACCTATCGCTGCACTTCAAAGACCTCCTCCCGTCGCTCCTGCAAAACCTCCAATCCCCCCTAGCCGCTCCGCACGTGTGCAAGCTATTCACCGCCCTCCGAACGGTCGTCTTCCGCGACGAGCTCGACTCGCTGGGCGAGCTCGTCGCCTTCGTCACGCTGCGGCTGGTCAAGCCGCATTGCGACCTCGACCCGAACTGGGAGCCGGAGAACCTCAACAAAGCCATGGCGCGCACCGTCGCCTTGATCCACCAAAAGACCGTCGCCAAGAAGGCGGAGGAGGGCGCGCGCCGCCTCACCGTGCCCGCCTTCTGCTACGCCTTTCCCTTTTTGAAGCACAGCCTGACGTCGAACTACGCGAGAAACCACGACGAGCTCGTCCACGACGGTTTGCAGATTATCAACGAGCACGCCAAGCTGAGAGGATCCGAAGATAACGGCGTTAAAGACGTGTACCATCCGAAATATTTACCCGCTAAACAGATTCTGAGTTTGCTAGTGGATATCATCAACGCCACGACGGGTAGGATACAATCGCAATGCGAGGCTTGTTTGTTAGAGGTGGCTACTTGCGTAAGCGGTAACGCCGGTTGCGCCAAAGCTTCGTACAGCGAAATCGACGTGTTGCTAGGCGCTTTACAAAGCCCGGCGGCCGTTGTGAGAGACGCAGCGCTTCGCAGCCTCGACATCATAGCGAATTGTCTACCGACGATATACACCGATTGCGATTACGCCATGGAAGTGTACAAGCGCGTGTGGATAGCCCGGTTCGACGAGAACGAGGAGAACCGCCAGATGGCGCGCCAGTTGTGGGACAAAGCCGAGATGGAACTCCCGGCCGGCGAGGAGCTCCTGATGGAAATCGAGCATCCCGTCGAAGTTGTACAATCGGCGGCCGCTAAATCGTTAGCGGCGCTGCTGGAGGCGACGCGCGACGATTGCGACGTGGAGGCCATCCTGCGGCGGCTCGTCCGGCTCTACAACGACCGATTGAAGATGATACCGGCGCGCGTCGACGAGTTCGGCCGCGAGATCGAGAAGTCGATCGACACGTGGGGGCCGCGACGCGGCGTCGCCGCCGCCCTCGCCGAGCTGGCGCCGTTGCTCACCGACGCGTCCATAGCGAGTTTGATCGAGTTCTTCGTGGCGCGGTCGCTGGGCGATCGCAACGAGACGGTCAGGAAGGAGATGCTGAACGCGGCGCTGCGCGTCGTCGATTTGCACGGCAACGAGACCGTCGGCACGCTGTGGCCGGTGTTCGACGATTTCATGGGGAAATCGTCGAAGTCGGCGACGTACGATGCGGTCAAACAGGCGGTGGTGATACTGATGGGATCGCTGGCGCGGCATTTGGACAAGGACGACGAACGGATCAAGCCGATCGTGTTGCGATTGATACAGGCGTTGTCGACGCCGTCGCAGACGGTGCAGGAGGCCGTGGCGAATTGCCTGCCGCCGTTGATACCGTCCGTCAAAGACGACGCGCCCGGTTACGTTAACAAACTGTTACATCAGCTGTTGAAGGGCGATAAATACGGCGAGAGAAAGGGCGCCGCTTACGGTTTAGCAGGTTTGGTGAAGGGTATGGGCATATTGGCGCTGAAACAACACGACATCATGACGAAATTAACGGATGCTATACAGGATAAGAAGAACTACAAGCACCGAGAAGGCGCGTTGTTCGCTTTCGAGATGCTCTTCCAAATGTTGGGTAAACTATTCGAGCCGTACATTGTGCACGTGTTGCCGCATCTGTTGCAATGCTTCGGCGATTCCAGCCAATACGTCCGTACGGCGGCCGACGATACGGCGAAAGTCGTAATGAGCAAATTGTCCGGACACGGCGTGAAATTGGTGCTACCGTCTCTGCTGGCCGCTTTAGAAGAGGATTCTTGGAGGACCAAAACCGGTTCGGTGGAGTTGCTGGGCGCGATGGCGTATTGCGCGCCGAAACAACTCTCCTCCTGTCTACCCAGCATCGTACCCAAACTGATCGAAGTCCTCAGCGATTCGCACATGAAAGTCCAAGAGGCCGGCGCCGCCGCCCTCAAAGTCATCGGCTCGGTGATCCGCAATCCCGAAATCCAAGCCATCGTACCCGTGCTGCTCAAAGCTTTGCAAGACCCGTCGAACAAAACCTCCGCCTGTCTGCAGACGTTGCTCGACACGCAATTCGTGCACTTCATCGACGCGCCCTCGTTGGCCCTGATAATGCCGGTGGTGCGGCGCGCCTTCATCGATCGCTCGACCGAAACGCGAAAGATGGCCGCCCAAATCATCGGCAACATGTACTCGCTGACCGACCAGAAGGACCTCACGCCCTACCTGCCCACCATCATACCCGGCCTGAAGACGTCGCTGTTGGACCCGGTGCCGGAGGTGCGGTCGGTGAGCGCGCGCGCCCTCGGCGCCATGGTGCGCGGCATGGGCGAGTCGAGCTTCGAGGACCTGCTGCCGTGGCTGATGCAGACGCTCACGTCGGAGACGAGCTCGGTGGACCGGTCGGGCGCTGCCCAGGGCCTGTCCGAGGTGGTCGGCGGGCTCGGCGTCGAGAAGCTGCACAAGCTGATGCCCGACATCATCGGCACCGCCGAACGGACGGACATCGCGCCGCACGTCAAAGACGGCTACATCATGATGTTCATCTACATGCCGGCGGTGTTCACCGACGAATTTACGCCGTACATCGGCCAGATCATCAATCCGATATTGAAGGCGTTGGCCGACGAGAACGAGTACGTTAGAGATACCGCGCTGAAGGCGGGACAGAGGATCGTGACGTTGTACGCGGATTCCGCCATTTTGCTGTTGCTTCCCGAGCTCGAAAAGGGACTGTTCGATGAGAATTGGAGGATCAGATACAGGTATTTAACACTGGTTAATCTCTACATTAGAATTAACTAAAAAAAAACCTTTTTTTCAGTTCCGTCCAACTTCTCGGCGATCTACTCTACAGGATATCCGGCGTGACGGGTAAAATGAGCACGGAAACGGCCAGCGAAGACGACAACTTCGGTACCGAGCAATCGCATTCGGCGATCATCAGAGCGCTGGGAGCGGAACGACGCAACCGAGTGTTGGCCGGGCTCTACATGGGTCGATCGGACGTGGCGTTGATGGTCAGACAAGCGGCTTTGCACGTGTGGAAGGTCGTCGTCACCAACACCCCGAGGACGCTCAGAGAGATCCTTCCGACGTTGTTCGGCCTACTCTTAGGGTACACTCTTAATACATTTATGCCCGGTTGCACCGGTATATCCTAGGTTATATTTTATCTAAGTCTGACTTAAATGTGTGATCTACGATCTACTTAAGATTGGAATATGTTGCACCATGTTCAAAAAAGGCTATTTTATGTACGATCCATTTTAACTTAGATAACAACAGGCAACATAGCTATATTGTTGAAAAACTTATAGAAACAGTATAAAATTGATTTTAGACTTAGGTCTGACTTACGATAAGAATCCATCCGAGGATTGTTTGGTGCAACTGGACATTAGAATCGTTCTCATTAGATCGATGATTGATTTCTCTACGATCGCTTTAGGTGCTTGGCCAGCGACAGCTACGATAAACGCCAGGTGGCGGCGCGAACGCTGGGCGATCTGGTGCGCAAGCTCGGCGAGCGCGTCCTGCCCGAGATCATACCGATCTTGGAGCGCGGCCTGCAATCCGACCGGTCCGATCAACGGCAGGGCGTCTGCATCGGCCTGTCGGAGATCATGGCGTCGACGTCCAAGGAGATGGTGTTGACGTTCGTCAATTCGCTGGTGCCCACCGTGCGGAAGGCGCTCTGCGATCCGTTGCCGGAGGTGCGCCAGGCGGCGGCGAAGACCTTCGACAGTCTGCACTTCACCGTCGGCTCGAGGGCCTTGGACGACATTCTGCCGGCGCTGTTGAACCAACTGGTACGTTACACGGGTGTCGGTACGTCGCGTTATTGTTGTGTATTTTTGATTAATTTTAGAACGACGACGATCCGAACGTGGTGGAATGGACGTTGGACGGTTTGAGACAAGTGATGGCGATCAAGTCGCGCGTCGTCTTGCCTTATTTAGTGCCTCAATTGACAGCGCCGCCGGCCAATACGAAGGCGCTCGCCATTTTGGCGTCGGTGGCCGGCGAGGCCTTGAACAAGTACCTACCCAGGATACTGCCGGCCTTGCAAACGGCCCTAGCCGCTTCCAGGAACACTCCCGACGAATCGCAGGTGAGATATAAACGTCCTAACGCAGTTTACTTGCATCTGCCAGTATTATTGTGTTGTTGCAGCAAATGGAGTACTGCCAGGCGGTGGTGTTGTCGGTGGCCGACGAGGTGGGCATTCGAACGGTGATAGATACGATGTTGGAGAATTCGCGGAACGAGAACGCCGATCAAAGGCGGGCGGCCGCCACGTTGTTGTGCGGTTTCTGCGCCAATTCCAAGGCCCAGTACGTCGCGCACGTGCCCCAATTGCTCAGGGGACTCATCCATTTGTGCACCGATTCGGACAAGGAGGTCCTGCAGATGTCTTGGGAAGCCCTAAACGCCGTCACCAAGGTACGCTTATATTAAATACAATTTCCATCGATTTACTCTAATTTTTTTCTAATCGACAGACGTTAGAACCGAAGCAACAGGCGACGTACGTATCGGACGTACGTCAGGCCGTGCGTTACGCCATGTCGGACATGAAAGGATCGTCCGATTTGCTGCCAGGTTTTTGCCTGCCGAAGGGCATCGCGCCGATACTGCCCATATTCAGAGAGGCGATTCTGAACGGCGACGGCGACGAGAAGGAGACCGCCGCCCAAGGTTTGGGCGAGGTGATCAGGGTGACGAGCGCCCCGGCGCTCCAGCCGAGCGTCGTCGCCATAACGGGGCCGTTGATTCGAATATTGGGCGATAGGTTCAGCGCCAACGTCAAGACGGCCGTGTTGGAAGCGCTGGCTATTTTATTGGCTAAGGTAGGCGATCGATTGGTTGTCGATATTTGGTTCTAATCGATTGCGTGTTTTTATTTTTTTAGGTGGGAATTATGCTGAAGCAGTTCTTGCCGCAACTTCAGACGACGTTCGTGAAAGCTCTGAACGATCCTAATCGATCGGTGCGCTTGAAATCGGCCGCCGCTCTCGGTCGCCTCATCGTGATCCATCAAAGGGCCGATCCTTTGTTCACCGAGTTGCACAACACTATTAAAAACACCGAAGATATAGCCATTAAGTAAGTTAGGTTCGGACTGAATAACCGTGTTGCGAGTGTTGCCAACTTAAATTCAAATCGCTCCTCCTAGTTCTTAAATAGAGTATAACTCAAGGTTTTAATTGTTGTAGAGAAACGACTTTGCACGCTTTGCGAGGCATCCTGACGCCGGCCGGCGATAAGATGTCGGATCCCGTGAAAAAGCAAATTCACGCAACGTTAATCAGCTTGCTCGGAGCGCCCGAAGATACGGTTAGAAAATGCGCGGCCGGCTGTTTGGGCGCCATCTGCCGGTACCTAACGCCCGAGCAATTGGATGCCACTTTGACAGAGTATATTTTATGTAAGCACCACGAAATATCTTTCGAATATTCGTTTACATCGATCGTTCATTTTAAGGTGACGATAATTCGTTGAGTAACGCGATGAGAGAGGCTAGAGGCTCGGCCTTGACGGTGGCGCTTAAGGAGAATTCCGAATGCCTGTGGCAGGAGCAACACAGACAGAAATTGACGCAAACGTTGCTGAGCCAATTATCCTCGCAGTCGGTTCAATTAACCCAAATCGCCATACGTTCGTGCTGTTATTTGTTGCAGTATCTACTGAATAACGAACTGCCCATACCGAATAACCTATTAGTACCGTTCGTTAGGGTAAATATGTCGCTCGAAACGAAAGTTTATCGTGTTTAATTGATGTAATTAACTTAATCCCTCCAGACTATGAACAACAACAGCAACGACGTGAAGCAACTGTTGGCGAGAGTGTCTTTCTATTTGGCCAAAGTTATACCGGAGGAGAATCTATCGACGGATCTACTGAAACTTTTGCTGCCGACTTTAGTGAATGGAACGAAGGAGAAGAACGTTTACGTGAAGGCGAATTCCGAAATAGCGCTGATAGCCGTTTTGAGATTGAAAGACGGCGATAACATGTTTCAGGTAAAGGAAAAACACCAATACAGTTGGTGCAAAACAAATATCAATGCACGTCACCTATGATTTACTATGTCGCAAGTAGGCAATGTTGCCAAACTTTTATACAGTTTACAAAATCTAAGAATTTTCTAAAATTGTCAAATGGCAAAGTGACAAGAACAAATTGAAAATTAGGGGTACCTGTTTCAAGGGGTACCTTAAAAGAGTACATAGTGAAATTTCTGAGAAAACATCTGAATCTGAATTATGTAGAGCCCAAATTGGATCATTTCTAAAATGTGGAAAAGAAAACTACAGAAAAAATTCGTATTATTGATTATTAGGCTGAATAGCCTTTAGTAGTTGAGGCTATTGTTGAAACTAGAAAAAATAAATTAAAAAAATAAAAGTACCGATCGGATGACAGTATTAAGTATTAAGCCTAATCTATTTTGTATATTTATTTTTAAAAGTTGGGCACAAATCTTGGCAAGTATAACTACAGTAGTGATGCATTGATATTTGTTTTGCACCAACTGTAGCTAAATTTCGTCTATACAAAGTTTGGGTTCGTACTAGGTAATAGTTTTGTAATTAATCGGTTTATTTAGAAATGTCTGGGGATTTTGGACGCGGGAGCGAGGGAATCATTGTCAGACGTTGTTAGCAAAGTGTTGAAAAAGATCCTGAGTCAACCGGAGGGCAAAGAAGAGGAACTGGACGATACGTTGCTGACCTGATCGATATGTAACTTTTCGATAAGGGCATCGTTTCAACGCGCCTCACTATCTAACGAGCTGCGTATTTATAAGGATAACGTATTATTTTTTATTCGGTTAATAAATTTTCTTGTTGTATATTTAAAGATTGTGGTGAAAATATTCGACAATTTCTCTTCCCGTTATCGTTAACAACAAACAATCGATCGATTAAAAAGCCCTAATTTATTTGCGTTATACAAATAAGACTCTTTGCGATAATACGCAATGTAAAATTACACATTATCTAGATCTAGGCTATTCCATGTTGAGCCACTTCTTCAACACCTGCACGTAGAATTGCCTGGCGCGTATGATGTAGTTGCTGTCGGCTATATCCGAATTTCTGAGGTCCATGAGATGCGGGCAATCGGGCACCTTGTAACCGATCAGCGGATCGCCGGGCTGCGTGGTTTTGTTGATGTAAACGCCGCCCCAAGAGCCCGGATCCATCTGGCTGTTGCTGAACAATATGTTGCTGTACACGTTCAAGTTGATACCGCCGAAATTGAAGTTGATGAAGTCGTCGCGCGGGCTCACGCCGAACACCTTGTAGCAATCGACGGCGTACTGCTCGTAGTTCCAGCGCTTGTTGATGAACATGTCCTTGTCGGTGGAGCAGCGCGGCATGACGAGCTCGGTGCAGGTCTGGTACTTCCAGGCGACCTCGTTGTAGTCCTCCTGGTAGAAGAAGATGTTGTTGCAGGCGACGGCGCCGGTGTAGTTGGTGAACACCTCCAACGCCTTGGCGTAGGACTCGACGAAGCTCTTGGTGTCCTTGAAGAGGGCGGTGGTGAGCTTGTCGCAGAATATCTTGACCGGATAGGCAGGCACCGGGTTGTAGTAGGTGGACGGGTAGTGGTAGTTGGTCATCGACATTTTCACGTAGTTGGTCGATAGCCAGTCGAGCAGCACTTGCACATCTTCGTTCGACCTAAGTTTTTTGCATAGTTTCCAAGAAGATGACATGAAATCTAGACCTACAAAAGAAAGATATACATACATTTTATCGAAAAGGATTAGTAGGTATAGAAGAGCGAGATTGCACTAGCCTAATTTCGATTTGCTCAAGTTGTTGATGATATCCCAGCCGAGTTTGATCGCCTTGACGCACTGCTCGCGGCCGTTGTTCATGAATATGGTGGTCACTCTGTCGTAGAAGCCGTCGCAGGCGCCCAGATCGGGCGTGTTGACCAACGGCGCCGAGAAGGTGAGCGCCCCTTTCACCAGGAACGGGTACCTCATGCGCATCCAGCCGGCCAACATGCCGGCGTAGAAGCCGCCGAAGGTGAACACCGGCGGCGTCTCGGCGTCGGTGACGTTGGCCATGAACTGCTGCTTCAGGCTGCGTATGACGAACGCGATGTCGGCCAGCGATTGGGTCACCGTCAGGTAGCGAAGGTTCTCCACCGTCGAGAACGAACCATTCCCTTCGAACGATAAGAGTAATTGAAATTAGGAGGGATTGGAGTGGGCGCGGGCGCGGGCTCACCGAACGGCAACGATTTTCCGTAGTAGCGGTGCTCGATGAAGACCAGGAGGCTCTTGAAGACGGGTGCGATTTCGAAGAGGAAACCGGTGTTTTCGGCGGCGACGGAGATGTCTCGCTCGCCGCCGGTGTAGACGAAAATGGGGCCGTTCTTGACGTACTCCCTGGCGTTGATGAGGTACCGCAAAGGGAAGGTCTTCTTGGTCGGCGTGGCTGAGAAGTGATCGACCGGCACTTCGATGAACTTCGTTTCCAACGAATAGGAAACGGACGAGGCTAGGCTCGCCAGACACGTTACCAGGAACAGCAGCTGGATGGCGATCATCGCTTTCTGCAGTTGTATTGTCGTGAACGTCTCACTCGACTGGCTGATCGGCGCGCCTCTGTATCGTTTTATACGGATTTTCGGGTGTTTTTGTCGAAACGGAGCATTTTTACAATATTTTTCGAATTTCGATGCGGGTTCGTACACATCTTGGAATAACTATTCCATGAAGTGGAATGTGAGAAACGATTTTTCGGTTTTTTTTTCGCTCTCGGTTTTTAATTCCTGTTACATGATTGGTGGAAATGAGAAATATTTAAATAAATCGTTTCGAAATTGTACGAAGTTGTACGCTCACATTTCACTTTAGTCTTACATACAGGATTGTCCAAAAAGTCGCATACAATTTTTTATAAGCAAATTTAAGTGAAAAATAACAGTAGAACTCGAAAGGAATTGTGCTAATGTTGTTCCTAAAATTCCTTTTATAATTATTACTTCATTTATTTTTTTATTTTACCCCAAAATTGAAGTTTCAATAATAAATAGTACATCCGAATCCCAAATCATAAACTTTTGATTAAAAAAATTAATCAAACTGGCATTGATTTAACTTAAAATTTTTCTATTCTTGATTTTATTGCAGGTATGAGATTGTTTAATGTATTGACATTACTTTAATATCACCATCTGTTCTCTAGTTTATTCTCGTTATGCTGTGTTATGGAAATTCTTTCGAAAAATGTTGTTTGGAATTAGGTATTAGTTTGGTATTTTGTGTTGGAATGTATTCTATTTCAAAATTACGGGTTTCATTTCATGTCATGTGTCTAAAAACAGATTATTTTGGCAATTTTAAAAATTCCACGGTTAGTCATGATTTTAAAAATTGGTTGTTATTATATTTTCCGGCAAGTATTGAATTCTCAGTCATTGAATAATTCTATTCCAACATTTTTTAAAATGTTTGATTTGAGGAAACGAAATTCATAAGTTCCTGCTGTCATCTGTCATTATTTATTTTTGAAAAAATAAGATTAAAAATTCTGACAACACATTATTAAAGAATTCACAGTCATAAAATAATACCTATTATTTTAAAATTATTATATTTGTGGTAATTTTGAATATATTTGAATTTTTTTGTAAAGAATTATTGTGATTTGTGCCGAAAACAATGGCTGTCAAACTAAACTCGAATCGAAATATTAACATGGATGGTAAGTTTTTTTTCGAAATTCTTATCGCTAGCCATTTATCTCGCGAAATAATAAGCGGGGAGCGTAAACTAAAAACATACATTTATTCAAATTATTTTTGTACCATTGCAGGTATACCATTTTTCAGACTAAAATAATTCATCGAGATTTTATTTACATTTCACAAAAGGTTTTTACACAACTTTGGTAGGTATCATTTTTGCATTACAAACGAGCAATCTTTTTCAACCAACAAAATTACAAGCATTACTCCATCAACAAAGAAAATTAATTATATTAAATATACAATAATCGGTAATCTCTTTTACAGGACGATTTTATAGTGTCTTGTAAAAATCTTACGATAAAAAAAACCCTCAGTGAAATAAACAATTTCTATGTACATAACAAGCTAAAATTAAAAAAATATTTTACCCTATAGTACACATGTAAGGAGCGGCCGGTGTCCAAACACACCATTTCTATACAATTATTGCGACTCGCCCCCTCATCACTCACGAATCCTCCACGCACATCGACATGAAATAAGTCAAAGCGTGCTTCACGATTATTCTATTATCTTCGATCAAAATCACGTGCACCCCAGACGGTATAACGTCACTTTCGTTGCTAATCTCCTCCACGGGCTCCCCCGTCTCCGTGTTCCAGCACAGCATCCCTTGATCGTAGAAGGTCAACAGTAGCCCGTTCTCGATGCAAACCCCCTTCAATCTGCAACAAAACGAAATATACAGCAATCAATACGCGTACTGTCGATCAGATAGTACCTATCGAAGCCCTCGGGAGGGAAATAATTGGCCAGCTTCTTCCACGAATGGTTGATGCCGTTGATGGCGATCAGGCGCAATTCACCATCGACGCATTGCTGCAGAGCGAACAGGAATCCCTGCAAATTAAAAAGGCATTCGTAAAAAATCGCAGAGAAAAGAGACTAATCGAACACTCACCCGGTCGCATTTCACCCATAATGTAGACAATGGAGTTTTGATATCGTTTAATTCGATTGTTGCGATTATATGGCCGAACTCGATGTTCCACAAAGTGATTTTGTTCTCCCCGCAACCCATTATGAGATCGTCGTAATCTACAAGAGTATCATACAAGATTAGATATATAGGATGTCATGTAATCAGTCAAGGCTCAGAAAAAGACGAAGAATTAACAAACAAATCACCTTCGATATTGTGCAACGATGATACATAGTGCTCGACCGGTTCGATATTGTATATATTTGAAACCGTCTGATAGTCGAGGGCCAATTGGTAGGCGTGAATGAAGGTTTTCTTCTTCTGCGTGGTCTCCTCGTTGGCCGAATGCCAGCTGACGACGATCTTCGGGTACTTGTTCATGACGCAGTACTGCACGTCGTCGGCGAAACCGTTGATGTTCTCCAGTTGCAGCACCTTCTTCTCCAAGCCGTTCTGGCGCCGCTGCCAGTAGTAGAGGGTGACGAAGACGTCGGCCACCGGGCCCTGGCGCATCTCCGATTTGTGTTCTTTCATCCACAGCTCGATGTACACGATGCTGTTGTCCAGGCAAATCACCTTTTCCGTGGAGTCCTTCTGCAGGCACCTGTTGTTTAACGTGATCCTTTGAGTTTGCCCTCTCGGTATCCACATGTTTTGGGCGCCGAGGATGTTACCTTAAAACAGAAAGAGTTTTTCTCTCGATGTATCTTCTTTAAGGGGAACTCACCTAAAGGAGTTTGCATCCAAAACGACACCATAAACTCCTGGCAAACGATGAGATTGTAATTCATGTAATAGGCCTTCAGGACGGCGCCGTTTTCCGGATCAATGCTTATGAAGTGAGACTGTTTCTTCGAGTGTTGCTTGGGGGAACTACGCAAATCCCATTCCTGCGTCATGCTGCAATTCGACGTCAAACTGTGTTTCTGTTTCCTGCCGGTGTCGTGGAATCGCAGGCTCTTGTGCAATGTGTCGGTGCCTTCGTTCGGTTTGTACGGCAGCAACTCGAATTTTGAGTTATTTACAGATTGATCGGGGATTATCTGAAATGAAGAAGTTTTAGAATCGTTTTTTCGCGATTTTATAAAGTACTTTATACCTCGTTGCTGTTTTCGCTGTCGGTGATGGTTTTGCCGATGTAGTCATGGTCTTGTACTGTCGAGTTCGTCGATTCCTCGGAACCTGTGGAACCATCGGATACATTATCGGGTCTTTTGGGTTGATTAGGTGTATGAATATTGACTATTAAGTAAGTATTTCCGTTTAGTATTTGTTCTTTTTGTTTTTGCATATCGATCTCTTGGTATTTGCTTATGCTGGTTTCTTTCGCAGCATCGGATTGCTCGGTGGAAGTGTTGTAGGTTTCGTGTATTTGAATAATATCTTTAGCCTTGGATTTGGTATATTCTAGCAGGTCGTTGGACGTCGAGAATATCCTGCTTTCGATGAGGCATTTTTTGTGTTCTTCGCTGAGTTTATCGAAATCTGCCAAATCCATAATGTGGTCTAGATCGAGCTCGTCTTCTTCTTGCCCTACCGAGATGATTTCGCAGTTGGCACTTTCGGGCTTCTTCGACTTGGCGACGACTTTGGGTAGTCTACTTCGTCTTCGTTCGTTATAAATGAGCCTTTCCATCGGTATGTTAATCAATTTGCCGTTGCTGCGGAGATTTTTCAACTTGGCATTGGATTTCATCTTTTCGATGGCCCTTTGGCGTCTCGAGCGCATCAAAAGCGGTATCTTCTTTTCTCTGCAGATCCTCCTTAGTTTGGGTACGATTGTTTTCATGACATCGTCGAAATCGCTCGGAGATAAATCCCGCGGCGGAAGAGGAAACGTGAAATGATCGGAATCATCGGATTTACTGTCGAATTGTATGTTGAGTTCCTTGAAGGATTTTAGCGTGGAAACTTGATTGATTTCTTTGATTTTCTCTTGGACCTGCTTCTGCTCGACTAGGTTTTTCACTCTGGTCGATCTGCGGTTTTGCAGTATGATGATTTCCTTTTTGTCGGCCGGGTTCATGAGCTGCAAGTATCTGCAGAGTTCTTTTTTCCGGCTCTCAGGGCTGGTCGGGATTTCCTCTAGTTTATCACTGGAATGGCTGCTCTCCGTTCTACAAGAGCTATCCTTTTCCAAATGGGAATTTTGTTTTAGGACGACTTCGTCTTTTAGGTAGTCGATCAAGGAGCTCGATCTGTTGTAAGTCGAATGATAGTAAGATTGAGTGTTTGTGGTTTTATTGAAATCGCATCGAACTAGTATTAAACTTTTGGGATCGGATTCGTTGTTTTTGTTGTAATCCGTGGTCGTGTTGGTGCATTCTTTGTCGTTTTGTCGCATCCAATTGGTGACTTTCTCGATATTGGACAAGGGCGAGCATTTTTTGTCCCAGGAGTGGCTGCCGTTTTGCACGAACTTCGATGAACCCACCGAAATTACGGCGTCTTTATTCTTGCCCGCATTGTAGGTGAATTGGAGAAAATCTGATTTGTGTGCGGCGCTTTTATTCGATATCGTAATCGTGGTATCCATTTGATCGAATCCTTTTCGCATGTCATGCAAACCTCGTTACACCGTAACAACTGGCATTTGCGTTATTTTTGCTTCATTTTGTGTACTCCAGTTAGTTAAAAAAGGTGCAATTTCTTATATTTAATGAGAAATCTAGCGTAAGAAACATTTATGGAAAGTTTAATGTTTACGTTTAATATGTCAAAATAATGTCGAATGTCGATTGTCACTCTGTCACTGTCACTTGTCAGTTCGTCATATATTTTCTAATACGATTATTTTCAAGTAAATTATTTCAATCAAATAAACTTAGTTCTGAATCAATCTACACCATCAATTTACAACGCATGAATAGGCCATAATATTTTTGTAAATTTTCATTATTTGACTTGCACCATACTTGCACGGAGTCAGGAGAATGGATATTGGACTTTCACATGACAGTTATCGAGGTAAAAATGTTTTTTTTTTCATTACCATTAGATAGAAATGCATTAGAAATAATTATTGCAAATTATTGCGAAAGTTTAGAGGGTTTCAGTTAAATGTTTGGTTTTTTTGTCGTAGGAACGATCTATGCTTTCAAATTTATATCCATTTATAACATTTGTAGACAAGTAACGTGAGATACCATTTCAGAAGTTTCCAGACCTTGGTTATGTAAGGCCGTAATTGACATTTGACAACCATTGAGTTTCTTCTATATTAGCGAATAAAAAAAAGAAGAAGTTTGTAGGTTAGTGATTCTTGTCAAATAAATCAACAATTTTTTGGAAATTAATTTAGGGGGTTTGCACACGATTATAAGCCCGACGGACCCTTTAGCATTACCTAGGATGCACCGCGAGGAGGAGAATTCTGGAAAACTGGAAAGTACATCCATAATCCATCTTCCGCAGGTAACGTAAGTTTGTGTCAATATTTGGATTTTACTATTTACCAGGCAATTATAAAATCATAGGTAGAGGGGTTATAATGATTGTGGGAATATTAAGTAATCAAACGGTTTGTTATAGATTCCTCTTTAAATGATACGAAGTATGTGTTGAATCCCACGAAGATGTCCAGACCTATTGATGGAACGTTGTACATCCCCTGTATAGTAGGCCTAAATAACATTAAAGCTAACGATTACTGTAATGCAGTGTTGCAGGTAAGTCGAGTTAATCGAACGAATTTGGTTATTTCTTAATTTAAATGCACAAAATTGCAGGCATTGACTCTTGTTAATCCGCTTCGGAATGACTTCTCGAGAGAAGAAAATTGCAGTAATGTAAAGAGACCTTCCCTCTGCTCCTGCAGAGGTTCGGCGAGCTTATGAGGAAATTGTAGAATCCCAGGAACTTCACAGAGCATGTACGAGTATCAAGAAATTCTCTCCAAGCTGTTGTATCGTGGAGTTAAAAGAGGTTTCAGTTCACTCAGCAGGGTTAGCTAGTTTTATAATGCTTAATTATTGTTATAATTGAGTTATTGTTTGTAGGAGATCCAATAGATTTTTTTGTCTTTGGTTCCTGATTGCCCTTGATTGAGCATTGGATGGTATTAAGAAAAATGACAGTTCAATAATCTACGGAAATTGAGACGGAATCGCCCCTTTTTGTATCTATCTTGCGATCTACGGCCTTCGCCATTTTGTTTATCGATGAATTTCTGAGAGAATAATATATCATTCCTCAGGTATGCATTTCAAAGCGTTATGTTATAATTTGGAGTGTATGTAATAATTTGTGATTTGTATCGACTCTCAACGAAATTCAACGGGCAAACAGAGAAGGAATACAAAACCATAAAACGAAAATTTCATGAAGAAGTGCGAAATAAGTGTATGAATTGAGATCGACACTATGAATTTACTCCTGTAACGTTTTTGTATATTAATATTTTGTCTCTATTTTGTTGCATTTAACGGTAGTGAGTTTATTGTAAGACAATAAAAATATTGTTGAAAGTGTTTTGTTTCAAATATTTTGAAATCACCAATTCCAGCCAGTTTTCATGTAATTAGCAATTAAAAAATGCAGTAGTTTGGTTAATTTTTCAAAAATTTAAATATATAATGCATTTTTTATATAAAATCGTTCATACTTAATCATTTCTAATGCATTTCTGATATCTTAGAGGTATTTACAAGATATATTGGTTGCCTACCTAATAGTATCAGTAAATCGATTTTCGATCGATAAATGTAATTCTGGTTGTCTAACTATTGTATTAGTAAGGCGCGAGTAATAAGTATCAGGAGTAAACCTCTTCACACATTCTGTTCTCCTACTACGAAATTTCAAATTCGCAAATTTTTAACGAGAAATTTTCGAACGATGTACAAAACTATTCTTCCGATTTTTACAAATTGCGTTGAAAAAGGTTGCGTTTTTTTTTCAATAAACTCGACAAAACTTTTAGCATTCGACTTTCTTTCTCATCATTTCTACTATAAAACAATAATAATGCCCAAAATGATAAATTTCATCCAGGACTTTCCGTAGAAGTACCTCTCTCCATATAATAAATATCTCCTGTTACTAGACTTCCTTGCATATTCTCCTTGCCTAATATCCGAAATTTATCAACGGAGATCGACGAAAACTTGTGCTCAAATCTCGAATTAAAACGTGAATTTAAAATTTCGTATTAGGAGAGCAGAATGTGCGAGGAGGTTTACTTATGACGCTTATTAATCGCGCTCCTGCTCGAACCAATACATACAAAGGCAACCATTTAATCGAATTTCGGTAATTCGGGTTGCCTATCTATTGTATTAGTAAAGCGCGAGTAATAAGTATCAGGAGTAAACCTCTTCAGACATTCTGCTCTCCTAATACGAATTCTTAAATTCACGTTTTATCGTGAGATTTTCATACGTTTGACACAAACTACTCGAACTCCTAATATTTGTTTCTCCCGATCTTTTTGCTTTAATAGCTCCAGATTTTTACAAATTGCGTTAAAAAAGTTTTGCGTTTTTTTTAATGAACGAAAAATACTAAAAATTCTAAAATCAGGATTAAGGATGTCATAAAATTTTTTTTAATATTCTATTTTCGTATAATTTTTGTAATAAAGAATTATTAATAATGCCCAAAATGTTAAATTATCTTTAAAAATGTGTTTTCAAGAACGACGAAACATTTGGAATATTTATTAACGTATCAGGATTCATCCAGGACCTTCCCTAGACGTATATCTCTCGATATACTAAATATCTCCCGATATTGAACTTCCTTGCATATTCTTATTGCCTAATATCCGAAATTTATCAATGGAGATCGACGAAAACTTCTGCTCAAATCTCGAAATAAAACGTGAATTTGAAATTTCGTATTAGGAGAGCAGAATGTATGAAGAGGTTAACTCCTGATACTTATTACTCGCGCTTTAGTAATACAATAGATAGGCAACCAGAATTACCGAAATTAGATTAAATGGTTGCCTTTGTACGTATTTGTAATCGAACAGGAGCGCGATTAATAAGCGTCATAAGTAAACCTCCTCGCACATTCTGCTCTCCTAATACGAAATTTTAAATTCACGTTTTAATTCGAGATTTGAGCACAAGTTTTCGTCGATCTCCATTGATAAATTTCGGATATTAGGCAATAAGAATATGCAAGGAAGTTCAATATCGGGAGATATTTAGTATATCGAGAGATATACGTCTAGGGAAGGTCCTGGATGAATCCTGATACGTTAATAAATATTCCAAATGTTTCGTCGTTCTTGAAAACACATTTTTAAAGATAATTTAACATTTTGGGCATTATTAATAATTCTTTATTACAAAAATTATACGAAAATAGAATATTAAAAAATTTTTATGACATCCTTAATCCTGATTTTAGAATTTTTAGTATTTTTCGTTCATTAAAAAAAACGCAAAACTTTTTTAACGCAATTTGTAAAAATCGGAAGAAAAATTTTGTCGATCGAAAATTTCACGTTAAATATTTGCGAATTAGAAATTTCGTATTAGGAGAACATCTCCGTGAGGAGGTTTACTCCTGATACTTAATACTCGCGCCTTACTAATACAATAGTTAGACAACCAGAATTACATTTATCGATGGAAAATCGATTTATGGACACTATTAGATAGGCAACCAGTATTTCGGTCATTTAAAACTTATAAATGCTTAATCGTTTTCATTTTTTCAGAAATCTCAAAACGAAATGCCTTTTTATGTAAAATCCTTCAAACGTGTTATTTATTTATTTAAAAAAAAACAATATTCATATGTAAAAATTTATTTCCTAAATACAATACTGTCTTGACAGCTTCTACAGCGTTTGGAACAGGCCCCCAATGTTCTAACTATAACCGTAAAGGCGGCCTCGCGTTTGTCGTCAGACCCATTTAGAGCTCAACTATCTCACTTGATCATCCACCATCAGAGACATTAAAGCAGGAAGATATTTCCTCGTCACCTGACTGTCCAATTTAGCTTCTTTGAAATCCTGCGAATCGATCACCACCCGAGCGTTACCATCCACAACGGCACTATCAATATCGTGTTATCCTTATTTTTGTGAAATAAATGTTTTTAAAAATTATCATTTTTGGAATGGGTTAACATATACCTTTGTGTTGGGGGTCGAAAACGATTAGACGGACAATCATAAAGGACTACCTGCTTATGCAAATTTACTGTATTTACAATGCGACAATAACAATACATTTACTTTGAAAATAGTCTCTCAGATCCACTGCAAATGCGCCTCCTGTTAGTACATTTTCTGAAATTTCACTGGTTAAAAACCTGGCTAAAAATTTAATTTTGAGACAGCTAACACCATCTGGTTCAATTAATGAAACTACAAAAAATACTAGATTCTAGGGGCGATTGGTACGACTGTTGAAGTGCTCAACGCCCCTCTTAAGCATGAACTATTTTAATTACATATTAATATTATACAAATGTTCGAACCCTCGGTGGTTCGAACAGGTGAAATAATTTGAGGAAAAATAATTTGTATATTATTTTAATAGTACAATTTATGTATAAAAAATATTACAGCAAAAATATAATTCACCCGCTTTCCTTCTACTACTGCTATTTACATAGAAACACTAATTATTAATCTATATATCGTACAAATTATATTGCTCACAACAACAATCTAAAGTTAAATGTCTGCCTCAAAATCCCCCAGATTTTTTCTTACCCAAAACGTATTTGTAATAAGCCGTGTTCATTTGCTCGAGGAAAACGAACGTCAGCACGGTGTGAGGGCCCAATCTAAAGAAATACGGGGTAAATCCCTTCCAAAGCGCGAAAACCCCCTCATTTCTCAGGATCTTCATGATCACGTCCACTGGTCCCTTGTATTCCGCCACGCCGTCTACGATCCTCATGTTTTGTACTCTACAATAGACGGATTAATTAGGAAATTATTATTAAATAAATCGTATTGTGGCTTAGTACCTAGTTTTGGCAATGTCTATAGGCATCGAAACGATGGTGGTGATCAATCCTGAGGTCATCGAAGATACGAAATGCAAGAGTATCCCGTCGCGTAAGTTGAAAGCTTTGGTGTACATTTCTTTGGCTTGCGAATAGGTGCCCAATTGGGCGCCGTTCACCGCCACCGCCCTGCCTATGGTAGGCGTGGCGCCGCGCCACAACGTCATCACTCCCTCCTCCCGGACGATCCGGAACAGGGCGTCGAAGACGTTCTTGTAGTTCCGGCGCTCGTTGGCCGGCAAACGGCCGTCGGCGGTCATGCGGATCAGGGAAATTTCGGCGGGGGTGCCTGGAAAAAGCAGGTTAATACCATTGGTTATATAGCACGTTTATGTTGGTTTATTATACCAACGAAGGCTCCGCATATTCCGGCGCCCATTCCGATGGCTACTTTCTGGGCGAAGCCTGGCGGGGAACCGTCTGGTTTCTTCATCATGTCAAATAAATAGGTATACACGCCCAATCTTGTACCTGTATGTAACGTAAATACATAGTTTAACAGATGTACTGGTTAGTACTATAGATAAGTTACCCGTGTAGGTGAATTGCCTTAACAAACCCGCTGATAAGCCATTGTATAACGCAAATATTCCTTCGCTTTTGAGTATGGAAGAGAATGCGTGAAAAGTGTTTCTATATTCGCTTGCTTTACCTCCGGCACCGCTCAGTTGCATACGGTTTTTGATCAAATCTAAGGGTTGTACGAAGCAGGTACCTAACATACTAAAAATTTTTCGTTATAATTCTTTAATTGATACAATTAAGTGGAAAAACTTACCCTGCACCCGCACCGAATGCGAATTTCAATGAATTGGGAATACCTTGTTCACCTGCCATGATTTTCACTATTTTTTATTAATTTTAGTGAAACTCACTCGTTTTTTTTAACGATAGAGGTGACGGAGGTCAAAGAAATGTTACTTACTTAATAATGTTAAAACATGCGTATTTACTAATTTTGCTAAAAGGAAATTGAAGTTTAAAAATTCAATGTGTCATCGTGAGTACTGTCATATTTCATAATTTTACTCCATTTCCAATCTCCATGACCTTTGTAATCGGATTATTGAAAGTGAAGTTGAAGTTTTGCTTTCCAATTTACTCCATAGACAAATACCTGATTTGTCTTGTCTTTCTCTTTTTGAGGTTATATATAATTAACCATTTTTTCGTTGAATGAGAGAAAGGTCAAAGAATGGAAACCGTAAAAAAATGCAAAAACGGACAATGACCTTCCAAAAATGGCTGAATAATTAAATAGCACGTTAGATTATTAAACGAAAAAAGAAGATATTTTTGACATTTGACGCAACCTCGTAATGTAGGTTGCTGTCATAAAGTAGGTCACAAAAGTCAGCAAAAAAACGATTTTTTTTTGTTATTTAAATGCCAGTACAATATTCTTTTTAATTACTACCTCGCAGAAAAAAAACGCTGCAGTGATCATTAAAATAGTCTAGTCTTTCTCGGCGACATTCGTTTCTCGCACAGTTTTCGTGTGTACCTATGTGAGAAGTGTTCGCCGAAAATCGTTTCGATTACATAGAAATGGCAAGTAATGCGGATTTTAGTCATAGTTGCGAAATTTGCGGATTAGAAGGCCTTACCGAAGACGAATTTAGAGTACACACGCGTACGGTGCACGTCGAGGGCAGCGGTTATTGTCCCTTTTGCGGTTTATCGACTGTATCGTCTTCGGAGCTTATTTTGCACGTAAATCAGGCGCATTTGGATTTTTTAACTCCCGAATCCGAACATAATATTGGTTTTATTGACGATCCTAGCCCTAGGTAAGTATCGTAATATTTTCGTAATTCACATTGTTATTATAATTCATAATAGTAGAGTAATGGAGTGATTTTGTAACATACCTGGTATTATTTTTTATAAGGTGTTTTGAACTATTTTTACTAAATATATTCACATCACTTGTTATGTATTTTTTTCACTGTACAATTATTTTATAGGCATATTATTAAATTCACTTTCTTGGGTAGAAATTTATTAATTTTAGATTACATTTTTAATACATATCATATATTATAGAAGTTATTTTTTTTCTTTCTTTTTCGACTCCATACTACAAATATCGATAACTGAAAAAAAAAATAAAAACCATTATTAGGTCACATCAATATTAGTAAGGACAAAATATTCCCTCGAATAAACATGTACACGTGAAATCAAAGACGCGGAATTATAAATTACAAATTCTAACGCATTTAACGAATTATTTATTCAGGCCCGGCATCGATTGCCAGAATATTTTTAATAAATAATTCGTTTCGAGTAGTGCGTAACGGAAAAAATAAAAATACCAACATTCGAGTAGTTTCCTCCGACGAGCGAATGACATGGATGAGTTTTTGTATGTAGACATTTCGAAGTCGAGATGAAATTTATTTTCGAATTATATTGTTCCAGCGAATTCAATGGTCTCAATGGCGAAAATCGTTGGAAATGCGATGACTACCAATCGAGGCACAGCTCTCTTTACCAGGAAGGGACAATCAAAAGCAACATTAATATTAATAAAAATTCAAAGGTACACTTTTACTATTACTTTTAAAGTTATTTAGAGTACATTTTGTGGTTGTTTTGATTATTTGGCAACGTTGTAATAATTAAATGATTAATTAATAACTGTCAAAGTATGTTGCAACTAGATCAAGGTTTTAAATATTGACAGGTCGGATCGTGGGAGTTTGGGATGATTTTTTTTTGTTTCAGGTAAACGGAGGCGGCGAATTGAGTCCTAACGTGTCCGGCCACGGTCGGGGTTCGCCACTCCGCTCCAATTTGGAACTAAAATTGAAGAACTCCCAAACGAACTACCAATGTCCCATGTGCAATTACTCGAATTCGAATCCCAACGTCTTGGAAGAGCACGTCAACAGGTGGGTTGCGTGTAGGACGAACCAAGAGGAATTACTAGTAAATATCCCGGATTTTGTTGTTGTACAGGAGCCACTTCGATTTGATCTCACCGTCGGTGGGCGACAACAGCGCCACGACGGCGACGTCGGCGAACGTGACCGGCTCCGAGTCGTACGTCTGTCCGTTGTGCGCCAAATCGTCCGATTCCGCGTCCGATTTGGAGCTGCACGTCAACATCGAGCACCGCGACATCCTCTCGCCCGCCAGCTCGACCACGCAGAGCTGTCCCATCTGCGGCGTCGCTTTGGACGGAGACGTTAACGTAAATGCCGACTATAAAATGCGAATTTAACCGACAAATTCTCGTCTAATTTCACCGTTTTACAGAGCGAAAAGGCCGCCGGTCACGTCGAATCGCACTTCCCCGCCGGTTCGCCGGCGCGACCGCCCCAACCCGCCGAAAGGGCGGCGCTCAAGGAGCGCGAACGCCGCGAGTTCGAGATGCTCCGGGCGCAATACGGCATGGACAATCAGGGTAATTTCAAAGAGCAATCCGTCACCAATATGCAAAGGGCCGTCTACGCCGGCGAAATGTCCGTCTCCGACTACTACGAACGAACGCTCGATCTCAGGGCGTCGGAGAGTTGCGGCGTCGACGACGGCACCTCCGTCACCAAGAGCATGGTATGTACAACTAGTTCTCTTTAAAAAGAGTTAAAAAAATATGTGTAAAAACATTTACACGAATCGAATGGGTAGATTTATTAAACATGACGGTTTTAGGTGCCGCGCCTGAAGGCGTTGTCGGGCAATTCGAATCAGACGAAAACGCTGTTGTGCACGTGCGTCGATCATTACGCCTCGTCGTACGGCGACAGAGGCTGGGGCTGCGGCTATCGCAACGCGCAAATGCTCATCTCCAGCCTGCTAAATCACACCGGCTACAACGAGAAGTTGTACGCCATTTGGAAGGAGCAGAAGCCGCCGCGGAACTCGGTGCCGAGCATATCGCGCGTACAGGGCCTGATCGAGCGGGCGTGGGCGCGCGGCTTCGATCTGCAGGGCGCCGAGCAGCTCGGTTCGAGATTGGCGAACACCAGAAAGTGGATAGGCGCCACCGAAGTGGTGACGTTGCTGTCGTCGTTGTGGATTAAATGCCAGCTGGTGGATTTCCACAAGCCGACCGGCGCGGCCGGTACCCATCCGGAGCTGTTCAATTGGGTGAGGAGGTACTTCGAGAGCTCCGTCGACGGGGAGTTTACGCCGCCGTTGTACTTGCAACATCAAGGTACGGTGGCGATGAAACGTTTGGCTGTATAACCGAATGGTAAACGGGTTATATTTTTAGGTCACAGCCGGACGATAATGGGTATCGAAATTCCAAAAGACGGGAATTGTTCGTTGCTGGTGTTGGATCCTAGTCATTCGCCGCAACAGATGGCCAAATTGGGAGATTCGAATAGTTATTCCTCGATGCGGTTGTTGAGGAAAAACGAAGCTTCGATGAAAGCTAGACAATACCAAATCGTAGCTGTAATAGGGATGATCGAAAACGAGCAACAATATCAAGTAAGCCGATTTTACAAAATTCTTTGGGGTACATAATGGAATGAGGAAATTTTACTTTGTTGTTTTTTTGTAGCAAAATAAAATTCTTCGAGGTCTTCGAATACCGCAGGATCGGTGAGAGTGGCACCCGATGGGATTTTTAGGGAACGACAATGCAATCGAATTTATTAGTTTTGACATTCTTTTCTCGAGATCTAAAATCACGTAATTTGACACTTTCAAATCTCTCTTTACCCTTACGAAATACACGAGTTTTGTTGGCGATTACGCTATTGCATTTCGGTATAATTTAACGCGTTGTTTCGGATTTTTTACAATGTTATGGAAATCTCGACGAAATCAGGCGAACGATTGATATTCGCGGAGAAAAAAAAACAAAAAAAAAGATTAGCTAAAAATTTGCTTGACGATTATAAAAATAAAAAATTTTCGGTACTTGTTATTTCATCGAAAATAAATTTAAAAATTCAATTGCCGTTTTATTTCTAAATAAAAATATCTTGTTTGGACAAATACATTATATTTACCAACACAAAAGTCTTACAATACAAAAAAAAGAAAACAAAACATACACTTTAAACTTATAACAATAAAAAACATTTAGTTATACGATTTTTTTTTAATTTCTTCATATTTTTTTTCGAACGGAACGTCGGTCAGCACGCACCCTTCTTGACTATGAAAAACACTAACTGAAAATCGGTCATTTTCCAAAAACAAATCGCAAAAATATAGAAAAAAAACAGATATTGCACTGAAACATGACCGAACCCCCAGCATTCTTAAATATATCTATATATAATATTAACACTAACTAAAAAAACCTGCGCGAACGTTCCGCTCGAAACAGGCCCTAATTTATTTATTTTTTTTTTGTTTTTACTACGCTAAGCCTACCTAAGTTTTTTCCTTAAATGTATAACTTACCCTAGAAAACTATCTTAATCTAGAAAAAAACTATTCTACAAACGCTAGAAGCTACCCTTAAACGCTAAAAATGCTTTCTAGCATATACTTTTTACAAATTGGAATCGAAAAAAAATCGACTCCAACTATTCGAAATGTAATAAATAGGTAGTCGCTGATCGAATGTTTAATCGATATAATTACGGTCTAAAAAATATAACCCCAATACCGGCAGTCCAACCCGCTGTTACCAACACCATAGTTTTGTTTAACCGAAAGCGTTTCCGAACCAATTGGTATATCTTAACAGCCGATTAAAGAGCGATATCGCGTACGAAAATAAAACTGATTACCATCAGTTAATTAACCCTTTCACAAAGTAACTCGTCAAATACTCAAACGTGCTTTTTTTATTTGGCTTTAGCTCTTTTTTCGCTCGACTCTTCGACGTTCCGAAGAATAAAAAATTCCCAGCTGATTTTAAGGCTCGCAAAGGCACAACAACGTTTTTTATTAATGAAAAAATTTTGATTGAATTTATTATTACAAGAACATCATAAATAACGAAAAAAAAACAACCAAAACGAGCACACTAGATTCATCATTTCATCGATATCAAAGATTTTCTTTCTGACACCGCCTTATAGTTTTTTGAAATGCATTATTTTCCCGTCCAAAAAGCCAAGCGAAAAAACCGTCGCCCTTCGTAAAAAAGGGCGCACTCAATAAAAGTTAGTCTCCTAGTAAATTGTTACCTAACGTTACGTTAAAAATAATCCCAAGGAGGTCGCAATTTTGCTTACAACGCTCTGCAATAGCAGTAAACAGTTACGCTTTTGTTATTATAACACATTGAGTGCTCGCACGGCGCTCGACGTGTTAAAACCGACCTCCGCGAAATGAATACAAAAAAAATTAAATAAAGACAAGAACGGATTCAAAAACAACCCAAGGTCTCTCGATTAGGAGGTCGCTTTTTACGTCACAATATTCCCGTGACGTCACTCAAGAATCCTAATGATCCAACCTCTCAAGGTTCCGAGACCTTGGCGAAAAAACTGAAAAGCGGATAACGTTTTTTTTTTATACGAACCGTCTACAAACGCATAACTATAAGGTAAAAAATTTAGTTTATCGGCTTATGCTTTTTTTTATGAAATACAGCCGAGTTTTAAAAAAATATATAAAATATTTTTTTTCAGTATATCCCTGTGTGTGGACAATCTGAAAAGGCACAATTGTCTCTCGTGTGTAAAGTACCGTTCAAAATGACGTCGATTATAATGTAATTATTCACTCACCGAGTTTTTTACGCGTCTACACGCCCATCATTTCCGCAATAATCTCGTTTCAAAGTGGACGCTGTTACAAAATGTTCACCATTTTTATTTTTCGCATGCACTGTCAACGTTAACTCGCAGAACATTTTTACAACTGTCATTCGCAGAATGTTTACAACTGTCATTCGCAGAACTTTTACAACTGTCATTCGCGACCTCTTACTATTCATCCAAAGGACAGTCTGGCTTCAAATTGAGTAACAATTTCCACTCGATAAAAAAAATCAATAAATAAATAAATTAGTAAAACAAATCGAACGAGACGTGTAAACGCGACTTCCAACTCGTCGATTTTTCGAAGGCTTTTTCCTTTTTGTCGCATATCTTTCACGAATACCAATTAAAAATACATATTTATTCCAGTAAATAAACTCGGAGAACATCCCGCAACATTTCCAACCACACGCAGAAACCGGAGTAAAAAAATAAAATATAAAATAAAGAGTCGCGTAAAATCACAGCTTCATTCGCTTTTTACCTAAGTTTATCTACCGGACGCCGTGCGTAAAAATAATAAATTAAATAACGTCAGTCCGTTTTCAAAAAGCATTCCGAATCAAATATATTATATTTTTCAATCATAAATAAATCTAATAAAAAAAAAACAAAAAAAAATTGCACTATACACGTTCCAACTGTACATAAAAAACGGGGGATACGTTTCAAAAATAAAAAGGACGAGGACGGGGCGAGGATGAAATTATCAGAGGAAGAAAAGGAGAAGAGTTTCGGAAGCATCCCCAAAAAAAAAAATTAAAAATATCTGCGTGAATAAATATTTAACAAAAATATCAAGACATTGGAATGTCAACAACAACAAATCTGCATCGAAAATTTCAGCTGAAAACGCATCGATTCGAATGCGGAGAGTTGCAAAAAAATCGATATTACATCACCATTAAATTTACGAATCGATCAACAAACCTATGAATTAACTAACCGGTCGATCAAATTACATACATCAGACATTCGAATCGATCAATTTCATAGAAACTTCCGCTAATCATCGATTTCTCTTTTTGGATAATTCGCCTTTACCGTTAATCCACATCGCAGGGTCGTGAATTTATTTTACTGGATCGTGCACAGAAAAAGCGTAGTTGCCAAATCTGGAAAAATTACAAGTTCTTAGGGAAATAGTAGCAAGAGGAAGACTTGATACGAGTTATTTCAGGGTCCGATTTAAGTTAAAATGTCCTGCAGGAGTCGTGTTTAAATCAGTCTCGTATTTATTATTATTTTTCTGTCGTTACCGCTGGCACTTTTCATTTTTTTTTTTGTATACAAAGTCAGTCTCGTTTGTTAGGGAGTTGAGAAAACATATAACGATAAAGGCGAACCCAAAAAAAATTAAATAAAAATATAATTATGTATATTTATACGAATACAAAATAAATATTTTGCAGATTGAAAACTTTCCAAAATGGAAGTACACATCAATATAAACCTTTTACGAGATGTTTCGAAAGTTTAGCATCATGTTTTTTGTAAGGGAAGATATTTTTATTTGATTTATAATGTGAGCAGTTTTTCTTTTCTCGCAAATGTTGCGTAGCGTTTTTATTTTTGTTATTAAACAACTACCTATATAATTCCTATGTAGATCTTCATCAAAAAATAAAATACTAATATTTTTACCTAATCCTATGCCCCCTCGTCGGGCGGCTTTTTGGGAAGATCAATATACATACCGTTTTTCACTGCTTGTAGGTAGAAAAGTCGTTTGTTTTTGTTTGTTTTCTTACTTTAAAATGTGTAAAACTATGCAGTTACTATCCTAGTTTTTTCGGCTAATATAACATTCGCTTTGTTAGAGACGAGCCTGTGCTGGAGAATTCACAACGGGAGTTAATTTAGCCTCTAAAAATCCATCACGAATTACCTTTAAAGTTGATCGGATGAATGATTTTAAATCCGGCAAGCCTCGAACTGGTTTAAAAAAATTGATCCTTTGCATATGAATCATGAAAACTTACTATTTTTTTATGGAATGAAAACCCACCAATAGGCAGTTTAAATAAGTACAAATTAACAGAAACAAACTCTATAAAGTACTTGTTAAGTACCAAATTAAACGAATCTAAATTGTCCAATCACCAACAACTTTTAAAGGTAAATTTTAGAATATTTATTCGTTATCGTCGAATTCAATAGGCGATTATTGGTATTAAGTATCGATCGATTGTTTAATTTATTCGTCCAACACAAACTGTATACCGAGCGTTTCGATTTCAACGCAATCTCTCAAGTCAAACTAGGAACATACTGTATCAAAAATATCTACTTTACACATAACGAGTTCAGTCCTTTTTCTTATGTATCGTGTATGTACTAATTTTAAAAAAATCATTCCGAATACTCAGCAGCAAAAAATTAATAACCTATCGATATTATACAAAAAAAAAGAAAAATTATTAACGAATCGTCCAATCCGATTCGTCGAAAAAAACAAACAAATCGCATTCTCATAAATTAACTACATTATATATGTATATATATTTATATAAACCGCGCATTTAAAATGCTCGCTTATCGAATAAATCTAAACAAACAAAAAAGAAGAAAAAACCAACCCAAGAAAACTTGGCAAAAAATTCAATAAATCCCCACCTCGTCTCCTTAACTATATATGTATATCTCAAAATAACCGTAGCTTTTTTGCGTAGAATCGAATTTAAAAAAATCAAGAAAAAAAAAATAATTTTTACTTGGGAGGTCCTTGATAGGTCTGATAGGGATCTTCCGGACTCGCCGCGTTCGAGGTGTGCTCGGAATCCACCGGCACGGCGTGCAATATCGTCGTCGATTGGGGGTAATAGGGATATTGGGGGGAAATGTACGATCCCGTGCTGATTTGCATCGCTCCCATTTGTGCTGTCAGCTGAAACATATAACAAACACAACCGATCAAATACCGCGGATTTTCCGGCGCCGGAGATCGTTTTACCTGAGGTATAAGATTAGGGTAAGGGACGCCGGTCTCTGCGGACTGCATCATCAGCGGAATCGCGCGCGGCGGCTGCCCGTCGTTCTTGTATTGGGCCGCCATGTGGCCCGACAAATTGTAGCTTTCTTCCACCGTTTGCAGCGGAGGCGGTATCAGGTAGGGCAACGGCCATTGGCCCGTCGTGTACGAAGGAAACTGCAACGCAAACGTAATATTTAAAAGGTACACGGTACTACATACAGTTGGTGCAAAACAAATATCAATGCACCTGTAAGGCGGATGTATTCAGGGACTTCAATAGTCCGTATGTACCTGATTGTAATGCCTGTAATTAGTGGCCAAGGCGGGCATGAGATGCTGGCCGGCGACGCCGTTCTGGGCGAGCGCCGCCGGATCGTAGGGCACCGTCGTCAGCGTCTCGGAGGCGTCGCGCCACATCTTGGCGTTCTCGTTGCTCTTGTACATGTTCTTCTTTTTGTTGCCGCCGTCGGCGAATTTGACGAGCAACGGCTCCTTGCCGCCCGACAGGACTTTCCCGTTGAAATTCTGTATGATGTACTCGCACTTTTCCTTGCTCTCCATGCGCGCGAAACCGACGCCCTTCGAGACGCCGGCGGCGTCGCGTAGGATGCGCGTCGATATTACCTGGAATGTCCATCGTCAGTGGGTTGAATAAATTATGCGATTGTTGTACTTACTTGTCCGTATTTGGACAGCATGTTGTCCAAGTCGGATTCCTTGAATGTCGGCGGTAAATTAGCTATGTACAAATTGGTAGGGTCCTGTTCTTGTTGCTGCTTGGAAAAACGAATGTGTTAATCAACATTGTAAATGAATTGAGAATTTCGATAATTTTTTTTTGGCGAAAATTAATAAAAATTGCTCTATTGCATATAGGGGTACGAGACGAATGACAAAATTGAAAATTTGAAAAATTGTGTTAAAATATTTGCAGTGAAACACCCTATTACTCTCGCGTAATTCGTTTCCGCCAAAAAGGAATTTTAATATAAATAAATATAAAGTACATTATTCCAATGGAGTTTTCTAGAAATTAATGTACTTTATGTAAAATGAAAAAAAAGTTAGTGCCGGTAATTTTTACGTTTTTCTACTTAAAAATACAAATTTCGGTGTTAATACTAAATCAATATATTCATTTTTAATTGTTAAATAAAAGTGCAAAATTATTATTTTATACAAAATGCAAATCTCAAATATGTTATTTTTTTACAACATGCACAATGCTCTAAGTAATTTATTATCATTAATATTATTACTTTTTTACAAAACGTAACTCGAAGGGTATTTTTTCCCAAAATGAAATGAATCGAAATGTAAAAGTATTCGGGTGGTTTTGCCTAGAAATCTAGAAACAATGGAAACTAATTAAAAAAAACACATCCCTGACTAACCAATTTTGTATACCATTAAAATTTAATTTAAAAAAATTGACATAGGAACTTATAATCCCACAAAATCTTAAAACTTTCTAGTAAGTACAACTTCTACCACCACCCTACGTGAATTAAAAACTCAAAAACCCCCACTTTCGAGTAATTTCTAAATAATTCATGCATTAAACGCATAGCAAAAATACGTATAAATTCCAAAATATAAATAAGTATCAAAATCAAGTCTAGTGTATTAATTATGTTACATAATTAGATAGTGAGATTAATAAATAAAATGCGCATGCGCTTTCTTTGTTTTTTTTCCACTAGGATTTACATACGTATGTGTTACCACTAGAGTTGAGTTTATCGTTCGCTCTGCCACAATTTCGAAGTCATTTTCTCATCGAGAAACAGATAAATAATGCTAGGAAATGCTTCGGGGATTAAAAACTGTAACCAGTCAAAAGTATCCCTAGCAAAAGGGGGCGATAGATTCAAACGCCGAATCGTGAGTGAGCGAATCGAGGGCAAATTGTGGCAGAGACCATTGCCCCCCTAGCCCCTAATCTTAGGGTAATGTATAATAGTGCGGGCGAATTGTGGCAGAGAACACGTCCGAAGATAAAAGCTAGGGTATTACTTGCATGCAAACGTACAGTGGCTTTTCTACGTTGTTGATAGCAAATACCCACTTTGGCCATTTGCGCCTGTATGTTTTTCGCGGTCAGAGCCTTCACCGCCCCTTCGGCCGCCGCGGGTGACTCGAAATCTACGAAACCATAACCTGAAACAATTTCAAAAACGAAACGCAACGTCACAACCGCACTATGCCAACACTGCAAAAGCGCAACCTAATCCACTACTTCTTATGCATAGCTGCATAGAAACTGTTGTACTACAATGTAAAAGGCCACCGGTTGACGTTAGTGACATTAGGGGATTATATTGCGCTCATATGTATGATTGTGGGCGGACCTATCGCTCACCCCCGAACTCGCGCTTCTTTACTATCTCTATCAGTGGAGGAGTGTAGTAGAAAGGGAGCGAGAATTTAAGGTGAGCGATAGATTATTCAATTAATTGACGGGATGTATTTTATGCTCACCTTTACATTTATTCGTATTTTTATCTAAAATCGCTTTGGTGGATATGATCGTGCCAAACCTAAAAGAAATAAAAATCGTATATTATCTTATCAACCGATGAATCATAGCATATCACAGCAAAATAATTTACACATAGAAACATTACCCTTGTTTGGTAATCGGTCGGCTAATTACATTGAAAAAAATCATCGAAACCTCTCACTTACTGTTGACACATTGTAACTAGGTCCTTATCGGTGGTGCCGGGATTCAATCCCCTGATGTAGAGATTGGTCTTCGACAGTTGCTCGGTGCCCGTCGTGCTGTTGTTCGACGACGAATTCGTGTTGTTGGGCATGTTGTTGCTAAGGTTCGTCGATACGTTGTTGCCGCTCTGGCTACCGGTGTGACTGCTCGAACTGCTCGCATTCGACGGTGACGTGGCCGTTGGCACTCTTTGATTCTGGTACTGAAATGTTCCAATAAATAACGCAATTAATAACAGATGCACGGAATTTATGAAGAAAAAATCGTACTATTGTTTGTTTGCGAACGGGTTTTTTTGTACAAAATGATTGGGTATGGATGGAGAATATTATACGAGTAGATATTCAAAAGTATGTACTTTGTGTTGCATACTTTAAGAGGCGTTTAAGGTGTTAATTAATTGAATGCCGATAATTCAGGATGTGAATATTTAGGTGATTTTAAGAAGAAAAGTTTATATCAATTTATGTCCTAAACCTCTTAGTTTTCGAGATGCAGGGTGTTACAGTTTTAGAAAAAAATAACTTTTCTATCATAATTTTCTTATTATTAGAGATATTTTTATGAAATTTTGTACTCTTTTTAATTATTAAAGAGCATTTTTTGAGGCAAAGATTTTTTTAATTATTACCAATGACGTACGTAAGGGGTTTGAACTTGGTAAATGGTACACCACTTGTTTTTCTAAACCAAAATTATTTTTAAAATCCTCATTTATTTTGGAGCAAATTCGGTCCGAAGACTTAATTTCGTACAATGCACCATTTTCGCGTAAAAAAATAAAAACCAAAACAATTTTTTCCCAAGTTCCCAAGTTCATGGACTGCTTTTGATATTTTGTTGAAATTTGGTAGGCGCCCACCATGTATGAAACGCTTTTTTGGAGGACAAAAATTAATTTTCTGTTATTACCAGTGACGTCCGCGCCCAAAATTTCATAAAAATATCTGAAGCATCTGGAGAAAATTATGATAAAAAAGTTTTTTTTAAACAGTAATACCATGTAGTTCGAAAACGAAAAGGTTTAGAACATATATTAATACAAACTTTTCTTCTTAAAATCATCCAAACATTCCAATCCTGAAGTATCAGCACTCAATTAATTAACACCCTTTACCTACCATATGTGTTTATTAGGTATTCACGTTATTAATTACTGATGAATTCATAAAAATGTTAACTCAAATAGTTATCATTTATGAAATAGTACAATAAAAATCGATATTATCTTTTACTGGGAATCGCAAAATAATCTAAACGATCAAGTTTCTGTGAAGTACCTAATCGATAGAAATATGGAAATTCTAGTGATAACACGATTGCACAAAAATTGAAATAATATTGTAATATACGAGTATGCAACATTCACTGTGAGTAGATATATTACAAAAAAAAATATTGAGATATAAATGAAAATAATGGAAATAAATAAAAGAAGAACCTACCGAATTAGAATTGTAATTACTATTATTGGTAGTGCTACAGGGCGTGTAGGAATTCTGCGCCGGCGATTGCGCCTGCTGCGGCGCCGGTTGCTGCGCGACGGCGTACCGCTGGAAGTAGGCGCCGGCCGCCGCCACCGCCGTCGGGTGCTGGTTGTGGTGGCCGGCGCCGACGTTGCTCCATTGGCCGCGGTACGGCTGGTGTTGCGTCGCCATCGCCGTCGCCGATTTACTGTTCAGGCCGCCTCCTCCTCCGCCCCCGCCGCCTCCACCACCTCCGCCGCCTCCGTACGGTTGCGTCGAGGCCGACGTCGGTCGGATGCCGCTGGAGCCGCCGCCGTTGTTTGTCTGGAAAAACGAGCAAAGCGCCAAGGGCGATGATATAACGACATTATAGAACGACAATCAAGGTCGATAAAGGAGGAATATAACGACGGATAGGGAGGTAAATAAATCGTTAAACTTTGTACTATTTTCTTTTATTTCGATAAGATTGTTATTTGGAATTTTCTAAATGATAAGACAATAAACAAATCTCTCCATTTAACACGCTGTAAACTAGAGGATTTGCGTTTAGAATGTGCATAACGATTGTTCGAACAATCTTTTGTATCTATTTTCTCAATGTTTCCCTTGAAAAGTTTTTCTCGCCTCATTCATACAAAATTGAACTCTTGCTAAAACTTCTTCATTCATATAAACTTCAATTAGTATTGCAAACATGAAAATTTTAACGACAGTTTAAACAAACACCGAATGATTAATTAACAATTTACGACGTCGAAAAAAAAAATTGGAATATTCTAAATAATTTTCGGAATGCCGAGCGCGAGCTGGACATTCCGTTTCGAACGATTCACGTCGGAATTTCGCCGCAAACAAAGAACAAAAACGATAAACCGAACGCGACGCTTTTCGTCGATTTTAAACACGTCGACCGGCGGGCGCAAAACTCACCTCGAAATCCGCGAGCAATATAGCGTAATCCATCGCGATGCGACCCACAAAAAAATTGGAAATTCCTCGCACTGTGCGGTACCCGAATCGAATCGGCAGGTGTTTGTCAAGGTACTGACACAATTCTGACTAATCGATCGCCATCTAATGGAAGAAACGTTCGAGAGTCGGTGTCGGTACTGCGGGTAAGATGACTATTTTGTTGTGTTCTCTGTGTGTACTATATTGTGTGTGTGTATGTGTGTGTATTCCTATTAGTGACTCGTGACTCATTTGTTACTATTTCGAAACGTCTCCTCCGAGAATTCACCGATAACACGCTGTTTTTGTTATGTATAAATTGATAAGAATTGTTCGTGTATCAGAGAGAGCATACCTAACTTATAATCATCCGGACTATTCGGATGTTTTTATTTCATATTTATTTATTGTTATTATTTATTTATTATTATTATTTGTTATTATAGCCGTTTTAATTATTTGTTTGTGTAGATTTGTGGTCGAATACAGGATGTCCCCCTCATTGCAATGTGAAGAGGATTTAGAAAAAAATCAGTCATTTTCAAATAAATAAGTGCAGAAAATTTCATAAATCGGCACCACAACAAACTAGATTAGATATAAGACAGCCGACTGCTGTCATCAGTAAAAAAGGTGATAGAATGGCGAAATTATAAAACAAAATACCCGATGTATTGATTCATCGATAAGAAAATGCGTCTTAAATGAATTACAAGTGAACGAACTCTGCGATTTCATTTATCAACGAAAAAAGCGTATTAAAATTAAACCGAAAGTACAATCAACAACAAATTTCAAAGTCAGGGACCACTCGATCGAGTGATTTTATTTACCATTTTCTACGGATTTTGTAGGTCAAATCCGCCGGCCTCAAAACCGTTAGGATGACAGAACAACAACTATGCAAATCGGCATATTTCCCTGCAATAATAATATTAATAATTATTATCAAAATCTCAGGAAAAACGCCAATCGGTAAACGTCAACTGTCGAAAAAAAATATGAAACGAAGTTATTGGATAGTAGGCCGTGCATATTCGCAACATCGGGTATGCGAAACGCCTAATATCCAGATATTTAAATCAGTACCATCAGAGTGTGCTGCATTCGACGTGTTAATAAGTAGATCAAGATCGATCGTCGAGGAAGCAAACCGCCGCTAATTCGAAAGGCAGACGAACGGTGACCTTGAAAGGTCGTCGGCCTCGAAACGCAGTTACCGGTAGAGCGAATAATTTTGTAAATACAAATCGGTTTTCGTATGTGTGCAGCCTTTAATCGGACGATTCGTAAACGGCACCCTTGCGAGTGAATATGCATTCTATTCTTCCGTTATTTCCGATTGTTTCAAGGACGTTTCGATTCGTTCGATCGAATTCGCGCGATTTAATCGAGCAGGCTCTTTCTCCGTCATTTTCCCTCTCTCGGAACGTTAAAAAAAATAGGATGAACGACCCGGATCTGTTGTAGAACTGCGGAACATAGAGAAACTCTGCCCGGAGACATTCTTAGCAATTTAATACGATGGATCTGAAAACGGCACATTCGCCGAGAATTTTCACCCGCACCGGAACCGGCTCGACGTTGCCACGTCGCCAAATTAATCTCTAGACTGCAGACTTTTTGGGATTTACGCAGTTTTTTTTTTCGGGCCGAAATTCGCCGCGGCCGGTCCTGGCGTCGATCGCGATATCGGGCCCCCGATATGAACAATTTGCATTTTTTTTCCTCTCCATTTGCCGTTTCGTTTCGAGTACGAACTCGTCGGAATGCGGAGAATGTAAAATTATAGTAAGTGGCACAGCGGATGTTAGAAAGGTTAGGTAGATGTATCTTTTTCGTTCAGTCACAACACGACGCGCGACTTTTAATAATTTAATACGGCGACGTTGCAACGCAAAAATAGCCATTAAATGTCAATAAAATTTGCAAATACATCGTAAATTAAAATCGAAATTCGTAAACCAAAAAACTAAGAGATTTAACAAAAAAGAAAAATTTGGCATTTGAAGTTATCTGTTTGACATTTAAATGACAGCCACCAAGAATGATAAATTAGGTAAAAAAATCTTGATATTTGAGGCCTCATAAGAAGGAGAATAAATGTATTTTTATAATAACGCAGCATTAATGAGATTCACGTACTAAATTATACCACAGTGAGTGAGTAAAATGGTAATTCTAAAAATTATTAATAAACTTGACAACTGTCATTTGTCATACAAACTTCAAATTTATTTTTATCCATAAAATGAACAATAACTGTACCTAAATTATCAGCAAACAAAACTAATCACCAACAATCCCGATAAAATTCTAAATAGATGCACCGTTCATATTATTAAACCAACCGGACATTTATAATTACGATATTTTATTATTAATTAACACACGGGTTAGTTAAAAATCTCGTCGAAACATGCCCGATTGACTAGAGCATGACGAGCACCGGCGACTGCGACCGGGCGCACTCAATTCCGCACTAAAACTAACCGTACATTCATCATTCATCGCGTTCTCTGCGATAACTTCCGCCTTCTTCGATTTCGATTTCCGATACCGAAACACCCACACACACACATACATACGATAAATCAAAACACCCGGCTCGCTCGAAAATCTAGTAGACCGACTATTTTGACGTTCGCGAAATTTGACAGCTACTAGCAATAATAATGTAAACAAAACGAAGTCATTCAGGAGTTTATTAAAGGAACGAAACGAACGTAGAACGTAAATAGCGAGTAATACGGGGTATTTAAAGTTTTAACCTAACCTAAATGGGTGGGGTTGTAGATGACATTTTACAGTAAACAAATAAATACACCAAGTATCCGACGTGCACCTACCGTGATTTTGTAGTTGATTTTCCTATTGGGCGTCGAGTTGTCCATGCGAACGGCCATAATTACAATATTATCACAGATGAGTTGATGTTTAACCGAGGGGTGTGTCGACGATTTGTATTTCAAGTATTAAACGTCATGGCACACACGGGATTATCGCAAAGGTCGTTCCGTTAGCGGCGCTCGCGTACCGTTTTTGCGCGTGTAATTCGCTCGCGAAAGGGCCGAGAGAGCGGCGCGACGGTGAGCCCTAATTCGACCGGATTTAGCCGGCGCTCGTTTCTACTCTACACCGCAAAACTACGGGTTTTTACGTTTCGCCACTCCCCTCGTCTGTCAACCGGACACCATCTTGGTATATTATCTGTGTTGTCGATTAGTTTGCCGGATCGCCGGTAGGCCTCGCGCCGGCGCCGTTCTTTTAAACAGTTGCCGGCTCTACGACAAATTCGCAGAGTCTGTGATTTTTTTTTATTACAAAAAACTGTCAAAATATCGCGACTTTTTTTATATACACTGCCGTTCGGTTAAATCTAGTAGCCTTTTGTCAAGCGAATAATTAAGTGTCACTGTCAAAGTGTTTTTCACAAGTTTAATAGATGAATTATTTTAAAAATTTTGAAATGTTTAGATAAAAAAATTAACTAATTAAATGTTTAATTCAATTATAACGAACAGTACAAAAAGTCCTTATTAAAATCAAGTTGTAACATATTACTTTTCGATTAGAGATTTCGATTCTAGATGGGAGGTGCGACGTTGCCGTTTTGGTCGAGTTTTACCTATATCGGACGATTATTTGTGGATAATTTTTATTTTAACATGTAGGTACTTTGTTTTTGTCAATTGTTATGACTATCTTATTGAAAGAACTTTTGTACGATTAGAAAAATATTGATTTTTCCCCATTGAAAATTTCTCACTCCATTTTAAATTTACTTATATTACCTATGTCAAAATACATCATTTTATATTATTTATTACAACTTCCAAATTACTTTCAATATAAGTTTTATTTTTAACTCGTTTTGTGAAAAAACTCCAATCTTCAACTCCCCAATTTAAAAAAAATCCACACGTCCTATTTTTAAAAAATTCCATCATAAATACATTTTCCCCCTAAAATTGGAAATGTCACCAACATTCCCCTAGACTTATAAAGTCAACTGCGATCGGTAAGCGCGTGTCTTCACGGTCCTCAGGAAATTGATCTAAGCAAGTTCGGACCCCGAAAGATATTCGAAAAGAGGTTACTGCCCTTAAAATCCAGTCTAGACGTAAAGAAAGGGCGGAAACGCGCATCAACCCCCCACGAAAAAAAAACCTCCACCACGTGTGCGTGCTTATACGCGTAAAAGAATCTCACCCCGAAATTCGAAAACTACCATATGTGTAACACCCGAAAATCCATCGATGTTTCTGCATTAACTCCTTACAGGGTGGACAAATAAAAATATTAGTCGCGGAAAGAGGGAAATAAATGTGCGAATAAACTTTCCCCAATTTCCCCGTATCGCATCGAGTACGGCTAGACTGCACTCGGATTTATCTTATTGCTTTTATGCAGTCGCCCTATCGATTTTTTGAGCGAGAGTCGCGGCGTTGCCACGTCTACCGCTGCACTTGTCTCCGTGTAAAATTACACGGGAATTTATCAACCGTTATTAGACTTAAAATTAATATTATAACGTAAAATTCCGCGAAGTGAATTCTCGCATTTCGAATAAGCGTTCGAAAAAGCGGCGCACTTGATTAATTCCCCTACACTTGCCGTGGGATTTACCAAAAGCGGTTAATCTAGTAACCGATGCACGTCCAACTATAAATGACATTAATGACATTTATGACAATGGCAAGGGCGAGACATACATAATAATCATAATAAGACCGGACGTGGCTAGTTATCAAAAACGAGATTATATCATTAGATGGAGAGATTTGTTTCTAATTTATTATACGAGGGTATGACTTCAAGTAAACCCGGTGAAGTACAGCGAACATTTGAAACGTCAATTTAATGGCGGATATAGGAGGCGAATCGAGACGTGTTGGAAATAACGGAATAATTTCACAAAACACTTTAGTCAAATTTTACGAACGAATCGATAAAATGTTTATGACTTACGTGACGCCTGTGCAATTATAAAATGGCGTCTCTGAAAATGTTTAGTGCTGTATTAAACGATCCGAAATCGAAATCGGATTCGTCTCTTTCCAGGAAACGAACGCCCGCATAGGTTTCGCTCGTTCTAGCCCAATCACCCTGTATGAAAGTAATCGTACGAATTATTTGTACAGGGTGACTCGATCAATTTCGCATGCGACTGTAATTGCAATTTTGTTATTGCCAGCGGCACACTTGATGCAACAAACAAAATTATAACAAATACTTCAATTTTATCGATTGGAGCCGGAATTGCAAAAATCAACCAAAAATTTACACCAAACGACGAAAATTAACTGTAATAAAATAATCTACTATATTGGGAGTAATGAGACATTCTCCATTTCATCGCAACGCAAGAAAAATCTTTTTCGAACATATTTAACAGCGGAATAGAGAGAATTGAAAGTATAATACGTCTTTATTAATATGTATAAAAATAAGAATACAAATTACTTACATTTAGAACTTAGTTATGGCACTTTTCGCGAACAAGGCACTTGTACGATTTTTCTATTTCACGTTTATTAAATCACTAACTAATCGAGTGAGCTGAGAAAATTCCTTGGCAATGAATACGCGAATACGCCCTCCCTATTTGACAGACGTCAAATAAATTGTGATCAAAAATTTCGATTGATTCTTAGCTGTCGTTGGCTAATTTAGCGCTAATATCTGATAGGACCAACCAAAAATTTGTTTCGAGCAGAGTAAATCACTACCGGGCGTTTAATTATTCCGAGAAAATCGCCAACGAAAACACGGGTATATGCGGTTTGACGTTTAAGACGTCAAATAGAACATAACATAGCGCTATACTCCGATAAAGCGGTGTCGTTCCTTGATTAGAAATTTAAAGATTTGCTCAATTAATATTGATTATAATAGTTGATTGTTGTCATAAAGTTGTTGTTTTTACAGTTTTACTCATTTAATCGAGGGTATAAAGTGATCCTAATGATTTTGATACATGCAGTAAATGTGTAGTTACTACTTTATTAAACGGAAGTAGTAGATTTATTTTGACTTGTAGTGTCAAATATTTTTTTAAAGAAAAAGAAGAAAATGGTGTAAATTTCAAATAAGTTTGATACATATTTTGAGAAATGAGTAGTTCGGAAAACTCTGAAAAGCGGCCTCAATTTGGAAATCGGTTTTTAACAGAAGAACACAATGTTTTCGAACATAATGCATGGTATAAAGACAATTTTTATTTCATACAAAACGATATCGCTTCACTCTAGGTTATGCTCAACACGTTATAGGAAAAAACCGAAATTCGGATCTCGATATTTAACAGAAAATTCCGACGTGTTTAGTCATAACGCCTGGTACGTTTCTACATAAACTCGACTAACACATTAAGAAAACTTCCCCATAACAAAACAGTTTTAAGCAATTAAACCATTACCGAACCATATTCCAGGGACGACGTAGAATGGGATGATATCCAAGAGAAGCAAGCCCAGAAGAAAGTGCTAGATAACAGCGCTGTGAAACTAACGAAAGAGGAAGTGGACAAATACGAAAATGAAGCCAACCGATTTTGGAACGAATTCTACGATATACACACAAACAGATTCTTCAAAGACCGCCATTGGCTTTTCACGGAATTCCCCGAATTAGCCGAGGAGTCCGGTTCGTCCGGCGCGAAAACGGTGTTTGAAATCGGCTGCGGGGTAGGAAATACAGTGTTCCCGATATTGCAATACTCTGTAAACAAAAACCTCAAAGTGTACGGATCGGATTTCTCCTCTAAAGCCATAGAGATTTTGAAAAGTTCACCTGAATACGATCAAAGTAGGTGCGAAGCCTTCGAGTTGGATGCTACGGATGAGATTTGGAACGTACCTTTCTCGGAGAATAGCATAGATGTCGTGGTTTTGGTGTTCGTACTATCGGCTATTAATCCCGAGAGGTAATTAATTTCTAATGTGGTATGATTGTACTAACGTTTGAATTATTCCAGGTATGCGAGAGTGATTGGAAATATATACAAGTATTTGAAACCGGGCGGGTTGGTGTTGTTTCGAGATTATGGGCGGTACGATTTGGCGCAATTGAGATTCAAACCAGGTAAAAGTTTAGGAGATAATTTCTACGTCAGAGGCGATGGGACCAGAGTGTACTTTTTCACTCAAGGTATTATAACATTATAATTTATTTATTTCATAGACCCTTTGACCTGTATGTTGTATTTTTAGATGAAATTAAAGCTTTATTCGAACATCAGGGGTTCGGAGAAGTCGAGAATAAAGTGGATAGGAGACTGCAGGTGAACAGAGGTAAGTTACTAAAAATGTACAGAGTATGGATACAGGCTAAATATCAAAAACCGTTAGGTACGAGCTGATTTTTGGTTTGTAAATTTATTCTTAAGATAAAAACCTACAAATAAAAGCCTCTTGTACAATAATAAGGCGATCGCTAATAAATTAATTACTAAAATAATTTTATCACATTATTTCTTACATCTACTTAAGTAAAGCCACATTCACATTTCTAAAAAAATTGCAGTAAAGTCGCATTCGTAAAACAAACTTCTGTTTTTTTACAAATGTGAAGTCCCAAATTAGTTTTAAAATAATTTTTTTACAAAATATATATATTATTTCGAGTTTTCATTAATACGTTATAACGATACTGATTTACCTCGTGACAATTGCAGCAGATAAAAAGTACAAGCACAATTCGATAATTGACTAGAATATTTTTTTAAATACGTTTGAATGAGAGAACCGTTGGCACTTTTACTACGATATGTCCTAAGAAATTATCATCTACGACCGCAAAATTAAAATTGTCGAGTCGCTACGGTGTAGCTAACAAAGTCGAAAGAATATAAAATATTTTTTTGTCTGGGTCTGTTTCAACATTTTCCTTTTTTTTTTTCGAATATTTACAAACGGTGCGTCGACATGACAAACGTCATCTTACAAGTGCACAATTGTTTTAATAAATTCATTCCTAAAAAATCACTTTAAATCCTACCTAAAAATCAGTACTAATTAATTACGTAACTATTAGTGCCGGTGTTGTGCCGTTTTAATTCGCCTAAATAATTTTATCTTGCGTGTGCTGCAAACTAGAACAATAGTGCAACATCAGCACCGACAAACCGTGCACTTTCGCATCAGCCTTGCCCATCAGAAACGCCAATTTGGCCTTTTCCACCTCGGAATCCTCGCTACCCATGCGCTTCGACAGGTCCATGTGCTGCATAGTCACCGAATCGAGGCACTTCTTCAGCTCGCTCATCTAAAATACATTCGTTTCACAATCTAATTACTCATCAGGTACACAATCTCACCATCAAATTCATCTTCTCGACTCGCTCTTCGTGCGACAAGTGAGCGTACATGCTCCTGCCCGTGTCTTTGGCGGCGTCCATTAGAGTCTCGTCGTTCGGACACTGCATCACCTGCTCCAGCAGCTTATCGATCGCATCGGACGCTTCGGCCGGATTCCTTTGCACCTCGTCCAACACCTCCGGGCATGTCACGAACGGATTCGCGTTCGTCAGCGACTGCTTTCTGCTGGGAGTGCGCTGCGGCGACGGCGGCAGACTCCTAGATGTGCCCCCCGCATACGGAGAACCTGAAATGTGTACATTACATGGAACATCATCAATACGTAGTTCGATTACTGTGGTCTCAACATACCGGGTATGGTTAGATTGTTAACGCTGTTGACTCGTTTCAAGCCGTTTCCTATGGCGATATCCTCTCCTATTTCTGTCATGGTTATTTCCGGACCGTCAGATCCTTCGTTTTTGTTGTTGGGATTACAACCTTTGCTCGTCTGGCATTTTATGATGCATTTCTTGTGGCAACACAGCGAGCACTGCTTGCATTGCACGGCGTCTTTCAACCATATCTGCAAGCACACCAAATAATTCTCATTCATCAGCGCCCGTGGTTGGGCAACCGCCGGTGTACCTTTTTCGAGCAAAAATCGCAATGCGTCGTCCGGTGGAACTGCGTCCGGACGAAATCGTGCTGCGCCCCGGCCGCCGCCTCCGTCGGCTTGGGCCCGTCGCCGGGCGCCGCCGCCGCCTCCGGCGCCTTCCTCTTCATCTCGACGACGTCGTCGTGCGACCAGACGAACGCCAGCAGGACGTCGCCGTAGCAGAACACCTGCTCGAAGCCCGAGTGCATCAGCAACGGGTGCGATTGCGGCGCGTTGTTCGGCGGCAGGAACGAGTAGCAGCGCGTGTAGTTCCCCAGAAAGCTAAACGGAAATATTCGAGTAGGCTGTTGGTGTCGGCGGTGGTCTTTTACCTGTTGCAACATTCGGCCAGCACGTGGTTTAGTGGTATGTTGGCGTAGCCGAGGAGCACGTCCTTGTCGCCGTTCTCCTGGGTGCCCCAGGCGTTTACGTTCAAATACTTGAAGGGCTCCTTCAGGGCGAATTGGAAATCTTCGTTCAATTGCAGGACGATGGAGTTTTGCAGCGGCGTCTCTTTGCTTTTGTGTACCTTAAATATAAGAAAGTAAGATTACATTTGTGTATAATAATGTGATCATTCACCTCGATATTAACGGGAATTTCAGGTTGTCCGTTCTCCATGTCCGTAGTAGTGATTTCCGGTATATCGGATATAACAGTTTTCTTATGCGTAAAGGATTGGGGTTGCTTCGATGGGGTGGAGGGCGTGCTGGAGGCGGGGGTGGTTTTGGCGCTTCCGCTATCTGAAACCCCCAAACGTTAATCAACGGGAACTTAGATGCGTGAAGATACCACCTGATAAAGACGTCTTCCTTTTCCTCAAACTGAAATTTCCAATAGTTTGAGCGAACTTGGCCATGTTCTCGTTCGACGGTATAATCTTAGGAACTCGCTTTTTTGTGTCTTTCGGCTGCGTTTCGACCATCACGAAACCGTCTTGATCGCTTTGCTCTCTGGCTAATTCGTTCTCTTCCGGCACCTCTGCGGTCGGACACGGCTCTCTCCTCTCGGTCTCTACACATCGAACAAACTCAAATTTACATCCGAAAAAAAGAATCTGTCGATTCGCCCGGCTCACCGTCCGCGGAGTACTTCGATTTGATGCGATAGTTCTCGGCGACCCGCTCCACCTTCAACGTGTAATTGGCGGCGGCGACGGATTTGATCAATTTGGCTACCTGCGGCACGGTCTGCACCGATCGGTTGTCCACCGCCAGCACGACGTCGTTGGGCTGCAGGCCCGACTTGTAGGCGGCGCCGAACGTCGAGACGCTCTCCACCGCGACGGCGCCCTGGTCCTGCTTAAAGACGACGCCGAGCGGCGCCTGCCTGGCCTTGCTGATCGTTATCTCTAAGGTCACGTAGAAGGCGTCGTCTCTTTGGTGCAAGCACATCCAAGGGATGGTGTCTGGAAATTTGCGATTGTATATCGAGGATGTGTTCGATGCTGGAAATGTAGTTACCCAAGCACATGGTGCAGTAAATATTTTGAATGCCGGCTGGTAAAGAAAGTCTCGATATCTCGATGCAGGTTATTTCTAACTGTCCTTGGGGTACGATTTCGTTGTCTTCGGCGTCCAATTGGCTGGGATCGGTTTTGGAGAAAAACGGTTTGTACCTGTACATTACATAAAAACATAAACCATGCGATTGAATTGAATAAGAAACCAGATACCTCAATTTGTAGTTGGGCAGGGTGTGCTTCCTTTTGATGGCCTTTTTGATCTGGTTAACGATCAAATTGGTGATGTTGCTTTGCAGCTGCCTGCCCTGAAAGTGGGACTCCACTTGGAGCTCCAACAGCGGGTCGGTGTAGAAGCTGAACGACCAATGTGTGTAAGGCTGTCGGGAGAATTCCAGTCTGGCTTCGCCGGTGATTCTTTTTACTGAAGATAAAACCGCTGCTTATGTATCTACTGCAATTTAAATCGTAAAAAATGTACCTTTTATTGAAAGATAAGCAGTCTTGCCGAATTTCATTTTACCATCCACACTTAATAAAAAATTGCCTGTGTAATCCAATTTCACGCATAAACTGACGCTCTCGATGTAACCCTCTTTTTTATCCACTTTTACCTCGTCTACCGATATGTCTTTGATGTCTGGAAACTCCGTTCCCAGATGCATGTCTCTTATCTAAAAAGGCAATCAACTAAGACTATTTTCGACTAAAAGCAACATTAATCGTACTGTAATACTATCAAAGAATTTCCCTATAGTCGTTTTGGTTAATAGTTCGTCGAATTCCACAGTCAGTTTTTTGTACAGCCATCTCTTGATCATTTCAGAATGTCGCAATTCGTGAAATAGGAATTGTAATACTAAACTAATTGGTAAACTTCGGCCTTTCTCTTTGTCACAGAAATCTTCAGTTTCCAATTTTTTCCTTAGCGCCTGCAAAAAGAAGCAAATTCAACGGAATGGCAAATGGGGTCAATTTCAATTTAACCTGCGGTAGGCTGTAGTTAACAGGATCTTTATTCAACGAGGGTTTCGCGCTAGGGCTGTTTTTTAAGTAAACATAAAGAATGTAATATTGTACACATAAAGTTAGGATTACTCCGAATAATACTGAAATACAGGCGAGGAAAATAGCCGTGAAAATATCCATATTTGGCAGTTATCACAAGAATTTTGTTTTAGACCGATGGAAAGTAATTTTTTCTTCATTAAAATCGATTAAGCTACATTATTAGCTGGCTTTTCAAACAACATTTTTTGTTTTCATCAAACTTCATCTTCAAAAATCGAAGATGACACTAATGACACAACAACTGTCACTTTCTACCTCTTCGTTCGCTGACTATTACTTTTAAGCTATCCGACCATTACATAACAGAAATCTACTAGAAAAGAATCTTTTCTTCATATATATAATAAGATTATTTCAATTATTACCAATAAGTTCATAAACAGTTATTGCTTTATTAATCTACATACTCACACTTAATAAAAAATAATGACTTTTGACTAGTAACGTTAAGACCATTAAAACCCCCTAATTCTAATCTTCTACGACCTCCTCGACGGCCTCGTCGTTGTCTTCAGCCCGTGATCTCGCCGCCTTCGGCACGAGATGGGGCACGGGCACGCCGAGACCGTCCGCCAACGCCTGCACCACCTCCTTGCTCAGGTAATAGGTGATCGGCGTGTTGACGCTGCGCTCGAGCAGCTGCCGCAACTCCATAAACATCTGCTTGGCTTCGGAGAAGTTCCCCGTCTTCACCTGGTACTGGATCATCACCGAGTAGATGTCGCCGCGTCGGACGGCCACCTCCAGGTCGTTGCCGTTGGTCATCAGCAACTGCTGGCATTGAGTCAGGGCTGCAAAAAGTGGTTAGCGTAACTAAAAGTCGGAGGCCTCGAGCGTTTGAATCGGTTATTCACCCGTTTGTCCGTCGCCCCTTTCGAACAGCTTGCGTATATCGACGAACTTCTTGACCAAAGTTAAGCGTTGTTGTACTATTTCGGTGGCTCTTTGAATTTGCTTGGGGTCGCGGGGTTCGGTAATTTTTTGCAGGCATCTCGAAGCCTCCGTTAGAGCGCCGAAGGCCTTCTCGTAGTTTTGGAATTCGTCGATTTCCACCTACGATTGTTAATTGAATAAAACGTGAACGTATCTTGTAGGTGGTTGTATAGCTTACTTGAGCGCAGGCCACGTAAAAATTAGCCAACAGATCCAAAGCCTTGCCTTTCGAATAGAACGTTATGATGTTTCGAAGGACTTCGGGATGATTTTGCCAATCTGTCGTTTGTAAATAATTAGCCGCCATGATGTAGATTTCCCTTTGTCGAGAAACGCTCGCGAAGAACGTGATTTTCTCCGTATCGCCTGATTTTAGTAAAGCCTTCATCGCTCGAATCTACGCAAAAAGTCTTCTACTACTTCTACACGCCGCATCGATGATAATCTCACCTTGTCTCCAGCTTGAGTGAACTTTTTCGTAGCCAAATGATAATCGCCTTGAACCATCAGGCTTTCAGCCAGCGATTCCAGCACCATAATCTTGGTATCCTCATCCACCGATTCATTCGAGGGCGTTAATTTTTCCACAAGGTCTTCGTTGAGTTGCACGTTGTGCTTCACGCACAATTCAATGGCGTGAGTATACTAAAAATATATACTAATAAACCGAATTGTGTGTTATGAGTTCCATTAGTACCTGTTTAACGATAGCCAACAAATCCACGGCTTTGTCGAATTGCTCGTTATCGATGAAATACTCAGCGCATTTCCGCACCAATGCCGGATCGGAATCGACGTTCAACTCGGAGGCGATCTCCTGCAGGATGTCGTACTGTCGAGTCTTGAACGCCAATTCGATGGCCTTGTGCAACATGCCGCCGCGATGGTACAACACGGCCGATCGCTCCAAATCGCCCTGCTCCTCGAAATACTTGGCTATTTGGATCTTCTCCTTGCCGGACGCCACCACGCTGAGATTCCACAGCTCCTCCGACATGTTGTTCTCCTTGCACAGGCGCACCGCGTTGCTGTAGGCCGTCGCCTTGGTGAACATGTTGACGGCCTCCTCGCAGTTCCCGACGGTCTCGTAGTACCGCGCCATGTGGTAGAAGGCCGCCTTGTCGGCGTTGCCGCGCGCCAAATCGGCCGCCAGCGATTCCTTGCCCAGGAAACACAACACCCTCACCTGCGAGTATATATCCCCCGCGTTGGAGTATATTTTCAGAGCCGACACCATGTCGCCTTGGGATTCGACGTATTGGCCCCACCATTTCATCATTTCCCTGCGCAACGCAACGATAAATACACTTCGTTATATCTTCAGCGAATTGTATACTTGTCTTTAGTTTTGGTCATGTAGGCTTGCAGCTGCTGTGGATGATCGCTGAGCATTCTGGGCACGTCGTAGAGGTGAGTGTTGGCCCTCTCGTATCTCGCGGCGGCTTCTTTGAAATCCTCCGCCTGCTCGAGCATTTTCGCCCAGCTGTACTCGGTGTTCCTCAGGTTGATGCGATCCTTCGATTCGGCGACGGCGTGCGCCGCGTCCATTTTGTTCCGGCTGCGCAGCAGTTTGTTCTGCAGGTCGTACCGGCCGCACTCGACGTATAGTTGCTCGGCTTCTTCCTGCGAACCAATGACACATAATGATTGTAATAAATGGGGGTGTTGTCTATATACCAGCATGTTCAAGTGAACGGCCAGAAGGGCTACTTTGGCTTCTAATTCTAAGGAATCGTCGGTGGCGGCTAGTCTTAAAGCTCTAGCGGCGGAAGCGTTTCCCATGTGGCCCAAGCAGACTTCGGCCACGTCCAAACGTTTTGTTTTCACGCACATTTTAGCCAGGCTTCTCCATACACTGCTGCTTTGGACCAGCTTAATGGATTTAAAAGCGGCGTCCATGTCGCCTAGATTAACAATAAACCAACATTTAATTTTCTACTATAAGGATTTATATGTTATCGAACGAGTGCAATTGGCTTACACCCTTACGCTTTAAACTTCAAGTCGAAACGTCACTTTTTAGGTGCGTAAATTAGAATTACCAACTGCACCCGTTCGGTGAAATATAATCCAAAAAGAAATGTTTCTACCTAATGATAAATTGTAACTGAATTCGAGTACGGCGCTGCTGGTGGAGCTGTCGCAGTTCTCCAAACCGACAAAATCGCTCATCGTGTCTCTGACTACGCTCAATTTTTGCATAGATACAATGTAAGGGGCGATGCAGGCGAGCAATTTCGTCTCCAATTCGGCGGATTTGATATCGTGAATTTTTATACCGTTATCCGACGATACGAACATCGTTATGATTATGTGATCCTCGTCGCCCAAGTTCTTCTTTTCCTCTAAAAAATTTGACATTAAAAAGCGATCGTGAAGCGGAGATTGTAGGTGCTAACCCGATTTGGTCCTGGCGAGGAAACCCTTCCCGTGGCCGGGCAATTTGATCTTTCTGGCGCTGCAAATCAACAACCTGGGATCGGATTTGTCCCACGCGAAGCCCGTCGGGATCCTGTTGCGGCAATATTCGTCGAATTTCGACGTTCTATCGCCAGCGCCCTCTGGCGACGTATCGAGATACTCGCCTTCCAGGAAATCGTACTTTCGAAAATCGTACAAGAACGTGACGTCCTTTTCGATGTCCCACACGTAGAGCTTCCCGTCGGGCACCAAATTCGCCGCCGCCACGGCGAAAGCCACTTTGGTGCCCGTCGAATTTGTTTTCGCTTGGATTATTTCCCCAAAATCGGCCACCATGTCGTAGACGTTTCGAAACGGCGTGACGAGCCTCGGTTGCTCTGAAAATTAACATACAATATTCATCAAGCTTCATACAAAACAAGAAAGTAACACTTGTGAAGGTAATTTTACCAGATAAATCGTAAATTTTCAAATATCCTTCCATGGTAAACACAGTCAAAAAATTCGCCGTCACGTCCATACCGATATTCTCGCCCTCGCTCAATGTACCGGGAATCAAAAACACTGTAGACCCAGTAGTGGATAAAATCGAAACCGTTTTCGAATTCATAGCTATAACGTTCCTTCGATAAACAATGATAGTTTCGTTATCGTTGTTGAAACTATTCGAATATTTAACCGAGAAATTCCTGTCGGTATTGTCCCCTTTACCGTCGCCGCTCGTATTCCAAGCGATCTCGTAAATCGACACGCTTCTGCCGTCGGTGAACGCCAAAATATCCTCCGAAATCGACATATCGGTCACTTGCGATTCCAACTGCAACACGTAGTCCCCTCTATCAGCTTCGAGCAGCACCTGCGCCGAGGTTTTCTGCGTGGCCCAAATCTTCTCCGAGAAGCTGCAGCAAACGCTCTGCTCCTTCATCACGTACACGGACGTCACGCAATTCACGCTCAACAGCGGCAATCTGGTCATCAACGAGCCCCAAATCACCTGCTTGATGGTGCCGCTGATCGAATTCACGTTGTTCAATTCCCACAAATCGTCGGGACTCTCAATCTCCGAGCTATTCTGTCTCCTACAATTCGAAATAATCTATTAATTATAGTAAGATTATGTTTTAAAGAATGGGTGCAATTGGTAAATGTGATTTACGCACCGAAAAAGTGACGTTTCGATGTGAAGTTTAAAGCGTAAGGGTGCGAACCAACTGCACTTGTTCTGTTAACGATAAATCCTCGACAGAACAAAATGCAGTGGAATTCTATTTACCTAGTCCAGAAGTACACTCTGCCGATGTTAGTACCGGCGCATAGCGTGTGATTTAAACTGCAGTACGACACGCAAGTGAATATCTCGTTCACCGTGTGGTACTTGTCCTGGGTGTCGTACAGTTTCATTTGCGTGGGCAAAACGTAATTGTCGTTCGTTTCGATGTCCCAAACGCGCGCTACCAAATCCCCTAGAAACAATGTAAGATTAGTACTCGGAAATGTGTGTACTTTCTGCGTATACAGTGCAAATATAGAGGCCTTATAATACCTGTTAATACAGCTAGGCAATTGATTCCCGCCCACGTGATGCTCTGATTGCCGACGTTTCTGGTTTGCACCCTTCCGCTGAGCTTCACCTTGGTGATTTCGGTCAATTGGCCGCGAAAATCCACGGAGAAATAGCAAATAGTGAAACCTTCCAACATTATGACCACAGCATCTTTGGAACGATGATATAGCATCGTTGATACGGCTACACCGTCGGTATTGAACACTTCAGAACAAGACCCGCTGGTGTTCACGTAATACACAGAACCTGTAGGATTACTGAAGTAAATATCCTTCTAAAACTACTATGTTTTATGTACCCGCTTGAGTGACGATGAAGAAATTCACGTTGTCCGAGCCGTCTTGGACTTTGAATTTCCTGGCAGTGGTCTTGGGGCGCCAGCTGCTGAACATATCGAGGGCGTTCTCGTCCCCGTTCACCGCCGCTTTGGCGAGGCCTTCCACGTCGAAGTCCGCGTGCATTTTTATCGTTCGCCTGAAGGTTATCTGCGTGACGGATTCCTTCAGATCCAGGTGGAACGAAAGGTTCGTGTCCCCCTTGCCGGCCATTTTCCAGCCCACCACCGACCCGCTCTGAAAGTCAATTCGTGCATTTTAAAAGGTTTGTAAAGTGAGTATATTTACCGAATCGCATGTGACTAATCTACTGCCTTTTTCGCTGAATGCCAGAGCAGTAATAGGCGCCTTGTGGGGCCCGACTACGTCGGAAAACTCCTTATCGGTGCCGTTCCATATTTTCAATTCGCCGTTCTCCCAGCCTGTGGCCAGCAGGATACGGTCGGGGTGCCAGGCGAGGGCCGTGACTTGGAAGCTCCTGTGCACCGGGTAGTTCACGTTCTTCAGCGACTCGCCCTGTGATTGCGGTGATATTAAACGCGTCTGGGAGCTTTATTTACTTACCAATTCGTCGAATATGATGACGAAGCCGCCTCTGTCTTGCGAAAAACCGGCGACGGCCAAAAGCGGGGTGTTGGAATGCCAGACGCTGTTGATGGATATCGAGCCGGGCTCTGGAAAAACAACGGGGGTTTCGAAATATAATGTCATAGCGGATTTTTTGGTGGAATTTTTAATTAACTTCCACCAGTTTTCAATGTGTTGATTTCAAATAATTAAACACAATCTACGTTGCCATGGTAACCGTGTGACATTTGACGTTTGTGACAATTAAGTTGACGTTTACGTCAAATTTTTAGTGATTTTTAGTTTTATTTTTGCTAATATACGAATAAATACAACAATAATTAATAAATAAATAGAATAGAAAAATATGATTAATTTTTAGTACATTTGTTATTGTTTGAATACAAATTATTCGTTCTAAATTAACACACGAAACTAGTTACTTCATTTTTCAACAGTTGGTACCAGTGAAAATATCTAGTGACTCTTTCTGTCATCTAAGTTGATGGCGATCACGGTTTATTTGCCGAGAATTTAATTATTCCGCTTATTTTACAATCATCGTTGTATTTTTCCCAATTGTTTCACTTGAATTAAATAAAATACACCATGGGTGACAAAGTAAGTACAATATGTTAATCGAAATGCGGACGTTTTCGACGCAATTCAATTTTATATCGATGTTATTGCTATTTCAATATGAACCTAATAATTTGTTTTTTAGGTTGATGAACAAGTTAAGAAGAAGAGGACTTTTAAAAAGTTCACCTACCGAGGTGTTGATTTAGATCAACTTTTAGACATGCCCAAGTAAGATCACCTTTCTAAACTTATTCGTAATGTACAGTCATTTTAAGGTTATGTGTTACAAGCCTTCAATTCTTCAATAGCAACTCAAATATTACTAGATTATTCTTCGTTAGCATAAAAATAAATAGGAACTTATTATTTACAATTAAATTTATGGTTTTCAACTTTTTAGTGAGCAACTTATGGAGATGATGCACTGTCGTGCTCGAAGGCGCTTCACAAGGGGTCTCAAACGTAAACCCATGGCTTTAGTAAAGAAACTGCGCAAAGCCAAAAAAGAAGCCCCGCCACTAGAGAAACCCGAAATCGTGAAAACGCATTTGAGGAACATGATCATTGTACCCGAAATGGTAGGATCGATTGTTGGCGTTTACAACGGTAAAGCTTTCAATCAAGTTGAAATCAAACCTGAGATGATCGGACACTACTTGGGAGAGTTTTCGTTGACATACAAACCCGTCAAGCACGGTAGGCCTGGAATTGGTGCTACGCACAGTTCGAGGTTTATTCCTCTCAAATAAACAACTTTTTTATGTTTTGATTAGGTTAAACAATAAATCGCTTTCTGAGAGGTATTTGAGTGTTTTAATGTTTACATGTTAGTTCGATTAGGTCGAATAAAGGACCTTATGTTGAGACAATGAACAGAAATCAGTGTATACATTACAATCTTGCCTACAGTCACATAATTATTGTTTCAGAATTTTTGTGACAAAAATTTTAGTACACAGGAAAGTAAAAAAAAAAGTTGTAATGTGGCGCCATCTTCAATTTTATCACAAAACTAAGGGTACATGGTTTTTCGTATAGGTGGAGCTGATAATAACTACTCGCTCACAGATATTTAGTCGCTTGAGATACAAATATGAGTTGTGAAAATGTGTTAGTGTACTCGCTTCGGCGGTACATATACTAAAATTGGAACGATACAGAGAAGATTAGCATGGCCCCTGCGCAAGGATGACACGCAAAATCGTGAAGCGTTCCACATTTTTTTGATCTTTTTATACTTGTATAATTCAATGTTTATTCATTTTTGATAATTTGATTTTTACAGTAATTGCACTTCTTACCATGCCGAATAAAAGTCTTCGAATATTAAATGAAAAATTTATTTATATATCAGCCCACGGCTTATAATAATAATATAGTAATAATAATCATCACAATACAAAACGTACAATTTATATTAAAAAAAAAAAACAATAAAATACACATTTGTTTCCTTAATATTCCTATGCAATATTGTAAAAATAGCATCATAAAAATCTCCCAACACGTTTAAAAAAACTTACAATATGTATATTTTTACAAGACCCTATTTTGTCCGAGCACGTCGCCCGCTAACTCTCCGCCTTTTCATTGACTTTGTCTTCATACGCAGCGAAAACACTTTCGCAAACGAAACGGTACTGACTCTAAAAGCACAAAAAAAAATTAACATCACAATCACGAATCACTCATCATAAAACTTACAGCATTTTGTATCATCATGGCTCGTTGCTCTCTCATCGTCTTGACGATTTCCAACGGATACACCGGCTCGCCGGCCTCCATCAGACACAGCGCCGTCTCCATGAGCACCATGACGCCCGTGCGTCCGATGCCGGCGCTGCAATGCACGACGACGGGCGAGCCCTCCGCCCTGTTGGCGCGCACCCGCTCAGTGAACGCGAGGAACTCCACGGGGGAATCGGGCACCCCGTGGTCCGGCCACGCCACGTACTGCATGTGCTTTATCTCCTTCGAAACGTTGTCCTGGAAATCGCTTAATGAGACAAACCTTCGATAGAAATGGGTTCGTTTACCTTCACATCGACCACCACGAAGTCCCTGAACACGAAGCTCTCCGATTGATCGATCTCTTCTTTAACGCACTTCACGATGATGTCTTTCAATGTGAGTATGCCGTCGAGGTCCGGCCAATATTTGTGGCATTTCGAACGGCCTTTTTCTATCAGGGTGGTCAGCATCACTATCAGGTTGGAATCCTCTTGCAGCACCATCGACCAAAATTCTTCTACCGTGGTGGAAAGAGGACCTTGCGTGGCTATGTAGCGATTGGTCACGTCCGTATTCGAGATGCTCATATCAATAAAATTGGCGTTGATGTAATCGCTGCCGTTATCGACGGTTTTCAGCACAACTCGAGTGGTATCGTCTAAAAATTCGTAAAATAACAACAATCTTCCTCCGAAGTATCAAACAACTCACATGGTAGAATATCCCTGTAGCGATTCTTGTTCACGTTGTCGGCCTTGAGCGATTCGTTGCTCGTCAAATCGGGATGCTTCCTGAACAACGTTTCGTATTGAGCGATCAGCGCTCCGCTAGCCAGACCGTCAGCCAGCAACAACATGCTCTGTTGCAGAGCGTTACCGGGCGAAGGGGGCTCCGCTCCGCCAACCGGCACGTACTGGTACGGCGGCTCCTCGAAGTCACCTTCGTACGCTTGGTAAGCGCTCGGCTTCACCACCAGCACCAATTTACCTACGAATATATATAGAGTAATAAAACGCAGCGAGCCGAATAGGCGCAAACCGTACCGGAATCGGACCGCCTCGCCTCCTGTATCAGCTCGACGACCTCCTCGTGGCGCGCCCGCGACACGTCCTTGCCGTTGATGCGCAACAGCCGATCGCCCTCGGTGAGCCGCGGCACGCTCTCGCCGGCCGGCGTGCCGGGCGCGACGCGCGACACCAGCACGGCCGCCTCCGCGCCGTCGCCGCCCTTCACGTTGAAGCCGTACTTGCCGTCGGCGTCCGGCCGTATGGCCACCGTCACGGCGTCGACGTCGGCGGGGGAGCGCGCCGTCGCCGGCGAGTGGCTCGGGCTGTACGGCGGCGTGTCGTAGAGGCCGTTCGACGTCGGCGACGCCGGCGCCTCCTCGTCGTCCGCGTACGACATTATGCGACCGGCGATGCCCGGCGAGAAGGGCCCTTCGGCCGGCTTGTCCGCGTAACACGAGTCCCTGCGGAACGTTCGAAATTACTAAATTACCCGTACAATGTTACTTAGTACATACTCATCCGGTATTCTAGTATCCTCAGTCCAAGCTTTCTTCGGTTCTTTCGTATCCAACGATGTAACTTTGTGAGCGTAACTTCCCGAAGTCCTCGTACACTTCGTTTTATCCTCCACGGTACTCGATCGTATGGCCGGAGAACTCTACAAGACAACCAAATAAATAATTCGACAAAAACTCGATGACGAGATCTCATCTTGTTGGTCTTACCAAATTCCTGCTGGACGATCTGACGAACTTCCGTTCGAGGCCGCTGCGCCGGCGCGCCTCCGCCAACGTCTGGTACTCGGTGCGACCGGAGTACGAGAACTTGGAGCCGAGGGAGAAGGGAAAACGGCGCCGCGCCCGCGGCGAGTGCAGCCTGAAGAAGGTGTGATGTTCGACGGACGACTTCCACAGCGTCTTCGAGGAGCGGTAGGTTTCCATGTTGAAGCCCAACAGCGTATCGTACGATTCCGACTGAAACACACAACATTACTCGTATTATAACCGCGTAATCGACTTGGCGGGATTCGGTGTATGAAAGAGACCGGACCAAGGGGAATCTTAGCGGGTTGTAACTGACCGGTTCGCGACGGAGCTGTATGAAAAACTGCTTCCTCTTGAAGGAGATCTTCATGATTTTGGACCAGGAGAAGACGTTGATGCGCACGTTGTTTTGGAAGACGACGAGGCCCGAGTGGGTGACGCCCAGGCGGATCTCCCTGTCGGTGTTGTCGCGGGCTTTGTGCAGTTCCACGCCGTACATTTCGAGCCGTTTGGCGTGATCCAGGAAATTGAATTCGGCGTCTGCCGGCGATTGGCCCCTATAGAATAGAGAACATATAGTATTTATAATATATTGTGGGTGTTCTTCGTACTTGTGGAGTTTGTGGAGCTCCGTTATCTTCCTTTCGAGGTCCTCCGTTTGGTTGGGAATTAGGCACATGTCTGATAAATAGTTGACTTCGTGTTCCTCCGGTTGGTAATCGCCTAATTCGGCTAAAACCCAACAAAATTACTCGTATATACTCGTAATAAACATATCATACGTACATTGTACTGTATAACTAGCTAATAATATGGCAGTGCTGGGCGGTAAGTGTAATTTCCCTTCTAAAATATCCCTTCTTAGTTGCAAATAAAACTGATATCTGGTGTACTCTTCTTGCAGCTTACTCGGATCGGATACATAAAACTTAACTCTAAAATACAAGACATGTTGGCGCGTGCCGAGCTGCTTCTTTACCAGTTTGGACGGATCCAGCCAACGCTGAAACAAAATTTTGACATATCAACACCAGTCAAAATGACATACATTTGACATTGACGTTTGTATAAAAAAACATTACCATGCACGATAAACATTGGCTGTCATTATCACAACACCTCAAGCCGAAGTAGTCCTTTTCGATCAGCTCGAGGTGATCGAAGACTCGCTCGAGCAAATCGGAGCCCTTCGCCCGTTTCTCCAATCTGAAAACGCGCTCGCTGTCGTCGAGAAATTTCACGGTGACGCCGAGCGTTTTCGATTTTCTCTCCCTGGCGGCGGCCAGCTCTAAAGCGTGTACGTTGTAGGTGCCACTCGAACCGCCGAAAGCCCTCTTAGACACGCTTTCTATCATTTTCGAGCGCTCGATCGGGGCTGCATGCTTCTGGAACAGTACGAAACGCGCGGATCTAGTAGGCTTTGATATCAACTGTCAAATTACTCGTACATCCAAAAATAAAATAACTACTCGTAAAAATTAAATAAGATATAACCCTAATTAACGAAAAAAATAATATTTAACTTACAGGAGTACATGGACGCTTTATTGATAATGTTAATGATTCAAACGTTTTATCAACAATCAACCTCTGGTCATCACTTAATTATTTAATTAACTCTACACGATTTTGCCGAAGTTTTATTAGTAGGCGTAGTAATGGGATTTTCATCAAATGGAATTATCCATGGCAGATCTACTTGTACTTGAAATGCGATATTAAGAGAATCAACAATGCAATGCGGAAGGCATTTTTTGGTATTTCGAGAGATATGTATGTGTCCCGATTTAGTTTTATTTATTTTAACATTTTACATCACAAATTGCGTTTTGTATAACAAAATTACTTCTTTGGTGTTGTGTCAATCAAGTCAGCTCAGTCAGCTGTCAGCCGGTCGCGCCATCTACCAGACGAAAAAATATTGTTTGACATATTTAATCAATACCACGAATTATCGATTATCTATTCGATTGTAAAATTTATTTTGAAGTGTAATAAACAATTATTAGCAACATTTAATGATTATACATTGTCTAAAATAAATATTTCTATTTGTAATTTAAACTTTTCTAATCACAAGTGGCTCTTTTGTAGTTGTTTTGTAACTTTTGTATGAAACTGGTAATCGAATGATCGATGTTTTTCGAGTGATCGCAGTAATCGAATGATTCTATTATGTTTTTAAAGATGGCCCTAAATATGTGACGTTCATTTGTGAACAAATATCTGTTGAAATTGTAGAAAAGAAAGCCTTTCCACGTATCGAATAAACCAAATATACCAGAAGAAAGGCGAGTTGGAGCTAAAACAAAAAATCATGCTCGCTTAAGGTCGTGGCAAAATGAAGATTATCGTTTAGTTCACCATCTGTTTTAACATAAATTCATTCAAAAAGCTCGCAGTAATCGTTACAGGACGATATTGCACAAATATGGGGTCCTCCAGCGAGGATATCATCAAAGCCATCCTGCACTACCAGGAGAGATTAGAGAGGTACAATTTGAAGAAAAGCGAGGATAAGGTAGACATTTTCTCTCTCCATTTTTTTCATATTACAACGCAATTGTACGAGAAAAAAGTAACACAATATCTTTCAGATGTTGTACGTGCTGCGAAAATTAAGCAAACTTCCCATTAAAACATCACACTTGGAAACGACGGGCGTTGGAAGAACTGTGAACGCACTGAAGAAGCTCAACGGTAAGGTAGCCGATTCGGCCAAAGACCTGGTCATGACGTGGAAAGAAATGGTCTTGGAAGAGGAAGAGAAAGCCGCCCAGGAAAATGCGATAGGTAAACTAAAGCATCACGATTTGCAATCGATACCGAGCAATTTCTTTTGTACAGAAACCGAAGAAGACGCCGATTCGGTGTACTCCAGTGATAACGAGCAATCCCTCCGGATCGAAGAAGGCAAAGAAAACGTCAACAATGAATCGGACGAAGAAAGCGACCACAGCGACGAGAGCGAACGCAACACCAAACAACCGAGTCAAAGTCGACTAGATAAAAGCAAACACAACGATTCAACGGACGAAGAATCGAGGAGGCGATCGAAGAAGCGGCCTCGATCGAGCGATTCCAGCTCCGACGACGCCTCGAAACACAAACCGAAAAAGAGCAAACGCGACCACCACAAGGACAAGGTAGAGAGAAAACACGACAGGCATTCCTCGTCCGGCAAAACCAAACACAAATCGCCCGATAAAGATAAGACTGATAGGGATAGAAGCGGGAAATCTAGTCACTCGTCCAAGCACAAATCCTCGGAATCTCAGGCCGATCGCAAGGAGAGAAAAGACAAGAGCGACGCCGACGGGCATTCGAAGCACCGAGACAAATCGAAGAAACCGAAAGAGGATAGAAAGCAATCGACGTCGAAGAACGAAACGGAAGCGAAGAAGGAGAAGAGCAAAGTAAAGATTATCAATGGTATCGATTCCGAGTCGGGTGCCAGTTTCGCCGAAGCGCTCGGCATGTGCGGCCCCACGTCTAGTCATAGCAATAAGAAGAAACCGAGCTCTGATAGGAAACCACACAAATCCGAACCGAGCAAGAGCTCCAACTCCAAACACGACGACAGTAAAAGCAAAGCTCCACCGAAACCCGTAAGTTTACTAGCTCGTACTAATCAATTAATAAACCGCCCGTTTGTAGATCCCGGATTTGCTTAACGATGTGCCCAACGAACCATTAAACATCTGCCTGTCTAGCCTTCTGCCGGAGATCACTCCCCATTACAAACCCACGCCTTTGAATTTGGATTTGCAAGCCAAGCGGGTGCTCAACGAAGACGAGGCCTTGAGCAGGGTCATGTCCAACAAAAATCAAAGGTTTAGTATTTAACGCCTCGTCTTCGAACACTTATTGAATATATCCGTTTTAGAACGAAAGTATATTCAGGCAACAAGACGGTAGGAAAAGTGGAAAGCTTGTTCCAAATATGCGTGCGGATATTACAAGACAACATAGAAGGTACCAAACTAAACGTTAGAAATCGCCTTCGTTAATCGACGGAATTGTTCCAGCTTTGGAGTACACCGGAGGAGTGCCCTATCACATTCTCAAGCCGATCTTGGACAGGGCCACGCCCGATCAGCTGTTCAACCTGGAGCACCACAATCCGTACCTGATCGAGGAGACGGACGAGCTGTGGCAGCTGCTCTGCCAGAAGGACTTCAGGAACAAGAAGCGCGAAGAGCTGGAATCGTGGCGGGAGATGTACATGCGGTGTCTGGACGAGCGCGAGGCCAAATTGAACCTGATCACGGCCAGCATCAAGCAGTCGCAGGACAAATCGGAGCCGGTGCGCACCACCAAATTGGCCTACGTCGATTCGAGCTTCGTCAAACCGCCCAGGAATATAGCCAGGAAACAGGTATTAATGCGCCTTACGGATTACAAAATGGATCGTTATAAACGACTGGCAGAGTGTTAGTGAGGATAGAATAAAATAATAGGCTAGAGAAGTAGAGGGAGTAGAGGACTTCAGAAGTGGGTAGGAAGAGGATAGGGAGTAGAGGGTAGATTTGATTCACAATGGAGGGTAGAAGGGGTTAGGAAGGGGAATGGAAGACTGCAGAAGTGGGTAAGGAGGGGTAGCGTAGAGTAAGTGAGTAGAGGACGGAAAACTAATGGATCATTGGAATATTGTAGGCTAAGAACGGTACATTGCACACGGATAGAAAAATGACTCCGACTCAGAAGCTATCGGCTCTATCTAGATCGGATACTGAGAAAATCGCACTGCCAAATCCGGGTAATCGAGCGGTGGAACGTTCGAGTGAGTATTGAATAATCGTTTGTAATATTCATTTTATTTTGTTCGTATATTTTAGGTAATAGTTCGGCGGCTACTAAGCCGAAGAAGGCGCCCCTGATGGCGAAGACCCTGTCGTTCTTCAAGAACAGGTTCAAAAGATGAGGGCTGTAGGAGATTAAGGTAATTGATAGGAGTAGCGGTAATTGGATATGTTTATAGAGTGAAAAAAAAATAGTTGTAGAAATAAAGCGAGAGATTTATTAGGCGCGTATTATAATGGCGGGTCGTGGAGGACCGCGGGTTTGTGCGAGGATTTGTTGGATATTTTTTTACTAAAAGTGTAGTGAACAAATAAGACTAAAACCCGATGGAAATGATATATTTATTTTTTAAATTGTGATTGATTGATTCCTATCTTTTATTTAATTGAACATAATTTCTACCTAATTTACTCATTTATGGAAATAAACGATTTAACATTACATTAGGACTGTTACTGTTTCTAAATTATTTCGCAGGTGATTTAGTGGAAGTTTTGGGTAAATAAAACGAATGTATCAACATAATTAAAAGTAATTTTATTGTTTTCAACTTTTTTTTATATACTCATTTTTCTCATTTTTCATTCATATTTAACACAGAGGAAAAAAATCATCAGAAATCCCTATACAATACAATCATGAAACACTCTAATTATGCGTTCGAAAGTTAAATCAACTAATTTTACTAAACGTGCTCGTATCTCATGCTATCTTACTTATCTTACTTTTCTTACATACGTTCGTACATTTTCAATTTACTTTTACACACATTTTTTTTGACATACACGAACATGCATAGTTTTACAGACACTCGATTCTTTCAATCGAAAATATCGAGAACATTAAATCAAATTAACGATTCTCGTGAACATTTTTTTGGGAAAACAGTCCGAATAACTCATTATATTTCGAGAACATTAACGAAATGAAATTAGAAATTCTCTATAATGGAAATCAGACTGTTAATATTAATGATTACTATTCGGACGGTTCGATTAATCGATTATTTATTGATTGATCGATTCAAAAACGTGAACGTGGAAAAAGCGCTAGGAAAGTTCGTGTAGAAACTGTCCGAATATACTTATTTTACATATTTTTTTTGCTTCTACTAGAATTAAATTTAATAAAATACACGTACACAATATGATTATTATTGGTTTACAATTAAGGAAAAAAAACGTAAATCCGGCGTTGCCAGATCTCGTGAATTTGTAAAACCCAAAGAAAACGATCGCCGTCTAATACAACGAGAAATTCCGAAACACCCAGATATTAAAATCGAGCCGACAACGCCGCATGACAAAAACCTTTGGTATTGCATACACAATGAATATTCAAATTTTTACATAAATACAAATCAATAAAAAAATAATTTTCCTTTCAAAAATTTCCTTTTTACACTAATCAAAAATTATAATAATAACTTATTTGTACTGTATCAGTATCAGTGTGTATACGGGGCGTCCCGGCAGAACTTGGGACGCCCTGTATTATGTTATTTTTCGGATGGTACTTGAAACAATTTTCGCTAATAATTCGATTGTTACGAAGCGCTTGCATTGAAAAGTGCACTTGCCGCAATGCACATTCGAATTTATAAAACAACCATCACAGAGAGCTTAGACTAATGTATAATAATTCCCATCTCTCTCACTCTCTAGCTCTCCCCGTCTTCAAGCTACAGGGAGGCCCAAACAACGATCAATCCCGTCGTATTGTCGTTAATAAATAAACCATATCGAGGGTATTATTGAATTTCACCGGTCATTCCGGTTATTCGCTAATCCTAAAATAAATCGCTAGACTCGTAATAATCAACAAAAATAAATTATAAGTATAATGTATATTAATTATTATGCTTGTGTCTCACTAAATAGTTGATAAAAAAATGTAAATCGATTAGAATCGCGTCGCGTAAACGAATCGAGAAAAACTTTCAACTGTAAAAAAATGCCCAAAACGTTTTTCCGCGTAATTTGATATAATTTACGCGGCGCGATCGTAATGCCGTAAATAAAATAAAGTTAAACGTGAAAGACTTATGATAGAAATGAAATGGTTTTTCCGCAACATTCGATTTTTTGCACTTCGAATTAATCCAAAAAAAAACTAGCTATAATTCGAAATGACTCGACAACTGAGCGAGAACTTCCCAAATTTTCGGTACTTCGGAAATCGTAGAGCAAACTTTCCTCTACCAAACGAAATATACAGGGCGAATCGATCTCCGGCAGTTATCGAGATTCGAGCGAAAAATTTACTCGCAAATTCCAAAAAATTGGGCGAGAAACGCTGCGAAAAAGAGAAAACTGAGATCATCGATTGATTAATAATACAAGATTTAACGGAAAGACAAGAATCGATAGATTACAGCGTAAATCAATCGATTCGCGATTAGAGCTTGGATAATATGCGATAAAATGGTACGTACAGCTTGTTCCTGTCAACAGAACGATGACGTCATGACATGAATTGTTGAATGAGCTATATGCTCAATGGAGGAAGAAATTAATATAAATAAATGAGATTGTTCACGTTCAATATAGTTTGTTCAACAATTCTGGTTGTGACGTCATCGCTGCGATAACGCGAACATACTATAGTGTATATTTTTTATGAGTTGGTTTTTTGATTTTTTTTGTCGTTTTGACATATTTTGCTCATTTTATTTGTTTTGATTTTTTTTACTATTTTGTATTAAATTTGAAATAATCTACCGTATTAACATTAACTTTTAGTCTAGCTAATTAGCACATTTTCCAAACTCTTATCAATACATTCCCGATCGATACATAATCGATCTCAATTAGTACCCCGCAAGAATTTTTTTGTATATTTTTTTTGTCATTTTAAGTTATTTTTACCGCCAGTAAATGATTAACCCTACGTCCATAATTTTCCGTTACACCCTGTAGATTATTTGTCGCGCAGTCTCTAGCACTTGCGATTGTTATTGGCGTAGGAACGCGTGGCCCCCTGCGATCTTTCGCCCCTTCTCTGCCTTCGATTGCGACTGTTCACTTCACGAGCCTTATTGGTCCTCTCCAGGTTGGCCCTCTTGATGGCCTGGCAGGCTTTCTGGACTTGCGCCTGGACAAATCCACAAGACACATTAGGACACCAGTGGTGGGGTTTTCTAATTGTTTTTACTAACCTTTTGGGCGGTCTTGCCCTTGCGCCGCTGCCTCTCCTGCTGCTGCATCACCTGCAGCCGGTTCAGCCGCGGCACCCTGTTCACCACGACCAGACCCTCGCCCGCCTCGGCGCCCTCCTCCAGCTCCACTTCCACCTGCAGGTCCTCGACGTCGTCGGGCGAGGGGGCCGCCGGCGCCGTCGCCTGCGGGAAGTGCCGCCTGGCCGGGTGGATGCGGTAGACGCTCATGCTGGGGTGCTCGATGAGCAGGTCCTCCATGGGGGAGGTCTCCACGCGCACCGGCCCCGTGGAGGTGAAGCAAGGCGGCGGGGTGACGAACCACGACTCCTCCATGGGGGAGCGCTGGCGGCGCTTCGACGACGCCGGCGAGGCGGGGGCGTCGTCTTCGGCGTCCGACTCGGACAGCTCGGAGTTGCCCTCGCTGTCTCTGTCCACCAGCACCTAGAAACTGGCGATAGAATCGATTCGATTGATCGATCGTTGTGGTCTTACCCAATCGTCCTCCCTGTCGCCGGAGGATCGCAATCGCAGGTTGCCGTGGTTCGCCGGTTCTTCGGTCGCCGATCCTCGTTGGTCTTGTCCCAGGACTGAGCCCAGCAAATAGTTGGCCAAGTTGTGGAACATGTTTGTTGAATTTATTGTTTCGTGCTGCGACTGAAACGTACCAAAAAAACTATGCAGCGTTTCCAGTAAAGGAGTATGTCGAAGGGAACGAGATAGTCGAATTGCGAAATATTTTATTCTTATACACCTCACTCCAATTTCGATTGCAATATAGTCATTTCTATGAGTTGAACAAAGAAAGATTATTAAAATGACAGTTGTCAGAGTGAAGAATTACAATGAGAGAACAGTGTCACTCTTTCTTTTTACTTTATATGTCTAATGAATGTTGTCTTTATCGCATTATAAATGCTTTGAAGGAAAAATTTGTTGTTTAACCGAAATAGCTGCAACATTCGCAAAATGTTTGATAAAACATGTCAAAACAATTACATAAATAGGAATTCAAAGAAAAAAAAAATTTTCGGAAAATACTAAAAATAAAAACAAACATTTATTTCGCTCGTGCGAAATCAAGTCGTCGTCGGCTGATGAAATACTGTATTTAGCCAACTAGTAGGCGGCGTTAAAATTATTCCTAATGAATAAGTTGCGTAATTTATTGGCATAAAATCGTAGGTACCTGTTTGTGCTTGATCAAAACTAATATTCGAACATCCAAGAGCAGATTTTTTTCTTTCATCTCGCATACATTAGCTAAGACGAATATATTAAAACGGCTATTATCGTAATTTGTTTAATTTATTAATATTGTAGGTTGAAATAATTTGTATACTGGCTTTCGCTTGACCTCGCTTGCATCGCAAGCTCGACTTTAACACTTTTTTTATAGAAAAAAAATGCGAAAGTTTTTTGCTGGTAACTGTTCAAGATGAAGTCATCAAGTAGGTAGGTTATACGATTTCAATTTTTTTAGGAATAATCACGAGTTAGAGTCGTGAGAAAAGTTTTAGGGAAATTAATAAACCTTATCAGTCGGTGACCTTTGCAGCTTCACAATACATGTAGGGAATTAATTAGTTCAATTAATAGCATTCAATGGTAATTAAGCGTACTTAAATGGAAAAAAATAAAAAAACCCCAAAAACAAAATAATCTTTAATGAGTGTTGTTTCTTGGATCGGTTCAATTTTGCGATAAAGCGATAAAAAACGCGCAAAATGTTAATTCATCCTACAGTGTTGCCAACTGCAAGATAAACTTTTTGTGTTATGGGATTTTTTTAAAACAGTTCCTCGACTTATATTCAAATTAAAGTTGTTTTTTTGAGAAATTGCTTCGAAAAGTTACCTAAATATCAAAGTAAATATAAATTGATAAAAAATATTTATAACAAATTTGATAATAATCATCACAATGACAATTGACAATCAATACTTCTATTGTTCGAAATATCTACGTAATTGTTTGAAACTTTTTTACTTTGTTCTATAAATGCATTAAAATTACAAACGCGAACATCGAAGATAATGAAACGCGAAATTTGTCAACGCCGCTCTCGCGCTTAACTTAACGATTGCATCACTTTGTGTTCGCCTTTGTCTACATGGAAACGACCGTTTTCCCCGTATACAAGCGAACTTTTCCAGCAGGAAAACCGTCCGAATTAACGATTAACGCGTTCGGAGCACGTCAAAATCGCCTAATTATCCCAATACGCTAGGGCGAGGTCGACCAAACATGTTCTGACCCGTTTCGACGCAAATTCGGACCAGAATTAAATAAAACGTATAAAAAAAATAACCAACATCTAGTTAACCAGCGTAATCACAGCCTACCTATCGTTTTCTGCTTTAATTAATAGCCACTACTAATCGTTAACACAGTTTTGTCGTGTTTCTCGTCGTTTAATCACAGTCGACTGGGATTTTGTTGTTGTTTTATCGTATACATATCACAGTCTACATAGATTTTTGTGTACTTAATTGCACTCGTCGTTAGCACACTTAGATATTCTGTTATTGTTATTGTTATTTAATCCCCACCTAATAGTTTTATAATTAACTTAAATATCATAGCCTACCAAGACGTAATTATCAATCAAAAATCAACTTACCTGTATATTTTCGAACAAATACTAGTTGACAGTCGACGAATTGGTAAAAGAACTAACTTTCAAACTAGATAACTCGATTAAATGTTTGTATATGTAGATTGCTTGGTTATCGAACGAGCGCGTATAAACAACGATTGAACGTAGTTGAGTCGAATATTTCGCTGCACAATTAGCTGGGGATACGCAATATACGCATATACGCAGAGCGATCAGCTGATTTCGTTCGTTTGTTTGTGGTTTTGTTGACTCGTTCTCGTCGAATCGAGTCAGCTGTTTGTTGTTCGGTTTTGTTCCTCCTGGCTCTGGCTCGGCTGGGGCGATTCGGGCGACGTCGACTGCGCTCGTTGATCGGGCGGTGCTGCCACATCGACGAATCGAAAGTTTTTCACAAACTGAAGGAGTTGTATTACCGAATTTGATCGACAAATTGATTTGTTTTAATACGTTTTATCGGGTTTTGAACAGGTTTAGATGAATATTTAGCTGTAAAAAAACTAATAATTTTGTAAATAGTTGGCGTGAGGCTGTCAAAGGTAATGGAGTGTGATTAAATTATGGAGTTCCGGCAACACTGCTAGGATTTCCTCGGGTCGGGTCCCCGGATCCCCTTCGTTCGACTTCCAGCTGGCTGGGCACCATATTTCGCGCAAGCGCTTTCCGCATTGCTTTGTTGTGTTTTCTCCATTATCTAAAATATCCAAATGGCAAAACTAATATGGGAAAAATCATGTTGACAGCGTCATCTGTTGGAAAATTTAAGCGTATTACAGATTTCTTTAACGTAACTGAGTAACTGTCATTAACGTCAACGTCGTTTTGTATTTTTGGAGGGTTGTTGTGAAAAAAAGTAAACCGCATTTGCGTTGTATGTTTGGTAAATTATTGAGTGATATTAACGAAATTTGTTGTGTACAAGCATGGCTTTCAAGTCATTGTGCGAGAAGTACTTCGGTTCGAGCAATTTCTACGAGATTCTGAAAATCGAGGCCGGCGCTAATACCAATGAAAGTAAGCGTAAATTTCAAAATTTTCGATACATTCCAGATAAATACAGCGTCTTATAAGTCATTCATTAACAAGACAATTCATTATTTCAGTTAAAAAAGCTTACCACCGTCTCTCCCTGCTCGTCCATCCCGATCGAGTGGACGAGAGCGAGAAGGACATCGCCACGGAGAAATTCAAAGCCTTGGGCAAGATCCACACGATTCTGCAGGACAAAGAGAAGCGCAAAATTTACGACGACCACGGAGATTTCGACGAAGACTCCGACAGCGCTTTCAACTGGAGCGAGTACTGGAAAGTCATCTTCAAGAAGATCGAAACGAAGGACATCGAAGAGTTCGAGAGGAACTACATAGGCTCCGACAGGGAGCTGAGGGATATCAAGAAGGCTTATGAGCAGAGCAGAGGGAATATGGACAGGATATTAGAATTGGTTCCGTTCTCGAACTGCGACAGCGAGCCCAGAATTATCGAAATCGTACAGAAGATGGTGGACGACGGGGAGGTTGAATACTTCGTTACGTTCTTCAAGGAGAGCAAGCAGAGGAAGCTTCGTAGACGCAGGAAGTATGAGAAGGAAAGGAGAGAAGTTGAGAAAATTAATTGTATGTATTCAATTAGTTCGCGCAAGTTTCGTGTTTAATTTTGTATTATTTATTTTAGTTGAAGATTTGGAAAGGGAACTAGAAAACAACATGAAAAAAAGACAAGAGGATTTCCTTAATTTTGTGTCAGATTTGGAAAGTAGAGCTAAAAAACCCAAGAGGAAATCAATAACCAAACCAAAAGATTCTCCAAAATCAAAGAGAACAAAGAAATGAAAGGTTAGGAGGTTGTTGTATTGAATAAAACTCGTTGCTCCCTTAATTAATATAAGTTTTTGTACATGTAGACTAAGTTACAAACTGCGATTATATTCTGTTTTTAATTCATTTATTATAATGCATTACAAAAAAGAAATCACAATATATTTTTCTAACGTACTACTATGAAAATATTACTATATGAATACGCCAAATGTGTTTCGATCTAAATGAACTTGTTTAAAATTAAAAAAATTTAACAAAAAATACTTAATTCGTTAAAATAGCGATCAATAAATTATGGTAAACTGCGGAGCATTTTTCCGACAAATTTCTTCGAGAGAACGGGAAAAGAATGATTTATCGCAAAGGAATTTAACGAACGAGGTTCCCGAAATTTTTAAGCAATGACTAGACCGGGACCCTCTAAATATACGTTTTTTTTTAAATAATTTATTGGTAAATTGGTTGTTTTTTTTCGAAATTGTGCCATCTCTATAGATTGTTATTGCCGGTTAGAGAGGAAAATTTGCATCGTACGTATATTAAAAATGTTATTGATCAAACATTGCATGTAGAGGTGTTACGAAAAATAATTTATAACGGTAACGAACAATAGAAAAATTTGGCTAAAGTTTATTTATCCCTTCTAAATACACAATGACGTCATATTTAGTTGTTTCCACGCAGTTCAACATTTCTCTAGTGCCGATGTTAATTCAGCCATTTGTCTAGGGGAATTTTACGACAGAATGTTACGATTGAACTAACATTGAAAGTAAACATAACTTTAAACAAATCTGTTATATTATGAATCTCAATTACAACACGGCAACGTTGCAACAGGCTGGCTCGTGACGTCCATTGTCTTTTAAGAACGAATAAACTTTACAACACCCTCATCATCCAGATGTAAATCACCCCTTTCCGCCGTTCCCCCAAAACACCCGCAGCGTTCACCCACTACATAAAATCGCCTAAACTAACAAAAAAAAACAAACAAACAAAAACGCCCTTAAAACTACTACATTTCCTTTTTCTCCTCCACCTCCTCCTCCTCCTCCTTCACCTCCTCGTCGCCGGCGGCGCCTTCGCACTCCTCGGCCACCTCGTGGCCCCACCTGTAGTGAGTACCGTCCCCGTTGTTCTCCACCACCTTCCTGATCAACTCGCCCGACGGCGCCTTTAAGTCGTACGCCCAGCCGATCGACTTGAAGATGTTCAACCACAACGTGGTCACGTTCAACATGGTGCCCAGCTCAGCCGCCCTGTAGTCCCACGGGAACGTGTGGTGGTAGTTATGGTATCCCTCGCCCATCGCGAAGAACGATACGGCCAGATTCTCCGACGGGAAGATTCTCCTAAGGGCAAACATGTACCGGTATTATATTCCGTTCAATCGGGAGACTCGACGAAAATGCCGTGAAATTCCAAAACTTCAAGCCTTTTACTATTGTATTACGTCAGCTGTATACTCCCTACGCTATCAAAAAGTACTACTAGTCTACAACTAGATCACACGAAGATTGAGTACTTACTTATCGTACGGCCGGTACCCCCAAATGTGAGCGAATGAATTCACTGCCCACGTGGAATTCAACGATATCACGTATCTGATGAAGCAAATGGTGATGATGCTCCAGAACCAGTCTTCTCCGTACAGATATACCGGAATGGCTGACGGGATGATGAAGCAAAAGGCCAGCTTGATCCAAAACCAATACCTACAAATCGACCGAAATGTTCGTAAAAATCGAAATTGTGTTGCATAAACCTACTTTTGGTAGACCTGGATGAGCGGATCGTCGGTGATGTCGCTCATGTCGATGGTCCTGCCCTTTCTGATCACGTCCGGGTGCTTCTTCATCATCAGCCAGCCCACGTGCGAGAAGAAGAATCCCCTGGAAGCGTTATGGGGATCGGCGTTGCTCTCGCTGAACTTGTGGTGCACCCGGTGGTCCCTTACCCAATCGAACAGCTGGTTCTGTTAAAAAAAACCAACAGGTTATGACTGTCTTGCCACTCTTACGAGACCAACTTGATGTTTGATACAGGCGCCATATACAGAGTGTTCCAAAAGAAAATGGTAGGTGTAAATAAATGTACAAGTTGATTGCAATGCTAGTCCAATGAGGACCAGTTTGAAGTTTGGTACAGAGTAGCCATCTTATATAATCATTTTCTTACATAAAGGATGTTCAAAAAAGTGGTAGGTGAGTGTTTTAATGACAAAGGTTCTGGTTAAAATTAACATTGCTGTGTCCCTCTTATGAGACATGCTTGAAGTTTGCTATAAAAAAAGCCAGATTTTGGTCCCATTAAGTTACTGGCTGTTGTAGTATATTAAAATAGTGATGGTTAATGGACCAGATAATATTATACTTTTGGCAGTCAACGTGTTAAATTCTGTTTGACTCTCCCTGCATAAGATATTGGTAATTGATTGATGCTTTGGTAAATTTTGCATCGAACTTACTTGTCCTGCTACAGCATAGGAGATGAGCAATAATATTTTCAATGGTAATTTCGCCTTATACGTTCTATGGGTGAAGTATCTGTGGGCCCCGCCTGTGATTCCGAATCCTGATATACCTCCTATTACGCAACCTACAACACGACAAAGTAACAGGTATTACACAATTATGCTGTCGTAAATTAGAAATATTGAATAAATAAGTCGAAATTAAATTTGCTTAATAAAGATTGTCTACGCATTGTCTTGTTGAAAAATTGTCTACGCATCGACCATAAACGTATGCAAATTCGGAAATATTGTTTGAACAATTTTTCATATTTTTCGTTCGATTTCCAATATTTTTTGAACGAACAAGGTCAACCGATTGACCAACGGCTGAATATTTAAGCATCTAAAGAAAAGACACAAGGTTTCCACGAAACCCCGAAGCAAAAAAATCGATTAAAAAATGAAAATAACAATCCAAGCCCGCCGACTAATATGTAATTCCACGTACAATAATTAAATCTCCAAATTAGAAACGTCTAAAAAAACCAGCGAGCGTTTGCGAAATGCAACCTTCTGCGCTCTTTTCTTCTGTAACGGGCGAGCGAATTTTTTTGGAAATTGTACCGGCATTTTCGGTTACCGAACGACCGGTGGTGCAACCGCATCGATCATTTCGAACGCACATAATCGATGCCTTCGCCGAAATCATTTCTTTTAAGGTTACACACACCGGTTACATTTTTCGAATCGTTCCATCATCATTCTTTCACTCCCTTAACGCTGTCCTCTTACAGGGACTAAAGAACTTCTATATACTTCGACTTCTACAGAATCTTCATAAATGATGGATTCCCATGTGACCTAAAAATGTATGCAACCCAAAGTGCAAAGTTGTTATTATTTTCAAGAAATGTCCCTATTTTGAATACAAATCAACACAGTGGAGTCAAAACATTAATCCACTAAGTTCTTCATTATTTTTACCTATCATTAATTTAAAGTTATGTTGATATACAGTTTTCTTCGGAAAAAGCACGGGAAAAACGAGGAAAAATAAACAAAACACGTTATTTCTATCGAGATTTCATCGAGTTGACGTCGCCTTGACATTAATGACAGTATTCTAGTAACTTATTTTTTGGGTACCAACATAAACATAACAAATTTACTACGTACATTTCGAATTCGGTCACGTAGGAATCAATCATTTATGAAGGCTCTGTAGAAGCTACGGTGGAGGAATGAATGGGGTACTTACCGTATAAAACGAGCGGTAGTTTGCTGAGTATGGAAGGGTAGTGGATGAAGTAGTAGACTGCGATTAGGTGCCACAGGGTGATGAAGATCACGTTGGACCAAATGATGGGGGTCTCGAATTCCCAGATGAGGAACGGGTACTTGTCGTAGCTGGGCAGCGGTTTTTCCTGCTTGTTGCCGGCGGCCAGTTCCACTTTTTCCACTTTGTCGCTGTAGTTGTTGAGCGTCGCGTTGGCGGCCTGGCCGTCCGTGTGGATTTTCGTGATGGTGGTGATCATGGTTCGATTTTAAACGAATTTCTCGGTAAAAAATTGTGTTGTTTAATGAATTTATTACTCGCTTTTCGACGGCGCTAGAGCTAGCATTCGTTCATAGCTACAATCTGCAACAAAATAACTATAATTAGAATTAGAGGACTGTTTAATAGACGATCGTTTCTTAGATAAATCGCTCATTTTTTAACCGATCGATATAACAATTAACGTTCTACCGGGCCGCTATTTTTTCATCTATTCGCCGCCAGTGAAAGGCGTCGGGTCGAACCTCGTTCAAAATTTTACAATCGTTACAACACGGATTACTCAAGATTGATAATAATGAAGGCAGAGAGTCACCTTGCTTCGGGCGATGGTTTTATTAAATTTGCCCAACGATTACGTTCACGTTAAACCGAAAAACATTACAATCATAGATAAAATCAAAGATCATGATCCATCAGCAGTGTGCATTTCTTCTGCATGCATCTTATAAAATTATTTATAAAGATACAAGAGGTGTTAGCAGTGGTTCTGGTTACAATTTACATGCTGACTGCCGTGCTGCTATTATAAGACCAGCTTGAAGTTTGACACAGGAGACATCTCAAAAAATCATTCTCATATATACAGGATGTCCCAGAAAATGGCAGGTGTTCTTTATAATGGCAATGATTTTGGCTAAAATGAGCACGTTGATTGCGATGCTTATCCAATGAGACCAGCTTGAAGCTTAACTTTTACAGGGTGTCCTAAAAATGTTTTAATTTTTTAGAACGAGCAGTAATGGAGTTTTAGTAGGAGTTTTAATGACACTTGTTATAGTAAAAATTAACACGTTGACTGCTGTTATTCCAATAAGACCAGCTTGAAGTTTGGCTCAGAAGTCAACTTAAAAAATGATTGTCTACATTCAGGGTGTCCCAAAAGCTCAATGTGATCAACTTGAAGTTTGCAACAGGAGGCATCTTATTAAATTGATTTCATTCATACAGGGTGTCCCAAAAAAGTGGCTGATAGACGCTTCAATAATCACACTCTGTAAACATATTCAAGCGTTTTTTGGAATCCCCCCAATAATCTTGTGTCAATTGTGTCACTATAACTATTTATTATTACAGCCACTCGGAAATCTATTCAAATGCATGAAGAATTATTGAAAGTCCCTATAGACCTCGTGCGTGCCTATTGCATTCACAGTCAATTCGACACACTAATTCGATTGCCAAACAAGTGTGAAGGAATAATTAATTTTCAGATGAATGCGAAATGTTTTCCTTCCTTATTAGATACAAGATGCACAAAAGATGCGCCTTGAAACACATACACAAGAGATTAGTAACCTTTAAGTTTCGCTTGATCGATGGCTATTATTATTATTTTTTCGTACACAAGTGAATTCGCAATGGGAAATTGAGGCGAGAAGTGACTCTCGATCAAATCTAATGATGCAACAAGCGACCTATAAACTTCTAATTAATGACGAATTTTTTATTATTTATTATTTCTCTCCGAGACTCGTGTTTACATCTCATTGTAGCGTCGAAGGTTGCATTAGAAATGCGAAATGATTAAAAATTTTCGGGTAAACGAACTGATTAAATCCGAAAATAGTAAATAACCGAATGATTAATCGACCGTTAAGCTGAAATGTTGACATTGGGCAATAAAATCGATTAACAGAGTTACTCCATTTCGAATTGTTTATCGATGGAAAATCGACAGTAAAAATGCTATTTACAAATAAATAATGTCGCACAGGACACGCAGAAAAAAGCAAACATCCATCGGGTTATATAAGAGTAAAATATTTATACAAACTAAAGTAGTATTACAAGGTTGAACAAACATTTAAATTCGTGATTATTTGTTGTATTCCTTTTTACAATAACTAATCACATATTGACCTAAAGAAAACAAATACAACATACGTGTATTATCGATACAAACGATCGAATTTTACTGGTAAAATTAATTATTGATCGCGAATTGATTCGCTAGTGTATAATAAAAAAATCGAAAAACCATAAAGAACGCAAGGTCGCTCTCTAAACACCAAACCTACGCAACTTTTACGCACGAGTAGGAAAAAATATAATTTTTTTAATGAAATTCAAATGGGAAATCCTCGATTTTAATAGGGAGATGCTCCCATTTATTCCTTGCATTGTAATCAAGTTTATTTTAATGGGAATTACCGAGATTAATTATCATATTGATGTAAATGTTTAGTGTTTATTTGTAGAAAACGCTTGTAAAACGTTTAACAACAACCGTTAGGCAAATTACAAAATCGCCTGTGATGATAATAAGTATTGTGAAATTTTATGCTTGTTTAAAAAAAATAATAAATAAGAAATGTTCAAGGTGTTCCATATTAATAAAATTAGCTAAATTAATTCGGAGAAGTTTTTATTTGGTAAAAAAATTACTCGAAAAGAAAAGTATTTTTTTTAATTACTGTAATTACATTTGTAATAATGGCCAGGAATATGATAAGTGGCGGCGTAATATTTATACGACTTTCTGTTTTAGGAGTATTTCCATTTTAACTGTAATGAAATTTTACCAGTAATTAACTAAATTACTGTTTCAACTAATCGAATTTTAAAGGAAAAATAAATTTGCAGGTCGATCGAATATCTAGTTAATTTTCCATGTAACTAATATTTGTGAAATGTACGAAAAAAAAAATGACAAAAATATGTAAGAAAAAAAATCATTTTTAGGTTTATTTGTTCACCCTGTATTTTAAAATGAGCGATGAAAGAGAAAATGAAACGTAAAAAAAGAGTCCATTGAGTAATACGAATAGTATCATAATAAATGAGGATAAAAAACGCTTTACAATAAAAAAATAGTTATTTATACAGTTAAATAACGCGGGATTCCCATAAATTATTCAGCGAATTAGTCGCACAACTGGGTCAAACAACTTTTTTATTGTTGCGATTTTGGCGAATTAAACGGGTCAGATTTGGAATCGAATAAAATGAATTGATTTTGATGAATTTTTGAATAAAATTTCGACTTTAAAATGAATAATATTTAAATAAACCTGAAAAAAAAATTTGCGTCGAATTTGCTAAATTATTGTGTTCAAAAATACTTATAGATAATCAATTATAAATTAAAAAACCCTGCTCTATATAACATTAAATATAATAAAATAAACTTACAAATAACGAATATTAGAAGTACAATCCACCAGCTCGACAACCCCCTATCGAATTCGATGAATAAATAAAAGCTAGTGCGAAATGAAAAAAAAAAACTCTATTTTTTCCAACGATCCGATGCCCCAGCACTTTCACTCTTACAGCATATTTCACGAAAAGCCGCGTACGAAATGATCCGTCGCAGGCACGGGCCCTATAGCTTTTTAATATTTCACTAATTAGCGCTTTCTCGATTTTTGGTGGGGACCGGAGGCGTCTTCTTCGACGGTATGGTATACGTGACCATTTGTATGGAACCACCGATCAATTCCTCCAAATATTAAAGGTTTTTTCAAAAAAAAATCCACTTTGATTTATTGATAGGCTGATCATTTTTGATTCTGCGATTTTTGCATTAATTTTCGCAATTCTTCTCCTGTCGTGTTATAATTAATTATGGATTGAGGATGAAATATACGCACTAATTTCTGGACTCTCTGTATTAGTAATTACATTTATTATATTTATCCCTACCTTTTCTCTAATTGAAAAGGACCCACCTTATAGTGTAACACCTATTTTTTCCTTTAATTTTTTTTAAATTCGCTTCTATACCGGGTGTATGTAAATAACACCGAAAAAATTTAAGGGTTTAAGAAAAAAATGTCTTATGGGTTGACTATTTCGACCCCCCTTCTAAGCATACCTAAGAGTTGAAAAAATTTCGAAATGTGTTCGTTGATAAATTATAGTCCCAAGTTTCGTGTCTTTAGCTTAATATACAGAGAAAATAATGAAGAAAAACCATTTATTTTTTTAATTCTCGGAAGGGTATAACTTTTCCAGGGAGGGTTTCTTCAATAAATTGACTATCAATATAACACTGTAAAATTACCATCAGGAATTCACCGGTAAAGAAATATAATTACTTTGGGAAGCACCGACGCATATTTGATTACATTATCATTTTTCAGTAAAACTAATATTTTTTTCTCCTCATTTGTATACTTATTATATTTTATGATCGATTTTATTACATTTATTTCATTCATTTTACGCATATTTTATTTCACTCTGATTCCGCCATGGTTTATTAACTTTTTCCATGGCCTATACGTTAAATCGCGCAAATAAATAAGGAATTATTAGTTAATTATCGTTAAAATTTCCGAGCTAGATGCGGAGGAATATTTTCGAGTTTAATGCACAATTCATGGCGAAGGAATAATAATATTGTAATGGTGGTAAAACACTCCTCGGTGCTCGGATCGGCTAATAGTATGTCATTATTACATTCTTACCGCAAGTGGTAATAAAAGACTTTCTAAAACTCGAAAAATCAAGTTCGTTATCATCGGCGGTGATAAATTGGGCGCAGAAATATATTTATTTTGAAAATTTTTGTACAAAAAAATTGATTTCAACCTCTAGTAAACTTCTGTCATTAATGTCAATTTTGACAATTTTTATTTATGTATCATCGAACACATCTTAAAGTCCTATATATTCAAGCACAATGCGAAAAAATTGTAATTTATCGTAAACTTTAAGTCCAATTTCGTTATCATCGGTTCGCCCAATTTTATTATATAAAAACATGAAAAATATAAACATCATATGAATTAAATTCATCGTTATTGATGTTATAATAACACATTGTCAATTGACGAATTAATAAGAAAAGAAAATAAATTGTTATGGGAATGAACATAAAGTTGATGCTTTGTAAACTTTAAAGAACTGTCAACAATCCTTGACCAAATGAAAATATTAATTATTGCGATAAAGTAACAATTTTAATATTGCACAATGCAACAATGACTTTCAGGTTTAATTTACAGATGATTTCAACGGAATATTTTTCTGGGACGCCCTGTATTTTTTCGAAATAATTAGCGCCTGTCCGTTTTTGACGAATGAAAAACTCTTGACGTGCATTCATGGGAGTTAACGTGCGTTACATTTCGACGATTGTCAGATAAATTGGCCATTAAATATTCCGCCTTTACTAATTGCCATTACTCAGGTAATTACCAAATAATATTGTTTTAATAGCAAACCATTTGTCCGTTTCCCACCTATTTAGTTCGAATTGTTTTCGATTGGAAATTGTACAATTTCGAAGAAAGAGAACCGGTGAAAAATGTACGGGAATCGTGGAAATGTACCTAATTATGTTTACATAGGCCTATTCAATGAGTGTAATTATTGTTAAGTAACAATTACTCATTGGATTTTTTTTAACACATTCGTACAAAATATTTCGGTCAATTCGTGATGTTTGCACATAAATTAAACAAAGGATGTTCGTTGAAGCCATTAAATAAATGTTTACATTGTTCAAATACTGTTTAAATGGTTTTCCGTCTAATTTAAATTCACATTCAAACAAATTTATTCGATTTTTGCACACAATATTAATAATCTAAAAAATTATAGTTTTTTGAATTAAAAGTATATAAGGAATGTGAGATTTTGATTTTATTTTTGTAAATTGTAAAGATAAATTAAGTAGATAATTTATTGTATTTTCGACAAATCTTTAAACATTTTCTCAATTTTAATCCCAATTTTCATTTGAAGAATTATTAAAGGTCGCAACTCCGACAGGTTTTTGGTAATTCTTGCGTAAATATTGTATAATTACTACGGCGCTGACGACTGAAATATTAAATTATTAATTTATGCATATTTCGTTCTTTCATAATATCTATGTATGTATAGTAGCCGCTTTAATGTTTCATTAATCATAAATACTATTGAAATTCGCGTCTGGCGAAGACATGAATCTTATTTACATTAATATTTATACGATTTTATTTGAAATTCAGTAGTTTTCTAGCGGTCAATGTAAACTGCGACACATTAATCTCTTCCATGTTGTGAACTCATATATTTCATAAAAAATGGTAAATTTCTTCTAATATATTGGCTAAGAATTCTAGACCTATTAAATAAAAGGTTTGGTATCGGTCTAGTATGCAGTCTACCCACCTAACTAAAAGGGTCTACCTTACCGGATCTACCTACAGGTCTACTAGGCAGATCTAAACTAATATAATAGTTCGTATAACAGCAGTAACTTTAAAAGCAACAAAAAAAGTAAAAAAATATATATTTGTTACATTATATTTTTATAGTATATCTACTTATACAGGGTGGCACAATGGTATAGAAAAGCTCAATATATCGGTTATTGTAGAAGATATAAAAAACTTCATTAGAAAAGTTGTAGATCTTTTTAAGCTGCATATTTTAAAATTAGTCACATTTAAACAGAGTGTCCCGTTTTTCTGTGGTAAACCAAACTTATACCTACTTTTTTAAATGGAACACCTGTCTTTTAACCAAAAATTGAGTTGAGTGACACAAAGGTTGAGAAAACTGTGCTTTTTTATTTACAGGAAGTACATAATAAAAAATTCACTGAATAACCAATGCATCATAGACCTAACACAAACGAAGTTATGCAACTCCTTTAACACGAAAATAGAAAATTAGCATTTTTAATACATTATACATACAAAACAATTCCACATTAATCCTATACATATAGCACCTAAGAAACATTCAAACATCCTAATAATAACATAAGCTCGAAACTCATCATTAATACTTAAAATAACAAACGCAATATCCTCATTTTTAAATGAATTAAAGTTTAGTGTTTCAAGCGTTTCATCAACTGCGATTTCCATTCTTCCTCCGGGACGTTGGCTGCCCAATCGGGAATGGCGCTCGCTGGTAAAGTGACATTTAACATGGCGTTTTTAACCTGCTGGACTTTCTCGTTGTCCATTTGGATATCGCATGCATCCGGGGCCGGTCTGGACCACAGCTCCATAACCAGCGTCGTTTCTATGGGAGTTATCGGTGGAACTGAACTATCTTCGTTCCCCGTATTGTTCTCGCGGGGATTGTTTATGATATCTTCGTCTGCTAAAAGTGCGTTAATGTTTAGGGGGTAATTTAATGTAAGTTGTTAATAGGTATATTACCAGATTCTTCAGTATCGGAATTAGAAGTAGGCTTTTCGGTGGGTAGTGGCTGATATTCTGCGTAGTCGTTTTGATAGGTATCAATTTCGGTTTCTCCATCGGAATCGTCCTCCGAAAAACCCATGATAATGTCGTTGTTAATTTTAAAATCCTCCACGGGATTGTCTGGATCTGGTAAACCGTTGTTAGTTTTTACCATTTTTCACAAAATAAAACTACTATTTTTTCGTTTTTAAAAAGTAAATAAATACGCAACGTCAAATTTTTGACAAATGACACGTAAAAATCTAAAAATCTTTTAACATCAGGTCTCTATTATCATGGCTTTTCAGCCACTTAATTAACAAATAAGTTGGCCTCTGGTATACTCTTCAACCAGCCAAAATTGAGAAAATATTTCAAACCCACAAAAAAGATTATAAGGAAAAGGTATCGACTGGCAAAACAAACATCAACAATTTATAACTGTGTATTTTCTTTACCTAATTGTCGATCTAAAACTTGAAGTAAGTAATCGATTTGACCCTTATCGGCTTTTTCTCCTTCGTAATGTCCTCAGGTTTGTACTCAATTAACAAATTCAAATATTTGTGGTGTTGCACTGGCAGTAAAACGACGCCATGTCGCTCTGACCACCTTATGATTTCCATACAACTGCTCAGGTTCCTTTGGTGTACTAAAAAAGCAACAAATTATATCGCCGTTAAAACTGCAAGTATCTCATACTTTGGTAATCCAGTAGGGACAACAGCACTCCCGTGTAATGGGTCTTCATTTCGAGTTTCAACAGCATTTCTAGTAATCGATACACGACTTCCGTTCTGTGGTGATTCAACGAAATCATTACGACGTAAGGTATTCTAATGCCGACGACTTTGCATAGTTCTTCATATTTATCCATCAATTCGAAAGCGATCGATTGATCGGCGAACCACTCGCTTAGAAAGCACATTTGCCACACGCAGCCCAGGAAGTAAAAATCCCCATGAGTCGCTGCGATATCTTTACTAAATTTAACAGAATTGTTTAATATTACTTCGCTTCTATTTTCAGTAATGTCAGTCATTAGATGTTTCCACATTTGCCTTATTCTACGTCTCAGGTAAGAATTCTCCTGGTAAACTTTCTTGAAGAGGTTCAAGGCTTCGCTGGTGTTGCCTTTCGTCCAGAACGCTTGGGCCAGGTAGTGATCGAAGTCCGAATTTATGGCTAGTGTTTCGGGACAGTGCTGCTTGCACAGCCTTCGTAATTCCTTGATGGTGTTGATTTTCCCCGTTTGCGAACACACGCTTAGGGCGTATAGAAGGTTCGATATCGATGGGCATATTTTGCAAGTGATGCACTCCTCGATAAGTTCTATGATTTTATCATTATTGTCGCTTTTAATCGCCTCTTGGAGGGACTTGTCGATTGCTTCCCTGGATGATAGTTCGTTTACTGAATACTTGGGAAAGCTCTTACGAATAGTCCATTTGTCGGTTTTATTTTGTAATAACCGCCTCGTGAATTCATCTATTGCTTTTACTTCTACGGCGTTACATTTGTTTCTAATCTTGTTTAAACTAATCACTCGAGTTATCTTAATAAAATGCAGTATGTACTTCTTGTAAGGTACGAACAGGGCCATTCAGTTGGTATAAAGGGTAATTATTTCCATTTTAGATTCTACTCACATATTTGCTTGTTAATTAATTAAAAAAATATATTATATATTTTTACGCTAGTGACATAACCAAACTTCTTTAAACAAACATAACCACATTTCTTCTCAAATTACTTAATATACTGGCTTTTACTTTGAGGCATTCAAATACTCCACTTTTGAAATGGTGACACAAATGACAGTTTCTGCCAATGTCACTAATGTCAGTAACTCTATGATCTAACCAAAAATAAATTTACAAAATACCATCTACTTTTAGATCGAAAAATCGCGTTTACGATACAATACTAAACCAACATGATAACTAAATCGCTTCTAGACAATTCGAGGAAACTAATACCGATATTGGCGAGGAGGTACGTCTCCACGTCGAAGGGCCACGGCGAAAAAGCCACGGGCGCAGTGCAAAGCAAGCCCGAGGAGAAAAATTGGATGAGCTATGGTTTCGATCACTACAACAAAGATGACGACAGAAGGGCCATGCATTCGGTAACGTTCGCTTCGATAACGCTGTGCTTGGTACTCGGGGGCTTCTACTTCGCCTACATGCCCGACGTTAATCTCAACGATTGGGCCCAAAGGGAGGCCTACTTGGAACTGCACAGAAGAGAAGCCCAAGGCATATCTCCCATAAACCCCAACTACATAGACCCTAAGAGGATCAACTTACCGTCGGATTCCGAGCTCGAAGGTGTAGAAATTATTATTTAAATATTAATTGTATGATCGATTTGTAAATAGTAACATTAAATTCGATTAATGTAAGCCTGTATTTTTGATTTATTGGCGGTGTACAATAAAAACCGGGAAGAAAAATAGAGAAATAAGTTTAATGAAATTGTTGAAAATATGTTCGTATAGTGAAAAATTATGAAGGTTACAAGCGAAACATGTTCTTCAAATTAAAAACAGCAATTATACATTTTGTAATGGAGGCCTCAAGCTGTGTTGTGGATGTTCAGCCTAAATACATCGTGTTGAACGAAAAATGAACCGTTCAATGGTTTTAAAACAAACACTTGATTGTAATCGTGAGGTGGATCGTTATCAGCCTGAAACAAAAATTGCGCGAATTATTTAACGAAAACACTAATAAATGGGAATTTAACCTACTTGTAATCTGCCAAACACATTTATTAACACCCCTCCATCAAACATGGGCTGTGAATCTACTACAGTAATTTGTCTAGATATTTTTTGAAATCCGAGAGACTGAAACGTTGATATTATAGGTAGTAATTGATAACGTTTGATAAATGAAATATATACATACCTCAAATTTCTCCATTATTTTCACCGATCCTTGTAATTGCTTTCCTTCGAAAGTCATAAATGAATGTTCTACCTGTAAACAACAATTATCATTAGAGATACGTTCATTTTTACTCGATAAAGCCTTGTAAAAGTACTGTAATAATTTATTTGTGTGGAGAAAATTGCGAAATTATCTCGACTTACATTATACATATTCACCAAGTTAGGCCTTTGCAGGGGATCATCAAACATCATATAATATTGTTGTACAAAACTTTTACCTATGGCATCGTATTGTATATTTAAAGCCATAATTTTGGAGCTAATTCGGAGCCACCATTAAAAATATATTTTTTTCAAAAATATCACATTTGCAATGACATTAATGACATACAGCCAATGACAATTTTGACAAATGAAAGATTAAGCATTGGGGCTATTTTCAAGAATTTCTTATATATTTTGGGGCGTTTACGGATTTTTTCACAATTTTAATTTGTATTACAATCCGATACAGTATTTTATTAGAGTACGATTGCGTCTGCACAATAAACATTTTTTTCTAACTACTCAAGAGTTAAATTTAAAAACTGTACAACATAATATTAGGTTAAAAAAACCGGCAAATAATCTAAGTAGGCATACTCACGTTGTACATATTAACCAGATTAGCTCTTTGTATAGGATCGTCAAACATCATATAGTATTGTTGGACAAAACTTTTGCCGATAGCATCGTATTGAGGATTTAAAGCCATTTTGTCTGAAGCTCGATTATACGTCTAATAACTATTTGGAGATTTCGATTTTGCTACCACAGTTTGAGAATCGTCTTTTTGAAAATTACTTCGACCATTACAAGATACGACGAATCGAAAATGAGTCAAAATGACACTAATGACAACGACAATTATGACTTGTGACTTGTGACAGTTCCTCTTCTTTCTTACCAACAAGTCTAAAATATTTTTTTTACGAGCTAGTCTTTTTGTGGAGTGTCTTCGGGCATGCGTCATATCCGTTGTTTGCAAAAAAGATGGCGTTCGTTTGATTTTGTTTTGTTGACAATCCGTTTTTTGACTTGACGTGAGCGAAGGTAAAAGTGACGTTTTAATAATAGAGGAAAATTAACGTTCGAGTGTTTCCGCAACAATTTAATTCCCAAATATGCGAAATGTGATTACGAACGAGATAAAAGTTGATCGATAATGTAACCATAACACAACTCCACCATTACCGCCGGTATACGTGCTAACATGCATTGAGACATATTGTTATTAATCGAAAGATAAAGCGAGCGATGTCCAACAACAACAACACGTCGATATCGAAGTCGAGGGGCCCCGGCAGGCCGCCGAAGAAGATCACCTCGTGTACGTGGTGCAACGAGACGAAACTCCCCTTAAAATACGTCTTTCCCACCACCAATGGAAAGAAAGAATTCTGCTCGGAGACGTGCCTGGCGGAGTTCCGCAAGGCCTACGTCAAAGGGGCTTGCGTCCAATGCGACAACGTAATCAGAGGCAACAACAACGCCCCGTCGAAGGAATACTGTTCCACGTACTGCATGAACAAGCACCAGAAGAAGGAGCTCTCCAACTCTCACGCCAGAGTCGCCGCCGTGGCCCCCACCACGCCCATGGAGGGCTCCTCGCCGGGGCCGTTCCAGTACGAGACCTATCAGGTGTTCAACTGGGAGGAGTACTTGAAGGAGACGAACTCCGTGGCGGCGCCGCAGAGCTGCTTCAAGCAGGCCCCCAGTCCGCCGTACAACGATTTCGAAGTGGGCATGAAGCTGGAGGCGCTCGACCCGAGGAACGTTACTTCCACTTGCATAGCTACTGTTATAAGCATACTGGGGCCTAGGTTGAGGTTGAGGCTCGACGGCAGCGATAACAAGAACGATTTCTGGCGATTGGTCGATTCCAGCGAGATACATCCGATCGGGCATTGCGAGAAGTTGGGAGGAATGCTTCAACCTCCTTTAGGTACGATCGCTTGCGATTAGTATGTTTAACAGGGTGTCTTGAGATTAGTTGGAAATGTTGCTCGATTTCGACACATCTGTAACGATCGAAAATACAGTTAAGTAAGAGGCCAGTAGGACGGGTATTTATGTTGGATGTGCGTTGGTTTTAGGATTTCGTATGAACGCCAGTTCGTGGCCGATGTTTCTGCTCAAAATTCTGAAAGACGCCAAAATGGCGCCTGCGAAGATTTTCCAAAAGGAGCCGGTGGGCCCCAAGCAGAACAATTTCCAAATCGGACAGAAATTGGAGGCCGTCGATAAGAAAAATCCCCAGTTGATCTGTTGCGCTACCGTAGGTGAGTCCCTCGAGTATTCCTATGTAAGATATAAGTTTTATCGAATTATTATCGTTGTAATTGTAGGAGCGGTGAAGAACGAGCAAATTCACGTCACATTCGACGGCTGGAGAGGAGCCTTCGATTATTGGTGCAAATACAACAGCAGGGACATTTTTCCCGTGGGATGGTGCGCCCGATCGGGTCATCCGATGCAACCGCCCGGACAAAAGAACAATTCTAGCACCAACAGGTAACTCACCACTCCCTCGAAGATCGATAAATCATATAGAAAAACAATAAATCTAAACTTCGTACGTTTTAAAATGACAATGACGTTACGAGCCATTCTGTTGCAATGTTGCCGGGTTGTCATTGAAATCCTGTATATGACGGATGCATTTAGAACGCTCCAGAACCATTTAAAACTGTCTAGGATCTTTTAAAACGTTTCAGAGCCATTTAGAACGCTCTGTAATCATTTGGAACGCTCCAGAACCATTTAGAACTGTCTAGAATCGTTTAAAACGTTCCAGAGCCATTAAAAACTGCCTAGATTCATTTAGAACGCTTCATAAATATATATAACTGTCTGCAATTCCACAATCATTTAAAACTGTCCAGGATCGTTTAGAACAAAAATCGCTGGGACAGTTACAAAAACAACAAATTGTACTCAAAACCTGTCTACAAAAAACAAACTACAATTCAAACTACAAATAGCGGAATTTTGAGTCATTGCCATTTTAAATCGTAGGAACTTTATGAACAGTGTACATTCGCATTCGATCTACTTGATATTTGGTCATTTTATCGAGTACTTTAACCGTACGAGTGAATGTTAAAGTGGCTTGTGACGTTTTGCAGGTTCAGGATGAAACCGGCGCTGGCGGCGCCGCCGCCGCCCAACCCGCCGCCCAATTCGTCGGCCGTCACGTCGACGGCGGCGGACAATCAGATACAATCGCCCGAGGCGGACACGTCGGCGCCGCCGCCGCCGCCCGTCGCCGTCTACGTGCGAAAAGGCTGCGCCGGCGGCGCGCTCGTCGACGCCACGTTGCTGCCGGCCTCGGTGGAGGAGGCCACGTTGCCCGATTTGGCCAAGCAACTGATCGACGGGATATTGCGGGCGTCGCACAAATCGGAGAAGATCCTCGCCCGATTGGGCGTGGGGGCGCCGTCGGGCGGCGAGGAGACGGCCATCACGCACGAGGGGACTACCTACACCGTTAAATTACCTCGATTGACTAAAATCGGAGATTTGGACGGGTTGTTTCGACAGTTGACGCAGACGCTCGGTTGCTGCCAGAATTTGTTTAGTACGTTTTTTTTACACTTTCGTATAATAAGAACGGGTTCGGAAACTCCTATGTAAATGGTGTTGTGGATGATGTGACTCTCTATAGAGGGCGCTAGAATCGGGTAGTGTTGTTTAATTGTACTCATATAACGCCAATTTTCCTTCATTCCGCCAAGTTGCCTTCTAAATATTATCTTAAGTGTAAATCTAATTTAAGTGTATTGAGAATCCTACCCGATACTAGCGATCCAAGCGGATTTCCCATGAACCTTTGATACATAGTCACAATAAGCGTAACACACCAAATAACACAATAGGTTTGTTCCTACAACAGTCAGAAATAGTCGGTGGTCGTCAGGAGTCTGCGCAGTAATAATTTAGGCGTTCCAACAAACTTCACAGACATCTCTGATTCTGACTTGGTTAACAATTTATTGTTCCAACAGTATAAGGGACTGGTTTTGTGATAGTCAGAAAAATTTGCTGATAGTACAGAGATTTGAAATCCGGCGCAAGCGCATTTTTAATTTGGGTTTAATTTGTTTTCTGAATATAGGTTAATTATTAGGTTATGTTGTTTGTTGTTTTTGTTTGATATTTGGTGAATATATGTAATAAATGTAAAGACTGTTCCATCAAGAAATCGGAAATTTGATTACACAATTCAATCATAAACCGCGCATGCGAAATAGAAGAGTCAGAAACTTACTGGTAACAAATCAGTGACTTTTTGTAGGAACAAACCTATTATAAACAGAGCTTTCAGACTTTTTAAAATACACGGCCGTGGTTTTTTTCATATCGTAAAATGAATATGTACGGGCAACAAACGCAAAGATATTTGTCGGCCATCTTGAATTTTTTTCTTAATTTGTCATTCGATTAATATAAACAAAAAAGCCTACTTTAATCTGCTTTGCCACATATTTAGTCGAATGAAGTTAGGCACACTTTTAAATGACAGCTTATTGACATATTAAGAATACTACCATCTCCGCTATGAACAATATAATAAACCGTGCGTATTTCTTCCTCGTACCATTTATTCGATTGATTTACTATTAGATTATAAATTAATTCGGTTTTTATGATACAGGTTTAGAGCAATCTGCGAAATCGTGCGAGGCGTGCGACATAAAATCGGCGCCGCCGCCGCCGAAGCGTAAACCGCCGCCCGAGCAGGAGGCGGCGACGTCGACGACGCCCCCCGAGCCGTCGTCTAATTCTCCATCGGAGTCGCCGTTGGCCGGTTTGAGTAAAATACCGACGCAAGAATGGGGAATCGAGGAGGTGATACAGTTTATCGAATCCAGCGACGCCTGTTTGGGCGTCCATGCTGAGTTGTTTAGGAAGCACGTGAGTGTTTGGTGTTTCTGATGATTCCACGACTATTCATCACGCGACAATACATCACTTCCAATATTCATCACATCTATTTAAAATATTGTAAAATGAAACAAGACTTTAGAGATTAGTTTTTATTCGGTTTTTTAATTCATTCTTCATTTTAATTTTAATAATCATTTCATCACGCGTTCCTTTTTACATGGTTGTAAGGAGATTTCCTTATCGTTCCAATCGAGTATTCGCTTGCTTCTACGCTCTAAAGTGGGTGTGATGAATTGTCGCTGTGATGAATAGTTTTGGATGAGGTTTAGTGGAATTATATAAGTTGTTTTTTTTTTTTAGGAAATCGACGGTAAAGCGTTCCTGTTGCTGAATTCTGATATGATGATGAAGTATATGGGTTTGAAGTTGGGCCCGGCGTTGAAAATTTGCAATTTAGTATCAAGACTTAAAGGTAGACGGCATTTATTGTAAGTATACTTGTTTTTTTTGTATGCGGAGTACAGGTTCATTTTGAATCGCCGCGATAAGTTGATGATTAATACTTTTATTTTCGAAAGACTCTAATGGACATTATCTTGTTAGTTATTGGATAACTCACTAGTGGAGTTGTACATGAAACAAACTGCGTTGTAAATAGTTAAGCATTCTTTTGTCGGTCGATATCAATGAGACTTGATTTTGTTTATCTAAAAGTTTGTGATATTGCTTTATTTTTATTTTCAAAGATTACATTATTTTTTTGTCTATGAAATAATTTAATGTAGAACTCAATTTGAGATGTCTAAATGTGGATAAGATGTTAATTATATTTTTTGGTAAATCGACAATTAAAATATTGTAGATGTAAATATACAGTACTTACGCCTAAGTGAAATGTAAATTTAGAAATTCGATAAGCGTTTTTGAAATCCTTCGGTATTTAACTATAAGTATGTTGTAAGGGTTAAGTAACGTTTAATTTTTGCTTAAAGTTCCCCATTCCCCAAAAATATCTGCAAATTTATTCATCTTGAACGATTTTTTTAACATTTTTTTTACATACGAACCATTATTATTGTTCCTTACGTATGGATTCTGCGACATTTTTATAAGCTGCAAAACTGTAAGATATCTATGATTTTCATATCGTCGCAGAATCGATACGTTAATTCACAATAACGTATATATAATGTATTTCCTACCACTCTGTTATGTACTGCATTGTTTTTTTATTTCGACAGTTTTGTAATAGAGTAATATTGTAGATTTTTTCAAAATAAAAGTTAAAAATAATTTTAAATTCTTGGGAACTCGTTTTCTTTCTGGGATATTTTTTCGAGTGGGGAAAATAAAACGGCTTACTCATAAGATAAAATATTTATTTACAAGTTAAAAAAATTAAATCACAGCGGTCTATACAACAATGTCTAGTTGTTATTAACGTAGCACCGAAAATGTTTGTAAAACGGAGTCGTTTTCTTGCGTTAAATCGAAAAAAAAAACAGCAATTTAAACCAATTTAAGGATTGTCTAGTCTAACCTTTGAAAATATCAAAAATTTATCAATTCTCCGCCAATCTAATTACGTACTACGTAAATTTTAAAACCTTAAATAGAAATATTTCACAATTTGTATTCAACAAGATCCACGAAGTCAAATTGTTTCATTTTGATTATTTATTTGGAAAAATAATGCTTCTAAAATCGCAAAAACCCTCTTATTTACACTTGAACCGTCGAAATCGATTTCTCCGTACTCGCACACCGTGAGCGCGCGCGCGCCTCTCCCATCCACAAATCAGAAACAACTTAGTAACCTACTAATACTGATATCGAAAAACCGCGTCCAACCGCGGTCCCCATTACCTATTCGCGTTGGGCTTCAAGAAATGCATCAGCTTGTTGAGCACCTTACCCGACGGCAGGACCAGCTCCGGCAGCGCGCACTTCCCTTTGTTCCTGTAGTACGTCGAGCGCACCGCCTGCACGAGATCGTCCTTGAACCGGTACGCCGTCCTGTCCACCGTCGACGAGTCCTTGATGCAATCGTCCCCGCCGAACTCGCATATCCTGTAGTGGTGCAAAATCGCCGTGTCCGACGGCACGTTCAGCGTCCCGTGCCCCGGGATGAACTCCCAAACGAAGTGGTTGCCTGCAACGACAAATCGTCAGCTTCGTTTTATGCAAATTCTTGGTCAATGTACCGGCTTCGATGGTCAGTTCCGGCCGGCAAATGTACTTGGAGCGCTGCTTGTGCGGGTGGAGCTTCGTTTTGCGGCGCGTCTTCCGCAACGTGATCAAATTCGCCGCGACCGGATCGTCGAAATCGAAGATCGAATCGTCGTCGTCGAATTGCAAGTAGAAGAAACCGTTTTGAAACGAATAGGAGCCGTGCGTGCGGGAATTCAACCGACGGCTCAGGTGGCTGCGAAAGGAACGGTTACGTTACGTTATTTTTATCGACGCCCACCTCTACTCTAATGCACCGTTCCCTATCTAAAGTTCGTACGTTTTCAAATGACAATGACGTCATCTTTATTGTAATTTACACCATTAGACGCGTTTTGACTACAATTTATTGTTTTTGTGACTTTCCCAGAGATTTTTGTAGCGTTCTAAACCTTTTTTGGAGCGTTTTAAACGAGTCTAGTCAGTTCTAAATGAGTCTGGAGCGTTCTAAATAGTTCTAAAGCGTTCTAAATGGTTATAGACAGTTCTAAATGATTCTGGATAGTTCCAAGTGATTCTGGAGCTTTCTAAATGATTCTATACAGTTCCAAATAATTCTGGAGCTTTCTAAATGATTCTACACAGTTCCAAATGAATCTGGAGCATTCTAAACGATTCTACACAGTTCCAAATGAATCTGGAGCTTTCTAAACGATTCTACACAGTCCCAAATGATTCTGAAGCTTTCTAAACAATTCTACACAGTCCCAAATGATTCTGGAGCTTCCTAAACGATTCTACACAGTTCCAATTGATTCTTGAGCTTTCTAAATGATTCATTTCGAGTAGTTTACGAGTAGTTTTTGTGTTTTCGTCCGTTTTAGATAGTTTTTAGCTCGTTGCGTCATTGTCATTTTAAAACGTATGAACCTTACTCCGATGTTAGAGATGGGACATTCGAGAAAGGAACAAAAGTTACCTCATCATCTGGCTCAAGGTATCGTTGAACTTGGGCAGGATGAATTCGTCGAGATCGATGAGCAACAGGTGCGAATATTTGTACATGGACCTGTAGAGGCAATCGTTGAGCGCCGCGAACAGTCCCTCGGTGCGGATTTCCTTCTGCGAGACCATGTTCAGCGACCAAGGCAGCACGGTCACCAGGCCCTTGTCGGCGTAGTCCTTCAGCAAGCAGTTCACCTGATCGCCGATGGTGTGATTGTAAAAGGTGAAGTGCTCCACGCCCAGGATCCGGTTGAACTCCACGAACTCCACGATTTGCAGAGCCTGCGAATTATCGCGGATAAAACCCACTCGATAAGTTTCTCGTATGAACTCACTCTGTTGTAGTCGAAGTGGAGCGGCTTCACGCACACGCCGAATTTGTGCTGGGATGTGTCCGTGCCGGCGGGGATTCCCCCGGTTTCGTTGCGATTGTTTATGACCAGCAGCAAATTGGCGGGAGGATCTCGCACTTTGGCCACCACGCTGACCGCCCCCGGTATAGTCTTGTTCGTTAGCGGGCACATCACGAAGCAAGCGCTGTATTTCAAATTCCAGTTCTCTCGAATCACCTACCGAAAAAAAAAGGTAACCGAAAACCAGCTAAGTTAAGGTTTCAACAAGCTCGAAGTGTTTACGGTAAAATTAGGGTAGATTATTACAAAAAAAAAACAATGAATTTACGGTGACATTTCGTAGTCTCATTTATAATTTTTGTCAAATTCCCGTAAGTATCGCAAACCCGTCCGCCCGATTCGTCAACGGGATGGAGTTTCGTCGATTTTAACGTAAAATTACATGTACATGCATTATACATTGTGCGATTCGAAGACATTAAACTCATCAATCACGCGATGGAATCGTCGAGAAGCAGGCCGAAGCGCGCCGAAGAGGGCGACAGCAGGATCTTCCGGGACATCGAGGGCATCAACAGGACCCTCGGCAGTTCGATAGAGGCGCTCGAGACGCGGCTGCTGGTGAAATTCGGCTACCAGAACAAGAAGATCAGAGAGCTGCAGGAGCTCAACGAGCACGTGCAAAGCGACCTGGAGGCGCTCGAGCGCCAGCTCAGGAGCTCCAACATCCTGGTGTACGGCTTGGGGCGCGCGGAGCCCTCGAGGACGACGGTCTGCGACGCCCTCAAGCGGCTGGTGCGCGTCGACGTCAAACCCTCGGACATCAAGAACGCCTACTACATGGGGAAGTCCGAGACGTCGCCGTTGAAGGTGGAGTTCTCCTGCTATCGCACCAAAATGGCGGTGCTGAAGAACGGCGGTTACCTGCGAGGGACCGGCGTGAAGATCACCGAAGACCTGACGAAGAAGCAGCGCGACGAGCTGAAGGTGCTGCAGAACTATTGCAACAAGGAGAAGCAGAAGGGCATCTACAAGAGGTGCTTCATCGTCGGGAATAAGCTGGTGTTGGATAATCAAACGTACACGTACGAGCAGCTCGGACAAATCGACAGCAAAAACCGATGGGAAAACGCCAATGCGAACGCGAAAAGGGATTGCGTCGTGGAGAGGAAACCGTCCCGGCAGAATCTCCAGGAATTTTCTACCTGCAAACAAATTTCACCTGCGAAGGAACGCGTGGAAATCCGGCAGGAGGAAGTCAAAGCTCCGAAGGAATCGCCGAGCGTGAGGATCTTCCAAAGCTTCAACGCCATTTTCAACGACATACAGAAGCGGCTGGAGAATTTCGCCAGTAAATTTTGACTCAAAACCGAACAGAAATTAACCATTATTTGTTACATTAAACCTGTAATCATGCGTTTGTAAATTTACATTAAAATTGGAAATTCCACCCTATCTTATCGTTTCTTTACAATAGTGTTTCTACACGAATTATACTCCGTTCGTTAGGAGATATAATGATAATAAGTTCATGAAAAACTAACAATTATCTATAATAATTACCGATAGTATACAGTACTTATTAATTAGTAAGTTTTTTTTAGTGTTAAGCACAACTGTATACTATTTTCAGGTCACTTTATCTGCGATTAGAAATAGACCACCTATTGTTATACACCCTGTATACAGAGTGGCACTACAAAAGTAATCATTACTACACATCAGATCTACAACAGATCGCGAGTTTTGTGTATATATTTTTATTACCTTAAATTTAGCCGGGACCGTGACCGAAACGTGGCCGGTGGAATTGGAATCGCCCGTTTTGTACCACAATCTGCACCACACCCTCTCGGCCCCCCGGGTTTTCGTCGCCCCGATCACGCGAATTATCCTTTGGCCCTTCCTATCGTCGTAAAACGCCGAAAATACGAAGAATTTGTACCTAAAAAAATAGCAAAAATACAAACAATATCCCACCGTTACCATTGAACCAAGGGGTGGTGATATACAACCTGTACATTTAAATTTATTGTCTTATAAAATCTGAGATTATTAAACATGCGATGATCGGTTGGTATTTAGTGAATGCTCCACGGAATGGGATTAGAGCGCTCAAACAATTCGACCTTTCGGGGTATAGAGTATTTAGGGGTCGCGACCTCGGGGCAGGTTTCTTTATGTCGAGGGGTGAAATTTAGGAGACCCGAAAAACCACTTGTAATGCCGTCACGAACGTATCCCCGATGGGAACGAGTACGAGCGCCCGTTTATACAGGACGTCCCGTTGTATATTCCGGGAGAAACGGTATGAAAATGTTATAGATTTACTGTCGTTAGAATCTGGTGTGGATGAAACGGGCGAAAAGCTGCTACATAATTAATAAATCGTCGATTAAGGGCCGTCAGAGCTTAAGCCAGCCCCTCTGATTTCCAATTTAAACGTCATAAAATATTCAATTTTAATAGGATTTCCTTTCGAACGAGACGGGAAATCGATGTATCGAATGAATTTTACCTAAATTTTAGTTTAATCAAATGCCTAAAAGATTTTACAGTATCTACGTAGTAATGTTGGCCTTTGTTAATATTTCTATCCAGCCAAGGGGATATTTTTCGTAAAACTCACCTAGTATTGTTCACGTTTTGCCATCCGCCTTCGTTTACCGTGGCATTTTCGGGATAAGGAGGCAGTTGATTCTCAGCAAACACCTGTTACAGAACACGACATGAAATTGCTTTAAAAAATCGCTTATACTACGTTCCTTCATAATCTTGCTATGACGTCACAAATGGAAATATATGAGCGTTATTTTTTTCCATATATTTATACAGGGGTAAATCCCCTGCGACCGTTAAATCCTTGTTTCTAGCTTTGTGAAATTTATGAAAGATGTAAAGAAGGGATATATGCGATGGCTAGATTAAAATGGATATAGTATACGATAAATTTTCATTTGCAACAATTTCGAAGCTTTTAGAAAGTATATAAGTATTCGTGCAAATTATTCGTACAACTACTTATAACACGTGCAATATAAAAAAAATCATGCAATATTTATTCTAGATAATATAACTGAAAGTAATGTTATTTATAGCTCTTAAGATTGGCAAGTAAGGTGCTCTACAGTTAGTGCAAAACAAATATCAATGCATGTCACAAGTAGGCAGTGTTGCCGAACTTTTATAGAGATTAGAAAATCTAAGAATTTTCTAAAATTGTCTAATAGCAAAATGACAAGAACAAATTGAAAATTAGGGGTACCTGTACCTGTTTCACGTTTTTAAAGGCGGATGTATTCAGGGACTCACTATAATTAATCATCAAATTCCTAATTATCATCTGAAATATATTTAACAGTGCGAGTAAAAAATTTAGTGTATAATTTAACCTTTAAAAAAGTACTTAGTGAAATTTCTGAGAAAACTTCTGAATCTGAATTATTTAGAGCTCAAATTGTGTCATTTCTAACATGTAGAAAAGACTATGCAAAAAATTCTTATTTCTGGATTATTCGGCTGAATATCTTTTAGTAGTTGAGGCAAGTAAAATGGAAAAAAGAAGAAGAAATTGAAAATTAAAAGTACCGATCGGATGACAACGGCAACTATGCAACTTGACAATCAGTGTCTACCAACCTACTATAGGAAAATAATAATAATTTTATATACAAACGTTGAATTTTGACAATATATATTTTTTTAGATGATTTAATTCTGCTTTTTAACATTTTCTATCATCCCTTGTTAATATTAAAATAAATTCTGCAGGTATTAAGCTTAATCTATTTTGTGTTAATTTTTTTTAAAGTTGGGCACAATGCTTGGCAAATATGACGACAGCAGTGACATGCATTGATATTCGTTTTGCACCAACTGTATACAGACAAAAAAAACATTGCGGGTAATTGGAGTATGGATTGGCACTCTAATTCTAATAAATAAATAAAACGGTGCGTGCAGGCAGTTTTTTTTTGCCGGGCTAAAAGTGTACCTTGGGAGGCGAGGGAGCCGAACGTTCGATGACGGGCAGAGCGACAGGCGGCCTGCCTCCCATGAGGAGGGCCCCCAGCGCGTCGTCGTTCATCATCGCCGCCCCCACTCGTATCGATATGTAGTCCTCGCTCTGGAAAACAACGCGAATTCCTCTCAATTTCCGCGCCTACCGATCGCACAATTACATCACGTTATTCGCAAGCCCGACCCTGCTCGACCTGTCACCGTTCGACAGTTCGACCGTCACGCGTCCCGAAACCCCGAAAACTCCTTTTCAGGTATCGAGCAAAATTCGAAATGTCCGTGCCCGACGAGGTGAAAGCGACGGTGCAAACCGTCCTCGACCTCTGCACCACCGCCTTCCACTACGGCTACGTACCCTTCGTGCTGTGGTGCGGATGGAAGCTGGGACCCGACAAGGGGTGCGAGCCCTTCCATTTGACCCACCTGCTATGGCATTACTGAACACCCAACACCCCACACCCCTATTGATGTTTTTGTTGCATACAAACGGTTGTGAATTTGTAATAAAAATCACCGATTAAATATGCCTTTTTTTTGCACGTTCTAAGTGAGTAAGGTAAGCATTTCTACTGGGTATTTTAATAGATTGTTAATTCAAATGATTAAGAATATTTTAAATTCGTTACAATAGAAATAAACAGTAAAGAATAATTCAAATGCGGGGTAAATTTAATTGAAACCAGAGCGAAGTAACAGTGACGTTATTTTTAGTAACACTCACCTCTAACCCAATGCAATATATTCCCTATGAAATTGATATTTTATATATAAATAAAATACCTTTTTTGCATGTTCTAAGTGAGTAAGGTATGGAATTCTACTTAATAGATTATTCAAATGATCAAGAACAATGATATTTTAAATGCATCATATAGAAATGAACAGTAACGAATCGAAATGTGAGGTAAAGTCAATTAAAACCAGAACGAAGTAACAGTGACGTTATTTTTAGTAAAACCCACCTCTAATCCTATGCAATATTTCCTATCAAATTGACATTTTCAACCGGTAATAGAGGTGGAGATATCGATATACAGGGTGTCTCATAAGTGATACGTGATACGTGATACGTGATAAGTGATAAGTGATTTTTTTTGGCAGGTACGTATTGAAAAATATTCGAAATTTAAAGAAAATCTAAAAAAAATTATTTTTTTTTATTTTCCAGAATATTAAAAAAAATGCCTGAAAAAGGTAATTACGCAGTTAAAAAAAAACATCAACTTATGAGACACCCTGTATACATAGGTAAACGGTATTTTCCTCATCTTAACGTAACGAACGTGATTTGGTACTCACTTGGAACCCGTCGTCATAGTCCGAGCTCTTGTCGCGTTTGCGTTGTATAGTCAGGGAGCCCCTGCGCAGGACGACGCCCGCCGCCCGGCCCCTTTCGTCTATGAAGAAGATCTCCGTGAACACGATCAGCCCGAAAACGCTGAAGAACATCACGACTATGAAGAAACTGAGGCTGGCCCGTTGCCGGTTCCGAAACGTCGAGTACTTCTTCTTGCCGCCGCCGCCGCCGCCGCTGCTCGAACCCATTTTCCACGGATCTAATTCAAACGGAACAGTTTGCCGGATTTTATCGAACAACCGGCAACAGCGCGTATAGCCTGTCATTGTTCGTTAAAATTCATTTAGTATTATCGATTGCGACCTAATCGATTAAAAGATCGATATTTAACAATTGCGCTAAATTAATCTCGACACAAATACACTTCACTCAACTTAAATAATTTAGGTACAACTTAGGTGCGTACTAGTACGTTACTATAATGTGCGTGTTGTTGTTAAAACCGGTATCAATTATCCTGTTATCAAACAACTCGAAGTTGAATTTAACAAAATATATTTAACGTGAAAATGAAAGGGATAACGTCAATTGAACGTTACATCATTTATGATAATTCTTATCACAGCGGAATTGAGTTGTCATTAGAAAATGCGTAAAATTGTATAGTATATATACAGGGTGTTTGCTAATTGAATTGAGCCAGGTAATCAACAATTCAGTAGCAATAAAGAACGCTGTACGTGTGGATTATTTATTGATGTTTGATTGGATTTGTGGTGAATAATTAAACGAGCCGCACGTACGGTTAATTCAAGCTCGGAGTGAATTTCCTTTTGGCGGAAAGTCGCCGTGGAAATTCCAATCCCCCGTTGAATTCCCGATACAATCCGGATACGTATAGGTGTATAATAAAAGCGATGCGATGCTCGCTCGTCCGACGAATGGAATCTAATGCTGGAAAATGCAATTTTCCCCGAGCTGTAACGGGCCGGAATTTTGCGGTGAAATTTGTATTAGTTATCCCGATGGAGAAATGTATTCGTTTCGGAGTTGTACGATATTGGTTGAAATGCAAATGGAAAGCAATGCGGTTTTTTCACGACCTCCAATTTTTTTTTATTATAATAGAAAGTCATAGCATGTAGTATTTAATAAAATTCTGTATTGTATCTTAATTTAATGTAGCTTTCATGATATGCATTTTAGTATGTAATTTGCGTATTTTTGCAAATCACCTTCTATAATTAGGCCTAATTAACGTAATCAGGTAATCTGTTTGTAGAAATGATAAACATTGTGAATTGTTTACTCACATTATGGCGGATTCGATCGGCTTTCCATAATTATAATTTAGTGGTTCTGAAAAATAGGAAAAATATATTCAGTTGATTGTAATCGAAAATGTACGTAGTAATATCATGTAGTTGGAGGAATAAGCGATTTTTGTGGGGAAATTGGAGTTTTGAAGTTTTGTTGATATCGAAGGAAATTTATTGGAGCGAAAATTTCATTGTTTATGAATTATTGAGAGAATGACCTATTTTCAATGAAAAACAACCGCGGGCAGCATTTTATATCTATTGATTAATTTGCATTGAAAATAATAAACACTTACATTAATCAATTGTGCATTAAATATGTAATTCTTTTGTAAATAAAACGAAAAAATAATATATACCTACTTTTAATTTCCTTAATCAAAAAATAAATAATAAAGCTTGCGATATATTTGATTTAACTATATTTTATCGAAATAAAAATATGTGAATTATAAATCATTTTTAGTAATTTACTGGAACAAAATTGTACGAATTTTACTTCAACTTCAAGAAATATTGTGACATACACCCTGTATAGTTATGTCATTCTTCCAGCAGTCACTAGATTGATTTTATATGATTTATTTAAACTATTTTCATACCACTAAACCATTAATTATTTAAGTCATTAAATAACTAAAATTAAACATTTGTTTTCTACCGAGGGAATTTTTATTTATAATTAAATTAATAAAAGTATTTGGTAACAAGCCATATATTAATTTTTTGTACCTCTCAAATTTTTGTCATGTACCTAAATTTACCTAAAATAATAAAAATAATGAAGTTATATGAAATAAAACAACATATAACGAACAATAAGCAACAAATTTGAAAAATCACACAAGAAATTAATTTTTTTATCCATTATTCAACAATTTTTCATTTCATAGCTAACTGCATTCAAGAATTAAAATTCATGCATACGTATTTTCTAAACCTTAAAAAATCAACAATGCTATGAAATTTTCATTAGAACTCGGAAATTGCAAGAAAGACGATAAATAATAGATTCGTTTTAATTCGAATGAAACTCACCTTCATACAGAAGCGCAACCGAATCGCTTCCTGCCAGGAAGCATCCTTGATAATGGAAAACGATATCGAATTTTCGCCAAATTTTCACTCCACTCCGAACAGCTGACGGAGTAAATCTGCGAATCCAGACCGAATGCGCCGAAAATTCTACCCCCTTTTACCCCAATCGTCGACGGTTCGGAAGCGTTCGGTCAAACTCGGATCGCCCGAGCGAGTTTTTCCAAGTTTTATCGTCCAATAAAATTTGACAAATCCTCTCGTTACGCCATGAAACGTTTAATTTAAAGGTTCTTACGCGCCTAGATTCGTTTGAATCGACTAATTACGTTCGCGAACAATTCGCTGTGTCAACTCGACGTTAGAAAAAAATTAGGGTTGATTCGCATGCGCGCATGCGCCCAGTCGCAGCGACAAAACATTTCCCGTCAATCGATGAGCACGCTTTTCCTCTACAGCGAAAAAACTTCGGAAATTACATTTCGAACGAGCAATGAAAAATTAGTTCGAAAAAAAATGCGAACTAGAAACATTCGTTATTTTGTCGCATTTCCATTGCATAGCCTCCAATTTTTAGTTTCAGGAAATTGCAAGCTCCTTCTCTGTCTTACACGCTTATATTCGAGTGTTTTGGAGAGAGAAGGAGTATTTTTTTTAAATAAAAAAGTGGAATTAATTCATGTTAAAAATATATTAAAAAATCACATAAAACCCTCACACCAATCTCAGTTTACAATTAAAATTAAAAACGTTTTACAAAAAAAATATTAATATAAATAAAATTTATTCGCACAATAATAATCAAGTGGCATTCGGAATAGTAAAAATTAAAATCGACGTAAAAAATAGTGAAGTTAAATAAAAAAATTCTATTGGATAAAAAACCATAGACGGGGCCTTTTACAAGAAGGCTATTAGATAACTCCAGGATTGCTCAATGTGGGCAAGCACACTCGAGCGTGACGTAAGCAGATGGCGTTGAGCGTTACAGGTCTTCTTCCATTGCCCTTTTACCCAATTAATATAATTCTTATCACAGATCTTTCGGATTGAAATAGTACTGGTATCGAGTTGGAAGGCGGGCGCGCGCCGCCCCCTCGCATTCAAACGTCACCTTGATTTGCACGGGGCCGGAGGTTTTCCGTTTCTTCACCAACTTCTCCAACTCATCGTCGCTCAGACCCTTCAGAAAATTCCAAGGTGCGTACGACAGCGGACATCTAACGTCCACGTGCATCTTGAAGCCCAGGTGACCAGCTTGAAACGGATTATCCTCGTGCGGTTCCCTCAACTCCACTTCCTCTTCGTTTATGCCTTGTTGGAACTTTTGTAAGTAGGCGCCTGTAAATAATGCGTTAACTGTCAATATCTAAATTACACGTGACGTCATAATCCGATGGATCAATCCTGTATTCGACTACTCACCTTGATCTTTCGCACCTGTCAAATAATATGTCAATCGACATCAAACATGGTCGACTTTAAAACTCACCGTCGTTCATGACGCCGTAGTAAAAAAAAGTATCGCCAATGTCCCCGTAACCGGTGTATACGTTATTCCCGGGTCGTTTGGTCCTCCCAACGGCGGGATCCGGCCGAAGCGACACCTCCCTTTGGTACTGGTCCAGTTGCAGGAACATGTCGTTGTGCGCCAGCACCAGCCGCCTGAGACGCATGTGCATCATCCTCTGCTTCTGGTTCCAGTCCATGTCTTTGCTCGTTTGCACGGGTATGGCGATGAACCACGAGTTTCGAAAGTAGTAAGTGTACTGAAAAAAAATGCGAAAATTTCATTCGAAAGGTAAGAAAAATTAATTTGCTTTATTCAAATTTAAAATTTGACGACATGTTTAATAGCTGTCACAAACGTCAATGTCAATTCGATTTTTAATGTTACATTTAACTGTCATTCAAGAACAAAAATATAATTATTATAAAAAATTTTTAATTTAAAGAAATATTAATTAGGTTAGATTATGAGATATTAAATTAGGTTTTAACCAAAAAGTAGAAGAAAGCGATGTTATATAAGATGTTTTCTCAAATCGAATTTATCTTCTTCCGAATTAGAAGTGTCGTCGTCCAAGCATTCGTAACCTCTGGAGTCCTTGGCAGGTTGCTTTCTCCTTCGCTTCCTCCATTCCAGGGCTTCCAAGTAAACGAATCGCCCCAGCAATCCGAAAGCAGTGACCGCCAAACCGATAACCAGAGCGTACAAAAAATTATCCAGAAACGAGTATTCCGTAGGATCCGAGTCCCGAATCGAAGGGCCAAACGTAGGCCCCATTTCCTGCATCTTCGACGAATAGTAATCCGTCGAAGCGTCCTCCAAACCGCCTAAACTCCTGTTCAAATCCACGGCCAATTGATGGAATACGGTCCTGCCCAGCCAATCGGCCAGCTCGTGCTTGCCCATCTGGCGCAGCCGGTGCTCCAGCAGCTCGTGCGTCTCCCCTTTACCTTCGCCCGGCGACGAGTTCCAGTGGTGCAGCAGCTTGACGCACGACAGGTCTTTGGAGATCTTCCGTTGCGCTTGGTCCAGCGAACCGGGGGACTCCCAGGTTTTGTAGTGCGCCGCTGCCACCAGGGTCCTGCACTCCTCCGGCGTCAGGTGATCGGCGATGTACTCCAATTCGGGGGCGTTCAAGTCGATGGTCGTCGACGCGAGAGCCCAGAGAAGCGAAAATAGCGGGAGTAGCATTTTTGATTTGAATAGAAATGTCAGGTGTTTTGGTCTTCTTTCTAGCGTTGAAACTAGGTTAACGTCAGGGAATTGGGTATAAGAAAAGAAGAATTAGTGGCCTAGTAGAAGAAAGCGAGTTGATAGAGATAATTGTGTGGTGTTTTCTCACCTCGGCTATAAAATAATTTGAGCTGTGTATTTCGGAAGTGACGTGTTTTTGCGTGTATTTGGCGCAATCCACCAAATCCAGTATCTTGCATCCGCTGCAAACGAGGCAATCCGGCATCGTTTCCTCGCTGATTTTGTCGAAATGGATGCAAAATTGTTTGGTTAATTGCATGATACTCGAAACCACGGTCGGCAGCGCCTAAATACAAAATTAGCATAAAATAACGGTGACGTTATTTTTGTAAACGCCCATCTTTAGTTCAATGTAACTTTCCCTATCTACTTGGCGTTGTTGAAGAGGAATAGAGGTGGGCATTACGCTTAGAGTAACAGTTATGCATGTTAATGGTAATTTGTTGGTATGATTTTGGAAATTGGAGTAGAGTAAAATTTTGGGATAGAACTCACGTAATCCTTGACGACGGCCGGCGAGTACAAAATGTTCGGACAGTGTAAAAAATTGTCTATAAAATTAAAATATTCGTCGATCAAACGTCCGGCGTACATGCACTTTTTGGTAGTTTTGTAAAAAGAATTGTAAACGTATCTCCATATCGTCGATACGATGATTGAGTACTGAAAAATATCAACGATTGCACACAATTTCCGTTGTGTTTTGTGGCCACTAACTTGCAAATTCAGTATCTCCAACATATTCAACAATTTGACAATGCATTTCATCTCCATATCGTCCTGCGTATACGACAACGATAAATCGGTCATTAGAATTAAATGGTTCAGACGTTTGTCGAGATATCGAAACGAGCAATTCAACACGTCCTCCGCTATTATTTTGAATCTGTTGTTCACCAGTCGAACGTTCTGGCCTAAAAAATATATCCAACAGTTCAATAGAGCTAATCGCGCGTTTGATGGTTTGTGGACCTATCGCCCACTCTGAATTCTCGTTTCTTTCCTAACATATCGATGGTAAAGGAGCGAGAGTTCGGGGTAAGTGATAGGTTCGCCGACTATCATACTTCCGAGTGATTCCCCGCGAGTATAAAGACAGTGGATTAAAAAAAATCGTAAGTACCATGAAAAACTGTTGCATACTTAGTTCGTGATGGGGGATATATTTAAATATCGCCTGTAATACTTCGACCGGCATGTACAATATCGGCGTTTTCCTTCGCCTTTCGACGGTTTTACAATCGGCAACGCACTCATCCTCGTTCTTATCTAATTTCCTTCGTTTCGATCTGAAAATGTCCCCGCATTTAATCGCGTTTCCTCGATCGGGCGGCCGCTTTTTACCTCATAAAATACCCCGAGCTTCCGGAACCAGATAGATTCACGTCTTTGTCGCTCTCGTCGTTGATTTCCTCCGCATTGTCCATATTGCGAAATTCGCGCTATTGAGTACAATTTAAGATAATTTAATCATTTTTCGAAAATCTAATCGTGTGCCTGAATGTGACAGCGTAACGTCAGCGTTCAAATCGTTGATGTTTATTGGTTTATAGAAATCCTTTTACCGTGGAAACAGGTCCGTTCGAGGGTAGAATTCTACTCAAGTACGAACACCGAAGTACATGCAGTATGACAATTTAAAAACTTACAATCTCCCAAACAAAAGATGATATCAAAAAATGCCTAAAATCGTTTCGATGATATGAAGGTTTCACAATCATTGATTCACCTTGTACAAGTATTATTTATACCATTGGATAGCATTTTTATAGGCTTTTCAATGATGTATCAAAAGTTAAAGGTTGTTATTTTAATTTCTATGGTTGGGTTATGTGGGGTCTAAAGGGTTGATGGGGGTGAATTCATTTTTAAGTCATTTTGGTGCCCCCTTCATATTCTAGAAACGGTTTTAGGCATTTTATGATATCATCTTTCGTTTGGGAGATATAGCCATTGTAAGTTTTAATTGTCATTGTGTAGAAATAAATAATGCGAAAGTAGGAAAAAATAGTTTTTATTGTACATATAGTACTAACTTATTGGCAAAATAAACGTGCCTAATCTGGTAAACAATGCGTGGAATTTATCATTATGCATTGAACTCCAGTTGGTCCGGAGCAAGTTTTCTACAAATTGGTTTAATTTAGAAGGATTGCTGGGCGCTTTTATGGTGAAAATGTACAACATGTGTCTCTTAACAGGATTGTATTGGTCGCACAATTGGTGGAAAGCTTGAGCAACTGCACTGGGAACTTTGTCCACGTTTCTCACTATCACAACGGCCTTTTTCGATATTCCTCTTCTAACGTCTTCTATAAAAGCACCGTAGTCTTTCAAATACTTGTCTTTATTTAAATTTACTCCGTCCAAAACGAGAGGATCGGCGACTCGATCGAGTATTTTCACTGATGCATAATCGGATATGCTTTCTAACAATTTTTTCATGTTATCTGTCTCATGCACCAGTATTATCGAGCTCGTTTGACTGTACTTAACTATATCATCTACAGTTACTTGAATAGATAACCAAAAGTCGATGTTTTGTTTAGGAAATTGCTTTTTTAATATTTCAAGACTTTTATCGTTATCATTTGGATTATTATCATTTTCAGAATAATATAATCCTATTAGTAACCCAATGACACTCAGTATTCCAATTAATAAGTACCAGTTATATTGTGTCTCAGAATGATTATTATCGCCTTTTCGGTGTTTGATTTCTTGTTCGAAAAAGTATTCTTCTGATTGACTATTGTCCAGTAAATCGGGAACAGTTTCTTCCTCTTCTGTATTACTATCCTCCGAATGGAAGTTATCAATATCGTCGTGAATCGATCGTCTAGACCGTATCGGTGAATTTTTAGTCTAAAATTAATAATTGACACGATTTTTTTGTTAATGAGTTTTCAATAACTGTATTAATAACCTACCATATTTACGCAAAAGTTGTAGTAGATGTTTAAAATTAATATTTTATTTCTTCATGTATATTTATATGTTTCGGCACGTTTAATTTAAATTGTATAAATTGGAGATCAGATAAATTGTAGCAGTGAATGCAGTGATCACTGGATATAAACATATAAACAACAATAAAATGAAAATGCACGTTCAAATCATCAAATGTCAAATTAAAACCAACTGTGGCATTGACAAGTGACAAACAATATTATAGGTTGCTTACTTCTTCTTTTTTTATTTATTCCATTTAGACATTTAGTCAATACAGAAAAGTCAATTGATAAAGAAGAAGAACATTGACATATGTCTTTGACGTTTCATTTTCATATATGTCACATTAGTTTAGTTAAGTGACTGCGTGGAGCTTTTGGCTCACTTAAACTCAAAAAAATAAAAAAATAAAATAATCAAGATGAATATACCTAATGAATACATTTCGAACGCAGAGGACGTCGCTGATACCGTAAGTTGAATTACTAACCAGCTTATTTATCCCTGTTAAATTCTATTCGTATGTTACCAGTCATTTAAATTCGAGTTTTCGAAAAATTTTACAAAAATCAAATTGTCACGTCATCTTTTTCTTCTGCTCGAGTTGATTTTTTATTAAAATGTAACGTAATTTAAATAATTTGCAGAAGTATTAATTAACTCCTTTAAACCTTGAGGTCCTCTAAAAAGTTTAAAGGTTATACATAAATACATTATTCATTCCATATGGATTGTTATTTTATCAGAATTTCATATAATTTCGTTATCAATTCAACAAGTCATAGGAAGAGTTCGTATCCTTTCGATTTTCCTACAAACATTCCATTCATAAAAACTCTATTTTACCTTAAATGTATTCGTTAACATCAAAAGTGAAAGTAGCACACTGCTTCAGTTATTACTTATAAATATATTTTAGGTCATAAGGAAATTAAAATACATATTACCGACGTTAGCTAGAGTATGTCTTATATCAACATTTTTAGAAGACGGTCTTCGAATGTGGTTTCAATGGACGGAGCAGCGGGAATATATGGACATGTCGTGGGGTTGCGGTAAATTTCTTGCCACTGTTTTCGTTATTATTAATTTAATAGGACAACTCGGAGGATGCGTTATGGTCATCGTACGTTACAGGGTGAACATAGCCTGTGGGGTGCTATTTTTCATTGTTGTACTACAGGTAAAACTATTGGGATTGTTAGGAACTACTCGAATTCAGTGTTGTAATTTTTAGACGTTCGCCTACAGCATACTTTGGGACGTGCAATTCTTGTTCAGGAATCTGGCGCTTATCGGGGCCCTGTTGCTCGTCCTAGCCGAAAGCAGGGGCGAAGCGAAGAGTTTGTTCGCGGGAGTTCCATCGTTGGGAGACAACAAACCGAAGAATTACCTGCAATTGACTGGTAGAGTGTTGCTGGCTTTCATGTTCATCACTCTCATACGATTCGAGTTTAGCTTTTTGCAGGTAGACTATACGATTCGAAAATATATTAGGAGCGTTATTTATTGGTGGATTTGCAGATTACTTTGGATCTACTCGGTTCTTCGTTGATGGTGTTGGTGACTATCGGATACAAAACTAAATTGTCCGCGTTGATTCTTGTATTGTTACTCACCACGTTGAATTTCTATCACAACGCTTGGTGGTATATTCCCGATTACAAGCCGTTAAGGGACTTCCTTAAATACGACTTCTTCCAGGTAAGACTGATTGGTTTTGGGGTCTGTGTAAGAGGTGATTTAATGTATTATTTTTTTTAGACTTTATCTGTAATTGGTGGGCTTCTGATGATAGTCTACTTGGGCCCCGGTGGTGTCTCGATGGATGAGCACAAGAAAAGGTGGTAAGAACGAAAATATGTGATTTCTGACTATGAACAATACGTGGAAAAAAATATTATTTTGCCTAAATAAAAGAACCACTCATTTTTTATCATGTACTGTCAATTTTTCCGTTTTATCGACATGCTATATTGATAAGTTGATTTTGAATAGTTACTTAAAGTTGTAAATCAATTTTATTAGTTGCAATGGGCGAGTATGTTGGACGTTATTTTGAAATTTAAACAGATCTATCGCCTTTGTATTATTAGTGGAAAATATATTTTAATAAACAATTTATTTAAATTTGCATGTGTATAGAATTGTAATTACAACAGTAAAATTCTAGTCATTTACCTACTTGTTAAAATAGTAAAGGCGTTTTATTTATAAGTCTAATTAATTGAGCTTCCTACATTTCAAGAGATAATTTATTTTTTTGTACAAATTTTTAGACATTCAATACTTTTACTCATTATATTAGTTAATTATAAAAATGTTTCTATACACATGCGAAATGTTTTGACATAAACAATCCTAGACTGCGCAGTAATTAATTTGTCTGATTAATTCGTAAATATTTCCTATATTTTTTAAAATTTGTATTTTATATGCTCAAAAACTACATTAACAAGTTTCTTCCTCGTATTTTCTTTTCTTGTAACTTAAATTTTTATGTTTATATAGTAATTGGGTTGTTATTAGGACTTGTAATAAATTACATATTTTTAATAATAATTTTATTTAATAATGTACCATAAATCGTTACCATTTCCAGCTGCTGATTTTCCTTCCGTAATTTCCTTTTTTGAGTGATTTTTCCCAATTAGATTTACAGGGGGTTTAAATTTATGGAGACTCTTTAAATTATTCTATTTCGATAATCGTTATTTTTATTAAAAATATAATGTACACAATTCATTTCCACGATGAAATGCTTTTTTTCTATAATTTTAAGTCTTTGTACACAGGAAAAGAAAAACTAATACAGTATATACAACATTTTTGTTCCACGTTAAATTCAGCATTTTTAATATGCATTATATTAGTTATTTGTAGAGCCTCCTATTTTAGAGGAAACTCTGTATACCTAGATAAAAATAAACCAATTTAACGTGAAACATCCTCTATTGGAAACCATTAAAAAACGTTCACCTAAAAATCTACAATTAAGTAAATCTATACCAACTACATAGTCTCCTGCTTAAATGTATAAATAGCTTTTATTATTTTTACCTTTAATCATTTAAAATCTATTTAAATATTATGTATAGAGTACACCTAAATGTCCGAGTGCCCATATGCAACTCTCCTGCCACTCAATTATATTTCACCTAAGAAAGTTTGATAAATTAAAAATAATTTAAATCATTAACTAGTAGATAAATTTATCTGCACTTTGATGAATCCAATATAGTGTAAATTGAAAATAGAATTTATTCAAACGGCTCGAAATCTAAACTAGTTAAATATTCTTTTATACGAGCAATATTTTGATTTTAAAGTTATGTACTTCAAAATATTTTTTGAAGCATGTTATGCAGCATGTTAATGAAACAGATTATTGTAGACTTGTGTGGTAATCATTAAAATATATCACAGTGATACTGATATTTACCGTGAAAGGTATTTCATCAAAAAGTAAATTTTAATTAAAAAAAGTTCAACATTGACACAAAAAATATTTTGTAGTAAAGTACTTATTTTGTCTCAAGTCTAACTTGATCTAGAATAATTTAGATTTTTTTCTAGTTGCTTAATAATACCTACATACATATTCTAGTCACTTGCTAATTTTTGAAAACGAAAATTACCAAATGACTCGTTTATTCTCCTTCAGATTATATTTAAACGTACACGCACAAAAACGAAACGATTTTTTTGGTAGGCGAAATAAATTAAACCGGACTAAGGGCTGGTACATTCACCATCTAGCAATTAATTCCAACTTTAGGTTGCCAGACACATTAAAATTTTAAGATATCGTGATGCTTATACACAATTCGATTGTCTAAGTAATAGTGATGTAATTAGTAACGAAAATACCTTCGTCAGACACTTAAATCCACCGTGTGCGACACGAAATAAAAAAAAACTAAAATATATATATTTATAAATAAATACCGTTCGATACGAACTAGTCGGCGCGCTTTCCCTAATGGAAATTCTGAAAATTGTAATTTTCACTAGTCGTATAGGTGGTGGACGTGTGCCCGACGCTCGAATAGATCACCACCTCGTCCTGGTACGAGCTACTAGCGTTGTCGTCCTGCTTCTCCATCTCCTCGTCGCACTGTCCCATGCCGTAGCTGTTCACCTCCGACTTCAGCTTGATCTCGTCACCGTTCGTCGTCGCCTGTATAACCGTCGGCAAATTAACCTGCAATACAAGTCGACGTAAAAAACCCATCTCGTACGATCAATTTAGAAATGTAACGCACCAAACCGGCGTTGTGCAACTCGGCCAACTTAGCGCCGTCGATGAGCAACGGTTGCACCTGCGGCTCCCCGCCCGGTATCTTGAGATTCCCCATAATGCCCATCAGTATACGTTGCGGCTCGGTTTGCATGGGCTGCTGCACGTCGCCCAAATTCACGCCGTCCGACGTCGACGCCATCAAACCCGCCTGCTCCAAGATATTCTGCTCCTTCTTCATCGCCCTAAAAAAACACAACACATCCTCAATAACCTACTCGACGCTAATTCGAGGCGAGTTACCTATGAACCTTGAAGCGGATGGGCGCCGGCTCGTGCGCCGGCGTCACCGGCTCCACGCGGTGCCCGCCCTTCAGGTCGGGCTGCACGTCCATCCAATGGCCGGTGGTGCGCCGGTGCGTCTTCAATTGCCCCGATTGGATGAAGCGCGCCGGACAGACGCCGCACGCGTACGGCCTGGCGCCCGTGTGTCGGCGCATGTGCAGCGCCAGATCGTTCGATTGCGTGAACGCCCTGCTGCAGATGTTGCACACGTACGGCCGCTCGCCGGTGTGCACGCGGCTGTGGCGCAACTGCAAAACGAGCGAGGATTAGTACGAGGATCGAGACGAGGTAGAATGACCGTTGTCGTTACCAATTTGTTGCTTTTATTGAAGGATTTTCCGCACAAGGTGCACAAATAGGGTTTCTCGCCGGAATGGGTGCGTTCGTGGCATTTCAAATCGTGCGATCTGGGGAAACCTTTGCCGCATTCGCCGCATTTGTACGGCCTTTCGCCGGTGTGCCGTCTCATGTGGACGATCTGAAAACGCCAACGAAACGTTAGAGTAATAAATCTACAACGCGCGAATCGGAGAGCTTTCGATGGCTTTATCAGCGTTCTTAGTTGGCCTCGACGAAGGGACGTAAAACATCCCAACTTCGTTACTTTTCAAATGACGGAAGGTAACCAAGAAGGAATGCGATTCGACACTTTGGCGCTTTAAGAATATAAAGTGGTATTTTCGCTAATATGACTAAATTATTTCAAACTTCCCCTAAATGATTAAAAACACCACCGTAATATCAAAAGCCATCGAACCGAACGAATCCAAAAAAACTAATCAATCCCCCCCGAAATCCCGACCCTCTTCGATCGCCACAATCCACGCAAATAGACAATAACACGAGCAACACAGTGAAGTAGTTAATATAAATCGAAATTCATATTAACCACTTACCATGTTACTGGAATTATTGAATTCCTTTCCGCAATAAATGCACAAATGCAATTTCGACGTGTCCTTTTCGCCCGTGTGGATGCGCTGGTGGGTCTTCAGATTGTCCAAGCGATTGAACGCTTTGCCGCATTCGCCGCAAACGTGCCGTTTGTCCTGCATCAAGTGCATTTTCGTGTGCCTGGCCAAATGATCGGATCTACGTAGAAGGGACACGTAACAATTAAATTCAATTTTTCCAGCGTTTTTTTTTTCGATGGTAAATTCGATATGTAACAGTTAAATTACCTCGAAAACGTCGTATCACAAATCGAACATTTCAAATTCGCGTCCTTATCGGTATTCGACTGATGCACTTTCAAATGCCTGATCAGATGCTCTCCTCTGCTGAACGGTTTGTTGCACACGGTGCACACGTACGGTTTGTTGATGTGCTCTTCTTCCACGTGCACTTTCAGATGCTCCTCGGTGGCGAACGCCTTTTCGCAACTACAAAATACGGTACGATAAGAACCTTTCGTGGGGGCCTCGAACAAAGCAACTAACCGGTCGCATTGGTGCACGAGCACAGCCCTATGCAGCGTCATGTGCCTCGTCAGGTGGTTGACTCTCGAAAAGGAGGCGCCGCACACGTGGCACACTTGATTCTTGTTGCGCGCCTTCTTGGCGAACAGACTCTCGCCGTCGCCGGCCATTTCCTCGTCGTCCTCCTCTTTGCCGGCGTCGCCGTCGTCCAGCAGGTCGTTCGCGGCCTTCTCAGCGCCTGAAACGCATCGCGATTTAAACATTTCGATCGATTCGCGACGAATGGGGGACTCACCGTCGTCGTCGGCTCGATCCGGCTTGGCGGTCTTGAGGGCGTCGTCGCCCTTTTCGGCGTCGCTTTCGAAATCGGACATGCCGTGCTCGGCGTGCATGTGATGTATGAAGCTCTTGCGGTATTTGAATTTCCTGTCGCAATAGTCGCACTCCATCACCTGCAAACGATCGGGGTGAACGATTTAAATGTCTCCTCCTGCGGATTTAAACGGCGCACAAACCTTTTTCCCTTTAGTTTCTGAATATTTCTTTAGGGCTTTCATTTTTTCTTCGTCTACTATACCGTGCGTTTTCAAATGTCTCACTAGATGACTGTTTTTAGTAAACGATTTATTACATAACTATAAAAAAAAAGAGAGACACATACAATACGTACACGTGAGTTTTGTGTGAGGCGTTAAATTTATTATACAAAAAAAATAGGAATTTTTATATAAAATCCAATTCGATCGTGGGTTTATTATCGCCGTAGTATATTTATATTGAATTGAATTAAAACATTCTTTCGATTAAACAACATAACTGCTGGTATTGTTCGGCAAAAATAAAACTAGATAGAAATTTGTGTGCTAATTCAGTTTTAAATTACCGTTAAAAACGATCGAATTTGAAATAGTTTACCCAAGAAATATTCGAAAATATCTCATTGGGAAATACCTAATAAAAATTTTATGCTTTCGCGAACATTTTAATCCTTTCTTTATACAAGGTGAGTCAAAACAAAGCTGCATAGATGTTTAACCTTTCGTTAGTCGCGCCCGGTACTGTGAGAACGACTATAAACGTTGTTTACAAATAATTCTAAAAAAGCTCCAGCTAGAAAAAATAGTAGCATTTGGCTTTTAAACAACTCCCACATATGTTTTTTTAAAAGTACATTCCGCTATGTATCCGCTAAAAACTTTAGCGCGACTAACCGAGGGTTAAGGATCTACAGCCACATGAATTAATAACTGTGCCTACACACAGGGTAGTCAAAATACTAGATAATTTAAAGCAATCGAATCTTACGTGACAAGTGGACAAATCGGCACCCGTGTGTTTCCTCATGTGTATCTTCAATCCGATGTAAGTAGTCATAACTTTCGTGCACTCTTTACATTGGTACAAAGCCTTGTCCTTCTCTTCGGCGCGTTCGCGCCTCTTCGAACTCCTCTTCTTGTCCTCCTCGTCGAGGCTCATCGAGAAATCCTCGTCGCTGTCGTCGTTACTCATCGGAAAATCGTTGAAAACGTCATCGAGATCACTGCAAACCGTCATTAAAACACCCAAAATAATCAAACGAGTTAGTACGCGTGCGAGTACCTTCCGCCCTGTTCGTTGGCCTCGTCGGTCTTATCGACCATCTGGTGGCCCACCAGCATCGGTTCGTCGGCCTCCCGCTTGATCTCCCTGTCCGGTTCGCCTTTGATGTCGTGCTCTTTGACGATGTCCTCGTCGTCGACGAGGTCCGAGTGATCGCCCGAGTGCCTGTACAGCTCCGAGGCGGACTCGAACGTTTTGTCGCAGCTCTCGCAGGGGTGCTTCAGGCCGGGCTTGTCGTGGGTGCTTATGTGCCGGATGAGGTGGTTGGTTCTGGTGTATTTGGCGTCGCAGAAGAGGCAGTATTTCAGCTTTTCGCCCGTGTGTGACCTGCGAAACGAATGTAGTTTTATCGAGTAGTGTGTTGTGGTGGTTACCGACCTCAGGTGCACCCTCAAGCCCTTTTGGGTCTGGAGGACTTTGTGGCAGAAGGTGCAGGTGAGATTGTCTGTTGGTTTTTTCCTCGGCCTGCCGCGTTTCTTTTTGCCTCTTTCTAAAAGGGGCACGTTATCTTCGTCGTCGAAGACGTCATCGTGTACGTCCGGTTGTACGATTATGTCCTCTTCCTGGCGAACGTTTTTCTTGGTGTCTTGCGTTAGGTCTCTTAGGGTGGTGTCGGTTTTTTGGCATAGTCTGCGGAATTCGTAGGCACTTTTTAGTTTTTCTTCGCAATTTTTACACAAGTTACTCGGTAAACCGTCGCCGGACGAGACCTTAAATAAAACGTTGAATATGCGACGAATAAAGCGGTTTTGGAATACTTACTTCTACCGAAGCGCAAGCCGCAAGCATATCCGAGAGAAGGGCATTACAATCGTCGGTGCCCTCGTCGCTTTTCTTTTCAAACATATTTTGCATATCTTCATTTTCGCACATGCAACAACGGCATATCTTGTCGATCATCAAATCCGATTCTTTATTTATCATTTTGCCAGTTTAATTCTTAGATAATAACACCGAAAACACACACAAAACACTCATAACTGCTGTCAATAACTTTTGTATCCGCTAATAGCAATATGGCATCATGTTGTGATACAGAAATGGAAGACATCAACTGATTTATTAGCGTCCGTCTTCTTTTAATCGCTTATTATATTTGATACTTTCCTTTTTTAACGTAAACGGTTTGAACCAGCGATGACTGATAAGCGAAAGCGAAATAGATATATACGCTTTATGCGTGTCTGAAAGAGAGGAGATTACTGTCAAAAAATCGATTCAACTGACACAATGCAATCTTCTTTCTTTTTACTAATCGAATAATTCGTTCGTTTGTATAAGTAACTGAATAGTTTCATCAGTTTAGCCATCTAGAAATTTAATCAATAATTCTTGACAGTTCGTTTCAGGTTATGTTATTTTTTTAAGTTACATCATAAGAACAAAAGGAAAAAGTGAAATATTTTTAAAATGACTTCACAAGCTGTGAGGAAAACTCTTAAAGAAGTAAAGCCAATATTGTCTTTGAACCGCGACGAAGCGCGCAGAAGAGTTTTGAACTTGTACAAGACCTGGTACAGGCAACTACCTTACATTGGTTTGTATACATTGCATTAAATCGAGTAAATATTCAAGTAATCTAATTTCAGTTCAAACTTACGATATTCCTGTAAGCGTCGATAAGTGCAAAAAGAAGTTACGAGAGGAATTCACCAAATACTCCGAATCCAATGATATCAGATTGGTCGATATGTTGGTAATCAAAGTAAGTATATCTACGTTTGTCTTGGTGTAAAGTTGAGTATAACAAATTTTGATATACTAGGGTCAAATGGAATTGAAGGAAGTAGTCAATGTTTGGAAACAAAAGGGCCACATTATGGCGTATTTCAAAGACACGGTAGAACCGAAACCCAAGGATTTCCTATCTAAATTCCTTAATGGCAAAGATTAGATCAGTGTACTTCGCAGTGCAGGTATAGAATTAATAATATATGCTTTAGTATAGCTGTTCAATTCATTTTATCTAGTTATGTACATACATGTGAAAAACTACTTGTCGAATTATTCTCTATGCAATGGTTGATTTCTAGTGAATTTGGTGATCAAATCGAGAGCCCATTCGGGCTGGAAACTCGGTACCATATGCCCAGCATTTCTCACCAAAACTTCCGTTAAATTACCAGCTTGCTTTACATAACCCGGTATATCGTCCCGATAACGCCATATGCGCCTAGGTGCGATTTTATATTCATCTGAACCGCTGAAGGGTAAATTATTCAAGAAATTCACCGTCAACGGATAAGGCACGATGATGTCCATTTGACCGTTATAGAACATCACTCGGATGTTGCTCAATAACACCGATATCCACGGAGCCACCGAATCCATCACGTCTTCCTTCAGGTTCTCCTCGACCGCGTTTCCATCGTTGAAAGTCAACGATCCCACGTGGATGGCTTTGCGAATGTCCTCTCGCTGTACAAATCTAGAAAAATCTATCTGCAATTCATTCGGACTGTTTGTGTACAAATAATCAAAGTAATAGTCGAAGCCTGTGAGGTTCTTGAACAAGGTCTTCCCGTCGTTTAAATCTCCGTTCAATAGGTCGTCGAAGATTTCGAACGCTTTAAGGAACTCCTTCTTTTTGATGTAATTTATGCCTATAACAAGTGTTATTAGTTGTTTGAAAAAATGCTAAGAGTTAGGTGGTACCTTTTCTTTCGTATTCAGCGAATTGCGTCCTTCCATGTTTATCGATCAATCCGATTTCGTACAAATATCCGCCGTAGTTTAATTGATGGACGGGATCGCACAAGCCGTTTCCGATCGCCATGCCTTTCAAATTAATCTTCGCATCGGCCCGGGGGTTGTTCTTTAGAATCGCGTACGAAACGGCCGGCACGTATTTACCCGCGTAAGACTCGCCGGTGGCGTAGAACTCGTTGCGGCGCAATTCGGGGAATACCAGGAAGAATTGCCGCAGCGCCTCGTAGAGATCCTGGCCTACTTTCGTTTGGTTCCTGGCGAATCCGCCTTCGGTGAAACTGTATCCGGTTTGTACCGGATTGTCTATGTATATTACGGAGTGGTTCAGCGTCCAGGAGAATTCGTTGCGTTTCAGATTGTACGATTTTGTCAATGCGAACGGTCCGTTTTCCTCGAATAAACCCGCTAAAGACGTCGCTCCTGGTCCGCCTGCAACAATTTAATGGTTTATTTGTGGATGAAATTGTGGGTGTACTAACCTTGAAGCCATAGTAGCACCGGAGCGTTTTCGTAGTCGTGGTCTGCGGGGAAAAACCAGAAAAACATGTTCGAATTGAACGTTTTATCTACCGTAAAGAAACCAGAATGGCTCTTTACGCCTAGGAAGACATCCGACGGCACCGCGGAGGCTTCTCTGGCTTCTTCGGTTTTGTTAGCTTCGATTAGAGGCGTCAAAAACAAAGGCTCCCCTGCATCCCTATACTCCCTTTTAATACCCCTAAGTTTCGGGTAAACATTGGTGAAACAATCCACATTCGCCACATATAAACAAGCAATCGCCGCTAACAAAGGAATTGTATACGCCATTGTAGCGAAGATAAATCTATTACTAACGCGTTTATTATAGAACATTAGTGACTGCAGATAATGATGATAAATCGTTTTGTTTGGAGTGTCTACTTCAATCCCTATCAGCAAAAAAGTCTCGGGGTCACAACGATAATAAGAATTTATTAAGAGTATTTTAGGTATCTATCAACTTCTAGTTTGTAGTTAATTATAACATATACATAAAACATAATTGGAGAGACTTCGATTCAATGAAAAGGTTTGTTTCTGGTGAACCTTAGAATCAAATCTAGCGCCCATTGTGGCTGATCCGCCGGAACCATGTGACCAGCGTCTCTCACTAACACCTCCGTTAAGTTACCGGCCTGTTTGACATATCCAGCTAAGTCTTCCCCCACGTACCATTTGTACCTCGTCGCAGTTTTGTACTGATCGGCCCCGTTGAAATCCAAATTACCCAAGAAATTAGCGGTCATAGGATACGCCACTATAATATCCAACTGCCCGTTGTAAATCAACACTCGATAGTTCTCCAGCAACTCTTTCAACCAAGGAGTAACGCTGCGCATGATGTCGTCGATTAAATTTAACGCTACGTTTTTCGAGATGCCGTTAAAGGGCATGTAGCCCACGTGTATGGCGGCCCGAACGTCCGCTCTCTGCAAGTACTTTCCGGTCAAATCGATTTCCTGCTCGTTCGTATCGTACGGGTACAAGAAGTCGTAGTAGTTAGCGAAGCCGGTGAGATTCTGGAACGTGGACGTGCGATTGTTGAAGTCGCCGTCGAGTAAATCGTCGAAAACCTCCGCCGCTTTGGCGAAGTTGTTGTTTTTGATGTAGTCGATGCCCTGTTGCTGTTGGCTTTCGAAGGTCTTCTTCCCGTTGGAATCGATCAGGCCGAGCTGGAAGAGATAATCGGCGTAGTTTAATTGGTTGATGGGGTCGCAGAAACCGTTTCCGATGCTCAAACCCTTCAGATTGATCTTGAGTTTAGCGTTAGGATTGTTTTGATGGATGGCGTACGAAATGGCCGGCACGTATTTACCCCCTGCGGAAAGAATACGAGTATATAATGCTCTTTTCTATTAATAGTTTGATTTACCATACGATTCTCCGGATACGTAAAAATCATTTTTCTGCAATTCGGGGAATACTGTGAAGAATTGCACAAGCGCATTGTACAAATCTCCTGCGACTTTGGTTTCGTTTTGAGCATAACCACCTTTAGTAAAGCTGTACCCGGTACCAGCCGGGCTATCAATGTATATAACAGAGTGGTCGTTTGTCCAAGAATAAGGCCTCAACTTTAATCCTAAAAAAATACATAAATTAAACAAATAATAGTTTAAACAGAAAACGTAATAATACCTTTACTTTTCACTTGGAACGGTCCGTTTTCTCCAAACAAACCGATTAGAGAACTCGCTCCGGGTCCGCCTTGGAGCCACAGGATGACCGGCGCCGCGCTGGCGTTGCTGATCGCGGGGAAGTACCAGAAGAACAAGTTCGAACTGTACGCTTTGTCCACCGTAAAGTAGCCCGCGTAGCTTTCTAGGTCTTTGAAACCGTTGAAATACACCCTGGCGGCCGCTCGGGCATCTTGCAGTTTGTTTTGCTCGATTAAAGGCGTTAGAAACAGGGGAACCCCGGGATCATCGGTGATTGCTTCGACTGGTATCTTCTTGTAGACGTTGGGAAATAGACAAATTGCCACTGGAATCGACAATAATAGAATAAATATTAATTTCATCGTGCCTGAGAATTACACTGGGTTCTGTTTGATTTTTATAACGAGCTTTACGAGATTCACAGTTGCTATTTGATTTAGTTGATAGTTAGATAGTTTATTTTTGTTTACTCATTTTAAGCGTTATTGTCAGATCTACAAATTTATATTTAAATCACAGAATATTGTGAATAATAAAAGTGTAATTTTCAAAAATTCGTTACACGAAATATATTATATGAAATATATTTAAAGACAGTATAATTTTATTCTAGTAAATGTTAAAATTTAACAGGCACTCCAATTAAATACTGAATTTATAATCTATTGAACATCAACATCGATTATAACGCATGAAGTTGTGGCAGCTGTGTTGAAATTTAAAAAGAAGTGGCCTTTGACTATTGGTACATATGAAACAATTATTTCTCCTAACCGTCCAACACAAACTAACAAGGCCACACAACCTTTAAAAAGAAGAACTATTTAACCTAATTTTGAACGAATTTTGTTATTTTGTTGCAAAAGAAGTAAACAATGACTGAAAAACAAAAACTGTAAGTAATTTTCTGCATTGCTACATTAATGAATAACACAATGGAATTACAGATTGATTTGCGGAGACGTCGAAGGCAAATTCCAACAACTTTTCAAAAGGGTCGAAAGCATTAACAATAAGTCAGGCCCGTTTGATTGTCTTCTATGCGTAGGCAACTTTTTCGGCATAAACAACAGAGAATTCATCGAATATAAACTTGGAGATAAAAAAGGTTAGGTATAATAAATAAATCTGTTAGCCTCAATATCTAATTTTATGCAATTTCAGTACCGATACCCACGTATATCTTAGGACCGAATAACGAAAGCAACGTGAATGAGTACCCTACCGATGAAGCGAACTTTGAAATTTGCCCGAACGTTTATTACTTAGGTACCTAAAATTTAATCGAAACGACTCGAATTGTACGTTTAACAAACCGATTTCAGGTAAACGGGGAATTTACACAGACACTAAAGGCTTGAAAATCGCCTATATAAGCGGCATATCCGGCAACAATTCAACAGACCCTTGGACATACACGGAAAAAGACGTAAAAGAACTCTGCGATGCATCTGTAATAGGCAAATCCTCTTCCCGAGGCATCGATATTCTACTAACATCCCAATGGCCTTCAAACATCATCGTTGAAGGTTCAAAAGTACCACAATCCGTACCCCTAAAAGGCTCAAAAACTAACTTGAATCCATTTTATAGGTTTCCCCGACAGTAAACATGCCTAGTGAATTACCTTGCTACTTATGCATGAAATTGAAACCTCGATACATAATAAGCGGGTTAGAGGGAATCTACTACGAACGACCGCCTTTCCGTTGCCCGAATCTGGGAGATCACGACAACACCGTGGATTTAGCTACTAGATTTATAGGACTAGCACGAGTCGGGAATCCCAACAAAGACAAATGGATATACGCATTGAGTTTGACTCCTTTGGAAAAGATGAAGTTCAAGGATTTACTACAAAAAACCATCGATGAAACTCCTTGTCCTTTCGATATCAACGAATTGGAAAGAAAGAGTAATTAACGAGTGATTAAATGAGATAGTACAAATAATTAATATGCTTTATTTACAGTTTTCAAGACTTCTAAGAAAGCATTCAAATCTAACCAGTACTTTTACGACATGAACGCTCCCAACGAGGATGAAAAAAGGAAGAGGAAAGCGAAGAAACCTCGAGTAGAATTTGACCAGAGTAAATGCTGGTTTTGCCTTGCTAGTCCTTCGGTTGAGAAGCACCTAATAATAGCAGTAGGAAATCATTCTTACTTAGCCCTAGCTAAAGGCGGATTAGTTGATGAACACTTTCTTATTTGCCCTATAAACCACCATCAAAGCATCCTCGAATTGGATAAAGACATATCAAACGAAATAAACGAATTTAAGAAGAGCTTGAAGAAATTCTTCGATCGCACTGATCAAGTGCCAGTGTTCTTCGAGAGGAACTACAAAACTTCTCATATGCAATTACAGGCCGTACCTTTACCTAGAAGAGCCACTACTGAATTGCAAGATATTTTTATAGTAAGTATATATCATAATACACTAGTGCGGAGTAATAAGTTGTATTTTTTCAGGACGAATCTGAAGCACAGGGATTCAAATTGGATTTGCTGGAATCGCACAATCGACTCGATCAAGTTTTACAAACTAAAATCCCTTACTTTATGGTGGAACTTCCGAACGGCGCCATTTTGTACACGAAATTACAAGGATCAGTTGATTTTCCGCTGAATTTCGCCAGAGAAGTCCTGGCCTCGGGGCCCGTGCTCAACATGAAAGAAAGGGAAGATTGGAAAAGTTGCCTGTTGAATAAGGAGAGTGAAATGGAATTAGTCGAGAGGATACGTACCGATTACGAGCCGTTCGATTTTACTAATTTGGATTGAATTCACATTTCATTTGTATTTAAGAAAGTAAGAATAAAAATGTTTTAAATTTAAAAACTGTTTGACATTGACGTTGACATTTAGTTATCAATTTTACAGAGTTCTGTAATATCGAAAAAGTAATAAATTAATGTAATATTTAGTTTTACGAGTACAAATTCTTATAATTATGGTAAGATTATTATCCATACAAATATATCTAATAATAAATTGCAAGTATTTATTTCTATACGTTACCAAGTTCTTTTATTTTTAATTGCTGTTTCTAATTATAAACGTTAGAGGGCGCTGTGTGGCTAATTTGCAACAAACGTCAAAAAATATAAACAAGAAAGAGGTGTGACAATTTGAGTATTTGAAATAAAACTATTTAAATTATTCTAATTCGATTTGTCGCCTTCATTACAACTCACAGAATGTCTCAAAATATTACCCTTACTGGTACGTACATCAATAAAATGGCATACCTTTTTTTGCTAACATGTACATAACATAAAATTTCACAATTTTTATTTCAATTTACTTGTTAATTGGTTTGAATTAAAAGGTCAGTTAAATCGTGCGCTAATTTTTTATACTCCGTTAATAGGCAACTTGGACATGCTACACAGCTTGTACGACTTCAAGGCAACGTATACCAAAACTCTAAGCTTTAAATCCAACGAGTATTTTCTACTGCACCAAACGAATTCAAAACACAAAAATTGGTGGGAGGTGATCAACGAGAGGGGCGAAATGGGCTACATTCCCTCCAACTACGTGGAAACCGTTACCGTTAACCCCTCGTTCTTCATTCAATTCATCGACAATTGCCTGGAAAATCTCAAGTCCCCCACCGAATTGGGCGCCAACGACAAAACCGACGTAATCCACCGTTTAAAAGAGCTGAAAAAAGAAATACAACAGCTACCCGAGATATCGAAGAACTCGATAGGCGCAGATAGCGATGACAACCCCCCTTTACTATTTAAAAACTCAGACGGTACGATCGAACCTATACACTCATCTTCATCCACAAACCACCTCAGCAAGAAACTAATCGACGACGAATCTATTCAGAAGAGCTCGAGTAAGAAACCATCCGAGAGCATCCTGCACGAAACCAGCTCCGAAACGCTCAATGAATGTAAAAAGTAATTATCTAATTAACGCTTAATTTTAATAACTGAGAATCGAACGTTCGTAGGTCTGACTCGAACGTATCCAGCTCTCTAACCAGCAACGTCTCGCCCCCCATAACCCACCAGACCGTCTACGATTTGGTAGAAAGCGTCAGGATCAACACGCAACTGTCCCACGAGATGTCCCGAATAGCCGTAGTCACCGTGGTACAAGGCCTGCACGAGCTGCTGCCGGCCTCCGTGTTCCCTTATTTGAGCACCATTTTGTCCCACACGCAGGGCTCTCTAGTGGACGACGTGCAAATCGATCAAACCCACGACGCCAGCCGATTAAAAATCATATTCAACGAGCTGACTTCTTGCAAGGAGGATGCCCAGCAGAGGAGCTGGATGTTGCACGAGGACGAAGAAGTCATCAAAGAGTACATAATTGAGATGATATCTATTCTAGTAAGGGATCTAATGTGTTAAATGAGTTGTTTATAGTAATTTATGTTTTGTTAAGTCCAATGCAGATGCTAGTATATCGAGACATGTGATATCAAATGACCAATACCACGTTATTACCACGTTGATACAATATTACCAGATGGAGATTAGATGGTCCATTAGGCAGTTATTGCTGCAAGCTTTCGGGGTACTGTGTAGCTTGGATAAAACTGTTATCACCATAATGCTTAATTCGATATTACCCGGTGAATTAGCTAGGTATGTTAAGTATACGTTAAGTATCTTGTTGATAATGTTATTATTTACAGAGATATTACGACCAATCCACGAAACATTCCGAAATTAAATTATTCCTCTTTACTACTAACGATGATATTTTCCATGGGGGAATCTATGCCAGTGACTCATAACGGTGGGTTTTAATCAATGAAAAATCGAGTAACTAATTCCTTTTTGTTTTTTGAAAAACAGAATTATTGGGTAAAAGATTTCTATCGTTTATATTCGACAACATCGAGTACCCCCCGGATACGGATTTAGAAGAACAAATCCCCGATCTGTTCCTAAACCTAGTGATCTCCTTTAATCTCCAATTCACCGAGGAATCGGAGAATCCGGTTTTGGCGGCTCTGGAGGATCGAGACGTCGCGAAAACGTTCACAGAGAAAATCCTCTTGCTCATCAACCGAGAAGGTAACAACATCGCTAATTTTTCCGCGAAATATACAGGGCGTCTTCGTTTACAGAGGATCCCGTGAGGATATTCGATCACGAGCCGGCGCCGCCACATTCCCTTCTGAAGCTGTTCATCGATCTCTTCGGTCGCAGATCGACGGCCGATTTGTTTTACACCAACGATATTAAAGTTTTGATCGATATAATAGTGAGGAATATCTCGGATTTGTCCACCGGCGATCTGGTGAGCTCCGGGTTCCGGTAATAGCTCGCATAATCTGTGATTTGTTTTTGTGATGCAGAGACGTAGGCAGTACTTGGAGCTTTGCAGGCGAGTGATGAGGAACACGAATTACGACGAGCACCGGCACAAAGTCGACGAGATCCTCAAGTGCTTCACGAGGATATTCTGCGAGGAGAGCGACACCAGTAAATTCGACCAGAAGTTGGTGAAGGAAATCTCGAACGAGTTTCCGCACCTGTTCAAGTAAAATCCAATGGGAATTTGCCTCGGCTGTTTATTTATGTGATATTTTTCGTCTAGTGCAGTTGTTTCGAAGGCTCTCATTTTGTCGAGTTTGTTCAATTTTGTTCGAGAATCGAATTTAGAGTAGTGATATTTGTTGTGAGGCTCAAAATTTATGAATTGTTGTTTGTGCCATAAAGAACCAGTTGATTAATTAATCCAAAGAAACTATATGAGAGTATACAGGGTGCACGAGAATGATGCTACACCCTGTATTCTGGAAGTTACCATTTTATTGACTTAATTTATATTTTATTGGAGGCACGATAAGCTTTAATAATATTTTAAAAATTATATATTAAACGTGTGCACGTTTCGTCATGTTATAGTTTATAAAATTTAGGTGTTTTTTGCATATAAATGCACTCTTCCATGTATCAAGTGGAATCATGCGATGGCTCTCGTAAATATTTCTATTCCATTAAATTAAATTTTCGGTGCATTCCCCGGTCTGAGCAGTCGTTGCATGACGTCCCGACGCGCTTAAAGGTACAAATTATATAAACATTGAGATTTTATTATGTAAATAGCATATATAACTAAAATAAATATTTTTCATGTAGCTCATTAAGAGTTACGTTTACAGTTATAAAATAAATATGTCGGTAACAAAAAAAACGTCTTAATTTATAAACGTAAATAGAGCCTTGCGGTGTTTCAGGTTGCGCTTACACTTCACCAGTCATCATCTCCATGAATTCTGAAAATAATTCGAGTAACATAAATATAGAGTAATAAAGTCTACAGAGAGTAGATTAAGTGGATTAATCCTTGGCAAAATTCCCTATACAGGCAGATACAAAATGTGTGCAATATACAAGGGTAAGACGAAAAGTTGTCGACCTGACAACGAAAGACCGCGATTTTCAGTTGAAAAATTACATTATTATTCTTGTTAAGTCGAAATCTTTGGTTCAATATAGTTCTTAATGAGTCTAGAGCATTCTAAATAGTTTTAGACAGATCTAAATAATTCTGGAGCCTTCTACATGGTTCTAGACAGTTCTGTATGACTATGGAGCATTCTGAAACGTTCTAAATGGTTCTGAAGCGTTCTAAACGGTTCCAAACAGTTCTAATTGATTCTGGAGCGTTCTAAATTGTTCTAGACAGTTCTAAATGATTCAGGGCGAGAACTTTTTCTCACCTTTTTCTCAACTTTCACTCTAACCACTGTTATTTTAATAATCTTTCTTTGTTAAACTCGAAGAATAGATCATATTGCCATTTTTTAATTATTTTTTGGTGCTTACCATCGAAATCTACGGTGCCGGAACCGTCCGTGTCGATTTCTTCGATCATCATGTCCAATTCCTTGTCGGTTAACTGGTCGTCGAGTTCCCTCAGAATTTCCCGTAAACAGCTAGTAGGAATGTACCCATTTCCTGGAAACAAGCGCGAATTGAAGAGTCCATACGCGTCCCCGTTTATGCGGATATTTTCGTATTCTAAATATTCCCAGCGAGTTTCCAAATACGTTTGTTTAAACGCGCACATCTGGCTTGGGATAGTTCGTATTGAGTAATTGGTCGATAGCCAAATTCACTCTCACTTTCCAGATATGAATTCATAAGAGTATAAACACACGCATTGGATTAAAATAACTTTTAAATATATATTTTAAAGCGAGCGCTCGCTTATACCTTCTTTATCGTATAACCTGAAGGCTTCTTTCAGTTCCTTCTGCATGGCTTCATCGTCCTCTTCAACGATGAATTTGGCGGCCAAGGTGACGAATTCCTCGAATTCCAAACGACCAGATTCTACAAAAAAATATATTAATTAAGCAGAAAAGGTCAATAGCACGCGTTCGACCCATTTTTACGAGTATATTATTTTTAAAAATCGATTTATTTATTTCGCGAAAACACTATGTATACACATTCGATCTCTGCTATTTACGTTGAGCCGGTGCCAACGACGCCACCGCGTAAATAATGCCATTCACTCGGTCGAATTTTACTCACTGTCAGCGTCCACCTCTTCGATGAGTTCTTCGAGGATTTTCTTGTCGAAGGGCTGGCCCATCAGGCGCAGGATGTCGGCCACCATGTCGCAGGGAATGCTGCCCGATTTCTGGCTGTCGAAGGCCTCGAAGGCTTTGCGCAGCACTGGAACAGAATTAATCGAAGGGTAACGGGAGATTACTCAAGAAATCGTGGACTCAATGTTGAGGGAAGTGCAGAAGAAAGGTTATGTTTTGGTATCTAAATTAGTGGTGGAATTATGGAAGAGTCCTGCTCAAGGTATCGCATTCTCATTCCTCACTAACAAGGGAAGCCAATTAATGAAAGATTAAGGGAAGATTCCTCAAGACATCGTTATTTAATCGTTGGTGAAAAACCGGAAAAAGCTCTAATTGAATACCAATATTCCACATTCTTATTCTTCATTAAGGGAAACAAATTAATGGAAGAAATCGCCTTTCTATCGTCGGGGAAGCACCGATTACCACATTCTCATTCTTCGCTCCGATCGGTTATAATCGGATGACGCAAGTCGGGAATAATTTTGGATATCCATGCCCCCGATTGCGCCATTACTCCGGATGAAATATTTAGATGAATACGCTTTGCACTTGTCGTGTATTTTTTATTTGCTGTGTAATCGGTCGATGATTGAGCTCTGGTAGAGGGGCAGCGTCGGCGTTTCGCCCATTTAATTTTAGAACGCTCGAAATCCGAGATATATATTTTCCAGAATGCGATACATCGGGATATATCTCAACTAAAACCGACTATTAAGTTTCCAAATAGTTGGTTGTATAGTTTGTCTTAAGAAAATTATGATAGAAAAGTAATTTTTTTCTAAACCTGTAACACCCTGTAGCTCGAAAACTAAAAGGTTTAGGACATATGTTGATATAAACTTTTCTTCTTAAAATCATCCGAAAAATTCATATCCCGAAGTATCGACACTCAATTAATTAACACCCTGTACAGAGTGTATCATTACTTGGTCTCTACTATCTTTTTTTCTGTCTGGTTTTTATAGTGTGGAGAAAAGTGTAAACTTACCGGCAAGTTGTTCCGGAGGGAGTTCATCCTGCAAAGAACAAAGTTTCGCAATTAAAACACCACACAATAATTCATTTTTGTAACATTATATGGTGAATTGCCGATAGTGTAATAAAAGTAGAGTTATGTACAGACAAAGAAAGAGGCCAGAATAGTAAACTCCTCATTAAGTAAAAGTGAATTTGTTTGATTCTCAAATTCGTGACTCCACATTTGTTGCACTGCTCGCGGTTTTCACCGAATTAAAAAAAATTGAATGAACTCGATGGGAATAGATAAAAAATTCGTGTACCATCTTCAGGTTCTGGGGTAACTGGTTCGGTAAATGCTGTCACAAGCGACTCAGAAGAACTGAACCGGCCGTATCGCCAGCTCCTCATTATTACTGCCGGCGCAGTTATAGTGGTTTTCTAGGTTTTTACTTCTATAATTTCTAATCAAGATCTCAGGGCGTATATTTCGGCCCACGTAGAGCGCTCGCCGAAAACGCTCGCCGTCCAATGGGAATTTTGGAAAGCGGCAGCAAAATCCTATATTTCTGTATTTTTAGACGTTGCTTTAAACAAATCGGACCCCGACGCTCACCCACTATTTATTTGTGGTGTATCCAAATTTTCTGGAAAGTTTATTTAGGTTTTATTCGATTAAAGTTATATGCTTTTTTTTTTAAGTCCACTATTTGGATTCGTTCGTGATTAATTGTTAGTTTGTTTTACCTAAGTAATGTAATCGCACCTGCAGAGCTCGATTTTCTGTCAATACATCGCAAATATATAGGGTGTCTCAAAGAAGCACCTATGAGGGTAGGGTGAAAAGTTCTCGGCCTGATACACTGAGGACGCCCAAATCAACAAAAAATCTTGTTTCCTCTTTGGGACATTAATAATTAATTCTAGAACTGTCTAAAACCGTTTAGAACGCTCCAGAATCATTTAGAACTGTCTAAAATTAGGCCGAGATCTATTCACCTTGCCACTGTACTTCAAATTTGTTTTTTTTTCAAGTCAAGGGTTATTATGAATTTATTAATGCATTAATATGAGTTCAACAAAGAGAGATTATTAAAAGAACAGTGGTTAGAATGAGAAAGTTGCAATGACCCCATAAAATTACTCTTTCTTTTTCTTTTATACGAGACTAATTGAAGTTGTCTCTGTTGCACCTATATACAGATAAATGCAAATTTGCACTTAACTGTTTATCAAATAATGACATTTTCATTGATACAGTACGTCCCAAAAAAACGAAAATACCTAATTCATTTGAGACACCAGCATATAGTAATATTAATTTCCAATTTTCTCACGTCAAATATTATTAATTATTTTTCCTCAAACACGAAATAAATGTTGGCGAAAGCCAGATGTTCGCGCATTGTCAAAATCCGAGCGGATTTTCGAGTTGTATTAATGGAAATGGAGTGTTATCGGAATTGGATTCGATTGAGGAAATTTTCCAGTCTATTTATAGTCCGGAGTTTGTTACATTATATACCGGGTGAATGTTAAAATATCAATTTACAAACGACCAACTACGATATGTATTTTCAACGAAGCGCAAAATTATACAGCCTACGTGATCTGTGAAAATTAATACCGGCACATATGACTTCTAAAGAATTTTACAGTTTTGAATTTTATGCTAGCAATAAACCAGCTTTTGTTGTTGAAACGTATAATTTTATTAGTTGGTATTTGCTGGCATGCCAAAATAATCAGTGCGTCGAGAGATTTTATCGTAAAAATATTTCTGACCGGCCATTTTGGGAATTTTTTAATTTTAATTTGCTGTTCTGTGCATACTAAGACCTTCTTGTACTGAAATGTAGGTCTTCATTTTGAAAAAATTAACAAAAGACTTACCTCGAAATACTAAAAAAAACTAGTTATCAAACCGTTTGAAAAAATTATTTTGATATTTAAAAAGTTTCTTGTTTATTAATTAAATAATAATAATAAACTTCTTGAATTCATGTTCTGTATTCGAAAGTGTCATATTTTGACACATTACAAAATTTATTGTTTTTATGCTGCAATTTAATTCAGTTACAACTTCATTGTGTACTAATATTTTTATCAAATTTTAATAGAAAACGATTTGCAATTGTACATAGATACTAAAATTTTGCTACTAACTTATTCCTCTAATGTATTCGAAACTTAGTATTTTCGTGCAAATGAGGGGGTGTAAATGAATAAAAAAATCCCAATCACTTTCAGCAATCACTATCACTTCACATAATCCCAAGTAATCATAGAAAATAATTAGGTATAGATCACTTACAGCGGACATCGTGCGGCTGTGTACGGGCTGAAGACGGAAGCGAAAATGGAAATTATATTAGCCAAAAGTCGGGGGAGTAGAGGTATTCTACTACTGTTTCGCAGCGGATCTTCTTGAGCTTTATATATCTCCGAAAATAAATTTTATGAGTTGACTGATTTACCGCATTGAAGGCTATAATTCTTGCGCTTAATGGTTGTATGGATCCCCCACTGGTTTTCTGGTCGGATTTCCACACTCACAAACAATAATACATTGTATAGTCGGTTGTAGGAATGATAAATTTCGGTAAATGGTCGGCGTTTTTCTGCTTTTCCCAGCGAAATCCCGCAGGAAAAGCTATAATTATCCCGCACTTTTGCGCTTATTTGTAAACACATTGTTCGTTTTCGATGTTTTCGGGAAACGGGCCGTTTTAATCGCTTGGAACTTGTCCAATATGCATTTCGATTTACTCACAATTACATGCATATCTAATTGAATTGTTAATTCATTAATATTCCATTATGGATCGAGCAGAGCTCGCGCAGCGAGCCAAGCCTTTATTATCCTTGCGCTAATTACTTAATTGCTCAGCTGTGATGGGAAACAATGAGTTTGTTGTGTTTGCATCGTTTGGACACGGCCCATTTAAATAAATGATGTTTTTGTCGAATAAATTCCCCTTTTTTTTGGCCGTCGCTCAAACGCCGTATTGGAAGCGTCGCGACGCCGCGAAAAAATTATTAATCTCCGCCGTTTGGCTAGCGGGTGGATTTTTTTCGCAACGAAATCTGTTAAAAACGGAATAATTAATTGTCTTAAGAAAGATAATTTGTTGATTGATGAAATTTTTATTTAATTTTTTTTAGGATTTGCAGACAAGCTGTCTGGTCGTGGTTGAATTATGACGGGCTGGAGGAGCGTGTAAATGATGTATTTGTTATAGAAGATAGTGGAAAATTGCATTGAATAAAAATGAGATGTTTCTTGGTAAATAAAGCGTGTTTTCGTTTGCGTTACATGGAAAATTGCGATTAATGGAGCGTTTCTTATAATGGGAAAAGCTAATTTTACACTTATTTTCGCGATGCGCGAGGAAAAAAGGATTATTTATTTTTAGTTGGGATCCGATTTCAGTTATAAACCAGTTGATTGTCGACTCGCCGAGATTGAATTGAATAAAATGTTGCCTTTCTTATCGAATATAAAAATCTAAAAATTCCTCTATGTAAACTATATTTATTACAGAGATTGTCCTTCGTTAAATAAACGATAAACGTTTCGTTTTACGGTCGACATGAAATTTATAAAAACTCTCTTTCTTAAATTTCCAAGCGTATCCCACATGTAGATTTCTCAAATTTGTAAATCTAAAAATACCTCGCACCTGTTTCGTCCAGAATTCGATTTCGAGATTTTTAAACTAAATTGTAACTTTTTTACAACGTAACATAAATATATTAAGTATCATTAATATTATCTTCCCAGAATTATTATTAACCCCTCAAACCACCTTCTACCAGCATGTTTAATTAATAATTAAACGAATTAAAGCGATGTTATAAATATAAAGCTTTATTTATAGGAATAGTTTACAAAAATCCAGAATTCTGGAAAGGTTGGTATAAACAACGATGCGTTTTTATTGTAATTATCCTGAAAATAAGAACGTTTTTATTGGCAAACAACGAGTGCGTACGATGCAAACGTTCCAAATTATGACAAGTTACTGAATTGAAGCGGACAAATAAATAGAAATTGTGTATTCGTACTAATAAATATCGTCGTATAATTCTAAAAATATTGTTACTGTAAGAATTCACTACTAGTAAGTTTGTTCTTTTTGGTTCATTATTAATCTAAAACTAAACAACATATTTATCTATACAGAGTGTTTCTAAATAGTATGCACTTTTATTTAGGTGATTTTTAGGTACACTCTGTATTATATTATAACAACAAATAGTATTTTTTTGCTTATTATAAACAGTTATTTTTGGCAACAACACTGAGAGAAAAGGAATGTAAAAATAAACGCACATTTGCGTTAAAAACTACATATTGAAAAAATTTAGGGTGCTTAAAAATTTGCCAGAAAATGTTTGATCCGACGCCCAAAAATCTAATATTCACCAATCAAAGCCAGCAGACATTTCTCATAGTCTCCTGAAGCATCGTCCTGCAAAAAAAACACGTTTTTCATAAATAACAAGCCCCTCAATCACATCAGTAACCACCTCACCTTAATGGCTTCCTTCAGGGACTCCCCGTACTTCGACTGGTAGGCCCTCTTGATTTCCTCCATATCAATTTCGCACCTCGTAACGACGACTCTGATGAGACTCCCGTCATCGGTTCCGGCCCCTGCCACGGCATGGTGGATCATCCTGGCAAAGAAAGCCGGTTGATCCTTGATAGCCCGCACGATAGCCAAAAATCCCTCCTCGGAGTTACCGGAAAACTCGCTCTTAATGGCGTCCTCGATATCGCGACCTGCAAGGATCCATTCTCATTACAATGAAGGGATGTAAATTGGGCGCAAAAGGGTTATACTATATGTTTTAATCCTTCAGGTAAGTTGGGACAAAAAGGTTGTAGGTTTTAATTCAATAGGTAAGTTGGGTGCAAAAAGGTTACAGGTTTTATTCCTTTAGGTAAATTGGGTGCAAGAAGGTTGTAGGTTTTAATTCTATAGAGATTACAACACTCTACATACATATTGCTTTAATTCAGATCGCAATATGGTTATCTCCATGGGTCGAACAAATATTACTAAAATGACAGTTGTCAGAGTGAAAAGTTGCAATGACACAAATGTCACTCTTTCTTTATCTTTTATACATGTCTAATGAAAGTTTCTTTATCGCACCTATAGCCTATATAACCTATGTTGCGATCTGGAATGAATCACAGTGTACATTGCAATCAAAAATGGAGCTGTATAAGATGATTACCGGACAACTGGGCGTACTCGTGGAACACGAGCCCCAATTGGGCGTAGTTCCTCTGGCAGAGGACGGCGTTGAAAGCGGACTCGTCGGTGCCCATGCGGAGCTCCCCGGCGGCCAGGAGGTTTTGGGCGTCAGCCCGGGCGGCTTGGGCGTCCGTTTGCATGCTCTCGTCGCGGTTGGCCGTGCAAAGGGACACCATCATCCTCTTGAAGGTGCCCGAGGTGTCGCTGCGCAGGTCGTCCTCCAGAGACCTGAAGTACACTGCAAAGGATAAGGCAAACAAAATGAAGGTATATTCTGATGATTGGAGTTTGTTCAATAAGCATAAAACACCATACAATTTAAGGTATTTTCAAAGGTATGTAAAACAGAAACTAATCAATAAACTATCTAGATATTTTTTATTCATAATACGACAATATTTGTCTAAACATTTACAATAAATTCACAACATCATAAAATATTTAGATACAATGCACCGGAATTCCCCACCAAAATAATAACAAAATATCAATACTAAGTTCGAGTCGAGTAACCAGGAGAACGATATTTGAAAAATAACGCTTATTTTGTAGCAGTCGTTACTGCATCTCTACACGAAAAAATCGATTTCCACCTCTGTTACGTTTGTCATGCGAAATGTCATTAATGTCAATTTTGACAGTTTTCACTGGATTAAAATTCTGCGCGGAGTTCCGGCGCACCCAATAAAAAAGTAGAAAACAGCATATTAAAAACTAATTTAAAAAATGTTACACATATAATATAAACACAACAAATATGATATAGTCGAGCACAAACATGGAACAAGTCATGTATAAGTAAGTCTTGAAAATTCAGTCCTCAATCAATATTCTCCAATCAAAGCCAACAGACACTTCTTGTAGTCTCCAGAACAATCGCCCTGTAAACATCAATTAGCTCATTACAAACTCACATTACATTATAACTCAATCGAACCTACCTTAATAGCATCGGCCAAACTTTCACCGTACTTCGCCTGGTACTCCCTTTTAATCTCCTGCATGTCGATCTCGCACCTCGTCACCACCAGCCTGATCAGCTGCTTGTCGTTGGTGCCCAGCCCCTTCATGCTCTTGTTCAGCATCTTCGCGAAGAACGCCGCCTGGTTCTTGATGGACCTCACGATGGCCAGCAGCGCGTCCTCGGAGTCCCCGGAGAACTCGTTCTTGATGGCCTTCTCGATGTCGTGGCCCGTGATGCGCTGGTACTCCTGGAAGACGAGCTGCAGGTGAGCGATGCTCCTCTGGCACAGCACCATGTTGAAGGTGGACTCGTCGGTGCCCAGCCGGAGCTCGCCGGCTCGCAGCAGCTCCTGGGCGTCGTGCATGGCCCGCTGTTGGTCCACCGTCGTGCTTTCGTCCCTGCAGGCGTTGCATAGGGACACCATGAGGCGCTTGAAAGTGCCCGAAGTGTCTCCTTTCAGATCGCTTTCGAGCGGTCTGTAATACACTGCAAAGAATATACAGTTGCACTGGTCACTGCACACGAAATACCACGGCTAAATTGAGTAGAATTCGGTTGGATTTTGCTATGACTAAAGGTCTTACGTTTGTGGTAGGCTTCCCTGATCACCATGATCTCGCGATTGGACATGGTGCACATCACCTCGATGAGGACGTCTTCCTCGGTGCCGATTCCACTCATTGCCTCGTGCAGCTCCTTGGCGTAGAATTCCGGTAGAGGTGTCATCATAGCCAGCACGAGCTTCTCGAAGTTACCGGTCAGTTCGCTCTTGAGGTCCTTGAGCAGATCCTGCGGGTCAAAAAGAGTTAGATAAAAAAGTAACTAGGGGTCGGTAAATACCTTTCCGAACATGGTTTTGAAGGCCACGGCGATTTGGAGCCTCTGCTGGTTGGTCCTGCGGGCCAGGACGTTGATGATGGCCTTCTCGTCGGTGCCCATGCCTTTCATGGCCTTGCGCAGGACCTGCGCATCGTCGTTGGGGTTGAAGGGGTTCGCAGGAACCACCGTGGGGGTTCTCTAAAATGAGGAAAACGAAAAATTTGTTTTGAATAGGTTTTTTTTGAAATAGTTTTGCGTGTATACAGTATGTACGAACTGATCCGCTGCAAGCATATAATGAGAATAATGAGATAGCTAATTTAACTTTTGCTATGTAAGGAATAAAGAGAACATACGAAATAGTCACGCCCGCTATCCCCGCTATTCGCTAGTGGACGAAGCGAAGCGAATTGACGAATTCTAATATCGGCCGGCAACCGATAAACAAGTTTCTGTTCTTTACTATCTTATAGTATTGATTGAGATTCTAATTCTAACGCTTGCAGCGGAAGAATTCGTACACTCTGTATTTATTATTCTTATCGCTAAAAAACATGTATATAATTCCAAGGTAAATACATAATAAATTTCATGGAAAAATAACTAAATAATCGTTATGCAATTATTCCAACAAATAGGTGGATAATGATATTAATAATCAACGTTTCAGGCGATTTTTCAATTTTTCGAATTCTCCGGTAGCGCTTTTCCAGCTTTCGTTAACGGTATCGGCAGAAACGCGGTGACAGTTCTGGAGCAAACGTTTGGTATCGGAAAACACTATGGAAGCGTCCCTTCGAATCTCAGGCAACACCTGAAGCAAAAACGCACTATTCAAAACACCTTAACCTCGCAAATTAACACTTCCACCGTGTTAATCACAACATATCTTCTACTCTACAGAACTGTGCACCAACACTAAACAGACTTTTCTACCCCACAATGTCCTACCTTCTGGCGACTGGGAGCTTGACCTACAGTACTCTGATGCGTATAAGAAAACCCTCCGTAAGGTCCTTGCGATCCTTGATGGTAACCATGTCCGCTGGGAGAAGCACCAGGAGCAGTGCCAGGATATGTGTTCGGGGGATATCCACTACGAGTATTTGATGGTGGATATCCTGCATTAGAAGGCTGATAACCAGTATTAGAAGGTGGGTAGCGAGTAGTACAAGGTAGATAGCCAGTATTAGATGGTGGGTAGCCAGTATTGGAAGGTGGATAGCCAGTATTGGAAGGTGGGTAGCCAGTATTGGATGGTGGGTAGGCAGTATTGGAGGGTGGATAATTGGGTGCTGTGGGGGGATAGGCGGGCATGGGCATGGGTTGGGGCATTTGCATGGGGATGTTGGAAGGGTAGCCGAAGCTGTTGGGGTTGATGGGCGGGTAGGAAGGTGCTCCTCCTTGGGGTTGTTGGGGATATGAAGGTGCTCCCGGTGCTGATCCCTGAGAAACGGGTTAATTTTAGTATAAATAACGAGAGAGTAAAAATGGCGGTTTTTATATAAAGTCCGGTCGGTTGTTTTCGTTTTTCCGGGTTGTTAATTTGCGTTACGATTCGGAAAATGTTTTTTTAACAGTAAATTTCGGTGTTTTGGTAAAAGGATAAACGAGTTTAGTGTGTTTTTGGTGATTTATAGAAAACGTTTCGGCGACGTGGAGTCTGAAAAAGCGACAAGTAGAAAGCGAAAAATACGGTTAAATTTATTATTCATTTCGAGAATTAAGTTGGATGAAAGTTTCATCGAAAAACAGATAGACCGTGACCTCACGTTTTATTTTTAATTTTATCGATGAGTCCAGTAAAAACCAATAAAGCTATTTAGGTATTTACTTATATCGATTTGCAGGATAATAAGCTTATTAAAAGGAAAAAATAAAAACCAATTGCTTGTTGCAAATAATATGTTTCGTGTATGAAAAAAATTAACAAGGCTCGTCCTTGGCTAATTAACGCCCTTTAATCGCGTTTTGGGTTTATCTGAAAACCGCAGTTTCCATCAGAGATAATTAAATTTCATACGCGATACGCCAAGATACCATTTTAATTATGCTAATTTAATTTTACTAAAAAATTACACCAAATTAATGTTATCATCAAAAAAATGTCCTGTAATCTTATATGTAATAATATCAATAAAATTAGTTATCAGAAAAGCGGGAATTTCCAAAGTTAGATTATTTTTGTAAGTACCTATCACTATATTTATTGTATAAGAGAATTCCTTTACCAATTAAGTGTAGTTGATGAGAAGCGTTATTTCGATGTAATTAGGTAGTTCATTTAGAGCTTTGAAAAATTTGTTTTCATTTTGGCAATTTACCAAATTTATAAATAATTCAATTAGTCAACTCTTTATCGACATCACAATAGTTGTAAATACCTATAGTCTTTCCAAAATCAGCCTAGTATACAGTATTAAAGCCATTTCTTCAAGCCCACTTGATAGGAGTTTAGGTTTTATTTCACATTCTGTTCATGTTATAAACAAAATTTCGGTAAAATAATCTTTTTTTAATGACCTCTGGCCTTAATAAACACCATAAACTGTTGATGCTAACAAATCTAATTAAAAATACCTTGCAATATCATCGATTTTCACGAATTTCTTTCGCTTATTGCAATAAAAAACAAATTTACTGTGCATTAATATCCCACCAAACGCACTACAAATAATTACATTACCAGGTCAAGTTCAAGTTCGCTCGCATTGCGCCCCAAATTTCTCAAATACGCCGCAATAATTAACTCACCTGTTGATAGGGGTTGTATCCCGGATGACTCATTTCTTCTGCAATTAAAAGAAAAACAAATATCTCAATTAACACCAATTACTACTAATTCGAATTAATTATAATTAGAAACCACGCCTAATAAGTCACAACCTGTGCCCCACAAACCGATCTCAACGAATGACGTTTGTTACAAACAACTTACTTTATATGTAGCAACAATTCGCGTTACACAAAAAACAATTTTACGCTCGGTGAGTAATAATTTTCCAGCCTACGTAAGTCGGTGACGCCGAACCAACTCGATCTAGGCCAAATCTGAACGAAATGAAAATGAAAACGGAACGAAATGCCGGCAGAACGGAGTTGATCGAGTCATGTGAGTAGCCGGCGAGCTCGCAATTCGTCGAGTTTCTTCAGGCGATGTTGCCTTGGGATTTCCCGAATTAGTAGAGGCGGTACGAGGACTAGATTTTGCCCGGTATCCTGCCGCTAAAAAACCTGTTGAAGGTCGGACGGAAATGACTAATAAAGCGCGTATAATGTTGTGAAATTGTTGCAATAAGTAGTTATGGATAATCTACTTCTACGAGGAAGTGTTTGAAGAGTATGAGGTGGTCAAAGTGCAGTGAAACAGAGGCCTCCTGTATCGGTTTTTTTGGGAAAATTTAACAGTCGAAACCGTTTCTTTACTCTCTACTCTCTATATTCTGTAATCTATACTGTCTACTCTATACTCTCTACTCTATACTCTCTACTCCATTCTCTCTACTGTATACTCTATACTTTATACTCTCTACTCTTGTAATTTTCATTCAACATTCTTCCCTTATAAAATTTATTGTTTTGAAAGACTAATAAACTATTTCATTCAAAAAAATAAGTTTATTTATTGAGCAATATATGAAATATAAAAAATTATTTTACAATAAACACCATTACAACAACAACTGCATCAAAACTTTCTTCACATCTGACGGTACTTCTTCTTCATCCTGGAAATAAACAAGAAAATCAATTAGAAAATATCCTATAATCAAACTCGTAAGTAAATAGTTATTAGAAGAAATAGAAATAGATGTTCTTAGCATGCATAAAGAAGAAACATGACAAGCAAATAAAAGAACAATTTTAAGTACATTTTTAGCAATTAGTCCCACGATAAGTGCTGTTAATAAATAGTTAATAAATACAGAACGTGTTAGTTTCTAATAATAACAACAAACATAAATATTCAAACTAACCGACTATACTTATTAACGCTTTTTTGTAATCTCCCGTTGTATCATCCTAAAAAAAACAACTCCATTTTAACTTTCATATCTTCACAAGCAAAGCTGTTTCGAGCCAACTAACCGCTATTCTTTCAGCCAACGATTTCCCGTATTTCTCGTAGTAAACCTCCTTAATATCCTCCAAGTCCTTCTCAGACCTCGACACCACTATCCTAATTAGAGTCCTGTCGTCTGTACCGATTCCTGCCATAGAATCGTGCAACCTGGTCGCCAAATAACTCGTCCTGTCCCTCACGCACTCGATAAGCTGCAACAACGCATCCTTTACAGTACCTAAAAACAATCAAAACCTTAATTAACCATTCTTAATATTATTAATTAATTAATTACCCGAGAATTCGTTTTTAATAGCCTTCTCGATGGGGTGACCGACTAGGTTGTTGTAAGCATCGAAAATCAAGCGCAATTGACACCTGGCCCTCTGGCAAAGGACGGAATTGAACACAGACTCTTCAGTACCGGCGAATAATAACTCCCCAGCTTGAAGAAGCGCTTGGGCGTCTTTAACAGCCGCTTCTTCATTCACATCGCACGATTCATCCCTTCTTCCCTACGTACACACAATTATATCTTACGAATTCCGCATACTCTTGGTAACTTACTGTAGATAGCCCGACGAGGAGCCTCTTCAGCGTGCCCGAGGTGTCGCCCTTGATGTCCGACTCCAATGAGGTTTGGTACACTGAAACGTGACAAACTCGAGTGAACCGAGCACCCGGTGCTGGGATGACTTACGGCCTTCGTAGGCGTTGGATATGGCGACGACCTCGTCGTTGTCGTGCACTCCCAGTATCTCCACGATGGAGAGCTCGTCGGTGCCGAGGCCGCTGACGGCCCGGTGCAGCTCCTTGGCCTGGAACTCCACCGGCTCCAGCATCAGGGCCACGATGACGTCCTCGAAGTGGCCGCGCAGCTCGCTGCGCAGGTCCTTCACCAGGTCCTGCAACACGGATGGATCGTGAGGAGATCGCACATGATACAGTTCCTCGAGATAAATAAAATTTCCAGCGTTACTTCGTTACATTTTATTATTGACATTTGCAAGTTACATTATTTTACTTCAACTCGTTCACTTTACAGATAACATTTCCAGAACCGCGTCCGGCTCACTCTCTGGTGGGGTGCTTGATGAAAAATATATCGGACAAAATCAGTTCGTCGGTTAATTCGTTGCGATGTAGATTTTCAATTTCATCGGTTGTTTTGCAATCTTCGGCCAGTTTGCAAACGGACTCGGTGAGGGAAGCGAGCCTCAGCGGAATGTCCTTCAGGACGTCGTTTATTCGCGGTATATCCGGCAGATTGGTCTGGTTCAAATGCGCCACGATATCGCTGAATTTATTCTTCAATTTACTCGGTCGCTGAGCAAAACTATCGCCTACGCTGTTCGCCAAGCACGCCAGCGACGGCGACTTCAAGATGAGCCCCTGGTTGAGATCGCCGATGAGGCTGAAGGCGGATTGCACCTTCTTCTTGAGCTCCACCACCTCCGAGGCCAGCCGCTTGTTCTGCTCGAAGAAGTACGCGTAGTTCTCCTGGATGTTCCGCGTCGCCTCCACCACGTCCCGCATCTGCTCCACGTACTTCTGCTGTATCTCATCGCACACCTTCAGCAGCTTCTCCTGGCCCCGCTTCACGTTCGCCAGGTCCTCGACCGTGTTGCTCTTACGCAACTCGTTGCGCAGCTTCGAGATTTCCCTGTCCGTTTTGAATTTGTAGTCGTTGAATTTGGTAGCTAGGACTTCGCTTTTGGAGGTGAGATTCTCCACTTGGATGGCCAGGGTTTGGTTGTTCAGCCGAGATTTTATTTTGCCCCTCAAAGCCTCCATCACTTTGGCGTCGTCGTCGGAGTCGTCCGTGGAGGATGTTTTGCTCTTCTTCTGCATCTCTTTAATCTTCGTCTGCATTAAAGTTGGGCGCAACATACTGGAATATTTTTTTTTTTGATGAAAGGGGTTTGTTAATTTTTATTTTGACGTGTAGGTTGTTTTGACATAACTCAAATGGGTGTTTTGCATCAGTTTATTACACATTTGTGTGGTGTTGTGTTCTGTTGTGCTAATCTATCAAATTCTAGTTACTTTAACGTCAATTTTCTTGTCTGGTGCGACGCACTTTTCTTCTATTATGGTGGACAGTTGTCTGTTTTCTGGGTGATCTTCTGGTGGCCAGTTGATTGGGATAGCACCGGGCGGGGGTGTCCAATTGCTGTTGGTGTTATTTTTGGCTATCGTTAGGGTTTCCTCTCTGATTCCCAGCCTTTCGTTGATGTTCGCTTGAATTTTGTCCTCCAAAACGTGGGTGAGAGTGAGCTGGTTCTCCAGCCGGCGGTTCTCCTTTCTCAAACCGTCAATGTATTTGATGAAGTCTTTGCGAGTTCTCGTCATGTTTGCGAATTTTTCTAAAACGGGATAAATTTGAGCGGGTGATTTTTTTTGGTTACTTCAATTTTGTTAATTAGAAAATGAAATTCTGTGTAACGGCTTATAAATTTTAATGCACAAGACAATAAGGGTAACGAAGCTAACATTAACAGTTATAAATTTTCAATAGTAAAATTCCATAATTTTAAATTTAAAGGGAAATTTTATGTATCGAATCGCAATTGCATCGTGGCGCCCTTTTCGATCTTATTCTTTGGTCGGTCTGAGGCCCTTTTTATTGCGCTCGTGGAATTTCCTTTCCACGTAATTGAGCTGCGATTCCAAATACTTATTTTTCACTCTCAAATCGCTTATCTCCATTTTATCCGACTTTCCCACGTCTTCCATTTTTTTTATAGTGCCTGAAAAGGATCGATTTAGGTTAGCAATTATTTAGCAATTACTCAACTGTTGCTCCTTCTTTAATCCTCCAAATTTATTTACTCGTTAATTAACGTCCAATTGCTTCGCAATTCCCTCATTTGTGCATGTAATATTTATAAGCGAAAATCAGAGAATTTCATTGGTAAATCGGCTTTAATTGCGATGAAAAAGTAATTGAAGTAAACAATAACTCTACTGGTAATTAACAACTGAAATACTCGATGCAATTACCACAAGCGTCGGGTAATTAGACAATCAATTAATCAGAACATCCTTTGGGCTTAGGGATCATTTTTTTAATCACAAGCAACGCGCAATCATCCCGCGACGCCGCCTCCCGAAGGGCTTCCTGCGGGGCTTCCGGGGCTCCGGTTTCCGGGTAATTTCCGGTTCGAATCGCTTTTGCTCGGGCGGCTCCGGCGCGGAAATTTCCGGCTCCAATCCGGTGTCTTCCTGCGGCAGGTCCGGCGCGGAGCCGAACTCGCATTCGTATTGCGTTCGAGCGATGTGCAATTGAATCTGCAGGCTCTTGTTCCTCTCCTTGACGAGGGCCAGCGGAGTCGACGAGCCGGCGCACTCGTCGTCCTGCAGCCTCTTAATTTTCTCTGTGGAAGTGGCCCAAGGTTATGGTAAATCGAGCAAAAAATTGTAACACTCCCGCGGAGCATACTGCACACTTCAAATGAGGAACGAGTCTTGGAGATAGTTTGTTATTACACATAAATCAGGACTACTTAATTGGTTTAATACAGTTTTGCTTTACAATTGGGTTTAGTTAGGTTAAAAGTTATAAGGGATTTCCGAAAATTTTCATGAGATTGAGGTCTTTAGTTTCGATTTCGAAGGAAATGAGTTCCTCCATTTCGGGCTCGAAATTGGGCGTGATTTCCTCGAATTGGGGCTCCACTGAAGAAACAATGGGCAAAGCCTTGCTGGTGGAAAAACCGTCGCTGTCTCCGCGAGATTCGATCGCTGTTTCGTGTACAATCCTCGCCGGTTTCCCGTTATCTTCGAACACCTGTTGCTTTAGTAGCAAATTTTTGCTTTCCAACAATTCGATTTCCTCCAAGTGCTTCTTGTTTATGGCGTTTACGTGAATTAGTCGCACTGGAAATATCGTCTTGTTAGTCGGGAAATGACCCGCGCGATATAAAAAAAATTGAGCGGATACAATTCGAACAAATCACCCTAGTAAAATAATCCTCCAATGAAGTATACAGTATACTTTCAAACCCTAAGCCAAAAGGATTTACTTTACAAAATCGACCTAATTCATTTAGTAACAAGTTACCTCAAGATAGATGTGTGGCCGAGTATCTGAACTTACTTTGGTTCTGTACGGCCTTCTTGGCGAGATTCTGGTACTTGATTTGCAGCGTAATGTACTTGTTTTGGACGTTCTTCAAAGCCCTGGCCAGCTTCTTCACCTCGTCCTTGCAGTCGCGCTCCTTCCGCTCGAGCTCCGTCCGTTGGTTCTCCACTTGCGTCCGGAGCGTGGCCATTTGCTCCATGACGTGCTGCTTCTTGGGCGCGCCCGGCTTGGCCAGCAGCTCGTTCTGCTCGTCGATGTTGCGGATCTTGTTCATCTCGGACTGGCACTCGCTCTCGAACTGCGACACCTGCTTGAGGATGCTCTTGTTGACCACCTGGAGCTCGTTGAGGCGGTCGGAGGGGTTGCGGGACTTGGCGAGCGCCGGGTGCTTCTTGGTCGGCGCGTGGGGCTTGATGGCGTCGGAGGATATCGCGTGGAACGTGGGGCTGAGTTTCGGCTTTTTTTGGTGGGTTCTGGACAATGTTATGGAGGACATACTTGCAAATTTTGTGTGTGATGCATGGAATTTTGACACTTGTTTAATTGTATGGCGGACATTTCGTTGCGCGAGCGTCACTATGGATACTTGGAATTCGATAGTTTTATTAAAAAGAAGAATATTTTTAAATTTGTATGTACTTCACTTATTTTCTACGAGTAGAATTTTTTTCTAATTATAATGAAGCCAAAAAATAGTTCACAATACTAATAATATTTTGGGTATTTTTTTATGAATCACATATATAAATATAACTGGCATCAGTACCAGTGATATACATATAACTTTTCAAGTAGTGTAACATTATTTCAATTCAATAAAATTAATTTATACCTTACTTACCATAATAAAATACCTACTATCAAATATTTGAGAGCAGGAAAGACACAATATTACTTTAATTTTTCTATTATATTAAAGTAAAAGTTTGTATAATTTAAAAAAAACTAGTTCACTAAGCATACATGCAGTAATCTCCACGTTTTATTATTTGTTTTGGCTGTAAATTTATTAACTCGACTCATTGTTTCATTGAAATTGAATCATGTTTCGTATACTTTTAAATAGCTAATGCTACAAAAATTAAAAAAAAATAAAAATGTGTCTAATACAAAGACATTATTAAAAGACTAATTAGTTGTAATGTCTTTGGTCTAATATGAGAATCTTTCTTCATAAATGTCACATTGAAAGGAATTAGCAAATTACCTAAGAACCTATCATGAATACACTCGCACATTCTTGCAATAATCTTTCATTAAATCTTAATCAAACAAATCATTGTCTACTTCCAAAAGAGTACAGTAATGTAGGGTAGATTTAAGGCCACTTAAAACCCTTATAAAAGAAGGTATGAAGAAGAAAAAATTGTATTTTGCAGGGTATTATTAAACCTACCTTGCCGTACATAGTCTTGTACACAGTGGCGATTTCCCTTCGTTGCTCGTTACTCCTCTTAGTGATAATTTCTATAACAGCATCCTCATCGGTACCGAAGCCTTTGAATGCCTTCTTCAGCGCCTTGGCGTCCTCCTCCGCGTTGAAATCCTCGCAAGGCGTCACCGTGGGCTAAATACAACAATATTCTCTAACATCCCCTCAAATGCGGTAACAATAACGGCTCGACTTACCCTCATTTTATCGATTTATTCCGCTATCGAAAGGTTAAATTAGGAATGGATTGTGTAACTCGAGTTTGTTCGGTCTCGGCGTTCTATCACACTCTGTATTGTGCGTGTGTGGATTTCGGTTTTAAATTAGAATGTCAGACGTCGCAGCGCATGTGGAGACTTGCGCTGTAATACACAGCAATATCAGCAGGTGGTTCCGTTAATTTAAATTAATTATACAGTTAGTAGTTAGTGCAATATGAGCTGTGGGTGCAACGAAGACAACTTCCGTTAGTCTCGTATAAATGAAAAAGAAAGAGTGTTATTGTGGGATGCAACTTTCTTGTTTTAACCATTGGGTTTTTTAATAATTTTTCTTTGTTCGACTTGTAGATTTGATTGATTTTTGTCTGTAGTGTCCTTCAGGTTTATTGGTTTTTGAAAAATTAGTGAATATACCAATAAGAGACAAACTATTGTTGAATTGTTTTACATATCACTTGTGGTTTTCTTGTTGACAATTTTACATTTATCTTATCATGGATAATTGTGGATTATAAATAACATAAATAATGCAAACTACAATAAAATGTCGATAAAGAATTCGAACGAATTCGTCAAAGGTCATCAATAAAATTCCCCTTCTCGTTAGCCTTGGTTTAAAGGAGCTCTATTTGAGAACGAAAATAAAAAACGTTGGAACTCTAAAAAATACTGTATTTGCTCAAACATCTAAAAAATACTTTCATAAAATATATATCATAAAAGCCAATAGGTCAACGACTAAACGTTTCTAAAATAAATTATTATTTTGTTCGATGTGCGATCTAAACGAATTGCGAAAATATAGCGATTTAGTGTCGAAAGCTCGCATGTTTGAGCCGCAACTTTGCCTTCAATCTTGTTTATTCGATCAACCCAAGTAGAATTTTTTTGGTGCTCGAAGATTCGTCGCTCTGAAAAATATATTTTTTTAATTGCTACAAAAGTTTAATTCTACAATTACTCTTTTTGTTTAATCCGTAGAGATACAAACTAATAAATATCCTTTAGATCCTTGCTTAAATTTAATTATTTTAATATAATTCTCTTCGGATTAAGCGAAGCAAAAAGTTTGAGAAAAATATTACTAACAGAAAGATGAATTAGTCGAGGAAATTCTCCAAAATTAAGCTAAACCTACTGCGCTATATTTAACGTACTGAAAAAATAGTTTTACTTTTTAACCGATTAGAGACAAAAGAGCTTTCTCGTATTTGCCGGAACAGTCGCCCTAAAAATAAAAAAAAATCATCGAAAAATAGATTATCAACAGGCTAGACTGATTGAAATTTCGTTATCGCATTTATTTTATTTCCCCTCGTATATTAACCGCTTAATTCCGAATTGAGCGATCAATACCAGGAAAATTCCCGCACAAAAATCCCCCGAGTGATAAAAGAAATATTAGTAGAGCATCATAGGTTTGAAGTTAGTCACAAAAAGTCATTTGGTGTGAAGCTGAAACACATATACCTTGCTCCATTTCCGATTGCAACATGGTCATTTCTATGAGTAGAACAAAGAAAGATTATTAAAATGACAGGTGTCAGAGTGAAAAGTTGCAATTACACAAATGTCACTCTTTCTTTTTCCTTTATAAGTGTCTAATGGAAGTTGTCTTTATCGCACCCATGGCCTATATAACCTATGTTGCGATCAAAAATGGAGCAACCTATATAATATTTTGCATTGCTCTAATCTGTCATTAACAAATTAGGAACGTATATATCTAACTTCATTCAACTAAGAACTCGTAAGAATGCCAAAGGACCAATTAAAAAAAACAAAGGCGGCCGTTTTTTAGATTGCATTCATCAAATGACAGATGTATGACAGAAAAAAAAAAGATGGCCGAAACGCGTCACTCTAAATTTCGTTAAAAAAATATCCTTACCGCAACTCTATCGGACAAACTTTTCGAATACTTCGCCTCGTAGGCCTCTTTTATCTCCTCCAAATCGATTTCCGACCTCGACACTATTACTCTAATCAACGTTCTATCATCGGTACCCATTCCCGCCATGGCATCGTGCAACCTCGTCGCCAAATACATCGGTCTATCCCGCACGGCCATCACCAACGCCAAATAAGCATCTTTGGTACTACCTGCAACGAATCAATCACTCCATTCAACCGCCTACTATCCCACTGATAGTGATAGTTTACCTGAGAATTCGTTATCGATGGCATCTTCGACGGAGTGCCCGGTCATGGTTTCGTATTCGTCGAAGACGAGCCGCAGGTGCTCTCTGTTCCTGATGCACAGTATGGAGTTGAAGACGGACTCTTCGGTGCCCCAGGAGGCTTCACCGGCGTCGTAGAGGTTCTGGGCGTCGGCGACGATGCCGTCCCTGTTTACTTCACCTGATTCGTCCCTACCACCCTACAAGTAAATCTCGCATATTTATTTAGTTTTATATTTATAGTTGTTGTTGTTTACCGTGGAAAGAGAGACTAGAAGTCTTTGTAACGTTCCCGATTCGTCGCCCTTGATGGCATCTTCGAGGGAAGTTTCGTATACTAAAAAAAAAGAGAACGGGTTTCTATGCATTGCCCACCTTGTACGTCCTTGAGATGGAATCCCAGGGGAGTGACGTAGAAAGAAAGTGAAACTGGAGACAGGAACGGAAGGGTCGATAAACGAAAGGGCGGAATATATAGGGCAGTGTTTAATCGATATCTTACGTTCTTGGTATTTATCGGCTATTTGCCGGATTTCCTCGTTGCCGTGAACGACGAGGATTTCGACGACGGTAGGATCGTCGGTTCCCATGCCGCTGATGGCGTGGTGCAACTCCTCGGCTTGGTACTCCACCGGCTCCTTCAACAGAGCGAGTATAACGCGCTCGAAATCGCCTCCGAGGTCGCCCTTCAGGTCCTCAATCAAATCCTAAACACACTCACACTATAAACACCCTTTTGCACCGGGTTCTAAATTAGCTACCTCTCCGAACATGGTCTTGTAGGCCACCTCGATCTGCCTCCGTTGCTCGTTGGTCCTCTTGGTGAGGATCTCTACGATGGAGTCCTCGTTGGTGCCCAGCCCGTCGAGGGAGTCCTTGAGGATTTGCGCGTCTTCGTCCTCTTTGAAGTTCGGCCATGGGGTTACGGTCGGCTGGAATTCGGAAATTTAGAGCGTGAAATTATTCGATTCGATCGCGGATTGTTGAAATATCTAGCGCTGGTTTAGCCGAGGTCGGGCACAAAAGAACCGTTTGAAATCGATATTGGCGGCGATAATGGTTGTATACGGTGATTCTATTGATTAATAAATTACCTTGTATTTGAAGATTTATTGGTAATTACATTAAAAATGTAGATAGATTTTTTAAAAATAAATTTGTGGTTGTTGGAATTAATTTTAATACGAGAGATTATAATTTACATTTTGTTAGGTATCGTTATTAGAACGTTTAAAAGTTTCAATGCAAGGTTATCACCTCCTGCTGAAATTTTGTTGGCTTACATCATAAAATGAGTAAATAATTACAAGCAATAGTAATTACAGCATTTTAAACCTCGCGGATTAAAATATTTTTATTCTACAACAATTTATTCTCGCTCGAAATGTAATTACTATACCGAGTTTCCTACGGGATATTTCTTGCAAAAAATTAAATCCTGTTCATCGGAAATGATTAATATTAAAAATCTAATGGATTATTGAGTGATTAGCCGGCGAAATTTTCGTAAAAACTTACCGCCATTTCGGTGAATTCTGCACAAAAATACTCGATGACGCTCCGGACGAAATTCTAAATTGGAACTGCTGGTGGAAGTGGAATTGAACGTCTGGTGTCCCTCGCAGGAAAACCAGCGACACTTGCGCTGTGGTGTATACTCCTTTCAGGGAATTAAAACTACTGCCGAAAACTAGTGGGCCTGCTGAACTGTAAAGAGCCCACTACACGATTCACCAGGAGAACAGCTGTTGGGTGAGTGTAATAAATTGTTTATTCCAGGACGTTGTATGTTCGTAATAATTGCAAATAATTATGAATCACCAGTGTAATGATCGATGTCTTATTTTATCCTTCATGACTATAGTTTGTGTAATGTAGAGAGGAAGGAGATATTTCTAGCGGAGGGAGTAATACATGAAACAAATACTTTTGTTGTATTTTTTTAATCAGTTTACTGTAATAAATTTCGTCAATTGTATAAAAATTGTTTAAATGCTAAATAACAGCACATACTTAGTTACTGCAAAATTTCTTAATACAACAACAATAATACAATTTTTAATAAATATATAACAAAATATAAATTCGTTCACTAAAAATGTAATCGTCAATTTGCGTTCATTTCATTTCACAATGACTAGCACCGAGAAATCGACTTAATCAAACCAACTAGGCACTGCTTATCACAGGAATTACTATCTATTGCACAAATTCAAAACCGCCTCAGAACGACGTCACTTCCTTCTCCTGCTGCTCGGCCATCTTGCGCTCGTCCTCCTTTAGCTTGTTCTCGTTGTCCCGGTGCTCCTTGCGCACCATCCTCGCCGCCCGTCCTTCCTCCCTCTCCTCGCTGTGGCTTATTCCGTACATGAAGTAAATCAGCAAACCTAAAACGCCACAGAATCACAGAAATTGCGGGAACACCCGTCAAAACGAGCCCACTTACCCACGAATAACCAAGCTAAGAAACGTATCCACGTGTGCAGATCCAGCTGGAACATCAGGTACAAATTGAAGACCACGCTGAGGCAAGGTATGTACGGAACCAATGGTACCTGGATGGAAATTTTTAGATTAAAAATGCTACCAATACAAGAATTCTCTCGTTAGTATTGCATAAACTAGTCGGACGGTAAACTGAGATGTTTTGAACTAGTCGGACGGTAAATTGAGATGTTTTGTACTAATCGGACGGTAAACTGAGCTGTTATTTAATAAAATGCTGCACCATCCCTACCTTGAACGATAGCTCGACGTCGGCCATAGGTTGTCGTATCATGATCACCATCAAGACCCCCATGCCTACCACAGTGATGACGAAGGCGGCCAAATAATAGGACTCGGTGAAGACGGATTTGCGGCCCTTGGCGACGATGGCGCAGAAGAGGGCGGTGAAGCAGCCTGATGGTGAATCGAATTAGCGAAACGTGTTCTAGTTGCGCGAACGATGGACTTACTGAACAAGACGATGCTCCAATTGACTATGATGGAGGATTGCTTGGTGGGACGATTGAGGCCGCCCAGATTGAAGACGTTCTTTAGGTTTCTGTACATGGCGCTCTCGTCTTTGGTCGGTTTCGAGAATTCTTCGGCGTCCAGTTCGTCGGGCTCGTATCTCAACAGTAGGACTGATATTGCTACTATGGTGTAGGCCATCAGCGTACCGATCGACATCATGTCTATTAGTTGGTCCAAATCGAACATTATCGCCATTATGCCTGGAAATTCGAAAGGATAATAAACTATTGCTTCAGTTGCAAGTTTGCCAAGTTCAGTCAAGGTATGGGATAGGATGATATGAGAAGATATTACGATGGAAGAGTTCCTAAGAGTGAATGGACTTTGGGCACGTTGTACTTACCGGATAAGAGTCCGGAAATGAGAGTGGCAACGATGGGGGTTTTGGTCTTCTTGTGGACCTTGGACAGTTGTTTAAAAATAATCCCGTCGTTGGACATGGCGTAGAGAACGCGCGGTAGAGGGAACATGGCGCCCAGCATGCTGGTGCAAAGGGCGAACACGGCTCCGATAGTAACGATCCATTTGATAGCCGGTAAACCGTACCTGTCGAATACAGCAGGAAACGGGGCGTCGCTGTCCTGCCGAATCGAATAAATGAAACAATTAACGGATCGAGTCGACGATCGACGAGGTGTACCTGCAGGTAATAGGGCACCGCCATGGTCAAAACGGTGGAAATGGAGAAGTAAGCGCCGAATATTATGGCCAAGGAGATGACGATGGCCAGCGGGATGTCCCTCTGCGGGTTCTTGGCCTCCTCGCCGGTGGTGGCGACGGCGTCGAATCCGACGAAGCCGTAGAAACACTTGGCGGCGCCCTCCATGATCCCCGTCACGCCGAAGGGGATGAAACCGCCGTTGCCGGCCAGTTTTCTGTCGTCTTCGGACAGAGTGGCCGGGTCGATTTTCCAGTAATCCGTCGTTGCTGAAACAAACAAACCGATTAGAGTAATTCCTATTGATCGCGAGGCTATCGAAACTCACCATGGATAGATCCGGCGATTATGGCCAATAAAATGGTCAACAGATTTATCACCGTGAACACGTTGTTGATCAGCGAGGATTCCTTCACGCCGAAAGCGAGGAGAACTGCCGGAAAATAAATAAGGCGTAAATAGAGCAAACATTCGTGAATAAAGTGTTGCCAGGTTTATCATAATTTCCTTAGATTTTGGGATTTTTTCTATACTGTTCCGTAATGTTGACAAGTTTGGTACGATTTGCATAGATTCGAGGATTTCTTCACAAATGCTAATTTCAGTACAATTTCGTTATATTTACAATTTTTGAATTAGTTTTCTAAGCGCTTGTATAAAAACATAAGCACCTCTTTTTTATTTACATATGTATATTAATCTGTAAGCTGTATACTCGCAGACAGTATTGTATTTCATACATATTATTATAAATGCATTTTGTAAATTGCTCGAAAAATAATTTCATAATTTATGCTCGAATGATCGTTTTTTTTCCATTCCGATTCCAGTTAACCTTGCGATTATAATGTAAGTTTAAAAAACGTACGAATCGCCATTTAATATCGAGTAAAGTGAACGTTTTGAACGTGATAGGCGAAGATTTCACAAGATAATTTCCAATTGAGCGCCGTAATTTAGCAACTATTTGCAATTGCGATTGATAGAACAAACGAAATATTGACTGAAAACGGTTTTATCCAAATAGAAATTCTTTATGCAGTAATTTCTCCAGCTATATTCGCTATTAACGACACCCTGTTTAATAAAAAAAATGATTAGTTTCTATTATCATCCGTTGTTATCTAAATACTTTTACGGGGTTTTTACGACTCGCATATTATACCTTCAAAACACTGAAATTTCTTCGTTCGATTTATTCCAACAATGCCGAGAGCTATTTCGAAAAACTGGAATCGGAATGCATGCCAATAAATAAATTCGTCGCGCTAATTCCTTCGACACGTGCAAATGAAACGAAATATTTTTCACAATCAGTATATCCACTTACGAGTTAAAACCATAACGAAGGTGAACGAGAGGAAGTCCGGATAGGGCGAGAGGAAACTGATGTCGATCGGCATGGCCTCCCGGAAGCTCTTCTGGATCTTCTTATCCACCAGCGAGTCGATGTAGGAGCTCATGCCGCTGGCCACGCTCGCCGTACCTGGTGGAGAAAAACCCGCGTGAATTTCCCCGATTTCACAAGCACGGGAAATTTAAAATTTAAATTTACCTATCACGTACTCCAGGATGAGGTTCCAGCCGATGACGAAGGCCACGAACTCGCCCACGCTGACGTAGCTGTAGACGTACGCCGACCCTGCCTTGGGCACCCTCGCCGCGAATTCGGCGTAGCACAGACCTGCAGATTTTGCGAAATAAAAAAATTAAAAATTTCTATCTTCATGATTTTTGTAAATATTACGGTATTGTCGAGTTCGGTGTATAAATTTCGGAGTTTTGCGGATTTTTTTTAAGATAAAATGTTACCACGTTTAGTAAAAATTTCGGAGATTTGGGGATTTTTTTGACGATGCAGTGTTGCTAAGTTTAGTGCAAACTTCGGATATTTGTAGATTTCTCGAGGACGCAGTATTACCACGGTTTTGTACACATTTCGGAGGTTTGGGGATTTTTTAAGGATGCAGTATTGCCATGGTTAGTGCAAATTTCGGAGAGTTGGGGATTTTTTTGAGTATGAAGTATTGCCTCGTTTAGTACAAATGTCGGAAATGAGGGGATTTTTCGAGGATACAGTGTTTACGCGTTTTTTGAATAAATTTCGAAGGTTTGGGGATTTTTTAGTGATGCAGTATTACCATGTTTAGTGCAAATTTCGGAGTTGCGGATTTTTTGAGGATGTAGTATTGCCTCGTTTAGTATAAATTTCTGGGGATTTCTTCAAGATACAGTGTTTCTCGTTTTTGAACAAATTTCGGAGGTTTGGGGATTTTTCGAGGATGCAGTGTTAGCACGTTTTTGTAGTACAAATTTCGGATGTTCGGAATTTTTTTGCGGATACAATGTTGCCTCGTTTTGTACAAATTTCTGAGATTTGGAGATTTTTTGAGAATGCAGTATTGCCTTGTATAATTTCGGAAATTTATGGAATATTTCGCAAGCCTCCTAGCGTTTTTAAGATGATTTTTTTAATAATTTTAAGACCTCCATGTACCAAAAAAAATTAACTCATGCCGCACCCTGGTACAGTGGAGATTTAATCTGATTATATCAATAATGGCAGAAGATAAATATGCAAATTATCTTCAACTATAAGTGGGTTATGACGGCCTAGAATCGAATTTTCGGCTGGTCATTCGCGAAAAGTAAAAGTATAACACTTACAAAAAAAAAAAAAACTCGTCGATAGAAAGCGAATTTTTCGCAGAGAAAAATTCCCTAGTCTCCGACACGACGAAAAATTGTGCCAATTAAACCGTTAACCGACAAACATTTCTCATCTGTACGCGAATCAAGCGAAATCGTGTATTATACCCGACTGCAAATTAATTCATTATGCAGATATTTGTACTTGACTAAAGGTCGCGATTATTACTATTCGCACTAATTACTTATCAATAAAATCGCATTACTCGGTAACCCTGACGCGGATTCCGATCTAGTTTTTCGATCAATCTATCTCACCTGCCACTGCCGAAGCCACGGCGGCCACCAAGAAGGATATGCAAACCGCTGGCCCGGCCACCGTCTTGGCCACGGACCCGGCCAACACGTACACCCCCAGCCCGAGGGTGGCGCCCACGCCGAGGGCGGTGAGGTCCACCAGGTTGAGGCATCGGTTCAGCGGGGAGCCCTCGTCGAAGCTGGTCAGCTTCTTGCGGTTCAGGGCGCCGAAGAAGCGCCTGCACTTGCCCGAAAAGGAGCTGGCGAACACGTTGAGGACCATCTCCGAAGGGATTTCGGGTTACTAGCTGGTGTGTAACGAAATTGATCGATTACTGAAATTGTGGAACAATGGGCGAGATATTGTTGTTGAAAACACGATTGTTGTGCGAGTTATCTCGATTGATAATCTCTTAATTGCGGAGATTTTGAAAGATTCAAATCGAATTTTTGTGAAATGGTATGTAAGTAATTGACCTCATTCATGGAAATAATACTTGTTGTATAGATATTATTGAACCGAAATTTATCAAAATTGATTAAAACGTACAATGTATTAGGTATTAAAAATCAATCGCAAATCCATATAATCCTTCTAAACCCTCGCTAATACATGGATTAAAAAAAATCACGTGTGCGGTCGATTTAATTTTAAATTTTGGAAAATATGTTAATTGCACCAATAGTAAGTGGAAATGTATAATCTTATAATAGGCTTTTTTTGGTACTACAATAGGTATATCACGTATTCACGGTAATACGTTAATAAAAATTAACGACACAAATTGTAAACTCCAAATACCCAATTAAATATCAATATTTTTCCACACGATTTTTTCACTAACAAACCAACATTGCACAATTTTTACGAAGAATAACTTCCAACAAATATTATGGTAAATCACAAAAAAATAATTTTACCTCTACCAATATGCTAAAATTGAGCATAAATTAGGCATAATATAAATTTCAAACGCTTGTGTATGTACTTATACTGTACTTATAATTATTTATTTTATCTAAAAAACTTAAGTACTAAATAAAAAAATGTTTTTCACAAATCATTTATCTAGAATAGGAAATTGTGCGGATTCAATCTCACCTGAACAGATCGCAAACACCAATTAAACTACTACGAAAAACTGTAATTATTTCAATTCGCGCGATAAGATAAAAGTTAGATTTAATGCATTATAAAACGTAGGTACCAGCAGGAATTTGAATATTTGCGTTTTTCTTTGTCTTTACGCGGAGTTTATCGAATTTTTCGCAAATGATACCAACCTAACGAAAAAAAATAAATTCCACTTCAATCGCAGATACTTTTTCATTATGCAATTCGCAAAAAAGTGCAATTCGGCGCGGTTAATCAATTCGTAATTCATCAATAATTAGTAATTAGTATTTTACGGAGGTTTTTAATTTGAAGTCCAAACGGGACCCGCCAAGGTTTCCCCGGATCATTCGGTTCACCTCAACCTCGATTTAGCCGAAAACGGCGAAAAATAATGCGATTTCCACGAAATTACATCACTGAATTGTCCAATTTCGCCGTAAATAAGTCGATAAATAATAACATAATAATAAAATCTGTGCATATTATGTAAATTAATTTTCGAAGTTAAACGGCATGTTAAATTAGCTCGTTATGGTGATATTTTTTAAACGTGGATGAATGTTACATTAAAGGTTAACAAACCTGATGGGTTAAAAATATTATTTATAAGTCTATAAAAATTTATTATTTATTATTCCTGTAAACAAACAAATGAAGCGTCTGTGTAAAAATAAATTGCCATTTGGTTTATTCGTGTTGTATAAAAATTAATTTTTCTTATTCTTATATAATGCCTGTACAATAATTTGTCTAGACGGAACATTTATAATTCCAAAAGTTAATATTTAAACACGTAAATAAGACTTTCTGTTTGTCGACTTCTTTCTTTTATTTAATGCCTGTAAGAGTCTAAAATTATAAATAAATTTATATTATCGACAAACATAAGTAAGTACTTATACTGATACATATAAAATAAGTACCTAATAAACGTAAGTACACAATTAATACAAATTTATTCACAAATAAACAGGTATCTAGATACCTATTCCGAATCCAAAAAATTTAAAAAATGTATTTAAATATATATCTTTCAAAAACATCGATTAAATGACTTAGAATCCTAGCATTTTTAGGTACAAATCGATATAGAAAAAAAATATGTGTCTCACCTTCAGGAATATCCGAAAAAAAAAATCGATAAGATTTTTAGTAACCGAATTTTTGCAAATAATCGCGACTGCAAACTTTTGTTACGTTCGAGAGCGACATCGACACAGTTTCCACGGTAATTAATTTCACCTGGTGTAGACAAATGCGCGACCGATACACCTTCATTCGTTACTCGGTTTCGTCAAAATGGAATTATTGTCCCCTTCTACCAAACTTGTCGTGTTTTATTTGTATTTATTTGGATTTAAACGAGTACGAATCTGTTCGTTTCTACACAGTTGCAATCTCTGGAATTGTTTGAATTTGAATTTTGGGGGGTTTTTACAATAAAAATAAACCGCTACTTCTTTTCTTTTTTATTTAGAAATAATTAAATATTTTAGTAACTAAATGAATATTTAAAAACTTTAAACTTTTAATTACACTAATTGTACACCACAAATTAAATTAAAAATGATCCATAAAAAAATAATAAAAAATTAAATTCAGTGCATTTTCTTCTTATTTCACAAGTGGCCTTTGTCTCGTAAGACATTTGGTATACAAATTTTAACGACAAACGAAAACAAACTAATTTGACATTGACATTAATGACAAAACCAAAAAACAACATAACCTCACAAAACAAAACAAACCAATTTCAAAACATGAGCAGATTATAAACGAAATGGCGAGCATATTAGAAGAAAAACTAAGAGAAGCCTCCTCTCTGGGCGACTCGGAGGTAATATCTCAACTCCTGGCGCAAAACGTAGATGTAAATTCGCAGAATCCCGTTAACGGTTGGTAAGAAACACACATCTTTTTAGTACGAATTCCCTAATAACGTTTCACGAAAACCAGGACCGCGCTGCATTGGGCGCACAAACGCGGCAATGACCACGTCATAAAGCTTCTTACCGAGCACGGCGGGAATCCGGAGATCAGAAACTTTAAGGGACAAACTGCGAGCGAATTGAGATACAACAGCTCGGATACCGTTCGAGAGGATTTAAACGAACTCGGCGTTAAATTCATACCGAACTATTTACGAAATCCAGCGCTTACTATAGACTTCGACGTGAATAATAGGGTGAAAAATAAATCATCGGATTTCGCTAGTATGCCCATAACACCGTTACCTGCCTCTCAAAGCGATGGTAATCACTCCGTTTACATTAACATAATGTGATTAATAGCGCTGTGTTTTTGTAGATTTGGTATTGAGAGTAAGAATTCAAGGCTCGAGCGATCCGGACTTTATAGAAATAGAGATGCCTAGATGGAAACTGAACTACAGCGGTCTGTTGACGACGTGCTGCAGTGAACTGGAAATCCTGGAAAGCCAGGTGGAAAGGATCAGAAAATTGCCGAATACTAGGTTAAGAAAGGACAGCGACGTTAGAAGATTAAGGGACTACCAAGCTTTAGAAATAGTACTTAGATCTCCTTCGAACGGTGATAAGTCGGCTAATTCTTATCAGAGTATATCGACTAAAAATCAAACTATTTTGTATTGAAATTGATCCAGTTCGCTTTTGAAACATTCTGCAGTTTTAGAAAAAAAATTTATTTAATTTTATCGTTAACGCTTGCTATCTTGCTAATTTGTTACTCAAACAAAATGCACTTATCAAGTAATTAATTATATATTTATTAAGACAAAAAATTTAAAGTGTCAAACAAGAATTAAACAATCAATATTATCTTAATTATAATTATTTTTTAGTTTTTTTCGGTTTTTTGATTTTCTTCGCCTTTGCGGCCCCGGTTGTAATCTTCTCCGGAGTAGAGACTTCTTTAATAGTTATGGTCTGGCCCAAGTGTTGCACTTTTTTGGTGTTATTTTTAATTTTATTTTCATTCGACTTAACTTTCTTGTTCTCCGGTTCCTTCTTTATCTTCTTAACCTTTTTAACCTCGGTTAATTCGTCTTTCACGGCAATTTTCTTCTTCTTTGCGGCGTTTTCATCGGTTTGTTCTTTCCCCGAAGCCCCTCGTTTCTTGGGTAACGTAACTTCAACTTTAACATGGTTTTGTTCCTTTTTAATTTTTTTAGTTTCCACCGAAGATTCTTCCTTTTTAACTTGTTCTTTCTTTGCCTTGGTTTTCAGTTTTTTTCTTCCTAATTTCGCGGGTTTGTTACCTTCGGACTGGTTTTCTCTCAGGACTCTGACCCGCCCGGAAGGTTTCACCAAAACTTCCGCATCCAATACAGTGGTTACTTCTCCTTTAACCGGTTTTAGAGCGAACGAGTTCTTCGGATGCGTTCGAACTTCCGGGATATCTTTCGGATTAGCTGCAACAAATTTATTACAATCTGATTGGATTAAAATTGGGAATACTTACCGACTGAGACGTAAACAGGTATAGAAGCAGCTCTTACGCTCTTTACGTGCAACCCTTTAATGTTCTGGAAACCACCGGGGAACTCTTTATCCAGGAATTCCACGGCTGAAACGAAGTTTTCTACGATTTTGGGCGCATCCATGTGGCTTGTTCCTATATCCGCAAAATAGCAATCTCCTTTCAAATGTATGTGGAAGAAGGACTTGGAAAGTTGGACGTCGATGTGCTCTTTGAGGTTCTTCGCATTCAATTTTACTGGAGTGGGGACTTTCCGTTTCTTGTAGAAAATCTTCCCGCACCATTTCACCACTTTTCCGGACACTTTCCCGCAGACTAGGAAGCTATCGTACAAATCGGCCAGTCGCTGCTTCTGCTCGAACGTTTCGTACTCCGTTTTTAGCTCGTGCACAGTAATGATTTTTTTAATGTTTTCGACGCCTTTATCGGCCAGCAGTTTCTCGTAGTGTGCAATGTGTTTATCGTGCTCTTTGTTGCCGATGTCTTTTACTTCAGAGACAATTAGACACACATCGCTGTCGGGCGTTAGAAGGGAGTGCTTTAGGGGAATCCTCAACAATTTCTGCTTGCCATTGGGTATTTTGTGGCAGTTAACCATTAGGGATATCCCAAAGGCCTCTTCTTCGAACAGGTTATTTTTCACTTTTGGGTTGTTTGTGTGCAGTTTAATAACACCTGAAGAGTTATTATTATTTAATATTAATCGTTAAAGAGAGAGTTTTATTATTACTTACCTTCCACTGCGTTCTTCACGTTGGCCAGTTTAATGTTGAATTGATTCTCGAAACTCGCATTTCTAGGTTCGCTTTGTTTGTCATTTTTTCGTTTGATATTCACTATTTTGTCGGTTTCCTCGGATAAATTGGAAATCACTAAATTGGCGATCTTGCTTTTATTTTTCAACTTCGTTGCAGCCGGTATTTTGCTCGACGATTTTTTTCTTAAAGTAGGCGACTTGATGGAAAGCAAAGTTCCACGAGTGCTTTTTGATATATTCGAATCTTTTTTAATTTTCCCCATTATTCTAGTTTGAAAACAACATTAATAATAAGAAATTAACAACACGTGTAGCTGTAGTCGATTGAATTTAAATTTGATAGTCGTTTTTTGTAGGTTATAGTTTTCTTCTTTTTCGTAATCATCTTTTTTTTTTAATTTTGGCCGCTTAGGTCATGCAGCTTAGGCCAACAAATCGAAGGTTAGTCCTAGTCCAATGAAAGAAGAAGAAAATGAATCCTAACCTATTGAAGTTTGAAAAACAATCGTATAATAAAATAAATGTAATAAAAGGATCTAAAATGGAAGAACAGTAGGTTAATAATTGCTAATTATTTAATTCAGTATCTGTGAATTTCATTTCAGAGCTAGAAATATAATTCAAGACCACAAAAACCCTTTAACAAAACTGAGTTTCATCGGTCCTAAGCTATTTATGAAAGATTCGAGTGATGAAGCCCAGGAAAAAATAGCAAAAAATTTGGATATTTTAAAGAGTGTGTTATTACATCAGAAAGTTGAAAAAAGGTTTCATATAATACATTATTAATTAATATTCCCTGTAAGGCCTTAGACTTTTTAGGAACAACAGGGCTAAAGCCGAATGGAAGCCTTCCTTGAACCTTGCTGTAATAAACAAAGTGGTAAAAGGCTTATTAAAACATTTTGGGTATCAAGATAAAAATGGAATTTATATTTATCCAGAAGAAATGTTGTTTCTAGTAGAAACTGTAAGTGATTGCTTAATTATTATTATCACCTTTTCATATAAATTTACCTCAGAATAGGCTGGAAGTTGTGCTAAATGAAGTACCACTATCCATACAAGAATGCTACGATATTACTTTGAATATAACAGGAATGAATTTGAATAAGTATCGAACTTACAAGAAACTTGTGCTACAAGGATATAGGATAACACGATACAGTGAAATATCGAGACGAAAAGAAAGCATACAGGCTAGTGAAAAAAGTAATAAAAATAAAAAACGAAAATTTGAAGAAATTGAGGATGAAACAGATGTAAATAAAAAATTGAATATTCCAATAAATGAAAAAACTTTTGATCGTTTAGCTCAGAAAAAGAAAGAAATCAATGAAATTTATGATAATATAAGGAAAACGGCACCAAAAACTTATGTTCCAGTAATAAATAAGGATGCATCTCCAGATTTTTGTCTGTTTGTTCCACAAAATAATAGTAGAGTTAAATGGGATTTTAACGTGTATATTTGGTAAGTATTTACGACATGAAATCTTCATTCATAATCAAATTTTCTACTTTTAGTGAAAAATGTGTTTTTAACAATTTACAGTCCGAGTTTCCCTCAATTTACGCCGTTTGTAACGGAGACAATATTTCTCTTTTCAAAATCGGATGTATTAACTTACCATGCAACGAATATACTTAAAACAAGTACTCATCCGAAAGATATTTAATTGAATTAGGGTATTTAAAACAATCCACTTGGAACCCCTAAATCTATTTATTTTAGACTTGTGTATACAATTTTTATATTAAAGCATTTTGTATATAATTCTTTGTATTCTAAGAGGTATACAATTTTTATGTTTAAATTGACCTTCAGTAATTCCTCTAATCACTAATTTGTGAGTATCGACAGTGATCAATTCGTTATCATATTCATAACAGACTCGAGTGTATCAAATTATTGCTTTAACTTACAAATTACCAAAACAAATCCTCAACTTATAATCTTGCTAGAAAAACAACAAACCCAACAAACAACAAAACATTTAAATACTTAGTCTAAAGATTTGGAAAAATATCACAAAGTAAAAATCAACGACTAGTAGCAAATAGTAAATATCAAAAAATCAGTCCTCTATCAGGCCCAACCGAAATTGATGCCGGTTATTTGATAAAAATGGTTATTGAAGGGCCTGTAAAAATCCCTCAATCTTTGCAATACCACAGGATTGACGTAAGGGTGATTCCGGCCCTTTGTTTTACCTAGACAATGGGGCGCCGAGTGACCTTCGCTTTTGAACAAACAAGGAAACCCTTTGGTGGAGTTGAAATAGAAATGCTTCTCCGTAACCACTCGCTTGAGCCCTAAAAAATCTTGCACTCGCCTCAATTCGATGGCCGGATCCAAAACCAATCGTTCCCCGCTGACAAACAGAAATTGCGATAACGGAAAAAATTTCAACCATCTCGAGAGATACCTAAAACACATTAAATTCGCGACACAATATTTACCAATAACCGCTAATTACCTGGAGTAAATTCCTAGTTTAACAGGGCCCCAAGAAGTATCGATAATACTCCCGATTGACCCATTAACAAATAACAGTTGTTCGAATGGTTTCATATCAATCTTTTTAGAAATGGCTTGAGCATAATCAGATATGGCCCTGGTGACGGGGTCTCTTACGACTATCAGTAACTTAGTGGAGGGATTCATTAGGTGCACCCGATGAGGCGCCTCGCGCGTTATGAAGTAACTCGGAGTCTTTTCGATTGTGAGCTGTCCTTCTAAGGTCGCCGGCATGTGGCTCCTGTACCACTGGAAACCCTTTGCGTAGTTCTTGTCAAAGAAGTGCACTTCGCTGCCCGCTGCTCTCACGTCTGGGTGGATTCTGATGAATTCCAGCAGGGCTCTCGTTCCGCCCTTTTTCACCCCTAGGAAACGAAATTACTCGTGGAATTGTCAATTGATTCTCTAGCCTTACCGATTATTAATGCGCTCGGTAGTTGCCTCTCCGGTCGCAAACCTTGTTCTCTAAAAAATTTGTATTTTGGAGATATGTCAGTTTCGTTTTCTTCTATTAGCGAGACTACTCGTACAGATGTGTAGTGCACCAAAGGTATTTCATTTACAACGACTGGATGATTTTGCCACTGAAGAAAATTTACGATAATAAAAACAATTTGTGTTTACTCGATTATTTACTTACTTTAGGTATGGCTTTAGAGAGACTGGAAATTACACAAGAATTAAAAACGAACGTTACGTACAAGGATATAGTCGCTAGTAATAATAAAGACAAAATTATTTTTTTCGAAATGAGCAGTTCCATTTTATTATTTTGATAAACATTAATATATCACATACTGGAGTGAATTGAAAATTGCATAATTTTATAGAGAAATTAGTCGAAGCAATTTACTGTCTCACTTCGACTGATTAGCGCATTCTTGGAATGTAATTATTCAAATAATTCGAATAATTAATTTACTGGATTTTCTCATTTTGTTTTTAAATAAAAGTAAGGTTTTGACTTTTGACAACTATTAAATAATCTTGACAGCATCTCGACATTGACAACAGTCAAATGTCACTTTTATTAGGCGAATAGACGAGAAAAAATATATTGTGAAATGGGAGAAATTTGACGTTTGTAAAAGAGAAACAGAAAATAAACGGTGTTTCGTAAAATTGAAGTAATAGGTGTTGCCTATACGTACGGAAATTTTCTAGAAAAATTTCAGAAAGCATATTAATAATACTATTTTATTAGATAATTAAATTTCGCATAATATAAGTTCTGTAAATACATTAAGCTATCAAAAAGACGATACGTAAATTTTAAAATCTACCCATCCTTGAAGTTGAAACAAAATCAAAACGTACGTCTTTATGACGTAATTGACAATTGTCAGTAAACTTCATCTTCCCGCTTTTAAAATTTGGTCTTTTTGTTGAACTGTAACATTATTCGTGAATTGTTGATAACATATAGAAGAATTTTTAAGATCCGATCTGTAAAACATTTTCGATGTTTTACAAGCTATACTTTTAAATCAGCATTTAAATCAAAAGAATTCACGAAACTGACAGTTGACAAAACATTTTGACAGAAGGCAGTAATTTGTCTAGTATCTGCTCTAAAATTACATGTGGTGAAGAACCGTTTTGTGAAGCCGGTTAATTTTATAGAGCATACATTGAAAAATCTTGGCTTTTAGAAGGTTTGCTAAAGTTAAAAATGCACCAAGAAACATTGCAACTAATCCAAATATTAGAAAAAACAGTTTCACCCGGTGAGTATCGGTTTTTGTTTCCACCATTTGTATATCCCTTTCAACGTTTTTGTACAATGTTAACGGGCATTTTTACGTTTTAAAGCGATCAACTTCACGGGAACGTTAATACAACAACATTACGTACACGATTAACTAATTTTAGATGTTCGTATTAACAATTTCTAATGTACTACATTTTAAATCGCGTACTCACACCTGCAAATGGGCCCCTTTTCAACAGCAACAAGTTGTACTAAAATTTATCACCATTTTAAACCGTAATTTTTATATAATTTATTTGTATTTACATTGCATTAAAATGGACCATTCCAAATTTAATTGGACTCCTCCATTACACAATATACTTGTTTAGTGTAATTATTTGTTTCTTTAATTGTGTACATATACAAGGGCATGTATGATATAGTCAAAAACATGTAGGGTCTCATTATTTAGGTACAAGCAAGTATTTTTTAAGGTAGGAATAGGGTTTGTAATTATGGTAATAAAACATAAGTTTCATTCAGAAGATTCAGAAAACACTATAGAATTGGGAATTGTTACAAATATTTCAATCGAGTATGAAGAGCTCTGAGTGTTTGATATATTTTGTATTTTAAGCTATTAAATATCATTAGAAGCCATCGAACTTTCTTTCGATTAAATAAATTGTTAAAATATACAAACTAATCTTCTGTATTATCAAACTATATGATACCTTTTTACAAATTTATACATAACAAACAGTTCGATTATCATTTCAAGATGCATGTCTACCTCGTTTTGTAATTGTAAAACAAAGTTTAACAAAACAATAACCCAAAGAATGCAGAAACAGAAGTATATTCGATGATAAAATACATTGCGTATTCGAATATCTCAATAGTGCCGTATGAATAATCGTTTTAATTTAAATTTTATCTTGCACAAGTTTTATTTTCTCCTACTTATCTGCTTTATATTATGGCGCAGTATTTAATAAACAATATTGTTTACGGACGTGTATTGTTAAAGAATAAGTACAGGTTCATTAAAAATTTTCTATGTACTTAAAACGAAACGATTTAATTTATAATCCGCGTTAACCCGCAAGATTCATTGGTTTGCGACTCGACAATCTCGCTATTAAGTTTTATCAATAAGTAGGTAAAATATAAATAAAATATTGATTGCTATGAAAATAGCCCGAACAAACATGCCACGTTATTTTATCGCGTTCGACTCCTTCCTCGGAATCGAGTAATTAACGTCGGAACAACACATTTCAGACAAGAATGAATTGGAGCAAGCGTCGAGCTTTTTGGAACAAGCGTCCCAAACGAATTTATTAGGATTCATAAAGACCCTCTCGGATATACTGCGGCATGGCGGGAACAGCCCGGTGGCCCGAATGGCCGCCGGTTTGCAACTGAAAAACCAACTCACTTCGAAAGACACAACCATCAAGGCCACCTACCAACAGCGCTGGCTGCTATTCTCCGAAGAAGTCCGGGACTACATCAAGAAGAACGTAAGTAACGCGCCTCCGCCCTCGTACGGCTAATAACGTTCGATAAACAGGTGGTCGGTGCCCTTGGGACCGAGACCAACAGGCCGTCGTCGGCCGCCCAATGTGTCGCTTACATAGCCGTAACCGAATTACCGCAAGGACAATGGCCGGATCTCATATCGACGCTCGTAAGCAACATTTGCCAAGGGAATTCCACCGAAATGCAAAAGGAGGCCACGCTGGAGGCCATCGGTTACATCTGCCAAGAAATCGAGTCCGACGTGTTGGTGTCCCAATCGAACGATATACTGACGGCCATCGTGCACGGCATGAGATCCTCCGAACCGAGCAATCACGTACGATTAGCCGCCACGCAGGCTTTACTGAACTCATTGGAATTCACCAAGGCTAACTTCGATCTGACCACCGAAAGAAACTACATTATGGAGGTGAGTTAGATTGGGCGTCGAGCGAGCATCGATTACAGCCATTTTGATCGTTTATTAGGTGGTTTGCGAAGCCACGCAGTCGCCGGTGTCGCAAATCAAGGTGGCCGCTTTGCAATGTCTAGTGAAGATAATGTCGCTGTATTACCAACACATGGAGCCCTACATGGCGCCCGCGCTGTTTCCCATCACGTTGGAGGCCATGAAATCCGAGAACGACGCCGTCGCCCTGCAGGGTATAGAATTTTGGTCGAACGTCAGCGACGAAGAAGTCGATTTGGCCATCGAGGATACGGAAGCGGCCGAAGCGGGACGGCCTCCTACAAGGTACGTTTTATCGCTCGTTTTTTGTATACAAAATTTATTGATAGTTTTCGTAGAGTATCGAGGCATTACGCGAAAGGAGCTCTGCAGTATATAATACCGATCATTCTCCAAAAACTCACGAAACAAGAGGAGTTAGATGATGAGGACGATTGGAATCCGAGTAAAGCGGCCGGCGTTTGTCTCATGCTACTAGCTACTTGCTGCGAAGACGAAATCGTCCCGCACGTTCTACCGTTTATCAAAGAAAACATCAAATCAGACAACTGGCGTTTCCGCGACGCTTCTCTGATGGCCTTCGGCTCCATTCTAGGCGGTTTGGAACCCAACACTCTTCGACCTCTCGTCGAACAAGTAAACTACAATACACCATTCGATCCAGCATAACATCTAACTCGTGTCATTACAGGCGATGCCGACGCTGATCGAATTGATGTACGATAACAGCGTAATCGTGAGGGACACGGCGGCCTGGACGTTCGGCAGGATATGCGAAATCATCCCGGAGGCCGCCATCAACGAGAACTACCTGAAGCCGCTGCTGGAGAGTCTGATAACCGATTTGAAAGCGGAGCCCCGCGTGGCAGCCAACGTGTGTTGGGCGTTCTCCGGATTGGCCGAAGCGGCCTACGAACATGCCGCCGTCAACGAGGAGACCGGTACACCGGACACGTACATTCTGTCGCCGTACTATGAATTTATCATACAGGTAATGATTTGTTTGATGATCGTTTCGAAATGTTTGTATAAATCGATTTGTAGAGGTTACTCGAGACGACCGATAGAGCGGACGGGGCTCAGGCGAACTTGAGACCCGCGGCGTACGAGGCCTTGATGGAGATGGTTAAAAATTCGCCGAAGGACTGTTACGTTACGGTACAGAAAACTACGATGGTTATTTTGGAAAGACTGCAACAGGTAGAGTTATAATATTGTAGGGAATATTACGTCCGGTACTTCTTGTATGCCTTATTCGTAGGTACTGCAGATGGAAACTCACATTACCAGCCATAACGACAGATCGCAATTCAACGATTTGCAAAGCCTTTTGTGCGCTACTTTGCAATCGGTTTTGAGGAAAGTTACGCCGGAGGATGCCCCGCATATTTCCGATGCCATAATGACGGCCATGTTGACCATGTTTAATTCCAATTCTTGTAAAAGCGGAGGTACGTTTGCAGCGCTCGTTTCACGCAATTTATTTTAACCATTCGATCGAATTTCAGGCGTACAGGAGGACGCTCTCATGGCCGTTTCGACGCTCGTAGAGGTACTAGGAGAAAATTTCATCAAATACATGGACGCTTTCAAACCCTTCCTGTACATCGGCTTGAAAAACCACCAGGAGTACCAAGTGTGCGGCACCGCCGTCGGCCTCACCGGCGACATTTTCCGCGCTTTGAAGCTCAAAGCTCTCCCGTACTGCGACGAAATCATGACCCTACTCTTGGAAAATCTCCGCGATCAATCCGTTCACCGTAGCGTCAAGCCGCAAATACTCTCCGTCTTCGGCGACATCGGTCTCAGCATCGGTTCGGAATTCAAGAAATACCTGGACGTCGTTTTGTCGACGCTGGCGCAGGCGTCCCAAGCGCAAGTCGACCGCAGCGACTTCGACATGATGGAGTACCTCAACGAGCTAAGAGAGGGCGTGCTGGACGCCTACACGGGCATCATACAGGGCTTGAAGGGCGACGGGCTGACGCCCAATCCGGACGTTATGGTCCTCGAACCGCACATTCCGTTTATCGTACAGTTTATCACCGTCGTGGCGCAGGATGACGAGCATTCCGACGGGACGGTGGCCGTCGCCGCGGGCATCGTCGGCGATTTGTGCACGGCCTTCGGCAGTCCGATGGTGCAATTGTTGGATTTGGCTTCGATCAACGAGATGCTGGCCCAAGGTAGACGCAGCCGCGTCGGCAGGACCAAGACGTTGGCGACGTGGGCTTCGAAGGAGTTGAGGAAACTTAAGATGCCGGCTCCCGCGGCAGCCGCTAGCTGGTGAGTATGGTTTTTTTACTTATTGTTTTGGTAGTAGGAAGCTCGTAAAAGTGTGCATATGCGGCAACAGCGCGGTGGAAATGCGCACTCTTACGGTTTCAAACTGTTTTTATTTCGATTTAAAATGACGCAACGCTTTGTTTTTCAGATTCTTCTTGATTACTTAGTAAAAAGCAAGTGATTGTCAACAACATCATCATCATTGTACATTTCCTATGTTGTTTATATTCAAAATTTCAACTAGAATTATTTTTGTTTACTTTTATAAAATTGATGATGACTTAACGTCTCAGGAATCAAAAATTCAAAAAAAAATATGTAATGATCGTTTCAGTCATTAGAACGGGGGTATAAATGTTGGCCCCCTCGCATCATGTTTTTTTAGATCGATACTGATTGATACTGTGCTGTGCAAGGAACTTTGGAAACCGTTTGGTGATAATTTCGTAGCAAATGAACGCTTGTAAATAGTGTCTGTTATAGTTCGCGTCGACAGACTCGTTTTCAGCTCAAGACTGATGAATGAAGTGATGGCATTTCAGTATCACTTGGTGCGTCAGTTCATCTTTATAAGTAATGTAACTTGATAAAAATAAATTTTTTTCTATATTTATCGTTTGTTTATTATCGGTGGGTGTACAAAAATGGTGGGTGAATTCGAGCAGTGGTGAAAACAAAGACTATGTAAATTGGGCGCAAAAATATATATATTTAATGGGTATTAAAAAAGTATTTTAATCCTGTAAGTATAGGTAAATTGGGGAAGAGAATGTGTTTCAGGTAGGTAAAGGGATTGGTTGGGTTCATTGTAACGAAATTGAAATTTTTCCGTGAAAAAAGTAGGGAAATGAACAAATTTACAGTGTAGGATGTAGTAGAATATCCAGGTTAAGAATATTTGAGAAATAACGCTTATTTTGTAACAGTCTTTACGCAGCTCTATACCAAAAAATAGATTCCCATCTCTATTAATCTTCTGTCGTACGAAATGTCAATTGTGACAGTTTATGTATCATCGAACGCATCTTAAAATCCCACCTATTCGCGTACAACGCAAAAAATGTAATTTATCGAATTTGTGGTTATTTTTTGGCGACACTTTAATTCACACGCCCAATTTACCTATAAATTTTCAATTCCTTTTGCGCCCAATTTATCTACATCCCTTCAATTCGAGTGGGTTTTTAAATAAGTGTCGTATATTAGTCGACCCATGGCGCAATCCTCAACAGCCATACCTAAAAAAGTTCTCTAAAATAGTAACGATTTAACGAAGTAAATGTAACTAGATACCTAAGCTTTGGAAAATCGTCACCCTGTTGGCATCTTCCGTTTGAACTTCATTAGCTATAACACTCCCAACTTCCCCTTTGAATTGCACACCGGCCTTTATCAAACCGGACAATTCAGCTCTGGCTCCCTCCCAGTGATCGATGTACACGTCAGCGTCGAAGTACAACTTCTCCTCCACCTCGCTGTGGTGAGTCTTTCCGAGCCCCACGGCTACAGAACATTTCCAGCTACATTAAAATCCTCGCTTCATGCTCAACTTACAGTTAATATGCGCTCCCGCTTTCACCCAATCGGCCATGACGATGGGCTCGCTGGTGTTGGTCACAGCGACGATCACATCGGCGCCCCTAACGCATTTCTCGTTGCTTTCGCAGTGCTTGAAGATGTTCGTGTTGTATTTTTTGTTGTATTCGTCGACTAGACTTTTGGCTTTGGAGGCGGTTCTGTTCCATACTCTTATCTGGAACATTAGTAGGTGTCAACGAGTGATTTGCAATTAACTTTCCGTACTTACTTCTTGGAAGTTGAAGCAGTGTTTGAAGCAATCGGCGTGAGCACGGCCCTGTTCCCCGGCTCCCAAGATGGCCAGAACTCGCAAGGGTTTGGATCGCTTGGCGTAAATGTGCTGAGTAGCCACCGCAGAGGCCGCTGCTGTTCTCCATTTCGTGATTTCGAATCCACCTACGTACTAGCCAATCGATTGAGAGAAATGTATATTGTGTTCCCATGGTACTTACTGCCTTCGGTAGGCCGGTAGTTTCGTCGAATAGCAAAATACTGGCCATCACTGTGGGTAGTGGTTTGGGCAGGTTGCTGTTGGTGGGAAAGAATGTTACTAGTTTACATCCCAGAGCACCGAAGGTGCTGTCTTCTAAATAACCCGGCATGGAAACCAACAAGTTGGGCTTATCTAGTACTTGAGTTTTGCTTCTGGCTGTTTGCACTATTCTTTTCTCGGTACAGCGTCTCATTGCTACCTAAAATACGCGGGTTAAATTGGCATTAATTCGTGGTTAAAGCAGTTACCTCCATGGCTTGGAATGTTTTGTCCCAGTCCAGCAATTTGAGGACCATATTTTCGTCGATTACGATCATTTTGTGTCGAGAATTGGGTACGAATCTCCACCGAAACACTGCCTTATCTTCACTGACTGATAAGTCTCGGATCGGTTTATTTTAAAGAATTGTTTGCTTTTCGAACAGCGATGGACTGTGAACTTTAAATGGCCTGAAATGTTTCGGGCATATGTTGAAAATACCGCACGAATCCTATCTTATAAATATGAAGTTGAATTGTTTTGAAACTCGTTATCTATACTTTTTTAAGAAAGTATATTATAGGGTTATTTATAGGTTCATATAAGAGTTCATAAGGGTTCATATAATGGTAGGTATTATTGTCGGCTTTTTTTAATCACTCTGTGTAAGTAAAATTTAAATTGAATAAACAATAATTGCCACTTATGGAGTTGATAAAAAGTTAATTGGCTGCTTTTTGAACTCTCAAGTAGCCCAAACCCAAAAAATTATGTTTTGAGATTAAAAGGTGAATTTGCAGATACCGAAATGAACTATTTTAGAACTTTATCTTGACCTTTAAATTCGTTTTCTTATTGAAATAATAGATAATTTCGCTAGAGTTTATTATTCTATAAAATTCCATTCGAAAACTTACAAATAGTGTCTTATCTCGCTATATTTTTAAATACCTAAAGCTCCGAGGCTACATAATATATTATAGTGGTAAAAAGGTTGCTTATTTAAATTTACTCTACATTTATTGATGTGCTTTTGATCTACAATTTGCTTTGATAATTTCTAAAACAAACATCATCACACTAACAGTAATACCCACTAAATAATAAACGAAAACATTCTTCAACTTTTCAAAAGTGAGAGGATTCACTAGAAATGGTGTATTTGTTTGTGCTAAAGCAGTCACTTTATCATTTTCGATATCGCTCAGCTTGTAAAATTGCTCGACGATTCCCGAAGCTCTCAGCTGGAGAAGTTTCATATTAAAAACATCCGTCAAAGGGTGGCCTTTTTTGAAATACGAATACAAATACATAATATTGGTCCTTAAAGGTAAATAGTTCACCAATGATTTCCCTTCCTCGTCGGTGAAAGAAATCGGGATCAGAAATTTTATAGTTCTTAACAAGTTATAGCTGATGACAGTTTTATCAGAGGCCGCCAATTCAAGACATTCGAATACAGAATTCCGAATAATTACATTCGATAACTCGTACTGGTCAAAAGTGCTACCGTTAAACAATTTGTGATAATCCAAGGTGTACTGAGTATGGCATATTTTAATGTGGTGTTCCATGACATCTTCTTGTGTTCGTATCATTTCGGTGGATTTATCGGAATTGAGCGAATCGAACAATTTGCTTTTAATAAGAGTGGAAACAATCAGTGAGTAAAATAGATAAAATATAAACATTAATCGAAATGAGAGAGATGGAATTTTCACCGGAGAGGAACCTTCCAGGAATATCCTTAATGTGAGTATCAAAGATGAGGTATTGTAGCTTCCTGGATACAATTTTTGGATGATGTAAAACACGAACGCTACATTTACCATAATTAAAAAAAATACGACGAAAACCGATGTAGATAATACGAATAAACCACGGGGTTTCAAATTCCTCGCTATTATGCTACCGATAACATCTTCCATTACCCACCCACAAACATCTACGAATTGATATTCGTACCCAGAAGGAATAAATACGGTTATTAGTAACTCGACTTTTCCAGTCATCACGTTTGTTACTAAACCATCATAACTCCCATTCTCGTAAAACTTGCCAATATTATTTTCGTTGAAGTTAAGTAACATAAAGTTAAGTTTTACATTGATATTGTTGGCTATTATTTTAAACATTTCAATCGTAATTCCATTCTCCGAATCCATCAGATACGGGGGCAAATACATCAATCCTGCATTTATTTCTGGAACTTTATGCGGTTTCATTTCTTGAAATACATCCGTGTTGCTGATGTTCATTTGTGTAGTTGATATTTTGTGTTTTTTGGTTATTTTATATTTGTAAATCTCTTCTTTACCCTCACTGGATTTATTACAAACAATTACCAAAGCCTTATAAATGTAATATTCGTACAAAGATTGAAATTGTGTTTTTATATTTTTATTATTAGTCATGATTATAAATTTACCCTTTGTGTTCATCAAACCATTTATGTAAATTTGATATAATAAATCATTAGATAAATCTTGAGTTTCGATGAAATAAATGTCTGGTTTGTTTCGACTCTGGACGTTCCAAATATTATTAGAATTGCATTTTACATGTGGTAAAATCACATTTAATTTGCTATCGATTACCATTATATTATCATCATATTTAGCTGTTGTTAATAGCAGTTTATTAACATAATTTTCTATTGTAGAATTAGCTAAAACAGCTAAAGAAAACAAGAGTTTTGTACTGATCATGTTTAGTTTTGTAATGAGATTAGTTATGAAAATGGTTGATGTTACTCAACTAGATTGAATGTGAATTATCTATTATAGGGTAGTAGACAGATATAACGTTATATTTTTGTGATTTATTCAAAGATAAAAATAATGGCGTAATTACATTAGTTTATAATGCAAAAAGAAATATGCTTTAGATTTCAAAAAATGCTTTTAATGAATTAAAATGTAGCCTACATAGTAAATATCAATTGGTCTGTGAATTTGGAGATACATTTACTTTTATAAATGAACTTTTACATAAACAAAATTCAATCAAATATATCGTAATCTCATCAACCATTTAATAAATAAAACAACAGCCAAATTTGTTTAATATTTATTATTTTAGCAACAATTTATTTACGTGCTTTTGATCTACAATCTACATTGATAACAATTTCTAAAACAAACATCATCACACTAACAGTAATACCCACTAAACAAATAATAAAGACATTTTTCAACTTTTCAAAAGTTAGAGCATTAACTAAAAAACGAGAATCTGCTTGTGCTAAAGCAGTCGCTTTATCATTTTCGATATCGCTCAATTTATAAAATTGTTCGATAATTCCCGAAGCTCTCAATTGGTGAATTTTCCTGTTAAAAACATCCGTCAAAGGATGGCCTTTCTTGAAGTACGAGTAGTAATATATATTATCGGTTTTGTAAGAGAAATAATTCACCAATGACTTCCCTTCCTCGTCGGAGAAATAAAACGGGATCATAAATTTTAGAGTTCTCGATAAATTTTCGCTGATTATAGTCTGATTGGAAGCCGCCAATTCGTGGCATTGCAAAGGATTGTTTAAAATAATCAAATTGGATCTTACATAAATGTCGAAGGTGCTATTAGACAAGGCTGAGTATTCTATGGTTATTATGGAGTGGCATGTTTTAATGTGGTGTTTCATGACATCTTCTTGTGTTCGTATCATTTCGGTGGATTTATCGGAATTGAGCGAATCGAACAATTTGCTTTTAATAAGAGTGGAAACAATCAGTGAGTAAAATAGATAAAATATAAACATTAATCGAAATGAGAGTGATGGAATTTTCACCGGAGAGGAACCTTCCAGGAATATCCTTAATGTGAGTATCAAAGATGAGGAATTGTAGCTTCCTGGATACAATCTTTGAATGATGTAAAACACGAACGCTACAGTGGCCATTATTAATAAAAATACGATAAAAACAGATGTAGATAATACGATTAAACTACGGGTTTTTAAATTCTTCGCTATAACATTACTCATGCTATCTTCTATGATCCAACCGCAAAGGTCTAAAAACTGAAATTCGTACCCAAAAAAAGGATATATAGCCGCTAATAAATCGATTTTTCCAGTCATTACGTCTGTTATTAAACCATCGTAACTCCCATTCTCATACAATTTTCCATAATTATTGTCAATGAAGTTAAGTAAAATAAAGTTTAGTTTCACATTGATATTGTTGGTTATTATTTTTAACATTTCAATAATTATTCCACGTTCAGAATCCATTGTGTAAGGCGGTATAAACATATATCCTGCGCTTATTTCTGATACTTTATGGGGTTTCATTTCTTGAAATACATCGGTGTTGCTGATGTTTAATTGTATAGTTGATAATTCCTGTTTTTTGGTTATTTTATACTTGTAAATCTCTTCTACACTTTCACTGGTATTATTACAAACAATTACCAAAGCCTTATAAATGTAATATTCGTACAAAGATTGAAATTGTGATTTTATCTTTTTATTATTAGTCATGATTATAAATTTACCCTTTGTGTTCATCAAACCATTTATGTAAATTTGATACAATAAATCATTAGATAATTCTTGAGTTTCGATGAGATAAATGTCTGGTTTGTTTCGACTCTGGACGTTCCAAATATTATTAGAATTGCATCTTACATGTGGTAAAAGCATATTTAAATTGCTATCAATTACCATTATGTTATCATCATATTTAGCTGTTATTAATAACAGTTTATTAACATAATTTTCTATTGTAGAATTAGCTAGAACAGCTAAAGAAAACAAGAGTTTTGTACTGATCATGTTTACTTTTGTAATGAGATTAGTTATCAAATTGGTTGATGTTACTCAACTAGATTGAATATATGTATAAATTTCAAATTGGAGTAATGGAGATATTATACTTTTATGATTTACTGAAAGGTACAAATAATTTCGTAATGGCCAGAGAAATAATTTTTATCAAAAAATGAGATTCATAAATTATGTAGCGTCGATATTTTCCAATTAGGATGTGAATTTGGAGACACAAAATTAACATTATCTTTATTGTTAAAATAAATTTACTATAAATTATCAAAATTTATTCTATTAATCGTTTATTTAATAAATAGACAACAGTTAATTTTGTTCTATTTTATTTTAACGATTTTTATTGAAGTGCCTGTGATCTATAATTTGCTTTGATAATTTCTAATGCAAATATGATGATACTTATAGCAATACCCACTAAATAATAAATGAAGACATTCTTCAACTTTTCAAAAGTGAGAGCTTTAACTAGAAATGGCGTATTTGTTTGTGCTAAAGCAGTCGCTTTATCATTTTCGATATCGCTCAGCTTGTAAAATTGCTCGACGATTCCAGAAGCTCTCAACTGATGAACTTTCCTGTTAAAAACGTCTGTCAAAGGGTGGCCCTTTTTAAAATACGAATAGAAATATCTCATCTCGGTTTTGAACGAGAAATAGTTCACCAGTGACTTCCCTTCGTCGTCGATGTATAAAATAGGGATCACATATTTCAGAGGTCTGGACAAGTTTTCGCTGATTACAGATTTGTTAGAGGCCGACAATTCGTGGCATTTTAAAGTGGTGTTCATAATAATCAAATTCGCTCTCACATATTTGTCGTAAGTGCTATTAGTCAAAGCCTCGTATTCCATGGCTTTTATGGAGTGGCACGATTGAATGTGGTGCTCCATGACATCTTCTTGTGTTCGTATCATTTCGGTAGATTTGTCGGAATTGAGCGAATCGAACAATTTGCTTTTGATAACTGTAGAAATAATCAACGAGTAAAATAGATAGAAAATGAATAGTAATCTGAACGATATTGATACGAGTTTCACCGGTGAAGAACCTTCCAGGAATATTCTTAATGTAAGCATCCACGATGAGGAATTGAAGCTACCTGGAAATACTTTTTGAATGATGAAAAACACCAACACCACACTGGCCATAATTATTGAAAATACGATGAAAACAGATGTAGATAATACGAACAAACTGCGTGGCTTTAAATTCTTCGCTATTACATTACTCAAGCTATCTTCTACGATCCAACCACAAGGGTCTGCGAATTGAAATTCGTGCCCAAAAGTGGGATATATGGCCGCTAGTAAATCGACTTTTCCAGTCATCACGCTTGTTAGTAAACCATCAAAGCTTCCATTCTCGTACATCTTGCCGTAATTATCGTTAAACTGAAGTAAAATATAGTTTACCTTCAAATTGATATTGCTGGCTATTACTTTAAATATTTCCAGTACTATTCCCCTCTCCGAATCCAGTATATAAGGCGGTATATACACAATGCCTGCACTTATTTCTGTTACTTTATGCGGTTTCATTTCTTGAAATACATCGGTGTTGCTGATGTTTAATTGTATAGTTGATATTTTCTGTTTTTTGGTTATTTTATATTTGTAAATTTCCTCTACGCTCTTACTTGAACCATTAGAAACAACCACCAAAGCTTTATAAATGTAATATTCGTATAGAGATTGGAATTGAGATTTTACATTTTTATCATTAGTTATGATTATAAATTTACCGTTGGTGTTCATCAAACCATTAATGTAAATTTGATACAATAAATCATTAGATAATTTTTGAGTTTCGATGATGTAAATGTCTGGTTTGTGTCGACTTTGCACATTCCAAATATTATTAGAATTGCATCTTACATGTGGTAAAAACACATTGAAATTGCTATCAATTACCATTATATTATCATCATATTTAGCTGTTGTTAATAACAGTTTATTAACATAATTTTCTATCGTAGAATTAGCTAAAACAGCTAAAGAAAACAAGAGTTTTGTACCAATCATGTTCAATTTTGTAATGATATTAGTTTTGAAATTGGTTGATATTAGGTAGGTACTCAATTGGATTGACTGTGAATTATCTATTAGAATTAGGGAATAGGCAGATATATCATACTCCTGTGATTTATTCAATGATAAAAATTATTTTTTATGAAAGGATATTAATAAATTATTATGTAATTAGTTAATATTTTCAAATTTGGGGATACAAAATTAATCGTACCTTTAGTTTTATCACATGTAGTTTAAATTTTAGACTCACTTGTGCTAGGTGTCCATTTAAGAAAAAAACAATTTTTTTTAAACTCTTAAGTAGCATTTTGGATACTCTCAGAGTGTAAAAATTCACGAGTTTGCTCTCAAATGGTTAAAGACCCGAGAGTAACTCTCGAGTGGACTCCAAAACTCTAAAAGGAATTTTAGGAAAACAATGGGCAGGTAGTATTAGTCGAAATATTCAAAATTCATTCTCTCATAATTTATTATTTAATAAATAAAACATCTAATTTCTTTCAAATTTATTTTAACAATATTTATTGAAGTGCCTTTGATCTACAATTTGCTTTGATAATTTCTGAAACAAACGTGACCATACTAACAGCAATACCCACTAAATAAAAAACGAAAACATTCTTCAACTTTTCAAAAGTAAGAGGATTCACTAGAAATAGCATATTTGTTTGTGCTAAAGCGGTCGCTTTATCATTTTCGATATCGCTCAGCTTGTAAAATTGCTCGACGATTCCCGAAGCTCTCAATTGGTGAAGTTTCATATTAAAAACGTCCGTTAAAGGGTGTCCTTTTTTGAAATACGTGTTGTAATATTTAACGCCGCTGTTGAACGAAAGAAAATTCACCAGCGATTTCCCCTCATCGTCGGTGAAAAAAATCGGGATCAGAAATTTCATGGTTCTGGACAAGTTTTCGCTGATGACTGTTTTATCAGAGGCCGCCAATTCGTGGCATTCGAATGTAGAGTTCCTTACGACCGTGTGCGACCTTAGGTACTCGTCGAAAGTACTACCACTCCTAAATGCGTAATCCAGCATATTTTGATTGATACACATTTTAATGTGGTGCTCCATGACATCTTCTTGTGTTCGTATCATTTCGGTGGATTTGTCGGAATTGAGCGAATCGAACAATTTGCTTTTGATAACGGTGGAAATAATCAGTGAGTAAAATAGATAAAATATAAATATTAATCGAAATGAGAGTGATGGAAGTTTCACAGGAGAGGAACCTTCCAGGAATATCCTTAATGTGAGTATCAAAGATGAGGTGTTGTAGCTTCCTGGATACAATTTTTGGATGATGTAAAACACGAACGCTACTGTCGCCATAATTAACAAAAATATGATGAACACAGATGTAGTTAATACGAATAAACTTCTCGGTTTTAAATTCATTGCTATTATATTACCATCAGTATCTTCCATTACCCAACCACAAATGTCTACGTATTGAAATTCATATCCAAAAGGGGGATATATAGCCGCTTGTAAATCGACTTTTCCAGTCATCACGTTCGTTACTAAACCATCATAACTCCCATTCTCGTACAATTTGCCAAAATTATCATTGAAGTTGAGTAACATAAAGTTTAGTTTCACATTGACGTTGCTGGCTATTATTTTAAACATTTCCAGTACCATTCCATCCCCCGAATCCATTGTATAAGGCGGTATATACATAAATCCTACCTTTATTTCTCGAATTTTATGAGGTTTCATTTCTTGAAATACATCGGTGTTGCTGATGTTGACTTGTGTAGTTGATACTTTCTGTTTTTTGGTTATTTTGAACTTGTATATCTCCTCTATACTCTTGCTTGAATCATTAGAAACAACCACCAAAGCTTTATAAATGTAATATTTGTACAAAGATTGAAATTGTGATTTTATATTTTTATTATTAGTCATGATTATAAATTTACCCTTTGTGTTCATCAAACCGTTTATGTAAATTTGATATAAATCATTAGATAATTCTTGAGTTTCGATGAGATAAATGTCTGGTTTGTGTCGACTTTGCACATTCCAAATATTATTAGAATTGCATCTCACATGTGGCAAAAGCACATTTGATTTGCTATCGATTACCATTATATTATCATCATATTTAGCTGTGGTTATTAAAAGTTTATTAACATAATTTTCTATTGTGGAATTAGCTAGAACAGCTAAAGAAAACAAGAGTTTTGTACTCATCATGTTCAATTCTGTAATGAAATTAGTTGTGAAATTTTCTACCGTCTATTTTTAGTTTCTCATTGATGAGACTTTTTTAATAAGAATTGTTAGATTGGATTATTATTGCATAAATTATTTATTAAGGTAATTCCATGATTTTTGTATTGATATCAATATTTATGCCGTAATCATACTAATGTCTTGTATGAAATTACATAATGTAGGATATGAAAGGATTTGAGAGGATTTGTGAATGAACTAAAAATTATTTAAAGGAGTCAATTTTAAGAGATATATTTTTTTATCAATTCATTAAAGTAAAATATAAAATACCTACAATATAGAATGTATACATTTTCCTGTGAAACTCTTATCTACCTAATAATTCCAGCCCCTTTCACGTATTAATAACGTTAAAAGCATAAAAAGTAATAAACTGGCGTTTAATAATGTTTTAATAACACTTTCATCATTTAAATATTCATGTAATTACCATAGCATATAAGTAAAAGAGCAATTGATTTTGTTAAGTGCCCAATAAATGTACCAACACTTATCCATACGCTTTTTAACAAGTAATACTAACACAACTACAATGCTTTTAATCGCTAAAATTTTATTTCACTTGTGGTTTTTACAATTTTGCGAAAGTTCCCTGCCCCCTCTTACAAAAACCCCATCGAATCTCCTCGCTAATTGCGTCAACAAAATACTAACAAACACAGTGAATAAACACGAAAACGTCTACTTGATAAACACCGACTTGAAGATAAATTTACCAGCAATCACCCTCAACATCACCAACTCACTGACGAAATTCTACAAAATCCCACCTCAGCCCCACGCCTACGTAATAGAAACCCACTCCGATTTCCCCTACATAACCCATCAGCTCCTCTTCAACGGGCTCCTGGAACCCCGCGAGGAACTCATCATTCTAACCGACGACTCCGACCTCACGGACATCTTCGACACCGCTGAAACCTATTTCATGCACAAATTCCTCATCATCCAGCGACAGGAAGTGGTCCATCGCGCCGGCAACGCCCCCACGGCGCTCGGCAGCTTCGACGCCGGCGCCTTCGCGTTCGCCTCCATGCAGCCCGGGAAGCCCCGGGACTTCAGCGTGGTGTACGTCCCGCTGCCCCCGTTCGTATACAACGGCACCCGGGGCGTCATGTCGGAGATCGTGAACATCATAGCGGATAAATTGGAGATCAGCGTGAGCTATACGGCATCGAATCTAACCAATTCGGAGACTTTCGTGGACGATCGCGGTCACGCGTTCGGGATCATATCGGAATTGGAGGCCAGGAGATTCGACGTGGTGCTCAGCTCGCTGATCCGCTTTTCCACGGAATCGTTGTACTACGACGCTTCCGAGTACATAGCGGCAGACGAGGTGAGGTTCGTGGTAGCCAGAAGTCATGCAGTGGACGATTGGGCGTTGTTTTACAAAGAATTCACGTGGTTAGTTTGGATACTTTTCATCGTATCCCTCCTAATTTCCTACCTCGTTATGTACGCTATACAACGTTGGTGGGAGAGAAGTGAAAATTCGTCGTTGCTCGTCAACATCGTTCAAATTATTCTGGAAGGTTCGTCTACGATTCGATCGGATTCGTCGTCTTTTAATATAATATTCATCTCGATTTTGCTGAGCACCACGATTTTCACCAACGTCTACAAGAGCAGGCAGTTTTATTTCCTGAGAACCGATCGTTCGCACCAGCTGATCAATTCCGCTGACGACGCCATGAGGAGTGAGTTGAAATCGGCTCTGCATCCCACCGCTTTGAGGTTCTACAAAAACTCCATTCACCCCATCGAGAAGTACCTCCTGGCAGCCGATCCCTACGTGTGCTCCGAATCCTCCGCATGCTTGGAGAAAGTAGTCAGAGAAAAGGATCGGGTGGGAGTGGACGTTATAAGGCACCTGAAGCACGAGATAACCGAGAAGTACATCGACTCCGAGGGTCGATCGATGATGCACTTCCTGGAGGGTACGCCCGAGCAGGACGTGTATTTCGTCGTGTTCTTTCTGAAGGGCCATCCGACGTTCCCTCGCTTCCAGGAGCTGTTGTACTCCGTTCGGGAATCCGGATTGTCGAATTACCTGGATAAGAAGATCGATGGGTACTACGAGAAGGCCATGGCGCTGGCGCAACCGAGCAGATCGTACCGAGCCAGGGCTTTGACTTTGAGGACGCTCAGGTCCACTTTTTACGTGTACTTTTCGCTCGTATCGATCAGCTTCGTGGTGTGTTTGCTCGAGGTAAAAAGGATCTTGTAAAGAAAGTGAAGGTACTTTCTTGAGGCCTCAGTTGCTTAGGCTACGCGACAATTGTAATTTTTTGGGATTGTAAAGGGGCTTGAAGGAATATTGTGATCGATCAGATACAACGTATTACTTGGCATATTGAACAATTTCGAATCAATTTTACATTATTTACATTATCGCATTGTGTGATTTAATCAGAATTAATATAGCACCAACTAAATAAGTGCTTATTAGGTTTTCGATAAGTTGTGGAAATTAATTTATTTTCGTTTGCTCGAAACTAGGTAATTTCGTGTTAGTTTCTAATTTAATCGAATTTACAACGTCGAGCCAAGTAGAATATTTTGAGCATGGTAAAACTAACGCTAGTTGTGTTTATTATTATTTTTTATTACTGTCATTTTTGTGTTGCGAAATTAACTCAGATAACTGAAAGTTTAAACTCTTTAGATAGTTGCATTTATCGAATTCTACGGTCTATCGACAACAAAACGATTGTCTATTCGATAAATACAGAAATGAATAATATCAACCTTCCTACGATTTTATATGATACTAGTAAAAGTTTTACCAAAGTGAAGAAACTAGCAAACTCACCAGAGTTTTATATCATAAAAGAGGATAACAATCTCGCCAGCATCATAAATACTTTATACTTCGAAGGTCTATTCAATCCAAGAAGCAAATTTCTAATCGTAACTAACGAATTCAACCAATCAACCATCAAAATTTTAGACGAATACTTCATTTACAACGCAATAATTCTAACAATTCAACGCAACTTCGTGAAGAACAACAGAAACCTAACCGTAATAAATCCTTCGAATTGTTCGGGATACAAAAACATCTACCCCATGGAACCGAGGAACATAACCAAATTGCGAATCCTCCATACGAAATTCGCGCCCTACGCCCTCAACTCGAAGAAAGGAGTGGTCCCAGAAATATTGAATTTAATAACGGCCAATATGAAGCTTAAGACCTCGTATATTTACGAAAATGCTTCCCTCAGCAGCGGTTACATCGAAAAAAACGGGCGCGGTACCGGCATGTTGGGTAAACTACAGACGAGACGATACGATTTGTCGTCGAGAGTGTTCTCTCCCGCCGATCGGGAGCATTTATTCTTCGACATAACCCAGTATGTTTCCCAGGACTACGTGATATACGTGGTTCCTGCGGTAGTGACCATCAACAAATGGAAGATGCTGTACGAGGAGTTTTCCTGCCACGTCTGGATATGCTTCTTGTGCTTCTTAATAACATTTTACATCGCTTTTTATTTAACTTCGAAGCACAAGCAAAAATTTGAGATGTTTATAGACGTTCTGCGAATGTTGCTGCAAGGATCCTCGCCGATTCCGAGGACTTACAACGCTTGTAAATTGCTATTTCTAGCGTTTATGGTGTTCGTTTTCGTATTTACGAATCTCTACAAAAGCGTGCAGTTTCATTTCATGATCGAAAACCTGCACACTCCGCTTTACAGGACCGAGGAAGATTTGAGGAAGTACAAACTGAAGGCGAGCTTGCACACGAGCATGTCGAGGCGGTGCAACATCTCCACGAATCATCTGGAAAATTACCTCTGTAATAACATCTTGTTCACATGCAACGACAACGAGGTTTGCTTGAATCAAACCGCTTTTGTGAAAAATACGGCGAGCCTGGAAGGGTTGTTGCATTTAAAATACGTCGTGCCCAGAAGGTTTATCGATTCCGAAGGAAAATCCTTGCTACGCGTCGTTGAAAACAACAAAACCCCGATCTTTTTCTATTTATATTTCCTCAAAGGCCATCCGATTTTCAGCAGGTTCAACAGAAAAGTACGATCCGTCCACGAAGCCGGATTTATAAGACATATTATCAGACAAATCGACTGGAATTATGATAAGGCGATGGCTTCAGCAGCCATTTCAACGGCTCTGGAACAAACTCAGCTTTCGCTGGAAATGTTCCACTCTACTTTCTTTGTTTATATTATTTTAATATTTTTTAGTATTTTCGTTTTTATTTTAGAAAGAGCTAGAGTATTGTAGGTATTTAATGTCGGATACGATACTTGGTTTTCAAACAATTATAAAGTACGGTCCTGTCGTTTAATGTGTTTTCTGTGTGTCTCTAGTTCATTAGTAAGTTCGAGCCCAGTCAGACACAAGTAGTGTTGAGTTCAAATATTTCATGTTAAATAGATTAGTTGTGTATATTTATTATTACTGCATTTAAATGTTCTAAAACATATGCATCATAATTGAAATAAATATGATATAAATGTAAAATAGTTAATTTTTTTTTAATTAAAACAAAACTCGTGTATCTTCGTTAGAACTCGTAATGTTCACCAATTTTGACTTTGACACTTGACAGTGACAGCGTAGTTTTAAGGTTATGTGTACAATATTTTGCAATTATTAATGAGGTTTTGAATTAAAACTGTTTTATTTTTAATTTAGGTAAAACTCAACTCGCAGTCCTTTATATCTTCTGACCAACACATTTATTTTTAGCCGAAATGTTCCCAGTTTTAGTCAATTCAGCCATAAATTTAGCAAAAAAATTGGACCTTCCGAGGAAGCTACTAACAGCAAATTTTCACAATTTCAACAGTCTCACCAGCTTGACGAGACCCACGCTATTACAACCCATCACTCCTTCCATCGTGCCCGCTTGCGGATTCAAAATAGCCGGAATAGTGAAGAGAAGATGTAAAAGCTGCGTGATGGTTCGAACTGAGGAAAGATGGCTAGTTCTGTGCAAAGCCAAGCCGAGACACAAGCAAATGTCCATGATAAAAGATCCGAGAAATACCTGGATTCTTTCCCACGCCACCCAATCCAAAGTTAGACCTTGGTAGATTCGATTATCTCTATAATTACAATAAAATGTAAGGTAGTTCGTACGTAATAAATTTGTACATAAATAATATTGTTTTGAAATTGTATACGACTCGTTTAAAGATGGTTATCGCTTTATTGTATTAAAATAAATACAAACATATCAGTGGTAGTCATAAAATAGTAAGAAACGATTAGTCGCAGCAATAAAACTAATAAATTAATGAAATTTTCAAGCAAATCGTTACATGATAAAATAGGAGACCCCTTGTATATGGATAATTTAAGTTTATAAAATAGAAGCTAGCCCTACTTTAATAGTCCATTTATCTACAAAACAACCTAAAGCAATCACAGATAAAATATATATTACAATCACTCTAATCAGTTTGGCTTAATCTTCTCATAAGGATTACTAAAAATTATAAAAAAAAAATTCGACCCCGTTCCACCGGAATACCGTCAAAAATTTGTTCTACCAGCCCCACTCGAATCGACAACACCGACTAAATCACCCCGTTGGCGCTCTTCTCCTCCCTCTCGCCACCCGCCAGCTCCATTTGGATGTCTTCGAGGGTCTTCTTCTTGGTCTCCGGCATCAGCAGGGCTATGCTCACGGCCCCCACCGCCGAGCACGCCGCGTACGTGTAGAAAGGCACGTACATCCCCACGGCCTCGTTCGTCCAGCCGAAGTACTTGATCACGAACGTCGAGGCGAAGCTGAAGCTCACGTTGATCACGCAGAAGGCCTTCCCTTTGATGTGCGACGGGAAGATCTCGCTGCTCACCAACACCGGGATGTTGTTCAAGCCGATGCTGTAAGCTACGGTGAATACCAGCAGGGCTAGTATCTGAATCGACTCGTAACCGTCGAGGTTTATGGAAGTCGCATTTTTGAGGTACAGGTATGTACCGTTGGTGAATAAAGCTATACAAACTATGGTTATGGATATCAGGAATAGAGGTCTTCTACCCGATACGTCGACTAATACTAAAGCTATTAAAGTAGCTAAGAAATAGAGAGCGAAATAGATGATATTAGCCACATCAGGTCGTATTATATGCTTAGTTTCCTGAAACACAGTCTCCGCGTAAGACTGTATAGCCAAAACTCCAGTCGTTTGCTGCACCACAGTCATCAATATGGCCAGCAGCAGGCACTTTCTGTTGTACCTGTTGGTAACCAGCTCCATTACGCCCCCCGTCCCGGACCGTTCCTCCTCCAATATCCCCTTGGAGATCCTGCCCAGCTCCTCGGTGACCTCGCCCCTGCCGCGGAACTTCTGCAGGCTGGCCTTCGCCTGCAGCATCTCGTTCCGCATCAGGTGGAAGTAGGGGCTCTCCGGCAGGAAGGGCAGGATCAGCAGCATGAAGGCGCTCACTGTGCAGGCTATGTAAGCGCTGATCGGAATGGACAGGAAGAACAGCAGGACGTTGGACACCAGCATACCGAACACCAGCGTCACGAAATACGTTGTACCTGCAACGAAATTACCGATGAAACTAGTGGAATTGTGCATCAGGAAATTGCAGCTACCTAGGAATCCTCTGATCTCCGGATCGGCTATTTCCGCTAGGTACGGGGGTATGGCTGTGAAGAGCAGCCCGTCGACGATTCCCGCGATGATTCTGGCGATGAATAAGTAAACTGATGATTGGGCTACAGCGACTAGTATCCAAGACACGGTGAGGGGAATGGAGGAGACCATTATCATTTTCTTGCGGCCGAACGTGTTGAGTGTGAAGCCCGCTATCAGATCGCCTATGACGGACCCCATGGGGGTGATGGCTACCATCCAGGAGGCTTCGGAATTGGACATGCTGAAGGTGTAGTTGCCGCTGGTTAGAATGGGAAGGGAGGAAGAGGGCCAGCCGTAGTGCAGCCCTATGGAGAACATCCCCAAGTTGGCTGGAATTTGTAATGAGTCGAGTAATTTTTGTAATCAGGCTAGTATATTTCTTTACACAATTGGGTCAATACTCTCTTACATGATTACGTTACTGATTAATATTGATGCAACTGCGTCGACTTATTTAAATGTGGAATGAAAAATCGCATTTAAATGCGAAGGTTGGGTCGAATTATGGTTGAAAAATTTTTGTGCAAGGTAAATGCAAGGTCGCTACAGATAAAATTTTTTGTATGCTTCAAAAAACTAAAATAATTATTGTTAGATAGTTTTGTTATGCGTTTGGCCGATTGTTGCGCTTCGTTGAAAATATACAAACGTTTTTCGAGTGAAAAATGATCTCAAATTAATAATAAGTAGAGTTGGTACAATGGAAATAATTATGTATGTATACTAGAAAATGTTTGTTGTGACATTTTTATAATAGTTATATAGTCATACATTTTGTTAATTGAATAAATTATACTTTTGTAAGTAATTCGAAAAAAATGCTGCAATTTAAAAAAAACTAATATTTAATGCATTTATTCAACATTAAAGCATTTAAGGAAGTGAAAAAAAAATGAATAAAAATAAGAAATGGTTCAATTAGATAAATTCTGGCAATTATTTAGAAATTCGTAATATAATTACGAACACATTAACATTAACGAGCATTTAAATAGTTGGAAGAAAAGTACTTTATAAAAATAGGGCATTTGAAAAAGAAAAGTTTACCTGCAAGTGCAGCTAGGTACTGGAAAATCCTGTACTTGAAGTTCGAGCAATCGAAGATTTTCTTCATGTTCGGGGCGGGTTTTCTTCGTCGGAGTGGCGAGTGATGCGCGCGCGAGGCCGGTTTGAACGAAATTGTCGAAAGACACACACAAATAATTAAGTATGTGTAAAATTAACAATACAACAAGCAACAAATAACAAATGTCATTCTTATCAATCGTTTAAAAATAATGAATTCCTACGCCACTATCTTTATAATTATTATATCTGCTCGAATATTTTTAATTGATCCTCGCAGATCGCGGGATTTTGGAATATCTTCGCGGTTCGTACTACAGGTGAGAACGTCGGTTCGAAAAAAAATTTATAATGAATTAAATTCCTCAAATTTAGGCATTTAAATATTTACTAAAGCGATTATCTGCAATATTATTTTCATTTACGGATTCAACAAAAATAATGTAATTTACATGTAAATCCAAAATTGTTCAATGCTTTTTTTATTAAACCTTACTTTTATGATCGTAAATATTGTTGTTTTTATCATACAAAACATTTTATGTTTACAAAGTGATAATTCATTGATTGTCCTTACTCATAAAAAAAATCCTTTCGAACAGCGAGACGACCTAATTAATAAATCTGTTTAATTTCCAAAATTTATTTAAAAACATAAATATTATCATAGAAAATTCAATACACTTATTATGCAATAAACTAACAAGTTTACTCGAGTTCAAATAAAGTATTAGATACTTACATTTCTACGCTTTTAAATAATGCAAAATAATAACTACAACTTTCCTGCAGATGTAAAAAACCAAAAATTATTCAGTCACATTTCAAATGAAAATCGCAAGTTGCGCTCGTTTTGTGTAAAATATTCATTTACTAATTATCTTGTTGGAAATTCAAAAACAACCACACATTAACTTGTCAATAACTTTTCTCTTCAAGTACCTACCTAACATTCGCGATCCGTATCTCTTAATACTCGAACAATGAGAGCGTGCATGGTAATTTTATTTTTGAGTACCGGTCTCGCGCTCGATCCGAAATTCGTATTTCTCAAGGATTTTTTCCGGAAGAAAAACGTCCCAATAACACTAGTTACTTGTCCCGATTTCAAAAACGGTGAGTGAAGAAAATTTCCACTCGGAAAGTACCTCTTAATTAGCGATCGCTTCATCACGAATAAAATTATCCGTCAAAAATGTTTATTTATCATTTACAGTCACGATCGAGGCTTTTTTATCGTCCAGAACCCATTTAGATAATTCGATGGGCTTTCAATTCTACGGAAATCGACCGCAGATAATTTTCAATAGCGCTAACCACAGAAATTGGCACGTAATCGACTTGATTTTTTGCGGAAAATCGAGCGATTTTCTTTTCCAAGTAAGCCATTAAAGATGTTTTTAACGAGATTATTAATTAGTAGCATTATCTGCTTGTGTTAATTGCACTTTACTTACAAAATTGTAGATGAATGAAATAAATGCCTTCAGATTCCCCTTCAAACATCTCATATTAATCGACATTTCCTCATTCGATACAATTCTATTATCTGTATGTAAATGCGATGTATCAATAGGAAGCGAAGTTTTGCTGGCAATTTTCAACGAAACAACCGCAGAAATATTCGAAACGTACAAATTTAGAACTACCAGTAAATGCAGTAAGTTTATATCTGATAACTCCATTCTTTAACATCTTAATACAAGTCTATTTAGATGTACTTCCCTATGGAAATTGGAGCGAAAAAAATGGAATAACTTATACCACACAAGGGGCATCATTATTTCAAAGACGCCGGAATTTCCAGCGAGAAGAACTCGTCGTAAACGCGGTTATTAAATCTAACAAAAGTTTGCAAGTCGATTTCGACGATATCCCGTAAGCTTTAAATAAAACACCACCTCATAAAAAATTAATTTACTATACGACATTCGCTTTAGGGAAGCGACTTTCGATGAGCCCTATTTTCTGGAAAGCGCCGCCAGTCTCACATACGCCTTGACCTACCTAAATGCCTCTTATTCCTTTCGAGTTTACACTGTCTTCGGCCATTTGAACCACACTACTGGCAAATTCTACGGCATGATAAGCGATCTGGCCAAAGGCATTGGTGATATTACAGGTATATTAATCAATCCACAATAACCATCTTTCTTTTACCTTTAAATGAGAATATTGGAAGTTGTGTTATTGCATACATATTGCGTACAAATTTGTCCAATTCTAGGATCTGCTCTGTACTTGAGCCTGGAAAGATTGGTCGTGGTGGATTTGGTGGGGAACCAGAGATCCTACGGGACTAAATTCGTTTTGAAGGAACCCTCCATGTCTTACGTGGAGAATATCTACTTAATGACCTTCACGGACGGGGTTTGGCTGGCTTCTGGGCTGGTGTTAGTTATCTTCTGCTTTATTCTATTCGTTGTCATCAATTTGGAAGGGTTTAAAGTACGTTTGCATCGCATGAAAACTAAATTTTTACTCGAAATGTTTGTAGAAGAAAAACGGTTCTGGAAAAGGTCGAAAATTCACCATCAGCGACGCCGTGCTGCTATCTTTGGAGGCTTTATGCCAGCAAGGTACATCCGTGGATTCCAAAACGATAGCAGGAAGGATTTTACTGGTGTTCCTGTTCATGGTATTCATGTTTCTCTACGCTGCTTATGCCGGTTACATACTGGTGTTGCTACAATCCACCAAGCCGATAGGATCTGTTAAACATCTGTTAGACAGCAGGCTGGAATGCGGAGGAGTCAACGTTAGTTTCCTCACCGATTGGTACCTGGTAATTAGTGCCTCAATTAGAAATATCTAGTTTTGTTGTACGCAGTATCTTCTAGGTTAACAATGATCCGGTTTTAAAGGAATTGTATTTAAAGAAGCTGAAGAATGTGGGTTTGTTGAGCTTGGAAAAGGGCCTGAGTAGAGTGCGAGAAGGCAATTTCGCCTTCCACACTGCTCTGAACATCGCTTATATTCACATTCATAAGACCTTTACCGATGACGAAATTTGTAAGTTGCAGGAATTACCGGGATATTTGAACGTAAGGAAACTACTGCATTGTTTTGTTTTGCGGTAAATATTTTTCGTTTTCTTATAGACCGACCTTTATTATGTAGTGCCTAAAAGGTCCCAGCACAAAGAGTTTTTCAAAGTTAGGTAAGCGAATAAAACGAACAACTTTCGGGTATTTTTGTAATTTTTTTTAAGTATTTTACGGATCAACGAACTGGGATTTCAATCTCGCAACCAGTACAGATCGTCTAAGAAGCCGAAATGCTACAACTCTATAGGGAACTTTGTACCGGTGGGATTTTACGATTGCTATACGATAATCGAGCTATTTTTCATCGGGACTTTTCTGTCTCTAATTATCTTCATCGTTGAATTGGGCACTGACAAGTGGATGAGATCGTTGAAGATGAAACGGTTCAACTAATTTTTCGATTAAAATACACGCTGTTTCATTAGCTTATTAGAAGTTGTTTAATAACTTTGCAATTAAAATAGTTTTTTGTAGAAATTATGCAACTCAATATACACGCAACAGGATGTTTGAAACTATTTATTAAACATATAATTAGCTGGTTTGATCGAAGGGGATATAGCTCAGTGGTAGAGCATTCGACTGCAGATCGAGAGGTCCCCGGTTCAAACCCGGGTGTCCCCTATTTTTGCAAAAATTATTTTTAGCACGTATTTTTCTACAATCAATTTTAACATCTTCTATTTGTGAAAATCTATTTCCTCAAAATTTTTGAAAAAAAATAGGTTTATTTCAAATTATTTCACAATTCTCTAATATTTTACTTCATAAAATTACCCAGTATGCGCGCTGGTCTATCAATTGCAATTCTCAGATTGTGATTGGTCGATTGATTTCTTGACGTTTTATAAGAGCCAATAGGATTTTACCACATAACACAAATCCACTACGTAGTGCGGTGCGTACAGGTTGTAAATGATTCAACAACTCAGGAACTCAGTTTTGTTTTGCCCGTACAACAGTTTAAATGGATAGAATTTGATTGATTTTGTTTATATTATTAAAGTGATCCAGTTTGTGTTTACTGTTACATTCTCATAAATAGCTGTCAATACGAGAGTAAATAAACACTCGTAATAAAATAAACTAGTTAGCTATGATCAACGTAAAACACGAAACAACCGACGACGCGATGAGTTGCAACACTTCGGTCACTTCGATTCTAAAATACCTGGATGATAAAAGCCTGGAAATGGACCAACTCCGGAATTTAGAATCCAGGCCGAAGAAAAGACGACTGGATCACCTGACGTGGGAGGAAAAAATTCAAAGAAAGTAAGTGGTTTCCCGCATGATGTAATGTTGTACCAAAATTGTGTCATTACAATATGTTTGACATTTAGATGAATATTTTATTAGTATAAAAGTTTGTATTAAAATAAATCGATTAAGTGTAGGGGATACAAAGTGGTAAATCAATAAGAGATGTGTGAATTATGAATAAAATATAGTTATTGATTTCGTTAGGAAGTTTAGGGTGGATAATTTTCAGAATGCCTTTTACTATGTAAGACAAACAACTAACTTGTTTGATTTTTAAGGAAATTAAAGAACCGCGTGGCGGCGCAAACGTCGCGCGACCGCAAGAAAGCGAAAATGGAACAAATGGAGCAGGCCGTCCAGCAACTGTTCGCCAACAACGAGACCCTGCTGGCCCAATGCGAGAGCCTGAAGCTGGCCAACCAGCGGCTGGTGAAAGAGAACGCCGAGCTGCACGAGCGACTGCGGGCGCCCTGCGCGTCCTGCGCCGCCGCCCAAAGCCGTCCTGTCGGGTGCGAGGCCCTCAACGGACCGACCGAGTCCCTCCTTCGACCGAAAGGAAGAGCCACGTACCCAGCAGCGGCTTTGAGCAGCGCGCTGCTGAAAGTCATAGCGAGCTGCCTTCTCTACCAGACCTGCTCGACGAGCTCGACACCGACATCGACTTTAGCTCGCTGGAACAGCTCACTCAGAGCCTCCTGCAGGACATCGCCAGGGATCTGGAGGATGCTGCTCAAAAGACAGATAGAGAAGTAAGAGACTCGCCTCTTTTTTAAATTCCAAGGGCTTGTTAGAGGATTTTCTCTTGTATATAATAACTATCTATATGTTTATTCGATTAACGTAAACATAAATTCACTCTACATGATTTAATTCACTCGAAAATTATAAAATAAATAACGATTTTTTTTCATTTCTTTCTAGATTGTGTGATGAGTTGATTTTGAAATACTTAGAACCATTTTTTGTATTAAGGTGACGCAAATATCTATAAAATATATACAAAAATTTTGTTGAAACATTCCACACTGCTAAAGTTGTATTTTACATAATGCACCGTTTTATGAGTTCCGCCTCATTAAAAATAAATAATGGATATTTAATCTACTTTATAATTAAAAAAAAAAACGACCATATGGAATAAATCTCCATTATTATTAATTGCATGGTTATTTCGTAGAAATTAGCGTAGCATCAGCTGCATTTATGCGTATGTCGACTTATCTCACATCATAAACGGTTATTAAAACAACAAAATAATCGAAACGTAATCTCTCATTTTAGGAACCAAAAATCGATGGAAATAGACCTGCAGAAATGGTGGGGCAGACACCAACAGAATTGGAATCCGGTGGATCTGATAAAAAGCTAGAGAACAGTTTATCGGAGTACCTGCTGCTCTATCACAACTACGCCGCGGCGCCGGAAACCAGTGCACAAAAGCCGGTTGCGAACATCAAAAAATCGACGCCTGTTCCCATTCGACCTAAAATCGTCGTCGAGCCCGCGGAAAGCGCGGTCCCGGCGACGGGGGACGTTTCCGACGTTGTGACGATCGTCATCGACAACGAAGGAAACCCTGTTACTTTGAACGAGGCGGAGTCTGTGGGGGTGCCTTCGCCGATGTCCTCTACGAACGAGTCCGACAAAGGCTACGAATCTTTGGATTCCCCGCACAGTCTCGCCGATGAGGATCTCTGGGATCAAAGCATCACGGAGCTGTTTCCTTCATTGTATACAGTTTAGGTTTATAGGAATAGGTTTTGCTTAATTGTAAGATTAATTTATTTTTTTATGTAAATTGTCTATTTTGTATCTATAGTGTAGTGGTTAGCTTGTTGCGAATAAAGTTGTCGATGGAGCAGTTCGAACTGTGAAGTTTCATTACCTTTGTTAGAGCGCGACATGACTGTCACGTTCCGTCAATTTTTTTTATGCAAGCAATAATGACATGTTTTTTTACGTTTATTTTTTAAGCCTCTTACTAGCGCCGTGCGCGTGCGAATGGAAATTCAAAATCCAAGATTCCAACAAGCTCCTGTTGAAGTACTCCTTGGTATCGACCAAAATAACCGACGAAAATGACGAGAGCTTGGCCAAACAGTTGGAAAAAGGCGTAGAATTCGTCATTAAAATCAAACCAGAGCTCAAGTACACCTTGTTCATCAAACTGAAATCCTCTCCGGTACGTCCCCCGTAACTCTACAACCGAAATAAATCCCGAAATATCTTATAGTTAATCACGTCGAGGACCGAAGTGCTGATTTTCGAAACCGACATCCCCAACCAGAACCCGTTCGAGTACGACTTGGTCGAAGGGTACGTCACCAACGCGACCTACTCGAGCTTCGTCATCGGCTACACGGAGGACGTGTATTTCTACGGGAAGATCGTCGTCTACGACACCATCTACTACATAGAGAAGCTCGAGAACTACCCTCACATCAAGCACAAATGCAACACCACCAAAAACGGCATCCTCTTCAAGAGGACCTTCGAGCCCGAGGCCAGGTTCGACGTCAACGACAACACTCTCAAGCTCCAAATGCAGTTCTACAACACCTCCAAGATCTACAAACGAATGACCGCTTTGAGGGGGTGAATTTTATCGCTTAATTTCCACCATTTGTGTATAGGTGGTTGTATACAGGCCAGGCTTGGAGTATACAGCCAACTGAATTGGTGTATTTAGACACCAGGATTGGTGAACCTAGCTTGTTGTACAAGGGTAGGGTAATAAGTTCTCGGCCTGAATCATTTAGAACGCTCTAGAATCATTTAAAACGCTCCAGAATCAATTGGATTTGTTTAGAACCATTTAAAACTATCCATAATCATTTAAAACTGTTTAGAAGCATTTAGAACGCTCCAGAATCAATTTAATCTCTCTAGAACCATGTAGAACGCTCCAGAATTAATTTAAACTGCGTAGAATCATGTAGAACGCTTCAGAACCATTTGTAACGCTCTAAAAACATTTAGAACGCTCTAAAATCGTTTGGAACTGTCTAGAACGCCCCGGAATCAATTAGAATTGTCTAGAACTAAAGATTTCTAGACTTATTAAAGAGAATAATGTAATTTTTGAACTGAAAATCGAGGTCTTTCATTGATGGGCCAGGAACTTTTCACATTACCCTTGTATCCCACCCAACTAAATTGGTGCATACAGCCAATTGGATTGGTGTATGCAGCCACTTGGATTGGTGTATACAGCCAGGATTCCTATGCTCGCGCGATAACGTTTCACGTTCGGACCATTTCAGGAACATCTGCTCGCTGTTGGTGCTTCTGGACAATTCTTTTATCACTCGGGTGCACTTTGGGAAAGTGCACGCGGCTTTGAAGCAGGTGCTGCTGGCGATCGACGAGGCGAATTCGCTGTTCCGGTCGACGGACTTCGACGAAGACGGTTTCGCCGATAACATCGGCTTCACCATCAAGTATTTCATTTTGTTGAAGTCGTCGAACGAAAGCCGATGGGTGCCCAAATACACCGCCAAGCCGATAGACGGTAGTAATTTGATGAATATAATACAAACTAAGCTATTTAAGCGCCATTACAGGTCGATACTATATGAACAGATTTTCGAGATTCTACCTACTGGAAGACGTTTGCTTGGGGGTGGCGTTTACAGGGCAATCTTTCATAAGCGACATCGTGGGTATCAGTTACTCGGCCGTGCCCTCTGATGGAGTTTTCAAACAACCCTACGGCGGTATTTGCGACAGACCAATGTTGAATCCATACGGATTACCGCTCAACACATTGGCTGTATCAGCAAGAAGTACAGACGGTAATTAACCCTCACTGTATCAATCATTAAAATATTCAATTTATGCCGAGTATATCACAGGCAAATTCGTGCCGGAGTACGTGTTCGAACTGAGCCTATGCCACGAACTCGGCCACAGCTTCGGCTCGGACCACGACAAAGGCAAATGCGACGGTTACCTGATGACCTCTCACGCCCCGAAGAACCAAAACCGGAAGCACTTCCTGTTCTCCAAGTGCAGCACGTCGGCCATCATGCGAACCATCTCCAAGAAGGGCTATTGCTTCGAGATCGACGAGACCCCCTACTGCGGCAACGGTAAACACCGCGACCTAGGCGAGCGCCCAAAACATTCACCGGTTTTGCGCAGGTATCATCGAGGGCAAGGAGGAGTGCGACTGCGGCACGATCCGCGACTGCCTCGAGCTGGACAAGTGCTGCGTGCCGCGCGGCAGGAGCAACTCCTGCAAGATCAAGCGCGAGCTCGGCCACAAGTGCCATCCGGCGCAGGGCATCTGCTGCACCGACGAGTGCGAGTTCAGGAACTTGAAGCGATTCGACTTGGTATGCCAACAAACGACCGATTTCGTTCACCTAACGTCGATCCCGTAGGATTGCGCGAACTTCCAGAGGGGCTGCCCGTGCGCGGGCGCGAGCGCGCCGTGCAAGTGCGGCACGCGCGGCTACTGCAAGGGCGACGTGTGCGTCAGCGAGGAGTGCGCGCGAATCAACGCGGCCGAGTGCAATTGCCCCGAATCGGAGACGGCCGAGTGCTTCACCTGCTGCGAATCGCCGGCGTACGGCAACACCTGCTTGCAGGCGAACGAGCTGACGCAGGCGTTGCTGCACTTGCACCAGTTGAACATCAGCGCGCTGCGGACGTTTACGCAGAAGAAAAAGAGCAAAGGTTACGGGTACTCGGAGCACTATTGCGACGGCGAGGATTGCGTTTGGTTGAACTTCAGGAAGGTGAAGAAGACGGAGTATTGCCTGTCGTTCGGGCGGGTGGGGACTTGCCTGGATAACAACCACTGCGAAGTACCCACGACGAAAACTATAAAACTCAGACGGTACGATTCGTTGGACCACCAGCATAATTTCAGAAACAACGCTCTGAAAGCCGTTAACCATTTTAGCGTAATACTACTATTATTTCAGTTAATTCTATTATTGTGAATATAGAAAACCTACTCACTGCTTTTTTTGCTTGTTAAAAACTTTATTAAAATTTACACGTCCATCACCAATCACCTGGACTTAATCTGTATGTAAAATTATCACTTTTGATTATTTCTATGCGAGGCCCGTAATGGGGCATGACATAGTGAGATCCATCTTTGGGTGTTACTACTTGCATGGAGATGAGAATTACGTCGATGAGTTGGCCTAGGAACATGAAACCTAGGGTACAAAACTTCAGGAGCCCTATCGCTGGGTATCCTAAATAGAACCTATCTACACCGAACATGCCCAGGAATATTGATAATAAGAGAGTGGTTTCGAAGGAGTATCCGTTTCTGTAAATATAAAGTAAATAATTACTTGTTTTACAAGGTAGATTGTGCACTTACGTCCACTTACAAGGAGTGTCCTTGTAAAAAGTATTATTTCCAGTTTCGTTACAGATAAAACCTTCTACGGCGATACATCTGACTAAAATTAATACAGCTTATTTGTTTCGTTTTAGTAGGTAATTACAACTTACTTTTGGCTAAATTATCTTTGGTGCAACCTTTGATTTCTTGAGTTTTCTCATCGATCATGTCTCTTAAATAGTCTGGATCGGGGCACAGGTATTGCCCCATACGCAAATTGTTACAGTTTGTCATTATACCCGATTCATTTAAGCTTAAAACTAATGGAGCACTAAGAAGAAGGCAAAGTAAATCCGTCCACATTTTGTATACTTATGTTCACATTTTTTACACTAAAGTAATTAACAATTTGTTTATTTACTTGCTAATTTTGTGTAACATAACCACACTTTATGAACAACTGTCAAAGTCTAATGTAATGATTACATGAAAAATGTTAGATTTTCAAATAAAAAGAAGATCAAAGATTGACAGTTGACAGTGACAGTAACCAAACAAAACAATTTTAAATGGTCTTATAATTTGTACTGAATTAAATAAGTAAGATATTATTAAAAGCCGATGGATAATTAGTGAAAATAGTGAACACCATGAATACATTTCTGCCAATTTGCGTTTTTATTATTATGAACTATTACGTCACCAGGTAAAAATGTTTATAAATAAATTGAAAGATCAGCCAATCGACACAATTACCTAGTAAGTATATATTATTACATCAAGTTTTTATTGCTCGATCACATTCGCTACACTATAATAATATCTTCTATTTTTACAGCTCTAAAATGTCATTCATCACTTTATTTTTTAAAACGGAACTAACTTGTATACCAAACATACTCGCCAAATGGCTAGGAGATTACTACAACAACGCTCTATGCAACGGAGCCACCTGGGTGTTTCTATTATGGTGGATGTTACACATGGGCTTTAACAAATGCATCGCCGTAAGTGCCTTTTAAACAGCAAATTAAGTACTAGAACAAATTTGTTACTAGGCCTTGTTGAAACGGTTGTCGTTTAAACACCACGAGCGGGACAGATTAACGGAGGTTCTGTGGTACCTGGGCTTCTACGGTACCAGCGTCGTGTACTGCGGAGCGGCCCTATCCCGCAACGAAGTCGAATTGTTCAATTTCAAAAGAATGAACGTTCCCTCGAGCAGCGTGCTACCTACGCAAGTCGTGCTCGGCTACACTTTAATATCGATGTTCTACTTGCATTCGGCGCTTTGGGAGGGAATCACCAAAACGAGAATCGCCAATATGGCGTCGTATGTGTGCCTGTTTTTGTTTATGTTGTCTTCGTATATATTGAGGTAACAGTTTCGCTTGGATGTTATTTTTGCGCGGAGTTTAATCGAGGTTATTTGCAGGGTGGTGGAAATTTCTTTCACCCTCTCGGCTTTAATAAGTATCGCTTATGTATCGTCGCAAATTACGAAGGGATTGATCGTGGTGTTAGATCAGAAATCATTGTGCACGAAGATCGTTATATCCGCTTTGTTTGTCACAACATTCGCCTTACAGTAAGAATTTTTATTATTCTATTTATTAGTTTTACCTACAACATATTTCTCTACAGTTTGTCAGTCAATCTAGTCGTGATTCCGTTAACTTTCGTCATACCTTTGGGGTTGAAACTTATCTCGGATTACCCCAATATATTACTAGGTTTTTTATTCTGCAATTTAATCGCGTGGCTAGTAATAGAAATATACAATGGGGTAAGTTTTTCGGTTATCATCTAGAAAATCTAGTGAATATTCGTAAGTGTTTAGGTGTTGTTTAAATTTGTCAACCATTGGTTGTACCACCAGCAAGAGATTAAACGAAAGGATAGCATAAGTAGTACCGATGGCTTTGAACAATCCAGCAAAGGTCAGGGTTGTACGAGCAGTTTGGTAGAATGCTCGTTATTTCCGCCGAGAGATGATGTAGTATTCGAGATACAAAAGGCGAGAAGGGAAATAGAAGAAAGAAAAGCCAAGTATGTTCTATAAAAATGTTTATTTAGTGTCCTAAAATCGTTTATTTCAGGCAATTGGCTTTGAGGAAACCAAAGAATATGCTAGTACAAACTCTTAAATGTAAGTTATTTAATCCAATAACGTTGGGGTTTTGTATTAACCAGTAATTCCTCAGGTATGTTAACTATAAACAAGAAAATTAAACAGAGGCGTCAAAGATTGGAAAGTGAATCGGAAAGTTCTGAAAATACAGAAGAAACTCCACCGAACGACGAATCAGAACCCGAAACTACAGAAGTACCTCGCAATAAAGAATTAGATACCAAAGAATTAATCGACAAATTAGAACAAACGGCATCAGAAGAATGCGAATACGAACAGTAAAAGTGTATGATTAAATAAACGATCGATCACTGTTCAAACCCAAAATTTATTGTTCTTATTTGAAAACATACTTAATGCGAGACTGCTGGTAGGTTGCTCTCCACTTCGACATAGTCCGATCCCACTTCTTCGTAATCCTTCTCCAACGCCGCCAAATTTTCTCTCGCTTCGTTGAATTCACCTTCTTCCATACCCTCACCCACATACCTGCAAAAAATCACCACATACAACACACACAGACTCGCCACATAATCGTACTCACCAATGCACAAAGGCCCGTTTGGCGAACATCAAATCGAACTTCCTGTTCAGCTTCTTCCACGCCGATTGGATGGCCGTGGTGTTGGACAGCATGCAGCCGGCCCGTTGGATGCCCGCCAAATCGCCGCCCTTGATGACGGTGGGCGGCTGGAAGTTGATGCCCACCTTGAACCCGGTGGGGCACCAATCGACGAACCGGACGTCGCTCTTCGACTTCATCTGCGCGATGGCCTGGTTGATCTCCTTGGGCACCACGTCGCCGCGGTAGAGCAGACAGCAGGCCATGTACTTGCCCTCGCGCGGGTCGCACTTCACCATCATGTTGTGCGGATCGAACAGCTCGGAGGTGATCTCGCCCACCGACATCACCTCGTGGAAGGCCTTGTCTCTGGACATGATGGGCGCGAACGAGGCGAGGGGGAAGTGGATGCGCGGAAACGGCACCAGGTTGGTTTGGAATTCGTTCAAATCGACGTTCAGCACGCCTTGGAACCGCAGCGAGGCGGTGATGGAGGATATCACCTGGCTGATCAGCCTGTTTAGGTTGAGGTAGTCGGGTCGTTCGATGTTCAATTTGCGCCTGCAGATGTCGTAGATGGCTTCGTTGTCCACCATGAAGGCGCAGTCTGCTAGGTTTAGGGTCGCGTTGGTCGTTAGTATTGCATTGTAAGGTTCTACTACGGCTGTGCATACCTAGAAAAAAATGCACTATATAGTATAATGTATAGGGAAACGTGGAATTGGTTTACTTGGGGAGCAGGGTAGACGACGAATTCTAGTTTGCTCTTCTTTCCGAAATCTGCAGACAGTTTTTCCATCAACAGCGAGCTAAAGCCGGATCCAGTACCGCCTCCGAACGAGTGGAAGAAGAAGAATCCCTGCACGCTGTTGCAATTCTCCGCTATTTTATTCACGGTGTTCAGCACGCTCTCGAGCATATCTTTCCCCACGCTGTAGAAGCCTCTGGCGTAATTGTTGGCCGCGTCCTCTTTGCCGGAGATCAGCTGCGCGGGGTTGAACAGCTTCCTGAACCTTCCCGTTCGGACTTCGTCTGCGGGGAGTTTGGCGTTAGCTCGAAATGGACTTTCGCGGGCCGGCTCTTACCTATTACGCTGGGTTCCAGGTCGAAAATTAGGGCCCTGGGCACCACTTTGCCGCTTTCCACTTCGTTGAAGAAGGTGCCGAAGGCGTTCTCTGTCAGATAGTCGGGTATCGAGCCGTCGGCTTGGATGCCGTGCTCCAAACAGAACAATTCCCATGTAGAATTGCCTATTTGGACGCCGGCTTGGCCTACGTGAATCGAAATGCATTCTCTCTAAAATTGATCGGAATTTTTTGAACATCAAATACTATCAACGAGGAGCGTAATTGTATTTATTGGATTCGGTGGAATGTTTTATCTTACCATTGTGAAAGTGGAGTTAGTTTGGGTTTATCACTAGAATTTTGAGTTACTGGATGGTTGGATTTGACGAAAAATTTGAGCTCGAGACGAAACTTGAATGGTGAAAATTTTGTGTATGACAATTAAATTGGCATTGATGCGTTTCTTAGGCGACTTTGATTCGGGAGAATTTATCTTGTTACCTATTGGGCTTAGTACTTTCTTTGTATTCATTGACTTGGCTACAAAGATGAAACAAAAATTGATTATTCGATGTATTATATTTCTATATTTCTTCTAACTGCGAAGCAAAAACAAACTCAACTCAATCAACTATATTTATTATATTATTTAATAATATAAAATAGGTACATAATTTATTTACAGAACTTAATGATTAATAAAATTGTGGGTATGTAATAAATTTAAGCTACTTTACTCGAGTATATAGACAATTGCTTAATAAATGCATCAAGTTTTGTTCGAAACAGCTCTGATTGTATGGGTTGACCTAATTTGCAGAGCGGGTTCTTCACGACAAATTCTACATATACCTGGAACAATATGCATTAAAAATTAGAAGTAAAAAATGATTTGGTCTAATCTTACTTGACTGTACAACTGTTGCAATATTTCTCTGACTCCTAGTGAGTGAATATCGGTATTTAGAACGAACTTTAGCCCTGAAGGTGTTTCGAAAAAGTGCAAAGTGTATTTCGATGTTTTGTAAAATAGGAAACCTTCCTTAGGGTCCACAGGAGAAATTTTACTAACGAATGATTTAATTGAAAATAGCATTCCATACATGAGTTTTGCCTCCTATAAATTATCAAAAATAATACAAAAAAAAACTACAATTTTATGTACACCTCACCTCTTCGCTAGTCATTCCTGATTGCTTGATTCTGTTCCATTCTTGGTAGTAAAGTAATATTCCTGATTTATCAAATATATATAAATTGTATACAGTCATTTTATAAATTAAGTTTGATTTAAAAATTGTCCAAAATTTGTTTACCAAAAACTAACCTCAAATTTAACTGTCAATGTCATTACGTGACGTTATGAAACAATCAGACTACAACTAATAGTTATTCAACCACTTGAAAAAGAAAGAAGAATTTTGACATATACATAACCTAAAAAAGTGCATTTTTAATAAAACAATAATGGCTCTATATTTAAGACAATTATGTGCACAATTTAGAAACATACACGTTCAAACATCTAGTAAACTACTCAAGAACGTACCTACAGTATCTTTGCTTCCAACAGTCCAGTCACAATGTTACTCGAATACACCAACACCCTTCGAGGTAGTGGATGCAAATGCAGAAAAGAATGAAAGAAACGAAATTGTGAAGAAAGTAAACGATCTCGTGGCGAATAACGCTCACGGGAGACTCTTCGCAGTGGTGCATCTGGCTGGCAAGCAATTTAAGGTAACCGATGGTGATGTTATCATCATCGAAGGCTACTGGCCCCCGGACGTCGGAGATAAAATTACGTTAGACAAAGTAATGTTGGCGGGTTCGGCGGATTTCTCGTTGATCGGCCGGCCGATTTTAGAAAAGGGCCTGGTCAACGTGCAAGCCACAGTTATCGAGAAAACTATGTCGCACACGAAAACCCATTTCCGAAAGAAGCGGAGAAAGCAGTACATGAGGACCCACTTCTACAGGGTCCCTCAGACGTTCTTACGAATTAACGAAGTCAGCATTCAAGATGAAGTCGACAATCCCAAAGAAGTTAGAGGTTTAGAGACGGCTGTATTTTAGTTGTAATCCGTTTAGGTGTAAATAAAATCGCTAATGTTTAAACAAGTTTTTTTTTATAAAGAAGCCACTTTAAGCTGCTTATTATTGTGCCATTAAATATATAATTCATATAAAAAATACACAGACGAGTAAACTTAAATTAGTACAAAATAATAAACTTAATTTAGAGCTTAACCCAGTATTCAACGTGTGAGAAATAAGTTAAAACAAATTACACTAAATATGAAGAAAAAATCGTCACTGCACGTAGTTTTCAAAAAAGCATGTGGCCACATCTTCAAAATTCTCCTCCTGAATAGTTACTGTCGTATCGAATCACATTTAAGAAGGCTAATTAGAAACTAGAAAGTTTTTCGATGTATTGCTCTTTGTCCCTCTTCATCGAATTCCCTCTTCGACACCCACATCTTCTTGAAGGTATCCAAAGACGCTAAGATCGATCCGCCTATCCACGTCGAGTACAATCTCTCTTGAGGAGCGGAAATCTAAAAATCCGAAGCTAGTAAACCAGTTACTTTAATTTGCTTAAATTTAATTACTTTGATTTGCGTCTCTTTTGGCGACATTTTCTTGATCTCCGACAGCAATCTATCCCCGAAACCTTTGAACAGCGTCGATCCTCCGGACAGAACGATATTTTTAAATAGAACCTTCCTGAGATCCAAATCGGATTTTTGTATGGAGAACAACAGCACCTCGTGCATCCCCTCGCATTCCTCCCCAATCATGTCCGGCTTAAACAGAATTTCGGGAGCCCTAAATCTAGCCGGACCGACTTTTATAACGGTCCCGTCTGGAAGAGTGTAATTGATTTGTTCAGTTTCCACAGTCTCTTCTTTAACTGGGTTGTTCGAAAGATAGCACGCCTTCTCTTTAAGGGTCCTCACAGACTCGAATTCGGCCGTAGTACGGAACACGATTCCCTCTTTTCGCAACAGCAATCTAACGAAATATTACAAATTAATTCTTCACAAAACGAAATGAATTTATAAATACCTCAAGTATCTAGAGACATCTCTTCCGGCAATATCCGATCGCATAATACTATGGGGTAATGCGAAACCTTCATAGATAGGCACAGAATGAGTAACACCGTCTCCTGAGTCGAGGACTACTCCTGTAGTTCGACCAGTAGAATATCTAAAGCAATATTTGTGAACATTTCGTAATGTATGAGAAACGAAAAACTTACAAACTAAGTACCGCTTGCATTGAAATAAATAGAGCCGGTACGTTGAAACTCTCGAACATAATCTCGGCAGCCTTCTCTCTGTTTGGTCGGGGATTTAGTGGGGCTTCTGTGAGCAGTACGGGGTGTTCTTCGGGAAAGGTCGATAGCTGGTCTTTGCTGTATATATAACTCCAAATTTTTTCCATATCGTTCCAATCTGTCACTATGCCGTGTTCCATCGGATATTTGATTGATAACAATCCTCTGTGCTCCTCCGCTTTGGGTCCAATGAATAAATCCCCTTCTAAAGCACCTGCCATCACTCGTACATGTTTGGGTCTTCCAACACTGAGAAATTTATGCAGGTACATGTGATGTAATTAAATATTATCTACTTACTAGTTGGGAAATCTACATTTCGGTATTTGGCCACCAGCAAACCCAGCTTTTATCACTCCGGTCCCCTGAAAAAGAGCTGTGTTGAAATTGTACCAGCAAATTTAGGATTACTCACATTATCTATAACGACTGGTTGATTAACGATCACATCGTACACTTCCATTTTTCGTTAATAAACTACAATGTACTATTTAATTACAATAGAATAATCGTTAATTTTTAACAAATATTCATTACAAAATTCACTGAAAGCCGATGAATGATGTCATTTCATAAGTGTCAAATTTTGACGTTTAGTTGAATTGACGTTGTTGACAGGTGATTTTTTTGTTGTATAAGATTATACTTGTAGTCAGTTACTTTTAAAATGAATACTTTTGATTTATTTTCGCGTAACAAATTTGGTATACTTCACAATATTAAAGCGTGAATTTTGTTATGAAATTTCATGAATTATTTGATTCATTTGTTGTTTTCTTTTTGAATATAAATTGTGACTGTTGTAACATATAATTAGAGACCCTTCAAATTTAATTACATGTCAAAAAAGAAGAGGTAAAGGTGAAGGATGAAAAGGGGTGTTTATATTTTGGTTGAAATTTAAAGAATTATTTGAAAATGGAATTATCACCGCCTGTGAAGCCCCCCCGAGGGGTAAAACCAGTGAAAGAGACGGTATTTACAAACTATTCATTTACAATTAACAGTTTATCTGTAGGTAACCCCAATTTTTTTAGAGTGGTCTTTTAATGTCCGTTATTCGTTCGCTATCTGCAAGCGAAACCAACGAGCAAAGGGACAGGGAGAAAGCCAAATTGGAGGCCGATTACAAACTGTGCGACCAGAAGCTCGACGAACTCGTTTCAAAACACGAAAATGATCTAACGAAGGTAAAATTACATCCATTTCGAATTGTATTCTAACTTCTAACACAAAATTTCTACTAGGTAATGCAATTATTCGGCTCAATTTCACTCATCGTAACCACAAACAGAGAACGAATTAAAAGCGTGAAAGACAATCTTCTGGATTGCAAGAAGAAATTGGGGTGTAAAAGAGACGAACTTAAGAATTTGTGGCTGGAAGGTTTGGAGTACAAGCATATGTTACAATTGATCGAAGAAGTGTAAGTATTTATTTCTAGTGAGTATTGTACTTATACTTACTAGTGTACGCTTGTAGTCAAAAAATGAACGAAGTTCCTAATCAATTGTCCGTGTACATGGCTCGAAAACAGTATTTACACGCAACTAATTTACTAGTGGAGGCTGTAAATTTAGGTAAAGGAACGCTAGAAGGAGTAGAAAGCCTCAAAGAACTCGGTCAGGAATTAGAACAGAAGAAAGAGGTAATTTATACATTATTAATAAGGATTTATAAGTAATTATTTGTTGATACAGCAATTACATCTGCAACTCCTGTCGGAATTGAAGCAACATTTGTACGTAAAACCTTCGCAATACATTTTGGCCTTGAAAAGACAGGGATCCGGTCAGGATGGGTTTTTTAGAAGTTCGCCTCTGCAGAGAAGCATGGAACTGAGAAGATCGGGTCGAGGGAAATCTTCAATTTCCAAAAATCTCTTCAACTCTTCGAGGTAATAAATCGATAATTCACCACAATCAGTGTGATTAAGAAACTTTGTTTCATATATAGCAGCGGAAAAAGTTCCATATTTGGCGACGATTTTTGCGTCGAAGAGAAATTAGATGTTACGAATCCTGAAGAAAATCGCAGTAATTTCGTTGCCATATTAGTAAAAAGTTTATGCTTATTAGATAAGTTATCGTACGCTGTTAAAGTAAGTGTTTCGCATCGCGATTACAGTGCAATAATTGATGTTTCTTAGGAAGTAATGCAAGAAATGCAACTCTCGTTAGCCCAAATAATTGACAGAACGGCGAACAACATTAAAAATTTGGTAGAAATAAGCGATCAAAAGTTGATATTGAAGGAATTGGTGCACATTTTGTTTGATCAGTACAAGGAAATATCCGATTCGCATTACGTGTTTATGATGTGCGTAGAACAAGCCAAAAAAGCCCATAAAATCGAAGTAGAATTGTACGACACGCAATATTTTTGGTCGCAAGTTCAAACTGTGGTATGTTTCTGTAAGACTATCGATGATACCCGATTAAAATTTCGTTGTAATTTCAGTTGAAATCGTTTTTAACTGAATATTTAGACATTCAGTACATGTCGAGCGATATGCAGCTTAGTGATATTAACAAAGTCAACGATATTTCATCTTATTTTTCGAGACGAAAACAATCCACGTAAGTACAATAAATTCGTTGTGTTTTACAGGATTATTAACGATTTAAATTTGCAGGAAGAAAAACGTTTTGTTCAAGTTCGAAGGTTCATCCAGTGCTTTAAGTTTAAGTAATACTTTAAAATCCGTACAAAAGAAGAAGGTGTTCGTGTGCCCCCCGCATCCGAACAACATTCTAATCGTTTTCGTTCCGTTCGTCTGCTTTTTGGACGATTTAGATCAATCCGTGGGAGTTAAAAAGCAAGGAAATTGTAATTTGCACCAGTTCCTGACGGATTACGTTTCGAACGTGTACCTAAAGCGAAAATCCACCGAAATTTTAGACCAAATCGAATCGGCTATAAGAATGTCGGATGCTTGGAAAGCGACCGTTTTACTAGATCTAACATCGGATTACAAACCTTTATTAGTCGTAAGTAACCCACCGTTACTACAATAATTTATAATACAAATAATCGTTTACAGAGTACAGTAACGGTGGAAAGATGCATCAGAGAATGGAAGGCGGTGCTGAAAGCCCTGCCGTTGTACAGCGAAAAAATCGCCGAGTACTCCTACAAATCCCTCAAAGAGTACAAGGAAACCTGTGATACGGCCTACCGAAGGATCGTCCAACCCCAAACCGACGACGGCCGGAAGATATGCAGCGCCGCCTGGCTCAAAGACGACGACATCAGCAGGTTTCTAAAGTAAATTCCCCCCGCGCGCTCTGATCTCTACCGCTCTATTAACCGATCGCCCCAATGTACCCAGGTCCCTGCCCAATTGGCTGAACCTCAAGGCGCAGCAGGAGCACCGGGCGCGCGGCGAGCGCAACAAGAAGCTGCTGAAGCGCGAACACCCCTCCGAAGAGGAGAGCCCCGAGGACGTGCGCATGCGCAACCGCAGGGAGGCCGAAATGCTGGCTAGCAACCTCGGCGAAGGAGGCGTCGCCGCGGGGGAGTTCATATCCGACATGAACTCGTTGAAGGAGCTCGCCCAATTGCAGGAGAGCATGGTATATCTTCTTCTTTTCTAATAAATCGGTCTCTACTACCCGAGCTATTCGGTTAGTATCGGTGTGTTGTTTCGCAGGAATGGTTTTCGGTTCGGATGTTCCAATATACGAGCGAGTTCAGGCAAGAGCCGTCCGGTCTGTCGCCGCCGCAACAAACTAAAGACAATAACAATCACGTCGAGCAGCCGCTGTCGGTGTCGGCGTCGACGTTGCAGCATCTCACGAGCATCGCGCAGGAATTCGACGAATTAGCCAACACGTGCCTTTTGCTGTTGCATTTGGAGGTGCGCGTGCAGTGTTTCTACTACCTGCTGGCGCAGACGCACTACAACAAGGAGACGCACGAGCCCGATCCCAAGGTGCTCGAGCTCAGCCGGGTGCTGGCCAACGTGGACGAGGCCATGGCGAATAGCCTGCATCCCAGGAAATGCAAGGTAATGTTATCAATGGATCCATTATAAAAGACGCAGGGTAGGGTAAGGTAGGAGAGGGTAGAGATGAGTAGAATAAGCTACAAAGGGGTATGTATAGGATAGGAGGAGGTTGGAAGGGTAGGGTAGAAGACGGTACGAGGATAAGGTGAAAAGTTATCGGTCCGAAAGTGAAAGCCAGCGATATTCAGGTTATAGACAGTTCTAAACGATTCTTTAACGTTCTAAGAGGTTCAAGAAAGGTCTAAATGATTCAAGCCGAGAACCTTTTACCGTACCCTCGTATGTACGAGTAGAGAAGGGTAGAAAAGGGGTAGGTAGGGGTAGATTAATGTGCGATTAATTGTATACTTTTTGCAGTATATATTCGAAGGATTGGGTCATCTAATAGCGAAAATACTCATAAGTTCCGCCCAATACATGAACGTTATAGACGAAGGAGGTATCCAAAGAATGTGCAGGAATATATTTACTCTGCAACAAACCCTGACTAACATCACCATGACGAGGGAATTGGCTTTGGATCACGCCCGGCATTACTTCGAATTGTTCTTTTTAACACCCGAGGTATACTTGTTATCTATTGTTGTGTTGTGCATGTTAAGAATGTTCCTGTTTTTAGGAAATTTTGAACGGTATAGTGGATAAGGGACCGGAGTTTTCCGAGCTGGAATACATGAACGCGTTCCAGCTATTGAACCGGAGCAAATCGGATAGAGAATTGGGCTCGGTGACGATCCATCTGGAACGCTTGACGGAAATCCTCGGGGAGGTCGGCATAACGGTGTGAATGGAATATTAATTTATTTAATTTATAACTGCAGATAATATAAATCACGTTAAGATGTTCAAAAAGAAGAAGCGTTTCTATTAAAAAGTAATTATTTATGTATAAAAAAAGCGAGTTTCTGTGGTTTAGAGTTCGTCTTTGGCGTCTTGCGGCTCCAGATTGTGGTTTTCTTTTAGAGGTAAAGCGTGCCAGAAATCGGCGTTGCCCAAATGGCTGGTTTTCTCCTCTTTGTGGAGCTTGTAAGGGCTGTCTATGCGAAGCTGCACCCACGGGTCGCTTTGTTTTTTGGACTGCGGCACCCACTCATCGGTTACATTAGGTTTCCTGGAAGGAAATTAATTTCTATTAGACCAGAAAATTTGCGATTTGTTTATCGGAGTTACCCTGTTTTCATAAACGATACAAACATGTCTACCATCAGCTTGCTCATCGCCCTGTCGTCTTTGGTAGACAAAACGTCCAATGTTTTGAATACGTAACTAGTATCGTCCCCGTGAGAAACCCCTGTAAAGCAACAATTGTACACGAAACTTCATACTGTATGGGAATTCTACATACCTATGTTTTCTGTTGACAATATCCTAGCTTCAGTTTTACTATGGGCGCCTCTGTAATTAAAAAAATAGCTGTACACCGGCGATTTTATGGCGCTGGCGTGTAAACGAGTGGCTGCTACGATATCGGCGATGAATAACCTATCGCTTAGAATCTAAAATATAATTTTAAAATTATTTTATAACATAAATTCGATAAGTGGACTTACTTCAACGAATTGTGGGAAGGTTTGTTTGGACACAGGTTTGTTTTGTAAATATTCTGTTCGAATTCTCGCACTAACATCATCGAGATCCGCGGCAACTTCATTGTAGTGTAATATGTAAGGCATCACTTCGTTCCAGCGCTGGTCGATGTGCTCCAGATAATCCTCGAAATAGAAATCTGGAAAAGGTACTTTTGATTCTGGATGAATCGGTGGATAAATTCACAAATACCAGCAGCTGGGTATAAACCTTCCGATGATGTAAAGGATGTTATCCACGGCAAATCTTGCACCAGGCCTTTTTTGAGCAGCTGGTAAGGGTGTTCGGGGAATACGGGGTTTTTCGCCCATTTATCCACCACTAATCCGAAGGGTGAGAACGGATTGTACAACCACACCTAAAATTATTACACTACATTTTTATTAAAATATTAATTGGTATATACTTGTAAGTTTTTGACGGCGTATGCTATTTGCCTAGCAGGTTTGGACTTCAGGCACTTCATCATGTCCTTTTTAACATCTATAGGACAACCCACAGAGGTGGCTATAGTTTGGGTTTTATTGAGCGGGTTCTCCATGAATACCCACGCGTTGGTGACCACCCCGCTTTGAGATATCGCCTTCGAAAACAAACCTACAAAAGAATTCTAATTATACACAATTACTCATCTACTTGATACAATACCTTTCGATCTGGGAGATATTAAATGCGTGTGTACGCTAGCTCCTCCTGCGGACATTCCTGATATAGTAATAGACTCCGGGTTTCCCCCGAAACTCTCCACGTTATCCTTGATCCACTTCAAGGCTAGCATCTGGTCCTTTATGCCGTTGTTTCCTGGTACATACTGGTCCTCGGTACTCAAGAATCCTTAATATATTTATTTAGTGCATTGTGAAAAAATCGAGTTAGGTAGAGGCTTACCTAACGGTCCTAGCCTGTAGTTTAAATTTACAAAAACTACGTTCCTATCTAGTACAATATCTGGAAGAGTTTGCCCGCCGTGATTGAACATAAAAGCGCCACCGTGAATGTACACTAGCACGTCTAATTTAGCTTTAGTGTCTACCGTGGGGGTGTAAACGTTAACGTACAAGCAATCTTCATCCCCTATAATACGCGAGTTTTAATTTAAATAGAGATTAGTAGTGTTACTGAATAGGTTTACCTAGTACTTTTTCGGGACCTTCAGGACTGTAGTGGTTGTACTGCATGCATTTGAAAATCGTGTTGGCTTTCCATACTCCTTTCCAAGGTTTAGGCGGTACCGATTCCTGCAAAATGCGGCTAAAGGGATAGATGTTGTAGGGTTAAAAGGGCACTTACCTCGAATCTTAAGTCGCCGACTGGGGGCCTGGCGTACGGAATGCCCTCGAATTTGAAAATTTCCTGCCCGTTTTCCGTTTTTCCTATAAAACCTTCCACGGTTCCCGAGGGTAATGTAACCGTCGGAGGGGCATTACAAATTACAACTAAAACATTACTACATTAGTAGTAATTGAATTTTAACCGGTTTTTTGTATAATACGTACCGTTTAAAAAATACAATACAAGTAAATAGCGGAGCATTATTATTTGTAGTACTGCGCCTTCTAGTAACTTTGGTTAAAATGGAATAAAACTGTAGGTTATAAATAGATTAAAAATATATACAACGGTGATATCAGGTTGACTCGGTTCGACCTTGGTGATAGGAGTAAATAAACTTTAAATTATTCAAAGAAACTCATCGACCTTAATAATTATCTAGTACTTATCTACAAAAAAATAAAACACCAATTGTCTATAAAAAATTTCTTATTTTCCATACAATAATCTAACGTGACCCAGCTGTACACAGAAATTTAAAAACAGATTAATCTCTAGTAATAGTTGTAATAATAATAGTCATAATTTAATAGTATCAATAATTTGTTAAAGTCTCTTTTTATTTTCAATATCAAAACACTGAATATACTCTGTACTCTCAAAGAGTATTAAGCAAATGCTAGCACCAATCATCTTCATCGGATTCAGAGTGTCCAGAACCGGTCGGCTTCGGTTTGTACCTGCGAAATAACACCGCGAGATTACTACAAAAAAAAAGTACCTAAAAAATAATCACGGGGCACTCACCCGTTGGGCACGGGACTGGGCAACACCCTGCCGCCCCTGCCCATCGCCACCGCCTGCTCGAAGCTCAACGGCGTCTGACTCGCGTCCCTGCCGCCCGGATTCGCGGCCACGTTGCCGACGTTCACGTTCTCCGGCGGAGAAATTTCCCTGAGAAGTTCTCGGTCGAGCGGAAACGTGTGCGGGTGATTGTGTGGAGTTGCGTGCGCCGAATGAGATTGAAAATGTTGCTGCAAACACCAACCCCGATCAGATAACTACAGTTTAATTCGGGCGACCCTAACTTACTGACTATATTCAATGGACAATGTGTCTTTAATGGGCAAATGTACCATTAATGGACAATGTATCTTTGTATTTTTAATAGCAGAGACTTGAAAATAGAAATTAGAGAGTAAAGTGTACGAGAGAACAGAGAACATAGTGTAGAGAGTAGAGTAGAGTGTAGAGAGAGTGTAGAAAGTAGAGTGTAGAGAGTATGGTGTAGCGAGCAGAGTGTAAAGAGCAGAGAACAGAGTGCAGAGAGTAAAGTGTGGAGAGTAGAGAGCAGAGTATAAACAGCAGAGAACAGAGTGTAGGGAGTAGAGGGTAAATACCAGGGTGTAGAGAGTATAGTGAAAAGTGTAGATGGTCGAAGGTAGAGAGTTGAGCGTGGATAGTAGATAGTAAAGTGTACAAAAGAGAGAGCAGAGAACAGAGTGTAGAGAGTAGAGTATAGAGAGACTGTATAAAGTAAAGTGTAGAGAGTATGGTGTAGCGAGTAGAGTGTAAAGAGCAGAGAACAGAGTGCAAAGAGTAATGTGTAGAGAGTAGAGTGTAGACAGCAAAATGTAGAGCGTAGAATGTAGAAAGTAATGGGTAGAATTTAGAGAGTAGAGCGTAGAGTGTAGAGAGTAGACACAATGTATCATTGATGGGCAAATCTACCTTTAATGGACAATGTATCTATGTATCTTTAATAGACAATGTACCTTTAATGGACAATGTTTCTTTGTATCTTTAATAGAGAATGTATCTATGTGTCTTTAATAAGCAAAGAATCTATGTATCTTGAATGGACAATGTATCTTTACATCTTTATATGGTTTACAAAGCATAACCCGCCAGAAACCAGTGGAAATACCCTTCTTAAGATATGTCTATCGAGCCACTGGACATCTAGAGTATATAAAATCAGCGGTGGAGGTACTTACGTGTGTGGGTGATGCGTTCAGTTTGGGAAAATTGATGGATCCCGGGCGCAGCTGGAGCGTCGACGGCTTGCACGGCGTCGGCGGCAGCCTCCTGCCCTGGCCCTTTCGTCCGCCCAACATCGGATGGCTGTGCTGCACGTTGCCCTGATGGGCCGCCGATTTTTGCATCGGAATACCTACCACAGCACCAGCTGTAAAATACCAATCAAAGATACCGTTTTTTACTAAAAAAAATCGATCTGTGTTTGGTACGTTTCTGGCAACACCTATGAAACAGTAAGTCGATCGAAACAGTGCGCACGATCAAGCACATATCTTCAACAATGCTTCGATTCTATTGTGATATCGTCAAAAAAAAATTTACTCGGAACGGATTGGACGGACCAGTCGAATGAAACATCATCGAAGATTGGAAATAATAAAACAAACAGCACAAACAACAACAGAATTGCTATGGTTTTTTTTTTTGGTTTGTTAATCTCACCGATAAACGGAGGACCTTGATGATGCGGCAGCGACGAATTCGTCGGGCTGGGGGAGCGCGACCTCTGGCACAGACTCGTCGTGCCGTAGTCCGCTTTCTTGGAGAAATTAAAACCGCCGAATCTCGAGTTATGGGGGCGCGAGCCGGTCGGAGACGGCGATCTGGTGGGGCTCGTCGACGCCGACCAAGAACCTAACACAAAACGGAAAACCATCACCAGAAAGATCCACGAGCGACAAACATCACGAAAACAATGAACTACATAGATGATGATGCCTCGAACGAAACTAATCACAGAACGCTACGAAAACTCGAAGTTACTGATAGATGATGGTAAAATAAACACACTCTCACGCTTTTTATACTAACTATTATAACCTCGAAAAGAAGACTATATCTCACCTCTCGGAAAGCGGTGCCGCTGCGAGGCCCTCTGGTGCTCGTGCTTCACGATCTCCACCACGTTCGACACCGTGTCCGAGAAGCCGATGTCGTGGTGCAGGTGATGCGGGTGTCTCCTGCGCGGCGACGGGCTCCTTTGGAACGACGGAGAATTTTGCCTAAAAACCAAAATATTCTCAAGCCCCCACACATAAGAGAGATATGCTTCCGAAGTTCTGGGAACTGTGCAGACAGCAGAAAACAGAGAATAGAGTGTAAGATGTAGAGTTTAGAGAGTATAGCGTGGATAGTAGTGTAGAGGGTAGAATGTAAAGTGCAGAGCAAATATAGTAGAGTGTAGAGAGTAAAGTGTAGACAGTAGAGTGTAGAGAAGAGATCAGAGAACATAGTGTAGAGAGCAAAGAACATAGCGTAGAGAGCAGACAACAGACTATGGAGAGCAGAGAATATAGTTTAGATAGTAGAGTGTAGAGAGCAGAAAACATAGTGTAGAGAGCAAAGAACAGAGTGTAGAGGGTTATGTGTAGAGTGTAGAGAGCAGAAAACAGACTATAGAGAGCAGAGAATAGAGTTTAGAGAGTAAAGTTTAGATAGTAGAGTGTAGAGAGCAGAAAACATAGTGTAGAGAGCAAAGAACAGAGTGTAGAGAGTAGAGTATAGACCGCAATGTAGAATTTAGAGAGTTGAGCGTAGATAGTAGAGTGTAGAGAGTAGATTATAGAGTGTTGATAGTTGCACAATTCCCAGAACTTTCGAAAAACCACATCGTTTTTGGATTGCCGAGAGAGTTACCGATGGTGGCTGGGGCTCCTGCGGTGGTTGACGAAGCTGCCGGGCCGCAGGAGGGCCTGGTCGCCGGTGCTGTCGCAGGAGGGTCGGCGCGACCGGATGATGTCCTGGAAGTCCAGGGCCTGTCGAACGTGGAAAATAATTATCGAATTAGAAAGGGGGTTGACGGGAGGCGAGAGCGGTGCGGAGAAGGAAGAAGTCGAAAGAAACGAACGTGGTGTATAATTAGGAAAAAAGTACCAGTTAAAAAAATTGGTTCCCATTTATAGAACGAGTCCTGTATAATTATCATGTAGCATGTAGCCTAAGAGCATGCAAAAAGTTGAGTAAGTATAATATGGAATTAAGTAGCATGCAATAAAATGGTTCTGGTTTATGGTAAAATGCAAAGATTCTAACGGTAAACATCGAACAAATTTAATCTACTTTTGGTTTTTAGATTTTAATCGTAAATGATTAATTTATTATTTTTTAATGCGAAGTTAAGAGTGATATGTAAATCGTGTAGGTATTGTTAAAATGGATTTATTGAAAGCTTCTCTGTTAATTTCGATTGATTGCAAAAGTACTAAAAATTACAAAGAGAAGTAGCCAATAAATCACCCAATTATATACAAATTCTACTCATAAGTAATTGTATGATACTACTACATACAAGTATTAATAAAGACGCCACAGGAACACAAAACTACATAGAAGACTGTTAACTGTTTGCGATTATATTCGTGTTATTGTCATGCCTTTTCATAGATCTTTTCTTTTTTATTCGACTAACAACTATTCGTGAATTTATTGCCTTTGTTCTTTGACATGCGAATCAAAATCGCGATTCAACGAAAACCCTAAAGGGAGTTCATTGAATCGAGATGAAACACTCGAAAAACTTCGATAAATATACGTGATAGATAGGTAAAAAGAACGTATCTGAATTAAATCTATTAAACGGACTATTCTACTATTTGTACCTTAAGGACGTTTTCTAAACACTATTATTTTATCGAGATTATATCTCCATCTGGAAACGAATATTGAAAAAAAAACTGTTATCACCTAACTATATATAAAAAGGTTCTAGGTAATATTCCTGTACTAACTATTCTAATACAATTATATACCACCTAATCAGAGGGTCTCTTCACCTTTTTGTTCCTGAAACAACGGAAATTCGCAATTAATTACTTACCTATACAGATAATTGCAAATTTGTGCGCAATATGAGTGCAACAAAGACATTAAGAATGCTTACCTAATCGATCGATTCCTTTTGGTGTTTCTTCTGGCTAAAGTGACAAGCGAACTGTCTTCGGGTAAATTGAGATGGGTGTCAGAGTGGTCTTGCGCCCCCATAAGGGGCGCTCCTTCGAGGCTAAAAGAGCCGGCCCTGCTGCCTCCGAGATGACCGGCCATATCCATCAAGCAGTCGAAAAATGATGCTTTCTGTTTTGTACAAACAACTTTTAACTTAAAAAAATGGCACTGTTACGACAGCATTAGATCCTCGTAAAAAATGTTTTGTTTAAAAATTACGGTCGGTTAATTAACTCAATTAACACGGAAATTCGACGGCTAGCGCTCTAAGTTTTTGTATGTAGCTGAGAAATATCGATTTTTCATACCTAAATTTACCTTAGAAGTAATTAATTCATGCACTATATGAGTCGATGAAATTGCGTTGAAACGGTTTCTTAAATGCAACAGTTTCAACTTTCTATTATAAGTGTATTTACATGGTTTAATTCCGATAATAATTACCAAATATTCCAAGTAGGTACTCTTATTACTCGATTTTTTTTAGGTAACTGGAAAGGTGAGTACCTAGTTGATGAAAAATAAAAATTTTCGATAATGTCGCACTCAATAATCCTATCCTCTGAGGTTTCCATTATCCATATATTACTCTACGAACTTCAACAAATAAGTCGATGAGACCTCAAATTCGCTTGAAAATAAAAAGTTAAAGAAAAATTCACGCAGGAATTGGAAACATGTAGTGTATGGGGTGTTGTTGTTGTTATAACAATTTAGTTTGATTTTATTATACACATGTATATACATTTTTGATTAGGTTACTTTATAAAGCATGCTAGAAAAAGACAATTAAAAAATAACTAGTTTATGAACTGATGTTCATTCAAATACGAAAGAACTGTAAATGCTCCATGCCAACAATGTACTCGTAAACATGAAAAAACTAGTAAATTAGACGGCACATTATAAATACCGCATGCACAAATATCAAAACTGAAGCGACAGAATTGTAGAGAAAAGTTTGTAGAAATCTTTATCAAAAAACTAGTGCAGTTTGTTCGAAATATTTTTAGAAACTAATCTATAAACTCATGGCCTAGGTATCGTCGATGAACGGCTTTTCTGAATTTACTGAAAAATATTGAACAATAAAGGAATAATAAGGTATAATAGGATGGTAGAAGTTGTGGTATATTAAATTTTCTTTTAGGTACAAATTAAAATAATTTTCAAAAAATTCAGAAATATCCACGACAATGTATGCTGCTGCTAGATACCTAATTTAAATAAAAACGAATACCAATACGCTATTCGATCTATCATCTACTTTGCAGGACTGTACTATGAATGAGTTAAATCACCGATATTAGGAAAAAATGCAGTAAAAATATTTCAAGTGATCATAAGAAAAAGTACAAAATTAATAAATAAATGCGAAAATGATATACTACCGCGGTATTGGCCGAAGGACTGTTTCCAAATCCCTGAAAACAATTATATAAAATTTTATATTAACTACTAATCGTCTTTTTGTATACACAATTTTTTGTTTTGTCTTCTACTTATTTGCTGTGTGATTACGTTGATATTATTTTGTTCCTAAAGCTGTGATGGATAATTCACGTCAAACGGTTTCCACATCCTTTTTCCATGTATCTTTTCCCCTTTGAACTTGAAAATCTATGTAGAGTAATGTAGAGCAGTGAGTGGTACCTATTGTATAGTATAGGACAGAGTATAGGTTGGACTCGAATAGAGTAGGATTGGAGTAGGGGTAGAGTAGAGCAAGGATGGAGATGAATAGGCGTAGAGTAGGGGGAGAGTAGAGTAAGCGTAGAGTAGAGTAGAGTAGAGTAGCGGTAGGGTAGGTTAGAGTAGAGTGTAAGTAGAAATGGGACCATGGAAACTCGTTTGGTTGATCTCCAATTAGATAAAATCAGTGTGGCTGACAGATACCCGACAACTCAGAACACGTGTGGAATGACATGTACTAGAAAAACTGTTATACTGTATCTACTGCGCAACCTCAGTGTAGGTTAAAGTGTTCAAGTTTAGTGTAAGTACAGCTACAACATAAACTAATGTAACATCAATAATGATCTATACGGAGAGGTCGTTACGGAAAAAAAGTTTAGTTTCGCTTTCTTGCGCTTGGCAAATTCTCTTTGCGTACAAGAAAATGAAAGAAAACCGGCGCACGATTAGTTTTTGCTACAAAAATCAAAATTAAATCATTACCCAGATTAACATCGACTAGATAACATAAGAAACATCAAACATTCATCCGACAAATCGTGACAACGAATATACAATGTTAGTGTAAATATCTATCAAATGCTCAGTGTAAAGTCGACATATTTTCACCAAAAAAACAAAAAAAAATCGTACGATAAAAGAATATACTACATAACAAGTATATCAAAGTCAGCTACACTCGGCTACCAACCATACCATCACAAATTCCCCAACTGTCAATGCGATTTATATTAGATGAATTAGTGGAAAAGCATTTTAATGGTTGGCATCACTTCAAACTCAATTAAATTTAAATTCTTTCATCGTACGTGTTCAAAATCAACAATCCCCATCTTCTACATCTCGAACGACATTTAAATTAAAATAAATATCTAATATTAACTTAAACCGAAGCGTTAGAAACAAAGTCTTCCTTACCGGAATACCGGTGGGCTCCACCTGCCCGAACCTGGTGCTCCTCCAGCTCTCCAATATCAACAAGCCCGCGTAAATTTTACCGACCGTCATCTTGCCGGTGTTCACCTGGTTACCGGGCGGCACCAGCAGATCCACCATGTTCTTCGCCTGGATCGGCCAGATGTTTTTGATTGTCTCTTTTAATTCATCGTCCGCCTGATCCATTTCGTCCGCTGAAAACCCGCCAATCGATTATATTTCATTACCAACTTTTCGATTATTTGAATGAAAAGTGACAGTTTGCGCAACACTCGTTAGTAATTTTGTGATTAATCGAATGAAAATGACAGTTTCAGCACGAACTCGATTATTTAGTTACTAACTTATCGATTAATAGAATAAGAAATGACAGTTTAAATTTGAACAAAATTCGACGCGGCGGCCATGTTTGTTTCAAAGGCGACCGGATTTCGATGTTTTTACCTGTTCGCATTTTGATGTTCAGGTTTTCCCTCACCAAAGCGAAGAAAGTGGTGGTGAATTGGACTTTCCCCTCTTCATCTACTGGCATGTTCATTCTAATCAGTTTTTTGTACGCTAATCTATTAGGGCACTTGTTTCCGAAACCCAACGGCGGATCCATGTTCTTCAACATGTCGTACATTTCCGTGTAATGGATTTTCCCGCTGGAAATTTAAAAGGGAAATGATTGGTATTTGTTGATGGTGGAAGACTTACGTAGCGTTCGGATCGTATTCCGCCCAAATTCGGACGAACTCGTCCAAATGATGAGCACCTAGTATGGAAGGATCTCGTGTTAAGTAATCAAAATTGTCCATAATAACGGCTACGAACAAGTTCAACATCTGCGAAATAATTTACGCGTTAAAAAACCAACTACTTTTTGATTACAGAGACTTACTAAAAACGAACAGAAGAATATAAAAGACACAAAGTAGGCGTAGGCTATGTTGTGTCCGCATTGAATCCCGGTTTTCCCCGAATTCGAATCGCAATGCCGGCCTTTTATGCACGACAGCATTATGCTGGGCCAGTTTTCACCTGTGGCACATCTACAAACCAACAACAGTAATAACAACAAATCAAAATATTGCACCATATTTACCTGAATAAGAGCATTAATCCTTGTATGAAATTACGAAAATTGTTATGCCTATTGATAGAAGTGTCCGGTGAAATTTCGATATTTCCAAAAACCTGCAACACAACATCACCATGTACTTCCCCACAAACCAGTCGTTGTTGCTCCTCTTTCTTTTAATGGCCTTTTACTTGACGCACAACGAACTACCATCGAAGAAGATACTTACTTGCATACCAATAATGGCGTAGATGAAGAAGAGCATGGCGATGAGACCGCAAACGTAGGGCAGCGCTTTGAAGCTCTGCACGAACGTCCACAGCAGGATCCTGATCGTGTAGCCCTGTCGCAGGAGTTTGATCAATCTGGCGGCTCGGAACAGCCTCAAAAAGCCGACGTTTATGAAGTTTTCCTACAAAATAAAACCGTCGAGTTCCACCAGAGGAATCCGGAAGGATTTTCTTACGAACGTAACAAAATCCTCTAAAACATTTTGCTCTATACGTATTTAAAATCCAACAGCGACTAACTATTTGTTAAACATCGAACTACATACTGTTAATAAACTTTTTTTTCAATAGGATACTTGAACAAATACAGTTTATTGTACACCTTTGAATCGACCGAAAAAATCACGTTATAAACTGTACCTAATCAAGCAAAATTATATACAAAATAATAATGTATTTAGTGTGTGTTCTTGGTGTAGTGTACGTGTCACTTGGTGAGAGTACTTACCAAAAACCCACTCTTTCTGAATACCTATCATGCAAAAACACCGGGCCAACTACTTCGATAATCCTTCAACTTCTCAACTACCATTCTAGGATTAAGAAAATTTAATTCATGTCCTTCGTAAATGCGCGAGCGAGAGGCGGTTTCGGTGCGATGCCGGAGAGGAATTGAATTAATCGAAGATGCTAAAGCCGATTCGCAACGATCGAAGCTTGCCGATTGGAGAATACATTTTACAGGCGATGCGGCAATTAAGCGATCAATAATCATGCTGCAAGGATCAATCGAAAATGCGCGAGTAATCCTTGTACAATCGCCAAGGGCTCGTTAAACTTGGATTAAAGCCACAATATGATGATGGTTGTCTCTCGACTGCATCGCACTGTTTTCATCACTTGAGTAAATGATGATAGACTCGCTGATGATGATAGCGCAATTGAATTCTAATGCGCCTCTCGCTGTTGCGATTAGATGTAAATTAAATTGACTTGAAACTGGTAAAACTTAAGTACCTGCATCCACTTTCCAATGGTGGCAGGTATATCTAGGTCTGTTATCTACAAAAATCGGTGCATGATTAAAATTGTGCTGTTAAATTCTATGGAATATACTGGCTAAAGGCATGCTTCAACTAACCTTTCGCATTTTTTTTTGTAATTATTTGCCTATATACTTTATGTATCTTCTGAGTTCTAGCGCTAGATTAGAGGTGTATACGTTTAACTAAATCGGATATTTAATACAAATGTGTGATTAAATGAATTTTTATTAAACTATGTTTTGCACTAATTGCCCAGCTTTTAGTTTATTTTTCTGGTATAAATTTATGTAAAGTAGTATTATAAAAGCTGAGAATTGTGAACGATGTTGTTCATCTCAATACGTAATTGAACCTACACATTCTATGGGCATTTTTCGGTATTTAATCGAGCTATCCAGTAATATATTTATAAATAAGAGAGTTTTTAAGACGTGTCCTTACCCTTTCTTTGGCCATCTGTGCAGCGCGTTCCTTGAATAAAACAACATTTTAATGAAAAGATTCGTAAAAGAAAAAAGAATAATAGTGCACAAGTCCAATATGCTCGTGTGCCCAATTCGTGCAATATTTTGCGAATGCAAATAGTTAAATTCAATTTCCTGTACCTTCCAAATGAGACGCCGATAAATCTGTGTAAAATTGTGTTAGAAGTGGTAAAATGTTCTCTCACATTATTCAGTATTTTAAAAGAAAAATAAACTCGACCGATCGCCCTGCTAAAAGATACTCACCCCGAATTCCACCACCATGGCGTCCACGATACTACCGATAACCGTTACGAAGTCGAACGTGTTCCACGGATCTTTGAAGAAATTCTGCACGGAAATTCAAAAATATCAATCCACATATTGTACAGGGTGCCTTCTATTGAATCGCAGTAGGTATTCAATATGGGACAACCTGTATGTATGAATTATCGGATGTTATTAACAGGTGGTATTCACTGAACTGTTTGCAATCTATGTGAAAAATTCGATACAAGCATCAATAAATTTGTGATATTAATTTATAATTACAGGTTATTTATGAATTATTTTTTTATTAATACTTGTAATTATATGGAGCACTTCTACCTGTGAATAAATGTTAGAATTATTGCTGTAAATATGTTATTTTACTAAGCAACTTAAAGTTCTACTTGTATGAATGATTATAACAATGTAATAGAACTAAACTTGCTTTAAGTTGCAAAGATTTATACTAATTAATTTTTAATTGCTTTCTTTTGGTATAAAATGTAAATTCGTATAATGAAAGCAATTAAAAATGTTTAATTTATATCTATATAAAAAAATATAAAATAAAGTGTTACCTTAATACCGTAAGCGATTAACTTCAAAAGAGTCTCACAGAGGAAGAGAAATGTAAAAAGTATATTCATGACTGCGAGGATGTCGGACAACAAAGGTGGAGAGTCGTGGTACTACAAACAACTCAAAAATATATATCTAAACTACGAAAGCGTTTATAAAAAATTCGAAAAATCGAAAAAAAGTCGGCACAACCATAAGTAACAAGTACACGAGAAAAATTATCGTTTTACGCCCATTTCGACGCACCGCCGCCTCCACGACGGCGTGTCCTCGAAGCCCCCTTTTTGTGTGAAGGTTGTTGTTTTTACAAATCAAAAATCTGTAGCGAACGTGCGAATAAATCAAACGGTAAAAAAAGCCGTGCAAACCATTTAAACACACCACAACGTGATTAAGCGACACTACACTAACAAATAATCCAATTCGATCTAGCAAACTTACGATTATCTCCGACAAAAATATCGAATCGGCAACGCCGCTTTTCGGCGTGTGACATTTGACGTACGACAAACTGCGCAAAAACCTAGTTTGCTAGATAAACCATGCGTGGAATTATTTTTTTTTTCATATTGCGTTGATATTCCTCGCAGAACAGTTCAGTGATATACGAATATAATATGGTGTGAACAATCGAAATTCGTGCCGATTGAAATGCATTCTGTTCATCGCATGAAGATACGACATTCGTATATTTTTACATTACTAGGCATTTTATTTTTGTATTTTTATTATTTGTCGGCGATTCGTTTGTGGTCCTTCGATTTATACTTGTCATACGGTCCTTTCGTTTTTTTGAGACACTCTGTATATTATTTTTGTGCAACAAATTGGATGTGCCCTTTGAAACCGCATGATAAATATAATTTTATATAGAAATAAATATTTACAAAAATAATTTGGTACTTATTTTTGTTGGATTAGTTAGTTAGTAAAAATAAAAAATAAAGACCCACACTTTCCCACCCTGTTCCAATTAGGTACATCTTTACAAAAAAAATAAAAGAAAATATTGAAATTCCAAAATCAACTAAATACAATTTGAATAAAAAGCATTTTTACTAGATAATAATTTTATCAATATCCAATCGATTTCGGAAAGACTATAGGTACCACTCAAACGAATCGATAAAACTTCGATTTAATATTTTTACATTTAGTTTTCGCCTAATTTTCCTTACCCTTATGCCGAAAGCAAGTATCTTCAGTACACATTCCACAGTAAACATTCCCGTGAATCCCCAGTTGAGGTACTTTAACGTATTGGTGTAGGTCTCGCCCTGCTTGTCATACTGTTAACACAAGATCAAAGGAAAAATGGCGTATGGCAGGCACCGGCCACTTTTCCATCTAATTACAACTAACTCTTATCATAGAAAGAAACACCAAAAGAAAAGGGGAAAAACGAACGGGGGGTAAATCAACTGAAACATATTCGATTCTAAGTAAATATTCGTGTATAGGCCTCGCAACAACATTAACATTAACAACAACGACAACATTCATTTGTGCAATAACAGGTGATGATAATTTGGTATCAGAACGTGTCATTTACGACATAAATCTGCAGCAATGGCGGATTTACGGCCTCCGCTACGGCCGGATTCGGCTCCGTTCGACTTCCGATTAAATTCGCCACTGCCACACAACCAAAGGAGTCGGAGAGAAAGCGCAAGGAAACCTGTCGAGTGTAAGTGAGACAACAGCAACGCAATCGCAGTCCAAACAAGTACGAACAAGCAGCGGTTTTCTGCACGCGAATGTTCCTTGTTGTTCGGATTTGTTGAGTACATACAATCATGCTTTTCTTTTTGGTTCGTGTGTGGAATCAAAATAGAGTTTACGGTCACGTTCATGCCGAGTAAATGAGCAGTGGATGGAGCGATTTTTATGAAGATGCATCAGAAAAATCACTCAGTTTCGTATGCTTCTTTCTCCAGTTCCTCCTCGGCAGTTGAAATGCACCTGTTCGGTAAACGCGATAATAATTACTTAGAATCAATATCGCATATCTACAGCTTGGTTTGTTACGGAAGAATCAGTTAGGTATACACGCTATAAAATACCCTCTAGCTCTAAACTCTCAACTATATCTCGTGGGAAACATTACAATAAATTTAACGCTAAGAATTACCTAGCTGTGTTAGATTTAAAATAAAAAAGTATCGTACATAGTTCGCTAATCTATGTCCTAAATCCGTTATTAACTCATTTCCGAGTGCAAAAGTAAACATTTAACGAAGAACAATCAATATGAAAACGTTAATAACGGCACAAATAAAACACATTGAACGCACTGTACCTATTAGTTTCAAATAAAGTACGGTTAGGAAAAAACAGTTACAAATGGTCGTCAACAAACGAACAAAATACATATAAATAAGAGATGCTGTTTTGTACCGGCCTCAAGCTTACGAATCGTGTGCACAATGCTTCCAAGCATTCAGTGTGTAAGTCTGTTTTACTTCGATTTTTCAAAGTATCTTTTTTTTGGTTGCCGACTTTTAATGAAAATTTTACCAAAATTCACCACAATTGACTACCTAAATCGCACCAAAAACCTTCCAATTTAAGAAGATTCTCTTTAAGAACTGTTGTTAGACAATTTCTCCGTGAATTTTGGTACGAACATTTTATTCGAATCGCGATTATATAAAAAGTTCAATCCCGGGCTGAAACTCGACTTAAATTCATCACATTTCGGATCCGTCGCCGATGCACACTTACCTTCATCATCAGCAGCAACGTGTTGAAGACGATCAGCATCATGATGAAGTACTCGAAGGGCGTCGACACGACGATCCGCCATATCTTGTACTTGAAGCTGTTCCGTTTGTTCGGCATGTACCTCTCCAGAGGTCTGGCTTGAATCGTAAAGTCGATGCAGGATTTCTGCGAAAAAGCCATTTCTGCATTCTGGCGGGATTCCAATCTTCAGAATTTACCTGATTCTTGTCGATCTCGCCGCTCTGCAGCTCGGCCTCGCCCTGCTCTTGGAACGTGATGATGATCAAGGCAACGAATATATTTACAAAGAAGAATGGAAACACTATGAAATATACAATGTAGAAAATCGATATCTCTATACGGAAATTTTGTATGGGGCCCTGATCCTCGTAGGTGGCAGCCATCGAGTTTTGAAGAATCCTGTCGATGCAAACAAGCGTTAGGAAATTTCTGTAGTTATTGTATTAGGCTAGTTGTATTTACTGTGGCCATCCTTCGCCGGTTTGGACGGCGAACAGCGTCAACATGGCCATGGGGACGTTGTCGTAGTGGAATTTCTGGGCGCTCCATTCGCGTATTTGGACCGTAGGCACGTCACTGTCTTCATCATATACAAAAAAGCGACCCCTGGAAATTATAAATCACAGTCAACACTAAAAGAAGCGCCCACTGAAGGTCCTCGAGACCAATTTTTGGGCTTTGTTGGATTGAAATCTTGGTTGAATAGAAGAACCTCAATAACCAAGGGAAAGACTCATCGAGAGTCACCAGCAGGAGTTCTTAATAGTGAAGTATTGGGTTGAATTGAAAGAAAGTTTGGGTAGAATAAAAGAACCTCAATAACCAATGGAAAGACCAATGGAAGGACCAATCAAGAGTCTCCATCAGGAGTTCTCAAGAGTAAATTTTTGGATTAAATATAGAGAAGGTCTCGATAGAATACAGTGTGTGTCACGAAGAGGGCCCATTAGAAGTATCTGGAAAAGTAGTGGTAATTCAAATTTGAAAATTTGTGTACAAGTATTAGTCGATGCGCTCTATTCAATGAAAATATTTTCAACTTTTCTTTACTTCCGGTTATACCGGAAATGGACAGCAACTTTGTTATTTTAAATGGGACACCCCATATATTAATATATTTTCGAAATGTACGCAAAATTTTAGAGTGCTTTTGTCTAAAAAACTTTTTTCAAAAATGCATACTTTTTGAGTTACTAATTTTTTTTTGAAAAATTTGACCGATGCAGACCCTTATAAATTATTTTTTTACGGGGGTCCCTTTAAAGATATGAAAACGGTTTCTGTAGGGTGGCCACTAGCAAGGTCAAAGGTATTTGAATTTGTGTTAAATAACTTTTTATTTTATACAGGGTGTATACAAAACATGTGAAAAAATTGAACTTCAAAAATACCAAATTATTTCATTTTTTTAAATGGAACCACCCATTTTTTTCTATTTTGTTGAAATCAGCGATAAAAAATAAGGACAGTTCATGTTTACTTCCCTATACCTAAACCTAATAGTTTTGAAGATATTGAATATCTTACATAAATCTTACTTTTCTGACTTATTCTTAAATAACTCTGTTTTACAAGTTGGCTATGTAATATTTCACAAGTACCAAAATTAATAATCAATGAATTACAAACAATTTACATGGCCAACTTGTAAAAACGGATTATTTAAGAATAAGGCAGAAAAGTAAGTTTTAAGTAAAATTTTTAATATCATCAAACCTATTAGGTTTAGGTATAGGGAAGTAAACATGAACTGTCCTTATTTTTTATCGCTGATTTCAATAAAATAGAAAAAAATGGATGTTTCTATTTAAAAAAATGAAATAATTTGGTATTTTTGAAGTTCAACTTTTCACATGTTTTGTATACACCCTGTATAAAATAAATAGTTTTTTAACACAGATTCAAATACCTTTGACCTTGCTAGTAGCCACCCTACAGAAACCGTTTTCATATCTTTAAAGGAATCCCCGTAAAAAAATAATTTAAAAGGGTCTGCATCGGTCAAATTTTTCAAAAAAAAATTAGTAATTCAAAAAGTATGCATTTTTGAAAAAAGTTTTTTAGACAAAAGCACTCTAAAATTTTGCGTACATTTCGAAAATATATTAATATATGGGGTGTCCCATTTAAAATAACAAAGTTGATGTACACTTCCGGTATAACCGGAAGTAAAGAAAAGTTGAAAATATTTTCATTGAATAGAGCGCATTGACTAATACTTGTACACAAATTTTCAAATTTTAATTACAACTACTTTTCCAGATACTTCTAATGGGCCCTCTTCGTGACACACACTGTAGAAGATCCCCAGTAACCAATGAAAAGACTAATGGAAAGACGAATCAAGAGTCTCCATCAGGAGTTCTCAAAAGTAAATTTTTGAGTTGAATGAAGAGAATGTGTTGGTAGAAGAACCACAATAACCAATGGAAAGACCAATCAAGAGTCTCCATCAGGATTTCTCAAAAGTAAATTTTTGAGTTGAATGAAGAGAAAGTATTGGTAGAATAGAAAAACTACAATAACCAATGGAAAAACCAACCAAGAGTGTTCAACAGAAATTCTCGGGAATTGAGAATAATCGAATAAAATAATAGACACCAATACATAACGAAACTATGTAGGTATAAATTAAAGCGAGTAATACTTACTGGCAGGTCTCGAATGTAAATTTACTAGCATCTGAACAGTAGAAAAATTTCCCGTTAAACAACTGAACGGCAATCACAGCAAATATGAATTGGAATAATATGTACACTATAAGAATATTTATCACATTTTTTAGGGAGTTCACTAAGCAGTCGAACACCGCTTTCAGTTTCGGCACTCTTTTGATCGTCTTTAACGGTCTCAGCACGCGCAACACTCGCAACGATTTTATGGTAGACAAGTTGGCGGCTGCCGGACGTTTCCTGCAATTAAACAATTCATAGAATCTCTAATATTTAGGAGAATTATCGTTGGTACTCACGCGAAATCGAAACCCATGGACACCAACGCGCATATAACGACGACGGCGTCCATGATGTTCCACACCTCCCTGAGATAGGAGCCGGGATGGAGGATGATGCCCAAGTCGATGACTTTCAGTAGCATTTCCACGGCGAACACGCTGGTGAAGGCGTAGTCGAACTTGTCGAGGATGACGTTGCGGAAGGCGTGCTCGTCGACCGGGTCCTCGCACGCCAACGCTATCGAACTCAAACAGATCACTACCATTATGAAGAAATCAAAGTAACGCAAGTTGACAACCCAATGGGCACCTCTCCTCACTCTATAACCCAAACCAAACCACACGAATTATTACTCGAATTAAATCGCGAGCTAGTCAGCACCAACTTACGGATTGGTTGAAGATAAAATGAACATGCTAGAATATGGCAGCATAGGTTTCGGACCGACGATTTCCTCGTCCTCTTCGGCCTTCTCTTCGACCTTCTTCCTCGGCTTGACGGGACTCGGCAGGCCGGTCGCATCCATCTTAAGACCGCCCGCTTCCATGTGCAACGCCTCCATTTCCTTCTCCAGCTCCATCGCTTGCTTCTCCTTGTTCTCTTCGGCCTGCTCCTCTTCGGCCGCCGTCAGCTCCTGCGCGTTCGCCAAGTTGTCCACGGCGATGGCGAGGAACACGTTCAGCAGCGTGTAGTTACCGAACAGCATCAGAACGATGAAGTACAGCGAATAGATCATCGCCACCGTCGGCCCGCCCAAAGCGTTTATACCGTGGTACATCACCTCGTTCCAATCCTCGCCGGTTAATATCTACGAATCCGCTGGTGTTAGTAGACGCGAGGATGTAATGTACGTAGGAATATATTTACCTGGAATACAGTCAATAAGGCGATGGGGAAGGTGTTGAAATTAGCGGCGGGCGTGCCGCCCTCGAAGTTGAACTGGCCGCCGAACAGCTGCATGCCCAGCAAGGCGAATATCAGTATGAACAAGAAGAGGAGGAACAACAGCGAGATGATCGATCGCATCGAATTGAGCAACGATATGACCAGATTGCGCAGCGACGACCAGTACTTGGTCACTTTGAATATCCTGAGCAGCCGGAGCGCCCGCAACACCGACAGCCCGAACGAGCCGCCCTTCAGCTCCGACCATATCACCTCGAATATCGAGCCCGTTATCACCACGCAATCGAACCGATTGAAGGCCGATTCGAAGTAGATCCTTGGTCCCAGGGCGTACATCTTTATGAACATCTCCGTCATAAATAGACCCAAGAAAACGAATTCGGCGATATCTAAATACACCGAAATACCATTAGCGAACCGTCATTAACCCAACTACGAATGCTTACATAAAAAGTTGGAGAGCCACTTGGGCTGTCCGTGGAACTCGACGGCCACGCAGATCGTGTTGAAGAACACCAAGACGATGACGCACCAGTAGAACCACTGCGTCTTGATGACGTGCCGTATGCAGAAGCGGCAGCGCTTCTCGACGCGCCAGAAGCGCGCGCAGCCGCTCTGGCCCTTGATGCGCGACTTCAGGTAGGAGGATTTCCCGTAGCCTGCTAACAGAACTTGCGACTTCAACATTGATTTTGGGTCGAGAGGGGAACGCGGCGTCGGCCCAATCGATTTGGCGAGGTTGAATTGTTTGGTGTAGATGGAAAATGTGGAGGAGATGCCAGCGAAGAGGTTTTGGTTCGTTTGGTAGTAGAAGAGATGGTTGTTGAATTATGTTGATAGAAATAGGATGAGTGGGGTAGAAAGGAAGTAGATGATGCAAGAAGATGAGGCAGGAAGATGAAGCTAAAGAAGTGGAGACAAGATGAATGAAAATAGGGCTACAAGTAAAGACAATAAGATGGAGCAAGAAATATAGAGACAAGAAGATGAGGTAAACAGATGAGGCAAAAGATGAGGCTAAAGAAGATAAGGTAAAGTTTAAGAAATGCAAATGATACAAATGATTTTCAATACAAATTTGGTACTTTTTTGTGCTTGAATGATTTGATGGGGAATTTAAGTGGTACAAAAAGGTCATTCGTATATTTTTACCCAACTTACCATCATCGCCCATTTCGTCCTCCTCCTGCTCCTCCTCGGTGTCGGTGCTTTTGCTCTTCCCCAGGCTCTTCAGCTTCTTCTTCCTGGCCGCCCGGCGACGCGCCTCCATTATGTGCAGCTTCTCCTCTTCGGTGGTTCTCTCTTCGGCCAAAATGACCTCCTCTGCGGGATCGTAATAGGGAATTAGTAAAGCGCTAAGGGTGGATTAGAAGAAGCTGCGATGAGTGAGCGGAGTTTTACCTGCTTTGCATATCCATTGCACGTAGCCGTTGAGTTCGCGCTCGAGCTGGGCGGCCCGTCTGAGTTTCAAAAATTCCTGGCGGTTTTCCACTTTCTCACGCTCCCTGGCGAACTCGCTAAACGGGAAAGAAAAGCGATTGCTAGCTTACTTGTGTGTACTCAACTACGCGCTAAGGGGGAGTTTTTAGTCGGAACTACTGTTAGAGCGGAGAACGTAGGATTTTATTCGGAAACTCTGAAGCACTTTCCGCCGGGGGGACGAGTTAAGTTCAATTATAAAAGTGCGCGCCGAGGCAGATTTTATCTACTTACGGCTGATTAGAGGCGGTTTTCCGGCAGGAAAAAAGAAAAGGGGGTAAGGGCGAATAAAAAATTACCTTCGCTAAGCTTTTTCGTTGTAACGCGGCTTTTTTTCTCCCGTCATCGTTCTCTCGGTTAATATTTGATCGCGCCTCGAAATAGATAGAAAATTAAAGGAGCTAGTTTATATGTGCGTATTTTTTTTAAGCGAATCAATAACCGTAAAGGTTCGTTAACAGTTCGCTTAATATTTATTGGTCGTAATCGGAGCAGAATGTAATTACCCCACAATCGAAGAACCTTTTTTATTCGATAATATTAAGAGAAATACATACAGTGAGGACCAAAAGTCCGTCGCCCAGCCCTCCCTTTAACTTTTGAATGGTGTCGCGCAATTTGGGGTGTTTATATTGGAGTAAAAATACAATTTTTTGACGTAAAAATGACAGTTGAAACTTTTAAAATGACAGTTAGGCGCCATTTTGAATCTTTTTTTCTTATGGAAAGGGAGGTCAAGTGACACCTCGTTTTAAAGGTAATTTCATTCTAAAGTCAACACCCAAATTTGAAAACATTTTAATAAGGCGTATTCACGTGAAGACCAATTTAGTTTTAACCCTTGGGCATATTGATACATTTAAGAATTGATTCTGAACGTACTATAAAATGTGTCAGTTAATTGTTGCTATGGTTTTTTGGCTCTGACATTTATTTGTCAAATTTAAAGTTGATAAAATTGACAGTTTTTTCGTTTAAAGGATGAGCCAATGTCAATTTCAAAGATTCAAAATGGCGCCTAACTGTCATTTTTGTGTCAAAAATAGTATTTTTACTCCAATATAAACACCCCAAATTGCGCGACAAAAGCTCTTATACCATTCAAAAGTTAAAGGGGGGGCGACGGACTTTTGGTCCTCACTGTATACAGAGTGGCACACGGAATAGATGTCTCCAGCGCTGGAATTTGATTAATTAATTGTTACACCTACTTTCGAAGATCCTAAATCAATTCTACGGTGGTTTAGATACAAACTAAATGAGCTAAAAATACAACAACAGCCGTGTACGGGCAATACGAAATTGATATTTTCGATAAATAATTTTTAAAAGCGATAACCGCAGCGATGGGGCGCGTAAATATTAATGCGAGACTAGCCGAATCGATTCGTTTGAAACACAACCTGCTCGTGTGATCCAATTAACGTAGCGGACGAGGCATTCGTTAACCATGTTTTTGGTCTTCGTCCGGAAATACTTGGCCCGTCTTTCCACGCGCACTCGCTCGTTGGAAAACTCGCTGTGTTTTTAACAGACAAAATAACAGAAACGTAAAAGGCCGGTTCTCGGATCGCGCGCGACTGGTTAAATGTTCGATAAAGCGTGAGGTACTCACCCGCTGAGGACTCCGAGCACTAAGTTCAACATAAAAAATGATCCCAAAACTATCAGCGGAACGAAGTAGATCCAGTTAAACGAGCTTCCTATTGCGTCGTTCATCTGGAAAATATTCAGGAATTTTTTTTAGTGTGAGGTAATTGAGCGTTTCGTTCTAAATACGTAAAGTTGGGAGGTAAAATTGTTGTCCGAAATATGCAGGGTGTCCCAAAATATGTGTATAGGACCATCTTGTATAGTAAAGATAAAGTTTTCCTTCTTAAAGGATTGGCTTAGTAGTTTTCAGTGGTAAAAAATTTTTGGTAATTTAAATCAAATATTCGTTAATTCAAATTAAGATATTTAGTGATTTATTTAAGAGCGATATTAATTGAGAATTTTGCTCTAAAGACCAAGTTTTGTAATTCGCAATGTCTCAAAATCGTAGCACAATATATACAGAGTGTCCCAAAATATGGTGTTTTCCAGGATTCTATAAAGTTCCCTTTAAGAAGAGGAAGTTTATCAAAAATTCTGGTAATTTAATTCATAAATTTATTAATACAAATTAAAATATTCAGTAATATTGTTTAAGAGAGAAGTAATTGAGCATTTCGTTCAATCAAGTTGTTAAACTCGCAATGTTTCAAAATTGCAGCTCAATATACAGGGTGTTAATTAAATGAGTTCAGATACTTCAGGACGTGAATATTTGGGTGATTTTAAAAGGAAAAATTTATATCAATATATGTCCTAAACCTTTTAGTTTTCGAGTCACAGGGTTTTATAATTTTAGAAAAAAAAAACTAACTTTTCTATCATAATTTTCTTATTATTCCAGATATTATAATGAAATTTTGTACCCACTTTTTAATGATCAAGGAACATTTTTTGAGGCAAAAGATTTTATAAAATATTTACCAGTGACGTTCGTACAGGGTGTGACTTGAATATATTTGAAGAAAAAATGGTACGCCACTGTTTTTTCTAAAAACCAAAATTATTTTTAAAATCCTCATTTATTTTGGAGCAAATTCGGTCCGAAGGCTTACTTTCATACGACGCACCATTTTCGCGTAAAAAAATGAAAACCAAAACAATTTTTTTCCAAATTTATTGAGACTGCTTTTGGTATTTTGTTGAAATTTTGTAGGCGACCACCATGCATGAAAACACATATTTTTTGGGGACAAAAATTAATTTTCTACTACTACCAGTGACATCCATGTCCGAAATTTCATAAAAATATCCGGAGTAATAAAAAATTATGATAGAATAGTTTTTTTTTCTAAAACTATAACACCCTGTAGCTCGAAAACTAATAGGTTTAGGACACATACCGATATAGGCTTTTCTTCTTAAAATCATCCAAATATTCACATCCTGAAGTATCAGCATACTCAATTAATAAACAACCTGTATACAGGGTATCCTAAAATATTGCAATTTCCCAGTATCTAAAGAACCCCCTTTAAGAAGACAAAAATCCACCATTTCCGATCGATTAAAATGACAAAAATCGGTGTAATTTAATAGTGGCAAACAGCAAAATTTACCCAATATAAAATCGCCGTCCATCCTTCCATAGTAATACATTGAAAAACGGTCAACATAGCGAATCCGATATTATCGAACGACGTTATACCATTATTGGGCCCCTGCCATCTCTCCAAGCACACCGAGTTCCCGTCCCTGCACCAATTGCTGCCCTGGTTCCTCGCCTGCGTCTCGTTATCCGTATTGCACGGCACCTCCTCGTCGCCCTCCTTAACGATCTCATCTAAGAGCAAACACGACAACGAAATATATACAAACACAGCTCAAATCTCGCCTCTAAAATTAGACGGCCGAGCGAATATCTTATCCGGCGATGATTTCCAGATAATCGAGCAGTCACGTCGGCCCGGCACGAGCGTAGGCCGGCCGACGGGGCGCCGGGACGACGCGGCGTCGCGACGCCCCGCCGACGGTGCGCCCTCGAGACGTACTCACCTATGTTGTAGAGGCTATAGCAGGTTTTGTGCAAGGCGCCCGAATAGAATTCCAATCCTATTATGGCGAATATAACGATGGCGAACAATACCAACAGTCCGATTTGCAGTAACGGTGCCATAGCCTTGATGATGGACTTCAAAACTACCTGCAGGCCTAGAAGGAAGAAGAGCGAAATCGGGAAAAAACGAGTGATCTTACTGCCAACAAAAGATTTATAAATCGAATACATTCGGAATGCGCTAATTAAACAATTGCGACGTCATTGATGCAATACAAGGGTGGAGTGAAAAGTTCTCATTTAGAACTGTCTAGAACCATTTAGAACGCTTCAGAATCATTTAAAACTGTCTAGAACCATTTAGAACGCTTCATAACCGTTTACGATAGTCTAGAATCATTTAGAACAGTTCATAACCACTTTGGCCGTTCCAGAATCAATTAGTATTGTTTAGAAACATTTAGAATGCTCCAGAATCAGTTTTAACTGTCTAGAACCATGTAGAACGCTTCAGAACCATTTAGAATGTTCTAGAATCATTTAGAAAGATCCAGAATCATTTTGAATTGTTTAGAACAATTATTTAGAACGCTCCAGAATCATTTAGAACGCTTTGTTTTCATTTAGAAGGCTTCAGAATTGTTTATAACTGTCTAAATTTGTTTAAAACGATCCAGAATCTTTAAAAAAATGCCTAGAACCATTTAAAACGCTCCAGAATCGTTAAGGACTATTAAGAACGCTCCAAAATCCTTTAGAACGGTTTAGAACAAGTAAAGATTTTGACTCAATAAGAAGAATAATGTGATTTTTTAACCGAAAATCGGTCCGAGAACTTTTCACCTTACCCTTGTAAAATAAATGCATGACATTCCGAGTGCATTCGGTGCGAATTTTCGATAGCAATAATTGTATGTTTTTTCTGTATAGTGTCAAGTCAAAAACAAGAATGTAATCTATGAACTTCCAGCACTAAGTACTATTTAAAATGCAAGGGGTAATCAGTGAATCTAACGTGTGCTCCTTCTATGCTGCCTACCATCGCACTATGACCGATTAAAATTTACAAGTTCATTTTTTAAATAGTACCAGACAACTCAAAGCTTGTAATTACTAGGACGTTTGGCCAGTACAAATTAATTTTACCTGTATTTAATGCCGTCCTGTCGCCATATCGACGACGGCCCGATCGGAATTTCGCTGGAAATGCGACCGGCGAGAAAAAATTCTTGGGAATTTCCGATCGGATCATCGTCAGTGTCCCGGCGACAGTTCGTTTTCCCCAATCGAAATTTTAAATTTCTACGTGTTGCATAACAAGCTATGCTATTTTATTCATAGAAAACTTACTCACGCACATCAGTCAAAAAGAAGCCAAAGATAAATGAAACCAGTCTAACAGATTATAGAGAGAGAGTCAACGCAAAATTATCCAATGAATCCAATCGTTATCGATAAGACAAATCGATGCCAGCAAGCGGAAACTAGCACTTAAAATTTTGTATTGTACAGTTGGTGCAAAACAAATATAAGAACACGCCACCTATGATTTAGTACGTCACAAGTATAGGCAGTGTTGCCCAAGTTTTATAAAGTTTAGAAAATCTAAGATTTTTTTAAAATTGTCAAATGGCAAAATGACAAGAATAAATTGGAAATTAGGGACACCTTTCACGTTTTTAAATGGCGGATGTATTCAGGGGCTCACTATAATTAATCATCAAATTCCTTAATCATCTGAAATATATTTAATAGTGTGAGTAAAAAATTTTGTGTACAATTGACCGTTAAAAGAGTACATAGTGAAATTTCTGAGAAAATTTCTGAATCTGAATTATTTAGAGCTCAAATTGTTTCATTTCTATAACATGTGGAAAAGATAACTACGCAAAAAATTCTGATTTCTTGATTATTCGGCTGAATAACTTTTAGTAGTTTAGGTTAGTAAACTAAAAAAAGAAGAAATTGAATATTAAAAGTACCGATCGGATGACAACGACAACTATACAACTTGACAGCCAGTGCCTACCAACCTACTATATGAAAATAATAATAATTTTATATACAAACGTTGAATTTTGACAATATACACCTTGCTCCATTTCCAATTGCAACATCGTCATTTCTATGAGTGGAACAAAGAATGATTAATAAAATGACAGTTGTCAGATTGAAAAGTTGCAATGACACAAATGTCACTCTTTCCTTTTCCTTTGTAAGCGTCTAATGGAAGTGGTCTCTATCGTACCCATGACCTATATAACCTATGTTGCGATCAAAAATGGAGGAACCTGTATATCTTTTTGGATAATTTAATTCTGCATGTATTAAGCTTAATTTATTTTGTTTATTTACTTTTCCAAGTTGACCACAATGTTTGGCAAGTATAACTACTGTAGTGACGTGCATTGATATTCGTTTTGCACCAACTGCACAAAAGTCCCACTTCTGATTTTTAATGCACAGATTGCACCGCGTGCTCGCATCGCGTTCGGAGAAAGTGACGGAAGAAAGAAAGAAAATAAAACAAAAAAAAACTGGAGAAAATAAACAGGAAAGACAGTCAGCTACGTTTCTACTTACTAGGAATGCCAGAGACTAGCTTCAGCGGTCTAAGCACTCGAATAGCCCGCAACGCGCGGGGGTCCAAGTCGATGTAATCTTGAGGAATCGACGTGAGTAACCTGCAAAAATCTAGCCTCTAGCGATGGCCACTACTCGTCTTACCAAACTAAACGTAATTCGCAACTCTAGTTCGTTCTAATACTCGCACAAATAAAACAATATTCTATACTCATTACTAGTGGTTACGATGCAGATCGTTAGGTATAATGTCGGGAAATCGTCGCTCGGAAATGGCTTTTCTGTTTTTTTTTTGTTGTTGTTGTTGTTGGTTTCGAGGCTTCGCGAAAAGCCATTTCCCGCGAAATCGCTGCTCTTCGATGCCCCGTATAGCCTAATAAATCGATAGCGATTACCTAAATTGTTGATGTAGATTAAATACAGGGAAAATAAGATTGTCGGAATCGTTATTTAAGACTCGGGCATAAGTTAATAAATTCTTCGCTTACGCGCCTGGCTTTATTTAGCAGTGCATTCGGAATTTCATCAGGAAGCACTAGAAGATTGAAAATGTTCGAAAAGAGGAAGATTGTAAATTATTTGAGCTCGAAAAACTGGATTAGGACGGTGAATGAGAAGAGCAAAATGAGAGATATAAAAACAACTAGTAAAATAGGTAAATAAAGCTCAAAAAATTTGGAAATATTCGGAAATAACATTAAATAAAGTCATCTGGTAGTAAAGAATACATTTTTTACTGAATTATAATTGAATTATGAATTATTTGAGCTCGAAAAACTGGACTAGAATGATAAATAAAAATAGTAAAATGAGAGTTCCAAAAACTATTAGGAAAATATGAATATAAAGCCCAAAAAATTTGGAAATATTCGGAAATAACATCAAATAAAGTGTTCTGGTAATAAAGAATACATTTCTTACTGAATTATAATAGAATTAAGAATTATTTGAGCTCGAAAAACAGGATTAGAAAGATGAAAAAGAATACTAAAATAAGAGTTAGAAAAACAGGAAAATATAATCCCAAAAATTTGTAAACATTCGGAAACAGCACTAAATAAAGTCATTCGTTCGTAAGGAACATTTTTTATTCACTTATAGCGTCCGATCGAATGGCAATTGTAAGTGAGAGTAAAATGTTTATACCTAAATCCCAAATTTAACAATCTAACTATACTGATATCTCTAAGATAAAATCGAAGACACAATAAATAAAATACCAAAAAAAAGGGCAATCCAGTCCGGCGCCCTCTCACTAAAGTTCATACTAAAAAAATCTAGTTAGAAGTAACCAACTCTAATATCCAAAAAGTATGTAACTATATAAAAACAATAATAATAATAATAATAAAGAAAACACTAGTCTGCTCTACACGATCAGCTGCCAGGTGTATGTCTAAACATCGAAAAACGAAATAAACAAATAAAGAAACGAGTAAAATCTCAAAATGGAAAAATATATCGTAGCTCGTGTTTCGATCCGAAATTGTTTTTAATTACTTTTACTTTATTTTAGTTGTTTTCTGTTTGTGGGAAACTCTTACTTGGAATTCTGGAGACTAATTTGAGCGGCCGCAGAACGCGGAACGATCTCAGCATCCGCAGATCTACATCGACATTCGCTTCAGCAAATATTGTCATCGACCTTGTCATTGGAAAAGAATAAAATTACGGGAACACTACCAGCTAATTTTATTATTTTTTTTATCGTGTATCGTGATCAAATCTCTTAAAACGCCACTGATTTATTATTAATTAAATATATTTATATTAAGAGATTTCATCGGTTCTCGAATAATCCGCGCACGATTAGGTCGGTAAAGAGCTGAAGTGAAATTTGAGTGAAAATTAAAATTTAATTCGAACGAATCGAATTGGAATTGTACCAAACCCGACGGAAAACAGAAGGTTATAAAATTACAGTTAATAACGCATCGAACTCCACGCGTATGTGCGGTAGGTGTAGGTAATTTTAATTTGCTTCACCCCCCGTTAATTACTTCCATTGATCCCCGCGCTTAAATTAATTAAAAGCTAATGTAGCCGCGTTATCGACGCCTCTTCGCGGCAATTGGAGTTCTATTAGCGACGGCTAATTGTTCCCATGCAACGATGGGATATCGGCGATACCTTCTGTTTGTCCATTGCTTAATTCAAATTCGACTTTATTGATCGATGATTGATCAAAATCGACCACTTACCCAGTCAAAACAACGAAGAAATCCATTATGTTCCAGACGTTCCTCAAGTAGGAACCCCTGTGCAACACGAAGCCCAGCGCCAGGATTTTCAAGGAAGCTTCCACGCAAAATATACCGAGAAAATAGTTTTCCGTTTTTTCCTATAAAAAAAATATCACACTGTCTGTCGATTCGACGCCCAAGCAATTTCCCGATACTCCACTTGCGATAAAATTCGAATACTTACTAGTTTTTGCGCCAACATTGTTTTGTCTTGAAAGGGCAGATGCTCCTCCAATGCTAGTACAACGCAGTTAGCTATGATTGTCAAAAGCACAGCATATTCGAAAGGATTAAACATACTATTAAGGAAAAATCAATTATTTACTTATTCTTCCTAAACCATGTGTTAGATGAAGAAACGCCATCCAATTTTAAGGATGAGGATTGGAAATGTGAAGCAAAATTTGGAATAATATGGTTGAAGGAAATGTGATTCAGAAGTTCATGAAATCTGAGAAATTAAAACACTCCAATGTATCTATCCAGAAATCTAGTTGGAGTTTCTGGTTGAAGATTCTAAGTAAGCATATGATGAAGTAGACGATTATATTAAACATGATAGGATTTAATTAGTGTCAAAAATTTGAATAACTGAGGATTTGTTGAAGCTGAAGTAGATTAAATGAAAGAGATTGTAAGAGGTTGAAGGATATTTTATAATACTTTCAGGAGCTGGGAAACATAGTAAATTCCAAAACTCCAATGTATCTATCCAAAAACTATAATAGCTGGAGTTTCTGGTTGAAGATTAATTGATTCTAAGTAAGCATATGATGAAGTAGAAGATTATATTAGACATGATAGGATTTAATTGATCTCAATGATATGAATAACTGAATATTGTTGAAGTTGAAGTAGATGAAATGAAGGGGATTGTAAGAGATTGAAGGAAATTTAATAATACGAAACATAGTAAATTCCAAAACTCCAATGTATCTATCCAAAAACAGGAATAACTGAAGTTGCTGATTGAAGTTTAATTGATTCTATTGAATCATTGAAGATTGAAGATTGATTGTATTAGACATGATAGGATTTAATTGATCTCAAGGATATGAATAACTGAAGATTTGTTAAAGCTAAAGTAGATGAAATGAAAGGGATTGAAAGAGATTGAAGGATTCTCCAATTCCAAAACTACAATGTATCTATCCACAAACTAGAATAGTTGGATTATCTGGCTGCAGATTAATTAAATCTATTGGTAAACAGAAGATTGTATGATAGGAATCTATGGTGTTAAGGATCTGGATAACTGAAGGAAACTAGACAGCATCTCCAGGTGGTGCTACAATTGTAGGTACACCATGGTGCTTATTGCTTATTTGATCAATCCAATTACACTGAAAGTAAATTGTCGTGAAAAGGATATGGCCACTCGATGATGAAGCGCGTATATCTGCGAACGGGGTTTTCCTCTGAGAAAATGAAGAGTGAGGAGGGCCCCTGTCCAGATCCAGCTGCGCTGGCACCTCCCATTCTATCACCTGTTCCTTTGGCGACCCCCGCCTTCCTCTACTGCACCGCCTGAGCCTACGAAGCCTCTACCGCGGTGGCCAACCTGCCGGAACAACAACAACTACTCCACTATACTTTTTCTACGCCGTTTATTTTCGGAACGCGTAGACTGGAAGTTACGAAAGAGAACGAGCCAGAGCTCCGTGCATTGTGATTATTTATGTTTAGCGTACGCTCGAGTTGCGAATAAACGAGATACGATTCGGGAAAATAGGACAAAAGGTTTAGAAAGCATTATGAGCGCGCTGGAAAAGCGGATGGAAATTTTCCTTTAACGTCGCCGTGACAATGTGTACATAATAAGGGATGTGGAAAAAATGGGGTCAACGTGACGAAATGCGGTATATATTCGATATTACATTCGAAACGAAACGGATTTGGAAAAAAATAAAACGAACCAATTGTTGCACCGACGATTAAATCAATTTAGGGTTGAAAAACAATCGGGAGATTGGTGCAATAGGTCGTTCCCTAACGACCTATTTACCCTCCTCTTAATCAATGAGGGGATGCTAAACTAAACATTTAATAACACCACTGCGAATCGAACGATCGTATAAATTCTACGGTGGTGTAAGTAAGTACTTGAATTCCAGTACTTCGATTCGAACGTAAAGGTGGAGAGAAAATAGTGTAGTGTTGAGAAAAAAAAAAGTAATATACCACGTACCGTGTCTGTCGATGCGCGTTCATAAAAACATGCCTCCATTTTGTGCGCCTATGGGAAGGTGGACGTCCTTTCAAGAAACTTGCCCTCCGAGTGGCGCTCGCCCGACGCCATTACGTTCGGTCCCAGTACTCGCACCGCATTATCCTCGAAAATCGACCCGAAACGCTGTTGAGGAACTGTCCGCACTGCGTTTGGAGCGTGTCGAGCCCGACGGTCGGCCGCCTCTTCTCGAAAACTCTCCGCTCTGGATCGGTCCGGAATCCGCCGTTCGACGTGCTCCGGAAAACTCCCGCACCCCCGATACGGTCGCGCTCGCGCCGCGCCCGAGTCCGCGCGATCGCCCGACGTCGGGGCGCGCCGACGGCGCCGGCGCCGCTGCTGCGACACCGGCCGAAAATCAAAACGGCGTTGCCGCAGCGACCGGGCGGTCGGCGTTGCGACGGGGACGGCCGAGTCGATTTTTTTCCGCGGAGTCTCCGAACGCCGGCCGACGGGGGCGCCTTTCGGGGTTGACGTCGACGTCGCGGTGGGGTTTTCTTTGCTGTAGTTTCGCCCGATGTCGGTGCGAGTGCGGAAGGACGCGGGATAGGAAACGGAGGATGGTGTGGGAAGGATGTTAAAGCTCGGTTTTGATTTTGATTGTCTTGGAAAGTTTTGGGGATGTTTGATTTTTTTATTGATATTTTTTCTAATTTTCTAAAGTGGTGTTGGCCCTAAATATCCTCGATCGTAACGATTTTGGTAACTTTCTAATGTTATTGGGTTGGAAAATTCTACTATTTATGAAATTAATAAAAGTAGAGAGGAAGTTATAGTAAATTGTGAGATTAAACGCTGGAGAATGGAAGAATTGGATAAATAAAAAAATTTGGAAAATTGGGAGAAAGTGAAAAAATGCAATTAGAAGAAAATATTGGAAAAATTGTTAATATTTAATTCATTATTAATCATTATCTCCCTCGTTAATGACTCATCAAATCCTGTTTACTCCTACTTATATCATCCTCATTATTCCTTAATATTTCATTAATTCTTTTCAACTCTTCCTTCTAAATCATTCGCCTATTTCATCAATTCTTCCTCTTCCTTCCAGTCCTCTAATTCTCCCATAATAATTCTTTAATTCTTCCTGAACTCTCCATCATTCACCTATTTTATCAATTCTTCCTGTTTGTTCCATCATACTCATTACTCCTTAATATTTCATTAATTCTCTTTAACTCTTCCAACTAAATCATTCGCCTATTTTATCAATTCTTCCTGTTTGCTCCATCTTCCTCATTATTCCTTAATATTTCATTATTTCTTTTTAACTCCTCCTTCCTGCTTCTTCAAGTGCCCCAATTCTCCCATAATATTACATCAATACTTCCTGAACTCTCCATCATTCTCATTATTCCTTAATATTTCATTAATTCTCTTTAACTCTTCCATCTAAATCAATCGCCTATTTCATCAATTCTTCCTGTTTCTTCCAGTGCCCTAATTTTCCTATAATAATTCATCAATTTTTCGTGAACTCTCCATCATTCATCTACTTCATCAATTCTTCCCATTTCTCTCCCCACACTAATTCTCCCTTAATAGTAAAATTAATCAATTCTTCCTGCACTTTTCCACCTGAATCATTCACACCTACCCGATTAATTCCCTCCTCGATCATCAACTTTTTCCTACATGTACATCTCCTCGCCGCATCCATCATCAATCCGCCCGTCATCCTCCCTTTCCCTTTCGCCGCGTCCCCGTCCCCGTGCGGTTTTTCCTTTGTGCTGAAAATAAAACCGCCGGCTGGCAATGTCGCGGAATTTTCTCGGCCGATGGGCCGCGCTCCGGCCGTTTCGGCGCCGCGCGAGCGGAAAATTGACATGGCGGCGGCGGAGTTGCGTCAATGCCGGTCGCGTCGGGTCGGGAAAATCGCCGGAAAACTCGTGGCCGTCAACACACGAGCGGATTGTTCGAATTTTCGATGGGGAATCGATGCGAGGCCGGCTCCGGCGCTCGAGTTTCGCCTGCATGCGAGCCTCGTATGTGGGTCTCGAGGATGCTTTTGTTATACGATCCTGTGCTAATTGCGTTTCGATGATTTATTTCTGTGTATTTAGTAATTATGTAGAGGGTGGTCGGGTAAGAATGTAAAGTGGTGTATCGGGGAAACTATGCATCGTGGAGGATTGCGGTAAAAGAAGTATAATTACTAAAACGGCCAAGAGAAAATATTTGCAAGTTTCTCAAATGGACGTTAGGGGGTGTAACTGCGATCTTGAAACTAAAAAAGTGATATTTTTATGAATTCCGCTATATTAAGATAACAAAAAAATAGCAGATATTTAAAGTCGAGTATAATATGAACCCTTTTTGTTAAACAATTTTTGCTATATGTCTAAAAATAAAATGGTGAGTGTTACTCAAATGTTTCCCTAAAAAACACCCTGTATATTCGAAACGGCTGAGCCGATTTTAACAAACTTGGGTTAGTTGAAAAGAGCTATTCTTGGGCTACAAAAGTTGTATTATTTAAAGTATTGTTAGATTCACGTGTCGCTAGTATAGCACTTTTTTCGACATTCCGACAGAAATGGTAAATTTTCTCAAAAAAATTAAATGTCTCGGTATGCTTTTTTACAAATAAGTAGCTAAATGATGCCTAAATAAGCTAGCGAAAACCGCATCTCGATATCTTGTTCGTAATCAAAAATTTATGCCAAAGAAAATTTTATACGGAAATCCCTTAAATTTTTATTTAACTCTATTACTTTTTTTACCGCAATTCTCGATGATGCATAGTTTCCCAGATACAGTACTTAACATTCTTATCCGACCACCCTGTACATATACTGTACTAATATCGTTGGTAATGTTCTTCTATATGGAGTCGCAACGATAAATTTCCTCGGCTACTCTTGCGAAGATTATTTAACAATTATTTATCATTTTAGTTGTGAATAAATTAATGAGATTGAAGAAGAATGATGCGCACACATTCCAAAATAAACAGGTTTTGTTGAATGTCGAGAATATAATTTATTAACGAAGCATCGGTGCAATTTATAACCTGATGATTCGAAAATAATGTATAAAATCCGTGAACTTTTAATAATACCGGATATTGCCCCAGGCCTTCTGGTGGGATTTTACTAATTTTGATAGCTATTTTAATCATCTCGTAAGTATCTAAGAAGATAATAGTGCTGTACCTACTCTCAGTTGCAAAAGGTTTATTTTTATAAATTAAAATTCCAGTAAATACCATAACAATTAAATAACATCTTCTTGGTGTACATGTGAGTGTGTAGAGACCTTCGAGTGCACAAGGCTATCGCGGCGCCTAATCCTCTTTTATTTTTACCGTATACAAAAACACTCTTCAATCTCATCCTCGAGGAACCGGTTCGTATCGCCAGTACGGCTCGATCGCTCGCCACTCGACGATGTCGTCGACGGCCGACCTGGTGCAGGAGCCGCGGCCCTCCGCCCGCCCGACGCCCGCCCAGCGGCTGCTCTACGCGCGCGAAGTCATCACCGTCGAGCCCGTCATCGGCGCCTACATGCTCGCCTCGCAGCTCTGCGTGCCCGCCATCTTCAACCTGGAGTTCGAGAAGAGCTGCCGCTCGAACCTGGCCTTCGGCGACGCCGTCTGCGAGGCGGTGCTGGCCGGCGACGTGGCCAACATCACCGACCAGAACAACCGCGTGCAGGTCGTCATCAACGACGTGCACTCCTGGCAGCTGCCCCTGCAGACCGTCGTGCCCATCGTGCTGATCTTGTTCCTGGGGTCGTTCAGCGACAGGCACTCCTGGAGGAAACCTTTCTTGATCATGCCCTTCGTGGGCGAGCTCATTTCGGTCGCGGGGTGTATACTGAGCGTTGTGTTTATGGTGGATTGGACGTTGGAGGTGCAAGGGATGTTCCAGGTGATAATACCGTCGCTCTTCGGTGGACAACCTATGATAACAATGGCGATATTCGCTTACATAGCGGACGTCAGTTCGCTCGAAATGAGAACCTTGAGGATAGGCGTCGTGCAAATCGTCATCAGCATCATCGTACCGTTATCCCAATCATTCTCAGCTCACTTGTTCGAGTTAATAGGTCAGTTAACTACCTCATTCTGCTGCTACTAAACCTGTATATACCAATCCGCAGGTTACTACGGAGTGTTCCTGACGGCTGGCGCCATCTACGCCTTCGGCATAGCGTACGCGGCGTTCTGGATAAAGGAGCCGCACAAGCCGAGGCTGGGATCGATCGGCGAGACGGTGCGCGACATGTTCGATCCTCGACACGCCATCGACACGTTCAACCTGGTGCTGAGGAAACAGCCGGGGGTGAACCGGCTCTATTTGGTGCTGATGCTGGCCGTGGTGCTGATCTACAGCATGGTGGCCGACGGGGAGAACGGGCTGTTCTTCCTCTACACGCAGCACCAGTTCGGATGGACCGTCATCGAGTTGACGTATTTCTCCACCGTGAATACGTTGATACATCTCGTGGGTACGGGAGATTATGTTTAATTAATCGGTGTGTTAATGTTTTGTTGTAGGTACCGCGCTGGCCGTTCCGTTTTTCACTAAAGTGCTTTACCTCAGCGACATGATGATTTTGTTCCTGACTTTTGTGGATAAAATTGCGGCTAACTTCATCTTCGGATTCGCCAATAGCGTCAGTTTGCTCTATACAGGTGATCAAATCCAAAGTTATTTCAAACTTTTTCTTCCAATATAATAACATCCCACAATTTAATATCATCAGAATGATCTAGAACCATTTAGACCTCTCCAGATTCTAGCCTTGTAATTGCCTATTAGAAATACTGATTCACTTTTTTATCAAAATTATAAAAATTATCTCACATAGTGTAATTTTGTTGTTTCAGCGGCCGCTGTGACATTAATAACGGGCGTAACGCCCATCGGGATGAGATCATTCCAGACGAAAATCGTGTCGGAAAACGACCTGGGAAAAGCGCAATCGTTGTTCGGAGTGTTCGAGGCTTTAGCTCCCGCCATAGCATCGCCTGTGTACAACAAGTTGATATACAACAACACCATCACCTCCTTTCCGGCGGCTTTCTTCTTCTTCAGCATCCTGCTGTACGCTGTTGGCAGTATATTGATTATGTAAGTAACTCTCGATGAAGCTGGAGAGTGGAGAGGAATTTTAAAATTAATTGGATTGTTTTTAGGAGGATTTACGCGACAGAAAAGCTGAAAAATCGAGGGATATCAGAGGAGAAAGGGGTGGATAATAATGGTAAACAAATTCCTATGGATAATATTATAGAAGTTACTCATATGTAAATTTATTAATTAATTAATTGAGAAAATTGTAGATACCTTTATTGGATAGATACTAACTTATATTTAACAAATTAATATAGATATTAAGCCCACTAATATGGCTGTAAATACGTGCCAACGAAAATGTAAATATTAATAAAATATTTTGAATAAACATTGATAAAATTTTATAGGGTAATTTCAAAGCGGCTCGTTTCAATCTCTTAACTTCTCTCTATCGGGAAAAACATACTGATAGGCCGGCTTCCCGTTTTCTATGATCCAGCAGGACCCGTTTGGCGCAGAACTTATCAATTTCATCGTCTCGTCCGTGACGAAATCCGGCCTAAAAAACCTCGATAATCATCAAAAATCTAATTAGAATTATACCTCACTAAAAGTAGCTTGGCAGTTCAATAATTAAGAAGTGGGCTGTAGCAAAATTGATACCTCCCAGCAATTCTCAGCTAGTGATAGCTGTCAACTTTCAACTGCCAAGCTACATTTGATGAGGTACACACATAATAAAACACGTTTGTACCCTTGTATGAGAGCATCCTCTAGCAAACCCGACTTCAGGAATATCTCCGTGTACTCATCGTTTAGAGAGTGATCCCCTTTTATCAGCCCAGTTTTCGTCATCGAAGGGCAAATAGCCAGCACTCTTATTTTTGATCTGCGGTAATGAGCTTCGTGGCTCCAAGTTCTCGTCAAAGCCACCAAACCTGGAATAATCGAAGCGATTATAGAGTTGCGGTGGTTAGGCAACACTCATTACACCTAATAATTTCCGCTTTTTGGGGTGGTTAAAGGGTGGATAGCGATGTAATTACTTCGGATAGTCGAGGAATGTTTATGTGTTGTGAATTTTACCAGAACACTTATTTAATTAAGAGTTGAAGGTGGTGTATAATACCTGCTTTGGTTGCGGCGTATACTGGCACGTGGGGTATAGGCAAGAAGGCGCTAATGGAAGAGGTGTTAACGATGACGGCTTCATCGCCTTGCTTGTGCTTCCTCAAATAATCCTCGAATCCCAGTATCATCCCATTGATGGCTCCTTTCTGGAAAATTTTGTAGTTTGTGTGTGTTTTTTTAGTATTGTAAACTTACTAAATTGACATCCACGACTTGCTGCCAGCGCTTCTCCGCGGATATTCCTGCGTTGTTGAACAACAAATCTATATTTTCGAATTTGCTGATGGTTTGTTGGAAGGCGTTTTCGAAACTAGCTGTGTTTGCGACATCGGTGAAGACGAAATTAATTTTGTCCTTTCCGTAAGTTTTAGCCAGTTCTTCGACCGCTTTGTCGCCTTGCTCGCGGTCCATGTCGGCTATTGTTACCCCCTGAAAATTTATCCCGAAGTTTTGTTAGGTTTTAATCGATTTGTTGTGTACCTTTGCTCCGTTTTTGAGGAGGTTCTTGACGAATCCCAGGCCGATTCCTTTGGCCCCTCCGGTCACCAAGGCCACCTTATTAGCAATTTGGAACGCCATTTCGCTAGACAGGAAAATTTTGTACTGTCGATACTATCGCCTGTTGTATAACCGAACGATACCAAAAAAATGAATATTTATTACAATATGCTAATCGCGGCATACAGATTAGGTAAGTACGCTGTTTATGCGAGTAAAAAAATAGGTTGTGATTGAAAGTTATCAAATCGAAAAGGAAACTAGAAATGTATTTAAACTAGAATACATAATAACATGACAAAAACGCTTTCAAGTGGTCCTTTGCGGGGGCCCCGACAGGTCGTTGTACAGCCGCCTGTTGCACCACAGCCTCACCGACACGAAATACACCAATTCCACGGCCGATAGCAGGGAAAATCCGGTGAAAAGTCCCAACAATCCGCCGAAGTTCGATAGAAAATCGAACGGTCCATAGAGCTCGTTTTTCTCCGATGGCAAAAATCGGTCCGATTTGAAATACACCTGCAGCATCGAAAAGTGCCTGGAAATATTCAGTCATTAAGCTAGATAAAAAAAAACTGTTCGAAATTAACCGCTTGTTTGAAAAGTTGTACAGGTACACAACCTCATTGAAGTGGGTGGTTTTCAACCCCTTAGGGATGAGTGAGGTTAGTGTAACTTTGAACACATCAAGATAAGACATGAGGCTTGCTCTGGTTAAAATTTCACTTATCTAACTTAGCTATAACCAACGTTATAAGCTTCCAACAATGAGTCACTACTTACAACGATTGGGTGAGTTTTTCGGTGATGTTGAGTTTATTATTCGCCATGAAATACTCCTTCCAGCGCCATTTGTACGAGAACGAGTCGGTTTTGTAGGATAATTGCGTGCACACCGGCAGGCACTCGCAGCTCTGGTACGGGTTTTCCGGATCCTCGTCCAATTCCACGTCCAGTTCCAGCATTTTCAGCTCGTCTATCCAGTATCAAACGCGTTAAAAGCGACTTGAAACAACTAACGAATCCCACCACTTACCCTGGGCTTCCTGTAGACACGCCATCTTGGAGTTACCGCAGATTTCTGTCGTGTTCTCGTCTGGAAAATATTATTACAATTTAACTGAAACTATCCTGTAAATAGTGTTACTTACGGGGCATGAAAAAATCGACGCACCCGCAGGTTTTCAACGTGAAATTCGTGAGGCATTCGAGCAGGCAATTCTCCTGCGTGTACATGCGAAAATACGCCAGGTCCTTCTCATCGGAAAAATAGCACTGCCTGTCTATTAGCTTGTACGATTTCACCGTAGCTGATGTAGTTAGAAGGTCCGGTTCTATTATAATGGTAGTCGATTCGTCCGAAGGCATTATTTTGTAATCTTTCAGCGTCAATGGGATGGTGTTGGGAACGTGTATGGTCACCTGCGAAAGCGACAGTATTAGTAACAGTACTGTTGAAGATTGATTTAGATTACAGTGTAGCCAGTCTGCATTTGGCAGAGGTAATCTGCGTCTTCCACCAGCTGGGGTATGAGGAGAGTTAAGGAATTATCTGCTCCAGCTTGCAGGGCTCTGCGAGGATAGGCGTCTTTCCTGGAGTTCCTGGGATATCCACTATCTTGGTTCCAAAGGTTCCTGTAAGGGTGCTGATGGTAGTGCTCGAATTGGTACACGTTTGGTTTGTATATTTCTTCCCTATCGAGTATATTAAAAGTGTAGCATATACCCTGGTCTAAGATTATAGGTACGAATAATTCTGAGCAGTTTTTCGAGCGCCCCATGAATTCGCACAGGGTCGCCTCGTGGAAATACCCTCGTGTAGCGTCTATCTAAAAAACATTTAATCGTATTAATTCAGTAACTCGATTATACCGTACCTACCTCGTGCAATCTGCGGTAGAAAGTCTCCGAGAAACCCTCGCATTGAGGTAACAAAAGATTCACGTCGGAGTCTTTGCACACCATGCTCACGATTCTCACCGTTTCTTGCCTACAATTAAGCGGATTGGTTCCAGCCGAGTACAAGCCAATTTACCTACTTACTCGTAATCGGATATGTCCGATTTGTTCCAGATCCTGTGTACAGCGTTGGTGTAGTTGAAAATCGATCGGTGCGATTTGGACGCCGGGCAAATGGTGACCGCTGGAAATGGTATGGTGAAGATCGGCTTGACTCGCGTCGCCAGGCTCACGATGAACGGGTTCTCGTCGTATTTGTACCACATTTGCAGTATGAAATATATCGATAGCGCTAACGCTAATGCTACTAGTAACAACCATAATAGTCTAGATAAAAAAGCAGTAGTCTTATCTTGATTGCATGAGGTACAAATGCTGTTATTGTAGCTGAAAAACAACAACTAACCTTTCCCCTTTGGATCTTCTTTCGGCCACATAATTGAATCCGATGATGCTGGAATGCTCACAATAATCGAAGAAATATTTCTTAACTTTCTGCCACATAATTGCGCTAGAAACGATTCACGGTCATTCTATCAGGCGGTAATTCATCTCTGTCGACCATATTAACTCGTTGTAATTAGTTCGTTAATGCTCAAATTCGTTAATAATTACCTATTTTTGTACACATGTATCTCCGACGCGACGGATCACGTTTCATTCCTATTCCCACTGGCAATAAGTTCGCAAAAACCCAGCAGAATGCAATATTGTTTATAAATCATGCGTTATACAATAGCCTATTTAACGACGAAGGTAAACGAAGTTAACAGTGTAACCTTGGTTTGGATTAATAGGTAGGTAGAATTAGCGTTGAACTTAAGTGGAAAAAATACGCTCAAATTGCATTAATTTCTTTATTAACCCGCTGAAATAAAACACTGAAAAATATTTATTTGTTTTATCACATTGTAGAAGGGTTGGGTAGAACAGTCCCTAGTGCATCAGAATAAAAGTGTGCAAGTAATCTTTAGAGTGCAATGATACACTAAATAGTGCATTTACATCGAAAATAAATCGATCAATCCTTCGATTTGGGATTGCGATATTGCGGATGGTCCAGCAACCTGACCGACCCCGACCAATAATGCCTGCCGTAGTGCTTGATGTTGCACATCAACCTCAACGTCAAAAAATACAGGATTTCGATGATCGACAGAAACGAGAAACCGGTGAACAATCCCAAGATCCCGCCGCAATTCGCCAGGAAGTCCGTCTGGCCGTAGAGCTCGTTGCGCTCGGACGTGATGAACTGCTGCTCCTTGAAGAACAACGTCACGCGCGACAGATGGGTGTTCGGCCACTCCGCCGTGATGTTCACCCGGTACGCCTCGAACATCTTCTCGTACTCGTAGGTCGCCTGCGAGTACTCCGCGTTGTAGGTCAACGAGGTGCAGGCCGGCAGGCAGTCGCAGCCCAGAGGCACCTCCGTGGAGGCGGCGGTCTGCAGACCGGCGTCCACGTCCATTGCCAGCAGCTCGTCTGGAATGATCCAGTGATTAGGTACACCAATCCACTAAAATGCACTGAAGGTTGGGAGCGATAGATTCAGGGAAAGATGGAACTGGGGTGGTATAAGCAAGAAGAGTGATCTACAGATGATTGGAGGGCTTCTGTAGATTCTTGAGGATTTTAATATGTAGGAAAACAAGAGCTTAGGATAAAGAACTACAGGAACTATGATGATTATGCCTCAATGGGTTCCAATAAGACACTTACTTTGAGCTTCGAACATGCACACTTGACTCCCAGAATTGCAGATTTTCGTCTCATTTTCATCTGGAATCGAAAAAAACGCTGTCACCGACACAAATCTCGTATTTTAGCGGGACTTACGGGGCATGTGATAGGCAACACAGCCGCACCTCTCCAGCGTGATATTAGCCAGGCATTCGATCTGGCAATTCTGCTGCGTGTAGCTCTGGAAGAAAGACAAGTACCGCTCGGTGGGGAAGTAGCACTGGCGCCGGTGCGGGTTGTAGCCGCGCAGCCCTGACGACGTGGTCATCATGTCCGGCTTGACGGACACCACCACCTCCTGGTTCAGCGGCACGCGGAAGTACTGGCGGGACATGCGCGGCAACTCCGACGGGTTGTGCAGCAGCACCTTGAACCCTTGCACGGGGCCCTTGCAGATGTAGTCGAAGTCCAAGATGTTGGCTTTGAGGACGAGGAAGAAGCCGGCGTACGAGCCGGCGCCCATTGCCCTTCGAGGAAACGTGTCCTTCGCAGCGTCCTTGGGATAGCCGTCTTCCAGCGACCAGCCTTTCGAGTGCGAACCGTGCGACATGTATTTGTCGTTCAAGTAACTAAATCGTAACAAAAACCACGAAATATTGTGATCGTGTAATCGTTTCCGTTACTCACACTCTGTCCCTGAACACCTCGTCTCTGTTCAACATGTTGAAGGTGAAGCACAGTCCCTCTTCGGTGAGCAGAGGCACGAAGAAATTTTCGCAGCTTTCGTTCAGAAGGGTCCACTTGCAGCTGGCGAAGATGTCGCTGAATTGCGGCGCTACCTATACCAAAAAACTCGCTAAAATATACCACATAAAATCCAACAATAGCTTACGCTCATGAGGTAATCGATGGTATCGGAATCGGTGTACTTCTTCCCGTCGTTGTACAAGTGATTGTCGCATATCAAGCTGCTGTCCGAGAAGCGCTTCATCCTGCAAACAGAATAAGAGAGTGTATAACTCGCTACTCGGTACTCGGTACTCTTACTCATCGTCTGTGAGGTTTTCGCCGTGAGTGAGCCGATCGTAGGCGCCCGTGAAATTGTAGACCGTCTGCCTGGTTTTGGTCTCCGAGCAAATGGTGACGGCCGGAAAGGGCACCTGCCAGACGGGCGTGGGGCTCTTGGCGAAGCTCACCAGCACCGGCGACATGTCCCACTTCAGGTACGTCTGGATGATGAGGTTGATGCAGATGTACAGCGACACGCAGAAGAGTATCACCCAGGAGAACCTGCGGGAAAACTTTGTAATAAAGAGTGGCGCGCGATTCGTGGACTTGCTTCTCGCAGGAGGTGCGCTCCTGCTCGCCCATGTACTTGAAGCCGTGTATGCCCGTGTTGCCGGTGAACTCCTGGAAGTAGTCCAGGAGGTTCTTCCGGAAGCCGGGGAACTTCCGTTTCGGTTTCTTCACGCCGTTCTGGCATTCCGACTCTTTGGTCTGCTTGGCGCCTTCCACGTCCTTCTCCATTGGATCACTCAGCGACTGGTCGTCCGAAATTTGTTTAAGCGGGAATAAACGGGCGCGATTTGACGGGCAGATGGTTATCAGATAAACCGCACGCTTCTAATTGTCTGGTCACGCGATGCTATTTGAATTTACATATATTTACATGTGTGCATTTACGATGGGTTAACCAAACAAGATTCTGGATCGGACCAGCGTTCAATTAAGGGTAGAAGAGATTCGAATTTTTGGATAAGCTGCTTTATGAAAAAGGGCGTACAGTTTTAGTAATTTCAGTAAGAAGAATCTGTATTCACTTATGCTAAATATCGATAATAGAATCCTTCCCTTAATCCTTAGAGAATTTTATGAAGATGTATAAATGAATAGGAGAGAATGTTTAATCACCCGGAAAGGAGACTTTAATAAATAGGCAGTTTCAAGACTCTAAAAATGGGGTTTTTATAAGATAATATTTCCTATTTACAATATCCTTAATCTCTATAATTCCTTGTTTCCTTAATGTTTCATGAACGAAGATTGTTCAATCATAGGAAGAGCAGTTTCATTTAGTACAAAATCTCCTTATAGAAACCCTTTTTTAAGGTTGTTTTAGGGTTTATTTAAAGCTATTTCCACCCGATGAAAACGGGGCAAACGAATGTAGTAACTAATTCGTACGTTTTGTTTACAATACTTATTAAAGAAACGTTTTTTTTAAATACATTGCAAACCCATCACACCTATTATCAGGGGACATGTACGTGTTGTTCGGTTGAATTAACTTGTTGTTTCAACATGTCTAACTTTGGTCAAATGAATGACGTGCGAGGGCGTAGGAGATAATATTCCATTAATATATCATGGAAATTAATTTTTCGAGGGTTAATTTCGCGAATTGGTAAACGTTATTCGGTTCGAGATGGATAGCATTTTGACACGGAACTTTCTTCAATGAAACGAACGTGACGTGTCTTTCGTATTTATTTCAAACGTGACGCGAAATATCCCAAAGATTTCCATATTCCAATCGCCGCGACTGATTGGAGCGAATCGAAAAAATATTTCTCCAGAAATTCCTACTATTCATCACATCGATATTACAGGTGCACAATAAAATACATCATTATTATTATCTACCGTAAAAAATAATGGTTAAGCGATTAAAAATGTCGAAAACAGCGCCGGATTATCACCGGACGGCCGCAGTACCGGCAGTACCGATTTCCTCGCCGATGAAAATGCTGCTGGGACGATGCCTCGCGCTACTGCTCGTCTCCAGTTTCGCCTCCAAAGCTTCTTCCAAGGTAAAAAAATAATTCCCGTCCTTTAACGACGCGTTAATACAGGCAATTCGAATGCTCGCAGAAATGCAACGTGGGCATCATCAGCGTCACAGAGGGTCGCTTGGTGGGGAAAGAATTCGAAACCAACAAGGGCACCGAGTTCTTCGCCTTCCTGGACGTTCCCTACGCCGAACCGCCGGTGGGGAGGCTCAGATTTCAGGTGAGATCATCTCCCCGCTACATTTTAGTTAGTACAAAATCGTTACAAACCCCCAGGAGCCGGTGCCTATAAGAAAATGGCCGAAGATTTTGAACGCGACGGCTAACAGGAGGATCTGCGCGCAATTCGATCCCAACGTCAGCGGGAGAGACGCCAGAGAAACGGAGGATTGCCTGGTCCTGAACGTCTACGCACCGGCAGTAAGTACCAAATCAATAACTTCGATTGGAGATATTGTTGTCGTGTTCGCAGGAAACGCTCTGCGATGCGGAACAATCCTCCTCGCCCGTTCTGGTGTTCGTTCACGGGGGATCCTTCCGGTCGTGGGACGGCGCTATGGGCACGTTCGGGCCGCAGTATTTCATGGACGAATACGTTGTAATGGTGTCGATGAATTACCGCTTGGGACCTCTGGGGTTTCTCAACACCGGCGACGATGTGATACCGGGAAATTTGGGACTCAAAGACCAGCTGCTGGCGCTTAAATGGGTATCCAAAAATATCAAATACTTCGGGGGCGATGCCGATAGGGTCACTTTAATGGGACAGAGCGCCGGGGCGATGAGCGTGGGCTACCATTTGCTGAATCCTCAAAGCAAAGGTAATTGTCTAACACAATAATTTGTAGATTAGGTCTATTAGAGCGATTTCTATTCCAGGATTGTTCGGCGCGGCTATAATGCACAGCGCGAGCCCGCTCTCCTGCGCAGCCCTGCAGAAACACCCGCTCGACGCGGCCGTTTCGTTGGCCTCAGAAATCGACCAAAGCCTCTCGAAATCCTCCAACACCACCAAAATCTTGGATATCCTGCAAGCTGCGACGCTTGAGCAAATCCAACGGGCTGCACTCAGTGCAAAGGTACTCGAAATTCGCTGTGGTGAAGTTTACTGAAGGGCCATTTAACGAAGGTATTTTCAGTTACCTAATAACAAGATGAATTGCCAGTTGATCGGCTCGCTGATGTGGACCCCGAGCGGGGAACCCCCCGGAGCGAAGAATCCGTTGGTTACGGGAATGAATTACGATAAAGCGAAGGCTGGCCAGACGCTTTCCGTGCCGCTACTTATCGGCGTGAATTCGCAGGAGAGTTTATATTACGGTAAATACTGGTTTCCTTGAGGTTTCGTTGAGTAATTTTGTGGTAATTAGGAACGAGCGGGATCCCTCTGGTGGCGAAACTCTACGACATGGACCCTTCGCATATGATAGACGAAAACTTGAACATCGATAGGAGGAAGAAACGCGTCGCAGGACAAGCTCTTAAGTATCTCTACACGCAAACAACGTTCTCTTCTAACATGTCCGCGGTAATCGATGTAAGTTAGCGAAAATTACGCACGAATTCGCTTTTAATTTTTCAATTTCTCACGTTAGTTTATCAGCGATAATTACTTCAACGTGCCCACGATGGCGTTCGCTTCCTTCCACTCGCAGCATTCGGTCGTCTACGCGTACCAGTTCGCCTACAAAGGCCCCCTGGGCCGGCTGAACAGCACTTTTCCAGGTGAACACCGCACTGAATTTACCTGAATTTTAATCCGGTACCGAAATTCCACACCAAAGTTGTTGTTGCCTGCGTGCCGCGCTAATCCCACGTTGGAATTCCACACTTTTTTTCGCATAAGTGGGACTTTAAGATGCGTTCGATGATACAAAAACTGTCAAATATGACATTTATGACATGTCATATATAGATGTTTAAAAGAGGTGGGAAATATTTTTTTGTATAGAGGCGCAGTAACGACTGTTACAAAATAACAGTTGTTTTATGGATTATTGGTGTGGAATTCCGGTAAGGGATTGAGGGTAAAGTACGATCCAAAAAGGGATTGTTATTTTGGCGGGGAATTCCAGGTATTCGAAAGCTTCTTCTCCGGGTTATTCTGTAACGGCCTCTTATTGAGCAGGTGTTGGGCACGGTGAAGAGTTGAATTACTTGTTCCAAAATTCGTACAACGAAGATCTGTCCAGGTTCCCCGAGGAAGATGTCGCCGCGCACGAGCGCGTGATGGTGTTGTGGTCGCAGTTTATCAGGTCCAGGTTGGGGCGCTTCGATGGGTCTGGTAATCGAGTTTATTCGCGTTTTAGTTTTAGGCATCCCACGCATAGCCCGAGCGATCTTTTGGAGCATGTGCAATGGCCGATGTTCCAGGAGAAAAACTTGCTGCAGCTTCGCATCGATAGGGATTTGACTGTTGAGAAGTATACCGGGAAGTTTAGGAATTGGATGAATATTGTGGATTTGTTCGGCCAACCGCAAATAGATACTTTCTAGTTTTAGAGAAAAAAATTGTCGATTTATTCGGGTATACGAAAATAGATGTTTATACAGTTGCATTTAATTTTGTGTAAAAAAATACTTTGTGTAGGTGGTATTGTGATTGTGACTTATTAAAATTTAATAAAAACTCGTATTTATTTGTATATTTATTGTTGTTTTAATTTCTTTTTTAATTTATTACAGCGTTCTGACGGTTTCCTTTTCTTCTGCTTGCCGCTCTTCGTCGTGCCTTTTTTCACCGGCTTCTTATCCGACGACAACAAAGGACAGTCGGCTTGCTTGTGGCCTCTTTCTTTGCAGTAAAAGCAATCCTACAACAATGCACAATTTACCTTCGAATTATCGATCGTATCGAATCTAACCTTCGAGAAGTTGATAGTGGAGCAAGTGTGGCCGAGTTGCGCGCATCTGTTGCACTGCTGGCAATGCACCCAAGCCGGTTTCACGCATCTGTTGCACAAATAACAATGCACGTAAGTCTCCCCGTTTTTGGACGTGCAAGCGCCGCACGAATCGCAGTGTTTGTTCTCTTTGCCCACCCATTTCGAGCATTTATTGCAGAATCTATACTCGTTAGGAGGTAGCTCAATTAAACTACAACAATATTACACTATAAAGTAACTCGAATTAATCGTAATGTTATCGTAATGTACCTAAGATTTACGTTGGTAAATATCCTAATTGGAGACCCTTGTATTTTCCCTCGTCTGCTGTTCTGGAACGAACAGTGGTTCTCGTAGTCTACTTTGTAGTCAGACATGGCGAAATCCGGCATGTAATTCACTATTTGGGGTTCCATAAAGTAGGGGTATATCCAAAACATCGGTAGATTACTTTCGGTTTTATTTAATCGCTTGTAATCTTCGTTGATTCTTTTAAACGTGGCTGAAAGCATCTCCGTGCGACCACCAAACGGGGGATCCGTAATCAACACCATTCCTTTACCCCTAAAAACAATTTATTTATTATATATTTACATAAAACTTTGTGTAATATTAGGCAAACCTGTCTGTTTGTAGGAAAGTTTCGAATACATCTTTGGCTTCTGTAAAGAAAAAATGGTGATTGAACATATTATACCAGCAGTACTCCAACGGGCTGGAGAAATTGTGGTATCTCTTGTCTATATCTAAGAGAATGCTGCTTAAATTGGGATGGTTGTTTTTGATGCATTCGTGAATCCTCGGAGCGCCTATACAAATAACATTCCTAAAAAAAATATATCGATGAGTTATGCAGCTACTAATTGTTATAATACAAACACCTACCTATAGCCCAATCGCATGAATATCCGCAAAATATCCCTCACCGATAAATCAGAGAAATGATACTGGGCCTCCTTCTTCGAATCGTCCAAAGGGGGCAAGATCTTCGAAGGGTGCTCCAAGTCGCTCAAGCTCAGATACTTTACAACGGAATGAGACAGGTGCTTGGGCTCCTCCTCGCAGGACAGTTTATTGCAGTTATTGCAGAACCATCGAACGGAACTCGATTGCAACGTTTTGTGATAATTAATGTACATTTGCCGGTGGTGCACGTCTTTTTTGAAATTGGCAATCTCCTTATCCCAGGCGGCTTTGTTGTATTTATCCCTCTGGTCTTCCAGCACGTAGAATTTGCAGTTTTTTCGATCCCTACAGGCGGAACACGCGAAATAACGAGTCACTCCCTCCTGGCTAGCTTTCGAAAATAACACAGTAGGTCCGTGTGGACAGTGAGGATTATTATCAATATCTCCAACTACAACGTCGGTACTTGTTTTCGACATTTCGACGAAAAATAAAATCGGAATGAATGAAATTTCAAAATATCAACTTCACTTTAAATTTTTATAACCTCACTTCTTCTTTTTATCATAAATTTTATATAATAACTGAATAGTAAGAGTCAACTATGAACGTAACTTTAATGTCACTGTCAAAAAGTCAAACTGTCAAAATAAAAACATTCAACACTACGTTGTTTTAGTGAGTATTTTCTCGCATTTTTCATTACAAAATGAGCGATTCGAGCGCTGAATCGAATAAATCCTTCGCGGAGAAGCAAGCGGATCGCATGAAGAAATTGCGCGAGTTGCACCGGCAGAGGAACGAGGCGCGAACGCACAATCACCAGGAGGTGGTGGCTGAGGACGCTAGGAATAAGATGCCCAGCAACTGGGAGAGCAGGAAGCGCAGGGCCGAGTGGATCCTGAACGACCAAAAGGAGCGGGAGCAGGCCCAGCAGGACGGCAAAGATTACGACAGGTCTAAGCTGTTGAACGTGTCGGCCATCGAAGCGGAGAGGTTCGAGCGGATGAAGAAAAAGAAGAACCCCGACGAGGGGTTTTCCGACTACGAGGCGGCCTCGGTGAGGCAATATAACAGGCAAGACTTGTGTACTCTATTCTTGCATCGATGTAATTGTAAATTCATTTTTAGATTGATAAAAACAATGGCTCCGAAAGATATGGAACGCTACGAGGAGCAGAAACAGAAATTGGGAGATGCTTTCTACGCGGGGCCCAATACGATAGTGCACGGGCTTCACAAAGACCGGCCCGAGGCCGTTGATAATCTGGTTAAAAGTGTGGAGGATCAAATTGCTAAGAGAAGTAAATATTCTAGACGAAGGACTCATAATGATGATGCTGATATTGATTACATTAACGAAAGAAATGCTAAGTTTAATAAGAAAATGGACAGATTCTATGGTGAGCATACTGCGGAAATAAAGCAGAATTTGGAGAGAGGTACCGCTGTTTAGGTGGATTTATAATTAAGTTATTGTAAGTAAAGGTAATTAAACTTGTACATTATAACAATTAATTGATTTTTATTTATAATTAAAAATAAATCAGGTGTAAATAATACTTCATAGTATTCATTCGACTTAACTCTTTGTGGTTTTCTGTAAAAATAAGAAACTTATTATTGTAATAAACAATTATAATTATAAAACTTACTTGTATTTTTCCATAAATAGACAAAATATTATCTCCTTTGTTCTTTTTGCGTTTTTTATCGAAGCTTTTCCCTTTTGCGGTAGATTTTCCAACCTTGTTTTTGCCTAATTGAAGGAACGATTCCCGTTTCGATTCTTCTTCCTTGCTCTTTTTCCTTTCGATTTGCAGCTGTTTGTAATTTTTGTTCTTGTTTTTCGGCGGTTTGGCCCCTGAAAAGTAGGAAAATCAGAAAAAATGCTATTTACAAATGCATGAACTCCGTACCTAATTTTACCAGCAAATTAATTTTAGCTTGTTCCTTCTGTTCAGGATCTAATCCAGACATGGCTAGTTTGACGATTTCATTTTTGGTATGCCTCATATTCAATTCTCCACCATCTTTCTTATCATTCGTAATAGGTTTCTCTAAATTCCTCATCACACTGTTTTCGGATTTTTTCTTTTTATAAGACTCGTATACAACAGCTTCGAAATTCACTTCGCTTTTCTTCAAAGCTGAAGCCTTCGAAGGTATAAAATCTAAATTATCACCCATTTTTGTGTACCATTAAATGTTTGGTTATGAGAAACGTCAAATTTTTAGGTTAGAGTAAAAGTAATCACGTGTTGGCCTCTTACTATTCGATTATGTAGACATACTATGGATAAAATTTTGAAGTTGTTTTCCATAGAGAAAGAAAGATGAGAGAGTTCGATCCTTTACTAAAAATTGGCATAACGTAGACGGTGCTGCCTCTCATCGGATAGCAACATTTTTCGCGAACTAAGCGTAGATTCCTTCAACAAAAATTGGCGGAAAATTTAAAATTAATTTTTGTAATTCTTCTCTATTTTCTTACATTTTGACAATTGTGTAGTCATTTAATAGCCGTTTCTCAAGCATGAAAAACGGCTATCAAATGCATACACAATTAACAAATTGAAATATTTAAAATACAATTAAAAAATAATATTAAAAGTGTTTCATGTAAAATTTTATTAAAAAATTTTGCACAATATAATACACTAAATACACTAAATTTAAATAAAATTGTTTTAGTAAATTTGTGGCTATTAAAAAATCTAATTGTACAACAAGACAGTTGGTCGGATCTTCAGCTTCTTATATTGCATGTAATCTGAAACAAATAAAAATATCAGCAGCATCGAATTCAGGGAAAATAGCGAAGAGTGAGCAAAGTGTTTCGGGTGCTAAAGGAAAAGCAAATTTATTTAGACGTGATTTCAAAGTGCTAGTGAAACTATTATCATGAAAATGTACTTCACAAAGTCTCAGCTGTTTGGATGTAAGGGACAAACCTAAAATATCGAACCACCTTTTTTTCCGCACAATATCGGAAGGAAATTTAAAAAAATGCTTTTGAAGATTTTTATCCGAAGAAGTAAAAAAACAAGCTATTGCACCTTGGTGATGCATATTTATGAACCTTTCTTCGCATTGGGGTTGACATTTTAAATAAGCAAACACAATTAGAAATAAAAATATAAAAACTCACCAACTTAGGTTATACACAATAATGGCGTCTACACTAGTCACGAAACATTCTAAAAAATACAACTCGACTCGACTGTCGACAAGAACCGCACAGAATGGTAAGTTCCAATCCGTCCAATCTTTATGACCAATAAAAATTTTTTAAATATGTTTAATTTTTCGATAGCAGCGCCTCTCGAAGGATAGTAGGGAATTATCATACGTGGTCTGATATTTCCTATGCTTTAAACAGTCTCTTTTATTTTGTCTATGTTGTTTTCATTATTTAATACAACGAACAAGTTAAATATATATATCGTAAGATTACGGTTCAATATTATGTTATTTTTTAGTAATCGAAAGAAGTAACTGTATTTATCAATGACATATATTAGATAAAAAAGAAGAGTGTATGTAATACGTAAAGTAACTGTATTTCTTTGAAGTAATAGTTATATGTTTATGATCTTCTGAAAAAGAAGTAGTTAAACATTATTTAAAAAAAGAGATAAATTATTAATATTTTAATCTAAAAAATGGCGTTAAAAGCACCAATAATTAACCTAAAATTTATTACAAAGGAAAAGACAGAGCTTGCGACTTTCGTCCTAATTTACGCAAACCCAGCAGCAACTTTTTAACAAGAAAACTCGTTCGTTTTAAAACAGACTTCCAATTACAGAAGAAAGCATCTCTGGCAAGCGCGAGCAGGTGTTGCCTTGCTCTACCCAATTCGTACATTATACTCGATCACCTCCGGGGCACGCCCCGGGCCCCAAAACAGCCCTTTTATTTTCCTTTCTCGCTCGAACCGATGCCCCACTTTCATCATCCAAAAACTTCTCAGTTACCTCAAACACGCCACAACAACTGCCACATTCCGCTTGTATTAGAGCCAACAGAAATCCCTAATAAGGAAAACCGCCAGAACAACATCATTTTCGCTATCTCCTCGCCGCATCGGAGCGCCTAGGCGGCTACGTTACTCGGTTTACGCCGCGATATGAGCAGTTGTGACACCGATCAGGTAATTAATATGCAGAATTGGGAATCGTGGACGTCTGCCCGAGGGGTCACTGACTGCGTACGAAGGTCGCGCAAGGTCAGCGGCGGAGCGCCGACCAATTTCACCAGAAGGGGCACCCTCCCAACCACAAACTCATTGCATAAGTATGAATCTTAATTATCGGAGATTTGTGGTGTTTGAAGAACCTCACCAGCGTGTGTAAATCCCCTATTGTAGCTCTATATTGAGCTGGATTCCTGAGAAGTTAAAGGTCTTTAATCTATCCAAACCTGGGGCGAAGTAGTGGAGGCCAATGTAAGTTATGTAAAAGGGTTGAGTGTTGGCGACTCGCCCTTTAAAACCGCCATATTTCAACGCTCCCCCGCACGCCTCTACTCGCTTTTTACGAGCGCCAGGCGCACCCTGTATATCTAATAATAGGATCGCGCGCGTTCCTGTGGGAAACGAATTCAATGTACGTACAAAAGAGCCACTATATTTAAGCCGAACGTATGACTAATAACCTCCCTAGATGTCGCGTAAGCGTACTTAGCGCAACGACATGGCGAATTCCTCGACCTTCCTACTGCAACGTCTAAATATAGAAATAGCGATTTGCATCGGCTAAGTGTCAAGTTGAGAAATAAACCGCCGACGATCGAGTAATCTACTCTCGCTCGCTCGTCTCCCGGAGAACGTCCATGAGCGTTCGCCAGGAGAGAGAATTGCCCCGTCGAGTTTCGCGGGGATATATAAACATGGAGGAAAAGGAGGAGTATTATGTCGTCAAACAAGCAGAACGTAAATATATATCAAAGTAGGGTGGCTGTGCCGTTATGTCAAGGGTTGTGCACCGCACCCTGCGGGATCGATTGGGGAAACGCCTTGTTGATCGGGGTGCGGCTTTGCCCACGTTAAAACACTTAACTTATATTCATCCCTCTACACTGTCATATCTATATTAATATATAAATGCAAACCTTTTGAATTAATAGTACGTTCGCTAGCAGGAGGGTTCATAATTTCACTTATTCACTTCTACAGGGTGTTTAAAATGCATAATGAACGTTGATTTTTTTGCTTTAATAAGAAAAAAATTCTTGTAAAAGTTGATTTCAAGAGGAAAAAGTAATGAAACCTAATTTTTGTATATAAAACACAGCACTCTAGTGACTCAAAGAAAAAACTCATAAAATTAGTAATGTTTATTTTACCTCAGTATACCACTTTATATACAGGGCGTACAAGAATAGTTAACCCATTTCTAATCACAGATAAATTGGCTATAAAACAACGCATAGAATTGCGCTTTTGGGCAAACATACTTCGTTTTATTACCATCTTCTGATAGCGAAAGGAGTATAAATACATCAAAACTTCTATATTTACCATAGCGATAATAATCAAAGAATAATTGACACGCTACAAATTGCCCAGTTCTATTACATCCTCGCGTATATCTATCATCTGGAAATTCTCGGTAATTCCTTGCATTACCGACCTGTTATTTGTACAAAGGCGCCATGCCCAGTTTATCGAATCACTTTCACGATTTACTGCAATTAAATGCAAGTTGACCGACTACCTAGCAACGCTATTTATCGAGCTCCCGCGATTGCATCGACTCGAATTTAACAATTCGAAATTGTTTATTCGTGTAACTATCCCTAATCAGTTTATTCAGTCTACAGTAAAAGGTTCTAAGCGTATAGAATCGTCGAAATTAATAAGGAGATTCCGTAATGAGCCTGTTGATTTTTTCCTAATTATAAAACCCAGTCGAGTCGGACTGGTTCTCTGTATAAACGAGCGCGTTGCTAAAAAAACCAGAAATATTATGTATCCGAAGATGAAGCAATGCGACTTCCACTTCTGGAGGTGTGTCATTGCTTTCGTATCGAAGCACGAAAATCGATTTTGCTTCGATTATTCGATACACAACTCAAATTCCTCGAGCACACTAGATACTTCATTCGCCCGTCCTCTCCGTTTATCGAGGTCTTTTCTACTCATTTTTTTTAGAAAAGCAACCAACGAAATTTCGAAACACCCACGCGATATGTTCTCCCGAACAAACGGCGAAATGCATTTCGGCTATTTCGGTCTCCGGTGACATACTTTACGGTAATAACAGTCGCATCTCGGACGCCAGAATTCGTTCGTAGAACTCGCACAGGATGGTGAAGAAACTAGACACTGTATCTTCTCAGAAGGCTAGGGTTAGAGCCTTTAGTACCTAACCGAAGGCTCTCCATATGCTCCATACTAGCTTGGTTCAATATTGTAGTCACCCAGCAGGATTATTGATTAGATATGTTCTCAGAAGGCTATATGGTTGGAGCCTATTCCTGCATCTTGTCAGCGCATTCTCCAATTTTACAGTTCTTATCTAGCTTGGTTCGATATTATGATCGCCCAGCAGGATCTATTATTGAATAGAGACAATGAAATGGACAAGAAGATTCTAGATTGGACTCCATTGGTGAGACATTTATGGTACCAGCATAGTATTATCACTATAGAAATTGCCTTAGCTTTATGATTTAAGATCTTTGGTTCTGAGAACCTCTGAACTTTGATCCTAGTGGTTCTAGATCATGGTATTGGCACAAATCTGACAGTTTATCATCTACAAAATCTTTCACAAACTGTCACCAGTTCCCATGAAAGATGCCTTTGTATGAGAATGAATTTGCCATCGATGATGCCCGTTGAAAGTTGGTAAACTCGGGGATATTATAGCGAATGAAATCCCGGCTACAGGCGCGTAATGACCAGTTACACATACGACGGCGATAAATTAGCGAATGAGCGATGAACAATTCCTTAGTAAGAAAAGGCGTGTCGGCGATAACGGTTTCGGAAATCGCACACGTCGCGCGGCCTTCCGAGAACCGATGATGATATTTCATCGAGGATGGCCGCGCCGAAAAAAAAAAACAAGAAGAGAAGAAGAAGAAGGAAGGAAGAGAAGAAGAAAAAAACGCATCGCCGAATCTTGGCGCACCTGGCGAAACGTCTCCGCGGCGGCTTCCTCGGCGGAGGTGCGACCGGTGGAAGCGGGCCCGGCCAGACGATCGGTAGCTCCCCGGCCCGTACCACCTCTTATTT